TTATCCTCGTATTAATTATTGGCATGGGGTCGGAGGTACGGAGTATTGTCGGGTCCATAGTAGGAGCGATGATTGAAGACAAGGCTGTGATATGAAGGCAACCGATAACTAATCCCGTCTCTGGGAAGTGCGCATCCCGTTTACCTAGCCGAGTAAATCCTGGAAACAGTGGTTGAAAACGTGGGACGCCGACCAGATGGACAAGGCAACTAAACTAATCCTTTTCAACGGGCTAGTACAAAGTAGTGCCTCAGGTAGCGGGTGGACGTTCTCGGGGCACGAATATTCCTTCCTGTTCGAGTCATCCCTTCAATCCTTCTGATGTAACTGCTACTTCATAGTCACTTACTCCGTCCGTACTCTTCAGGAGGTGCTCGGCTCACCAAACAAAGCAAAACCCCATAACCGCCCTGATGAGACTTATCATGTACCAGTGAAATTCCCCGAAATTTGCAGCCTCACTTTTCTGGGGATCTGCGCAGTTACAGTAGAATTATGATCCGCCGGCGAACCGCCCCCTCGGAGTCACAGGGCGGGCGGTCCCGCTGTCAGGCCCTCCCATGCCCATGACCAAAATGAGGGATGACCTGCTGTCGCTATCACCCGCTGCGTCAATCATTCGTGATTATTGGCCTAGGCATGCATACTATGTAGCTTGATGGGCCAACGTTCGACACTGTTGGATATACTAGGGATGGCTGAACCTTTGGACTCTGGCAATGGAGGATCCAGAGGGGCGAGATTACGACAGCCAAAAAACCCCATGACTGTGATTGTGAGCTCTGGAGTTGATCTACATCGTCCTCGTGATGACTCGGGGTTCAACGCTCCATTCCAATCGCCGGTACTCTTCAGCCCGGTAACACCGATGTCCTTGGCTGGTGATCGATGATGAGCCACCCCGTGTCCTTGATACATGGGCACAATCCAGCGTCCGACATGATGTAGGGACTCATTTCATTGTCATTGGCTCGATTGTGAATTCCATGATATATCCAGCGGCTGGGTCAGGGTCATCCAGAGCTCAGATCGCATCGACCTTATCTTACCACCGACAACGACGTAAGGACTCCGTTGGTTTCAACCGATAGAGTTAAGAACCGTGTCAGGCGAATTTTAAAATTGCCAATCATGTTGCTTCGCCGTGACCCTCTCCGAAAGGGGCAGGGTACTCCTAGGGGTAGTACCTACGTTGTCACCGTCAAGGAATGTGGTTCTTGTGCTACCCACTGTATCACCTTCAAGGACTGACCATTCATCGACAGGGCTATCCCTTGCATTGAGTGCTTATTCATACCACCATCCCACATACATCACGCGCAGGAAACTTTGACGATCGAAAACATCCACCTTGCAAGGGGAGGAGGGGTCATACATTTTCAAGAAAATGGAGGGAGTGAAGAGGGGGAGAGGGATTTGCTTACCGGCGGGTAAAAGAAAAATAAAAATGATGACCACCGTTCTCATTCTAATTCAAACCAATCAATCGCGTATCCGCGCGGATTGGGCATCGTGACGGATGAAAAATGAGGAAAGCATGATGTTGGCGGGCTTCTACACCGTATAGTCGCTATAACCACCTATATTTATCCTTTGCCTTAGTTTTTTAGTCTAAACCCGAGATCTAACAAACACGCCGCCAGCCAACCGAATCAAGGGGTTGATCCAAGAGACGGGATCTTGAAAAAAGTTAGATTTGCGGATCAACCCAACACAACGCAGGATCTTGGTGAGCTCTGGCAATGGGGTCGCCAAAAGAGTTCTATTGGCGGTGTTTGTTAAAACAAAAAAAGGTCTCTGGCGTCTCCGTAGCACCTTTCCCCACCCGAATAACTAGTAGTTTTCATTATTACCCGGATAATACCGCAACGCGACTTGCGGCCGGAGTAGATGTATAGAAAACGACCATCCCTGTTCTCCCGTTTTTCCATCATAAGGCACAACGATTTGGGTATTTCCCCCCACATTTTACCCCATCAGAGAACAGGGTCCTCAGCGCCTCCGTCAGAAAATGTGATCAAGGCCATCCGGAGAAAGCCTGTCACGTACGGCGTCGAATGTCTTGCTGATCAACCGCGACATGTATGTATATGTATCCCGCCCCTCCCTTTTTTTCCCGAGACCGAGAAAATCCCAGCCAGAGTTTGGGGACTGTGGTCGGGCAAGTTGATTGATAGTCCGCGCTTGCAACGGAGTAAGCCGTTTAGATCCCATGTTAGACCCCACTAATAATTGTCTTCGGACTTCGGAGAGTCTGGTAACAGCGTTCCATCGGTATATATCGGTATTTGAGACCTCCTCACCGTAGGAACTCCGTGGATAGCTTGGCTCTACTACGTAAGCTTTAAAGGTGCTCGGCCAAATGCTACCTCGCGTCCTCTAGTGGTTTTGGACCGCTAAGCTATTTTAGAATGGAAGATATTTCTGACGAAAAGAAATTATGGCATCATTTGTCTATTTTTGTCTAATTATTTACGGCTGTTGATGTTGCCACCTAGATACTACACTGTAAGGTAAATAATAACCCTCCATTTTATTGTCTGGGGAATCTTTCTCAACGCAATACAATGAGGCCCGGCCATGCAATTCTCTTTGTGCCACACAAATTCGGCTGGAATGCCGCCGCCCGGAAAGCGAGGGATGCCGGGAGGGTAAATTATACCCAGGATTTGTCAGAAAATGTCACGATGTGGTACCCAAATACGGGCTGTATTCCACTATACGGTAAGGGCGTTTGAAAATAAGTCATACATCCATTCTGCGTTCCTTCATTCGCCATGAGTGTTATACCCCAATTACATCTGGAGGATAAACAAAGGGGAGAGAAAAAAAATCTACAAAACACAGGTGTATACCTAGAAGTTTATTTTGATTATAACTATAGACCATATACACCCGATGGGCTCCGAGTGTTACGGTCAACCAAGGGCGCTTCCCGTCACTTACCATGCGTTGACCTACCATGGATTTCCCGGCAGTTGGTCCTAAATCCTATCTGACCTGGAACCAAGGAACAGCTGGCGGCTGTGGAGTTTGATGTATGTCACTTTATACGTGTAAAATCCGTATGTATGTAAGTAGATAACAGCGACATGAATAGATGATCTCACCTCTGCCCCCTCTTTACGTGAAATGGTGGGGGGTTTTTAGGCTGCGGCTGGTCTTTTTTTTTTCTAAAAAAAAATCATTAGTATTTATTTTTCTTTAAGAGAGAGAGGGAGAGACTATTACCAAATGATCGACTTTAGCGTTGAGGCGAGAGCAAACCCTGAGAAGGATAGAGTTGATTTGAAGCAGAGGAAATATACTATTTTACCCTGAGGAGTAGGTATTATTCATAACATTGGTATCTCGGTTACATCTCCGCCTTTCTGAGATGGCGCTTCCCCCCCTTCCCCAACAGCTTTTTTTAATCTACGTTGTATGCAGAAAGCCTAGGTATGTAGATAGGCCGTGATTCGCTGCAGAGCACATACCGATGTATGCAGGCTTAGCCTGAGGGGGTGGGAAGCCATGACCCTTGGTGCAAAAACCAAGGGAGGACCTCAGTTGCTGAGGATTCTCATTTCTCACCGTCTTCTGATCCCGTGCGGGGCTGTGGTTAGGGAATAAGGATGCCTCCAGGGTTGTTCATGCATATACTACCTTCTTTGTTTCTCGCCGATCTCTGTCGCAATTTCCAAGATTTCTATATCTTAGTCTGACCTACTTTCGAGCTAGGCACCTGTCTACTGATCTGGATTTATCCTGAAGATTGCTTGCTGCCATCTGGAGGCCGATTCGCCGATCTTAGTTGCGGTCTTTAAATCGAAACTGATTTATCACCATTAGGGCAATCTAGTCTCTTCCCACCGATTTATTCCAGGAAGTCAGTTCACGAGGGGGGGGGGGGGGGGGGGGGCAATAAACACAGATCCCGCCCCCCTGTCCATAAGAAGCCGAGTTAAACTGGGCCACCATAGCAATGGGCGCCCAACATGCCTAAGCACCGGCGCTGAGAGGCTGAATCGGTTGACAGCAAGCATGGCCTGAGCATGTCAGAACCTGTCGGTTTCCGTGCATCTCATCCAGTCAGGTGTATCGTTTGCCATGATTGCCTGAGGGAGAATAATGTTTTTTTTTTTTTTTTTTTTTTTTTTTTTGGTTTTCCTTCGGCTTGGCGGTCCTTGTATTTGAGGATTTGAGGTAGCTCTCCGTGTATATATATGTATTCCAGCTACCTTCTTGATCGTTATGTAAACCGTCTTTAGATAATTAACTATAATGTTTGAATTTTCCCTTTGAGTTTTCTTAGGGGAGGTGAAGGAGATAGCTGATAGATAGACATGTTTCATATTCCTGTTTTTTTGCACCTCATCTCCTCGGTGTTTGACATTAGAGACTAGGAAACATCTCTCTATCTATGGTCTGACGTCCTGACCATCCACCGACCGAATTACCCCTCCTGATTTTGGGCACCGACCACTCCCTGATCAATAAATCTCACTTATCCCATCCAAGAAATCATCGGTCAGGATCCAACAGCACCTGCTATCTCCCAACGGTGCGTCCCCCGGCAATGGAATTGGGTAGTCTAAATTCGGGTGACACCTTTCTCCCATCTGCCTTCTCCCCCCTCCACGATAACCAAACCCTCCCATGTGGCACTGGAAAATCAAAGGATGGAGCTGATTGCGGGTCTGTATGACAGGATTGGCAATTGGAGTTGGTAATAAAAGCTTCCCTGAATCGCTCATTTTTCCGTTTTCTTCCATTTCTTCTACCGCCCTTCTGGCTTTTGGATCGCTCCGAATTATTACCCTCATCGTTAATATCACCATAATTTTGGTTCTCAATCCTTTTCAGCCCGTCCCGGCACGGCTGCCATCGCGGCTCCACTGCCTCTTTTCAGGATTCTTATTTGTATCTTTTTCTCAAAATTTTTATTTTATATTTTTTAATTATATTTTTTAAGGCTTGATCTTCTTACCTAGGGTGTACTGTGGTACTACGGTGTACACCAGTATTGAAAACTGAAACCGAAACCGAAACAAGGTATAGACCAGAAGAAGGAAAGAAACAGATCCCCCCCAAAACAAAAATCCAAATAAAAGAGGCCGGGTAGAAAAACGATCTGTCAATTCGTGGCTTGTGTTAACTCCTGCAAACCAGGATCCCGGTCCAGGGTAACAGGCCTCAGTCCATCAATCAATCCATCAGAAGGAGGCGCGCGTCAAAACAAAAGAAGAGCGAAGAAGACGGAGAAGACGAACAGAAACCGGGAAAAACACCAGAACGCGTTTATCAGGGACACCACTCATTTATATCCCCTACGGTTTTTATTTATTTTTATTTATTTTTATTTTATTTGCAGGAGAAAAAAAAGGAAAAAGAAGTGCCGGAAAAGCAGCTACCTATCCATTCATACTAGTATGAGATCGGGTACGACCAACTCCCTTTCCTTCCTACGGCCGAATCCCTCCACCAGCAGAAAGAAAAAAAAAAAAAAGAAAGACAGCCAGTACTGCGTAAGTGGGAGGGGCAAACCCGGCATTTCATCGTCCACCACCAAATCAATAATAATCATCACAATCACACGCTTTTTGTTTGTCGTCTGTGTGTCTATTTTTTCTTCCGTTTCCCTCCCCCCCTTTCCTTCTTTTTTTTTTTTCTTTTCTTTTTTTGATCAACTCTCTCGGTCACTATTGTCAACAGCCATCCTTCGTCTTCGACCATTTCATCATCAAACCAACCCCCCGCCTCTTTTCAAGTTACTAGTAAGTAGTAATGAGACCGAAATCCCGCTCCAAACACACCTTGAATTTTACCACTACTCCGCCGTACCAGCCAGGTATACGTGCTCCTACTAATTCATTTATTTTCTGGTTTTATTATTCTTTTTCTTTTCTTTTTTTCCATTTTTCTTCTTCCACGCGATATCAAGTCGGGAAAGCTCTTCTACTTACCTATTCTAGTTTAATCCGTGGCCCTGTGTCCGTCTGTCTATCCCGTCTTGACTCTCTCCATTTCCCCGGCGCGAGTTCTTGACCTGTGTCCCCCCCCCTCTCGCTCATAAACCGAGAGAGCCCTTTCTTTGACTTTCCCACCGTTCGATCTACCTTTGGCACCAGGCGACCCGACAGCTTGGCTTAGCTATCTCCCCAATTGATCGGAGAGCAAAAAGCAGTGCTAGTCGCGCGCCGTATTTTATTGGATTCGAGTTTACCGCCGTACCCAACCGGTATTCGGTGCCGTTACAGCGTACGTACTTCTTCTTTATTTCTCGTCAGCAGATTGCAGTTGGGTTCGATTATTTCATATTCTCATGTCACTGGCATATTATTATTATGATCATTATTATACTGTCCGTATTATTTCCTACCTGACTACATACTCCCAACTACGCACATCGTCCCCCTGATTTGATTTCCCATGGACCATGTTTGAACTGTGAATTTTGGCTCCCCCCTGGCTTGGTCTGGCTCCTTGTGCGCCTTTTTTTTTTTTTTTTTTTTTTTTCAAATTCCTTTCCCTCTCGCCCTTCGTCTTTGGGTTTCGGTGTTTCAAGAGCAGAAGAACAGGAACGAAAAAGCGTCCAAAATTACCAGGACAGGACCACTGGAACCCAGGATTACCACTACTCACTAGTAGGTCCAGTCGGGCGTGTCCACTCCAGCGATTTTAGCACCTGCGCGGATCTCCTGCTCTGTTTTTCTCGCCTCCCTGGCTTTTCCCAGAGTTGCCTTTACCTGCCTAGTGCTCCGAGCTTCGTCCTGATACCCGCTCGAATAATTACTTCGTACCGTCGCCCTGGGATTCTCGTTTGCATTAGCTCTTCTCCTTTATTTCCGCTGTCACCCTCCCCTCCTCGGTCATTTCTGGATTTTTCTTTTTCTTGTTTTCTGCTTTTCTTTATGCCTTTTGGTACCCTGAGCTGGCGGATCGCTCCGTCCTTTGCCGCCTAACGCTGACTCCTTTCCACTACTATATAGCCGACGAATTATTGGAAAGCTACCGGGCTCGCGGCCTTTGTCAGGCACATTTTCCTGGCCGATCTCTCGCCCCTCTTTGTGTGACGCAACGCCGTGAATCTAATAAACGTCCTGCCATACCCCGAGCAGTGCCAATCCACCCCCCGAAAGGAGCCAGACAAAGAAAGAACTTCCACCTGGCGAGGGCGTTGTCCAAGTCCCCCGCGCCCCCCGAGGCTAACCCCCAGCTGTTTACCGCTTTGGGAATTTCTTGCGGACTTTGCTAGGCTCAGTCCGCCGTCGCCACCAAAACAAACCGGGGCGCGTTCTCTGAGGGCATCACCATGTCCACATGATTGCATGACTTTCCCGCCGAATCGAATGTCCACTGCGCACCTGCGACGAGCCGGAGTTCCTGATCACAGTCGCGGACTCTCGATCATGGAAATCAGTGCAACGGACGACAAACCCACTCCTCTTCCCGCATATTCCGCTCCTGCTCCCCCGATGCATCACCGCATACCACCTCCCGAGGGACCCCACGGTCCGCCGAGTGACTCGGGCATATATGAGCCCCCTCCGTTCCGCCCTTTCGCGACCTCGTTCGAGGGTCGCTCCGCCGATCAACGACGAGCCTCCAACGCCCCCCAGCCTCCATTGCCGCCTCACGGGTACCCCGTCATCCCCAATCGCGAGCTACCACAGCTTCCCCCGGAGGGCCCATACGCTCGACAAGGAAGCCTGCCAGGCGCATTCCATTCCATCTCCGACGCGCATCCCCCGCATTCAACCTACCGCCCCCCCATGAACGGAACGCCGCACGAGGCGGCTTCTCATTCCGCGCCCCCTGACTATCGATCTCGCATGTCTTTTCCACCACAAGAAAGCCAAACCAACGGTGACCCTACTCCGCCGCCGGCGCACTCGCTCCCCCCGGCCCAGTTTTCGACCCCCGTGCCGCCGCACCTATCGCATACCCCCGCGCCGTACGATGCTGGGTACTACCAGAACCAAGCTTATGGGATTCGTCAGCGCAAGGCTGCTAGAGCTCAACAGGTAGACTTTTCACCTATTCTGGACGAGCGTCCACTGCGATGACCATCGTGAGAAGACCAAGATAGATGACTGACAATGCGTGTTTTTTGCAACCCGATTGAAGGCATGCGATCAATGTCGAGCGAGAAAGGCAAAATGCGACGAGGGGCGACCCGCGTGCAGCCATTGCAAAGAGAACAACATGATCTGCGTCTACAAAGAAGTCCCCCCGCACAAGTACGTGGTCCACTCATTCTGACGGTTGAGCTTGGAGGAGCGCTAACGGTATGACTCAGGCAAGAAAAGAGCACGCAGATGCTAATAGACCGACTTGCACATCTGGAGGACATTATCTATGAGAAGACGGATATCATTCAGAAGGTTCAAGTAGAGCACGGGAACCAATTGACACAGATCATCAAAAACTTTCCGCGAGAACCCAAAGTGAAGATGGGCAAGGAGTCCCAGAAGCCGACGGTTCAACATTTACTGAAGCAGGACAGTTCGGTGAACCTGCAGGAGCCGGAGGCCAAGGAGGAAACCGTCCCTGTGATTGCGGGGCAGGACTTGACCTCGAGTGAGACCACAGAAGCGGGCACTGTAACTGTAACCACCCAGGAAACGCTGGAGCCCGGGGAGGATGGCGAACTTTCGATCCCGGTTGAACATACGACTGCGGCGCACAAGTTACTGATGTGGCCGTCAATCAAGGAGCTTCTTTCTCCGAGAGAGTACGACGACGATTACGTGATGAGGCTGGAGGAAAAGCGCGGATTGATCCGTGTTTACGGCCGCGGAGAAGGCGACGATACGAGTGACGACGTGGGCCCGCCGCCATTAAAGCCAGATTACAGTCCTGAGGAGAACCACACGCAGACTGCTCCAACTGGACCCTGGGGCATTGGTGCCACGCCGCCTCCCACGCGCCTTCCAGACAACGGTCTCGACGAAAGTGGTTTCTTGACTACCGACCCGGAAACGCTCCGGCGGTATCATCGTAGCTATATGGACCACATCCACCGGCTCCATCCGTTTCTTGACCAAACCGACCTGGACAAAAAGATTGGGCAATTTATTAGAGCCTACTGCCCGCGGTCTGTATCGGATTCACCGTCTACTCTGAACAGCAACGGGGGGGATGTGCCAAGGGGTGCAAAACGCAAGCGTTCCTGTGAGAACTTACAGGGGGCAGCATGCGATATTCAATCCCCGACGGGCAGCAAGACTGGGCGCATCAACGGCCGCCGCATTGAGAGATCTGTCGGCAACGCCATCATCCTGCTGGTTTTTGCGATCGGGAGTATCTGCGAGGTCCCACTCGTTCCCGGACCCGTTATGGATGATGCGGTGGACTTCCGAAAGGAACTCATTCCCGGTCCCACTGCGAGAAGCGTTCAATCGCCTGCGGGCTCCGACTCTATTCTGCAGACACAGGGTAACGTCTACGCGCCCAAGGGCCGCGCGTTTCCATCTCCGTCGGTGATAGACGGTCGGAAATCGATGTCAGGGCGACCAGGCTACCCGGACAACCGTCACCTGAGGAATCTGGATGTGATTCCAGGCTTGGCTTATTATGCTTACGCCACCCAAATTATCGGTAGTCTTCAAGGTGCTAATGGACTGCTTCATGTCCAAGCAGCCTTGCTAGCCGGGCTCTATGCCGGTCAATTGGCGCATCCGTTTCAAAGTCACGGGTGGATCTACCAAGCGGCTCGAGCCTGCCAAGTTCTTGTGCGGACGTAAGTTAGACCGGAAATTACTTGTAGGAAAGGGGTTTCTAACTTTGTCAATGCAGGAAACGATACGAGCAGATGGACGATGGTCCACTGAAAGATCTCTATGATTTTGCGTATTGGACTTGTCTGCAACTGGAAAGGTATGTGGAGTGTGCACCTACGCCGGGGCTGACCTTGAAAAAGGCTAATCGTAGCTCCAAAATTCAGTGATATCTTAGCGGAACTCGATCTTCCAGCAAGCGGCATATCGCGTTCAGAGGCCCGTATCTCTTTGCCAAAGGGCCGTTTCACTTTGGCTCTCCCCAACGAGATTTCTGCCCCAAGCACCATGATGATGTTCTTCTACTCCGCCCAGATTCATCTCAGGAAGGTCCTCAATCGCGTTCATACCGATCTGTACAAGGTTGAAAGTAAGATACTCTCTTTACCCTAAGCGTTCGATATGGCGTTGGTGATGGCGCTAATAAATAATCCGAAGAACAAGGTCAGAACCGTTGGTCTTCCAACGTGCAAGAGATTTTGAGCATGAATCTTGAACTCTGGCGGACCAGCCTTCCTGATATTATGAAATGGAAGGACAACGACCCACCACCAAAGGAGATCAATGTCGCTCGTATGCGAGCGAAGTACTATGGCGCCCGATATATCATTCACCGGCCTCTTCTGTACCACGCTCTGCATTATGCCGCGAATCCCGATGCGCCGCCGCCGCCGGTGGACTCACCTACCGCCTCTGCTTTATCGGGATCTAAATCCCAGCAGGTTTCGCCCTCGATGACGCACAGTCAGCGGGCCTCGAATATGGTCCGCCTGTCTAGCGACCTAGGCACTATGGGTCGTAATTCGCTTTCTTCCGGCCAGGGAAGGACAATGACCTACCGTGATCTACCCACCAAGTTGCGGAGAGCTTGCAAAGTGTGTGTTGACTCCGCCATTCTGAGTACGGAAGCCTTTGATGGAATCGAGGGCCGTCCGGTTGTGACAAATATTTTTGGAACCGCCCATGCGTATGTTAACCCTCCCATTTTTATGTACGATTGGTTGCTGATGGGTTTCTTGATTATAGACAATTTGGCAATATGCTGGTTCTCTCAGCTACATACATGTCGAACCTCTCCGAGCTTGTTGATCGGAATGACCTGGAGCGACTGCTCAAACGAACGATCGGGTTTCTTCTGCAGAGTCGCTACATCTCACCCAGTCTACGCGCCGATGCGCGAATACTGACCGAAATCTACGAAAAGATCTTTGGCGAACCGGCAGGAAGCTTCTCCAGCATCGATTAGGTTCCGTTTACCGCTATATACCGCACCTCCTATGGCCTGCGTCCCAGGCTAGGCCGCGTTGTACACGCTCGTGCCTCCAGCCGAGTTCCCTAAAGGAGAACTAGACTACGGCTGGGGTAATCTTCTCAATATATCGCCTTCGTCTTTTTGCTGGCATACATTTCTATGCCATTCTTAAGATACTGGCTCCTCTACCTCCTATAATCATTTATTTTTTGAGCGACGGGGCTGCTTCCTTGAACAGATGTCCCGTCCTAACATCTCATATGACCGCATGGTGGCTCCTTGTTTTTATCATTTGCATTTTTTGCTGAAGTATCACCTGCATTCTGGGGGTTGAGCATCTGATGTGTTTTGTTGTGCATAAGGGAGGAAATGGTGGTTTTTTTTTCTGGTTGAATTGTGTCTGCTGTCTTTGTTGATTTTTTTTTTCTTTAACTCGATTTTGGTACTAAACTTACTGCCCTTTGGATTGGGAGTTGAATTGGCGTTTCTGATTTTTTCCTGCTGGTTTAGCGGACAGGAACCTGGGCATGGGAGGGAATCTTTCGTTGCATTTACAGTGGACCACGGAGAATGTCCTCCATTCTTACATTTTCGAGGCGTTCAAATTGGATGGCTGTACAGTGTGGCTGTCTAGCCATAAGAGCGGTGGTGTCTTGAATTGATTTCATTTTTTGCCCCCTGAGTGTGCTTCCCTCAACACATGGTAGCGAACCCAACGGATTGAATGGAATTTTTGATTACACCTGGACTTTCTTGGATTTCTGCACAAACGTGTTTGTGAAAAAGTGAAAATGCAGGGGCTGGTGCATTGGCAACAACGACACTAATGAAGCTTACGGAATAAAGGAGTTTTGGTCCGTCAATCATTGCGACTTCTCCCCCAAGCCAGCCTCGGTTGCCCATGATTCCGTCCGTGCCTTTTCCCCGCAACTGGATTAGGATGAGGCAGCCTTAGGAACCATCTTTATAAAGTCCGCCATCTGGACGGGGAATCGGGGTATAAGTTTTGGCGCTACCTGGTTCTTGTTCTCCACCTACTTGCTGCATAACTATCCCAAGCGCATCTACAAGTATGGCTCCCCGGGCGCTTGGCCTCTCTCGAGAAGGTATCTGGCGCTCTCTTCACTGCACTACAGGATTAGCTAGACCCGCTAATTTGATCAACAGGGTTTACCGCTGATGTGACCGGCAAATTTATCCAGCGAACGCTCCTGAGCCCCTGGAAAACATTGCCCCTGATCCTGCTGGCACACTATACCGCCAAAGGCAAAGAGATAGCTCGCAGTCACCCGCAGGCTCTTCAGGTGATCCGAGTGCTTGCTTCACTTGCCGTCCTTCGTCGCGTCAATGCATGGATCAATCGCCGCGTGTTAAATAATGGGACTTCGGATCGCTATTACTGGAATCGCGAGGTGGTCGTGTTAACCGGTGGTAGCAACGGAATCGGCAAACAGATAGCCATTCTGCTGGGACATCGCGGGATTAAAGTCGCAATCTTTGATATCAATCCGCCTGACGATGAACTGCCTCCCACGGTCCGCTACCATCAGTGCGACATCACCTCGCCGGCCGCGATCTCGGAGGCTGCGACAAAAATCCGCACCACGATGGGTGACCCGACCGTCCTGATCAACAATGCCGGGCTTTGCAGCGGCCGCACCATCCTCGACAGCAACGAGGCCCAGACCCGACTCCAGTTCGAAGTCAACACGCTCGCGCACTACTGGCTGGCCCGCGAGCTCTTACCCTCGATGGTCCAGCGCAACCACGGCATGGTGGTCACCGTGGCCTCGCAAGCGGGATACACCGTCACGCCGAACATGGTGGATTACTCGGCCACGAAAGCGGCGGCCATCGCTTTCCACGAAGGTCTGGGGGCGGAGCTGGTGACGAGGTACCACGCGCCTCGGGTTCGCACCGTGCTGATCACCCAGGGCTTCACCAAGACGGCGTTCATCAAGGACCTGAGCCCTGAAGATACCTGGCTCAACCCGCTGCTGCATCCAGAGACGGTCGCGGAGGAGATCGTCACCCAGGTCCTCACTGGCTCCAGTGGACATGTTATCGTGCCCGGGTCGACGGGTTGGCTGGCGAAGACGCTCCGTGGATTTCCGTTGTGGTTTCAGCATCGGCTGAGGTTGCGATTGGAACGGGTTATGCGGGCTTCTCATTAGTGGGGAGGACTGTTGCTATATAGGTGTTTCTGTTCCTTCTGTTCTTTCTGCTTATGTTTTGCTGGGATGTAAGGACGTTTTGCCTGGCGCTTGTGTAACCTCATTGGTCTAGTCCAATGGTGATTCCCTTCCAGAGAGCCGAGTCATCAGCTGTAATATGCAAGAGGCTGCAATCGGCACCTCCACCGTACATACTCGTCAAGCACGACGGTCGAGACAGATCGACCGACCGACTCGGAGGGAAACCTGAGGCCTTTCATTCGTCCAACTGGCTGGCGGGACCCGACAAGCACGGATGTCTTGTTGAGCCACCTCATCACACATGGCCGGAATCTCGAACCAGTCAGCGGCAAGTCATTCGGGGGGAACGCTGGTGATTGAGCTGGGGCGACAGATTATCGAAAGCTAGTTAGTAGTTACGGGGCATGACTGAATCGAAGGGGGCTGGCTGGGGACGTCCAATGCTCGTCATAATCTCCATTTGCAATCCACTTCTGGCCGGTCCAGCCTCTTGTGTTTGTTTTGCTGCTCGACCGGCACGTGCGGCCCCACCGCCTCACCGCGATTTTTTCGCCATTTTTTTCTTCATCTTCAATTCGCTTGCATTCCTCATCGTCGCTTTTTTCCGACCCAAGGTGGTTTTCCATCTCGATCCGATCTGGAATCCTGTGCTGCATCTGTTCACCATCATTTCCTCCTCGTCCACCGTGATACCCCGCATTCCCCATCGGTGCAGCCGTTCGCTCCCCTCGCCTCAGGATATTCCCCGCGGTGCTGCCAGCCATCATTATCCTTGCCTCAGGCGCTAAGGTCACTGGATCGCCCTAGTGGCCGAGTGTCTGGAGCAACCAAACTAAAAAGTTGGGGCCTCCGATTCCCGAGTGAGAAAGAACCACGGTTCAGCTCCCGTTGTTTACTTGCGCTTGCCGCCCAGCAAAAACAGCCCGTTCCACGGCTGAGCTGAACTGACCTGACGGCATCTTGCTTTGTACCTTTAGTCCCTCTTCTCTCCTCGTTTCTTTCTCCCTCCGTCCTCTTTACCTTCCCTCCCCCCTCATAAAGTATTACCCTAATCCCTCTGCTTCGATTGTATTTTATTTCGATTTCGTTGTGAATTTCTTGTTTCTTTTTTGGTCTCTCCCCCCTCCCCCTTCATACTCTAATCTTTAGGTTTTGCGACCATTGTCTCTCCCAGTTCGCCCCAGATTCCGCCATTGACATTCCACATGTGCGTCTGAATCGTTAGGGCATTGCTCGGATCGCTCTCTGCCCACCATGTTCAAGGCCCTCATGGGCGGGAACCGCTCGTCCTCCGATGTGCGCAGCAACTCGAGCTCCAAGAGCAAGAGCCGTCGCAGGACCGATTCGAAAGGATCGACAGTGAGCCGCAAGTCATCACGGGGTGACGACCGTGACCGTGGCCTGGGCGATCTGTCGGCCTACCCATCCTCGAGTAGCCGGAGTCGGCGCAATGCATCGAGTGTCGCCGGAGAATCGGTCGCTTCAAGCTACGCGACGGCGGAACCGGGCGTTTCGGGCGACCCCGATCCTCTTCTTATCGAACGAACCCCCAGGCGCCGCGATTACGACGATTCCGACCGCCGCGATCGATACCGAGATGATTATGATGAAACGGAGGATGGTCCACGTCGGCGCACCCGGGCGCGATCGCCGAGTCGAGAGCGTGAACGCCCCGGGTCAAGCCGACACAGTGGAATAAACGACGAGCATGATGATGATAATGAAGATTACAACAACAGACGGCGCGACCGTCGCCGAACCCGGTCGGGCGATGCATACTATCCGCCTGTATCTGGGCCACCTGAGGCATCCCCTCACCTGCCTCAATTTCCGCCTCAGTTTCACAACGCGAGCCCGGATAGCCTGTTGCCAGATTCGCCCCATGCGCCCGGAGCTTACGACCCTCATGTCCAACAACAATTTCCCGGCCAGTTCCCGGCGTATGTGCCAGAGACTTACAGCCCGCAAAATCCCGCAGGCGAAGCAGCAGACTACTATGGTGACCAGGGACAGTCTGTCGCACATCAGCCCGGTGTGCGGCCCAAACCCCCGCTAGTAGCCTCTCATGACCAGGCGCATTTGATGACCGCGTCGCCAACTGTCAATCCACCGCCAGAGCCGAGCAGTATGGGACAAGTCGGTGCTGCAGCTGCCTATTACGTGGACGATGATGCCGACACGCCGGCAGCCGCAGAACCCGGCAATTCGTCTGCCCCTGCACCGAAACCGCCGAGGCCGTCCAAGCCATCTGTACACACCTCCGGACCAGCAGCTGCCGCTGCTACATATGGAGTGGGAGAGGTGCTGCATGAGACTAGCGGGTCGGATTCATCGCCTGTCCTTGTTGACTCGCCAACCTCGATGCAAGCTCCGCCGACTGCTGGCAATGCTCACAAACCTCCACATTCCCATGGAATGGGCGCTGCGTTTGGAGTAGCCGCAGCAGGTGCAGCGACTGGCTACGTGATGGGTTCTCATCATCACTCGTCAGGTGCCGACCATACTTCCCAATACACCATGCAAAATTACGAGGAAATTTCTCCAAATCCCACAGGACAACCCGGCCCATCAATTTATCCGCTTCCAAATGCGCCCGCATATGCTGTCGGCGGTGGTACACCAGCTGGGTACGCTTCTGATCCCTCGCATCCTCATCATGCTGCTCTCTACCATAGCTCCCCGCTTCAGGCTGGAGCGCTGGCTTTCCAAAGACCTCAGCGCGGTCCCATGGATAAGTTCATCGACTTTTGGCGTGACCCTGAAGGCGTGGGGATGTTCGAAGACTACACAGAGGCAATCGGAGTCTGTAAATATTGCTTTGAGCCCGGTTCGACCTCTCTTGACGCCCCTCGGAAGCATAATCATAAAGCACGTCGCAATTCTGGCGATCGATACAGCAACGGGTCGCGGGTTGATAAACTGGTTCGGTACGGATCTTCCGAGGACGAGAGCCGACGACGCAAGAAGTCTTCGAGAAACTCATGGTTACCTGGAATGCTTGCTGGCTACGGAGTCAAGTCGCTCTTCAACAACAAAGATTTTGATGATACTTACAGCGTTCGATCTGGCCGCGTAATCTCGTCGCACGACAATGAGAGTGTTTCAACTGGGCACAAGAGTCAAACCTCTCGAGGTGTTTACAGGCGCTCGCACCGGAGCCGGTCTGGAGATCGCTCTCAACGCAGCTATCATGCGGACTCGAAAGTTGGCAAAGGCGAGATGCTTCGAATCACGTCTGGGTCTCAAGTTCGATCTCGCTCTCGTTCGCGCTCTCGTTCTCGTTCTTCATCGCGAACTCAAAGTCACTCCGTTCTCAGGGATGCTGCTTTAGGTGCTGCAGTAGGTGCGACAGCCATGTCAGTAGCCAAGTCTCGCCACCGAAGCAGCAGCCGAAGTCGATCGCCGCGGAAAGCCAAGAGTAGAACCTCTTCTTCATCTGACTCTTCTGTCTTGAACATCTCGAGGCCATCTGAGAAGTCCGTTGGTGGGGGGCTTGGTTCATTCTTTTCTGCGTCTTCCGAGAACCGCAAGAAGGCCCGTACCAAGAAGAAAGGGAGCGTTTTCTCTTTCAATCACAACTCCTCTTCCTCCTCTTTGGATGCTGATTTGGCCTTTGGTAACGGGTACTCAAAAGTACCGCCCGGTAAAGCCAAGAAGAAGAACCGCAAGAAGGATAAAAAGGATCTCGAAGCAAGACTGCTGGGAATGGGTGCAGTTGCAACTGCCCTCGTGGCAGCTCGCAAGCACCGCCGACCGGGTGAGATTCTTGCTGGCAAAGATTCTCGATCTGGTCGCTCCGATTATACCTCATCTGCCTCCAATGATGAGGGATGGGAGGACCTAGACTCGGGTGACCAGTCTCCCGCAAGTGTCAGTTCGGGTCTTGCCTTCGGCGGAGAGGACTCCCATTCTTCTGATTCTGGAAGATCTATATGGGGCTGGAGATGGGGAGCTAAGAAGGATAAGAAGAAGGCAAAGAAGAGGTCAGATTCAAAGGATGGCCATCTACCAAGTGCTGCTGCTGCCTTGGGCGCTGGTGCTCTGGGAACAGCCGCACTCGCTTCTTCTTATGGCCGGGACGGACGAACGGTGAGCCAGGACGCTATTAGTAGTACCGGAAGTCTTCAGCATGTAGCTCCCGTTCCTACCAGCGACCCGTCGCGTTTTGATGCCATCAGAGTGGGGTCGATGCCTCCTGGCCAGCCAACCTTCGTGCGTCCGGGGCCTATACCTCTCCAACAACCCCAACCGGTGACACCGGTCTCTCAAGCGGTGTACACATCACAAGGCGAGCCGATTCACGCGTATAGTGCACCGGCGCCCAGCGATCCAGCATTCGGAGGGGCACCTTTCCCCCCATATGAACAGCAGCCGTCGGAATTCAAATATGGACCCCGGAGCCAGAATGGCGCACCGTACCCGGATGATAGAGAAGTGCCTATAGGTAGACCGCCTCGTCGAAGTGACTCTTCTCCCGTGTTTCCTACAGAGTCCCTGGAAGGGTCTCAAGTTTCTGGGCTCAAACGTCGCTCTACCACCAAAGATCAAGCATCGGTCTCCTTCGATTTGACGCAGGAACAGGAAGACAAGGAACGACGTGCGGATCGGCTCGATAGGCTGAGGCGCAATCCTGAGTATGATGGAGGCGTCCAACTTATTGACCGAGAAAGTGAAATTGGGTCCCGGGATCCTGATCGCCGTTCCAGGCGCAACAAGGAGCGGGATTCCGAATCAGTCCGGGACGATGGATACGGTGATGATCGAAGAGACTATGAGCGGGACCCTCGAAAGAGCTCGGATTCCTCGTCGTGGATCGGTCCAGCGGCAGTAGGTACCATAGGTGCCGCAGCGGCTGCATCAGTGCTTTCCAGCAGAGCCTCTCATGATGATTCTTCAGAGACTAGCCAACGACGCAGTGAGGAGCGACGCGAGAAGCGCCGAGCACAACGACGCGGCGCGTCTGAAACCGGTTCGACGGTGTCAAGTGCGCCAATTTCTGACGTTACTGACGACCGCTCGTTCTCGCCGCGTGAGGCAGAGCATATCAAGACCTCCGCATTCCGTGATGTGTATCGCAAGAAGTCGGTCTACGATGATTACGCGCAGTTCTTCGCCCCCGAGGTGCAACGCTACAGCCCTGACACATATCATCGCCGCGAGCCTACCTCGATGCCCACGATCATTGAAGTAGAGCCGACTAACGAACGGACTCGCACGCTAAGCGAAGGTCCTCATCCGGAATATGACAATCTTCCTTGGCCGGTACCGACTCTCAAACTCATTGAACCCACGCCACCACAAAGCGTGACTGGATCGGTTAGAGACCTCGCATCGCCCGTCATGTCCACGCCTGAGATCATAGAGGCAGAAAGCCCACCAGAACGGCCAACAACAGGCTCTAGGGTCTCTTGGGGTGAGCATGAGATGCACGAGTACGAAGTTCCATCTACATCTTCCGATATCGAGTCCGTCGACCATGATCTTCCACTCCGAAGGAAACCGAATCATAAAGACGACCTCGTTGATGAAGAACTGACTCGGGATATTAGAGGTGACTCGCCTAAGAACACCTTCAGTAATGTCGAAGGGGATATAGATTTCGCCGCAACAGTGGCTGCAGCTACTGCAGCGACGGGTTTTGATCCTTCGGTTGTGATAAATGATCCAAGCTATCACACGCGGTCATCCCCTCCTGGATCGGAGATCAAGTTTGTTTCCCCTTGGACGCAGACCCCCGTTGATTCAAGGGAGCCGCATGGGTATGTTGAGGGTGAGGTCGAGACACCGGATGATGGGCCCAAGGACCGGTCGGCGCCGAGACAATTCATCGCCGACGAAACACTGTACTCGGAACCCGAGCCCGTCACCCGCGAAGATGTTGAGACCCATGAGGACCGACCCCGATCGTCTATTGCACAAGAGGTTATTGAGCAGTTGGGTTCACGCCGTGAAGGTCGTCGCAGATCCCAGTCACCCCCAGACGAGGCGCTTTCCATGCCGGGGGGATTTGACCAGGAGGACTCGCCTACGAAGCACTCGCGTGACAAAACCCGGGATGCTTCCGAATCGGCTGTCTCGGTTCCCATGCCCGGAGACTTTGAGACTCCGACCAAATCACGGTCCCGATCTAGTACCGACGATCTGAAACTCGAGGAAGACGACACTACATCTCTTGCTGATGGTGGCTCCGAAGGGAAAAAGAAACGGCGGAAGAGGCGCTCTAGGCACACCGATGATTTTGAAGACTCTGCTTCTGTGACCTCTTCTCCGGCTAGAATCGGAGAAACCCGTGACAAATCCAAAGGCACAGACGAGAAGACGGACAAGAAACCGAGCTTCCTAAGCAATATCTTCGGCTCCAGAATTTCTGAGCCAGTAGACGGCAAGAGATCCTCCTCGACCGATAGACGAACATCCCGTGAAGTTCAATCAGATATCGGGACCCGATCTTCCTCGGGGTCGAGACATCGGCGGAAGGAGAAGTCCTCCAGACGTCGCAGCTCTAGCCGTGCTGATACGCTAGAGGGTGACTCTGCCGAAGAGGACAGTACAGTTGCGGAAAAGGAGAATATTAACGTCGAAGGTTACAAGTCTAGCAGACAGCGAAGGGAAGAACGCCGGCGGCGACACGAGGGTATCCTGGATTCTGGTAAAGGAATGGGAGATGAGAAGGTATAGTTTTAGCTGTTTTCCATTTTTCTTTTTTTTTTCTCTTCTGTAAACTGTTGTGTGGTTTGCCTGATCTGATCTATTCCCGGATTTGATTTGTGAATATGTTATATGACTCATGTACTAAATGCTTTATTGCTTCTCTTTCTCTACGTACAGGCCCGAGATTCATCGCCAGACTACGACGATGAGGATACCAAAGGACTGGGGCTAGATCTTCTAGAGCAGCGGCCAAGAAGCCGCTCAGAATCGCTTCCTCTATCGGCCAAGACCATCGACTTGGAACCCAAATCGCAGAGTAGACCAACATCTCCTGAATTGGCCCGAAGGCAAGAGGATGATCGAGACTTCTTCCCTTCGCAATCTTCTGTGTCGCGGTCGATAGAATCACCTACTGCGGTGCCTCTGCATTTCCGCCGGCCCCCAACCTCACCAGGTCTCCAACGTTCACCTTCTGCCAATTTTCCCACAGCCCCGTCTCCTGGATCTCCAACCCAGTCGCGTCCACGTCGGCCTAACTCAACCGAATTCAAAACCTCGCGTGAAATTCGTCCCCTATGGCTCGTGGAGCGACATGGCTCCAGCAAAGCAGAAGCGCAGCCAGATGAACACTTGCCTTCACTCCCATCCAGCAAAACTTCGTCCGCGAATGCGTCGGTCGAGGATCTGACTGCTCTTTCGGACGAGAAGAGCTGGGAGATGCTTGATTTCAGCCATTATATCCACGGCGTGCCTCAGCCTAGAGATCTTGACCAGACTACTCCTGTTAGGCACCAAGGGAAGGAAACCAGCCACCACGACGTGCTTGGCTCTCAAGAAGGAACACCAACGGCGACAACGTTCGGCCAAACCAGTCCCTCATCAGCTAAGAAGGAGAAGCCCAAGTATGAATTCCACTCTCCTTCGGAACTCCTGCAAGACCCTAGTGCATATGGAGAAGTGCCGTCTTCTCCGACAATGGGACCCCTGCCTTCTGTCGAAGGCTCTGCAGTTGGGTTGAAGCAGGAAGATGAACCTAGGCCCTCGACGCCGCAAAACGAGCCCATTGACATCTCGGAAACAGCAGAGTCGACGCCTACTCAACATAAGACCGCTCCGCTGGCGGAGCCTAGAGAGTCTTCAAAGGGATTGGGTATTGCTGGTGCTGTTGGTGCAGTGGTCGCTGCTGCAGTGGGATTAGATAGACATGCGCCATCGGACCTGCCAGATCAGAAGCATGAAACGGTCGCAGAACGAAGAGGGGTGGATAAATCGCTGGATTTCCCACTTTCGAATGGTGCAGGTGCGGTTGCGGCCGATGGCACTCTTTGCCGCGACCTTCCGCCAGGGTCTTTCCCTACCGACAAGGAGATTGATGTTTCACAGCCTGCTTCGAGTGTTCACGAATCCGCGAATATCGAGCATTCTGTCGACTCAAAACCGACAGACGAGAAGCGTGAAATTACCAATGAACTACAGGCGGCTGGGCCAAAGGCGGAAGAGCACTTTGCAGCTAACAACGATAAAGCACTGGAAGGGACAACGGAAGACCAGCTACCGGAGGACATCAAGCCCACTGATGAAGACCGAGACGTTCAAAACGAGGCAAAGAATCTTGATACTACCGGGGAAGTGAAGGAACCCGAAACGTCAGCCGTTCCAGATACGGTGGAAGACGTTTTTCAGGAGTCTGTCAAGGACGAGTCCGAGGTTGTTGGAGTCTCAACTAATGAGAAGGGCGCCGAGATAGGCCTCGAAGCTACACCTCAAGACGAAAGCGAAACCGCCCCAGCACAAATAGAGGAACCCGCCGTTGAAGTTGCCGCGTCAGTCCCGTCCAAGAAGAAAAAGAAGAAGGACCGGAAGAACAAGGACAAGAAGGCGGAACCGAGTGAATTTGAACCCGTCGTACCGGCCGAGGATTCAGCGCCTGCGGAAGCTCCTGCCTCAGAGGAAACCCGGGAGCTCGAGATAACTGAGAAGCCAGAAGAGCTACCTTCTCAAGACCCTGCAACGGAAACCGGTCCTGATACTCTTGAAGCTAGTCGGTCGTTAGAGCCTGAAGTACCTGCGGCTCCTGAGAATGGAGAGACGGCTGCCGACACTGCCGAGATTCCCGAAACCGCAGCGTCTTCTAAGAAATCAAAGCGCGACAAGAAGAAGAAAAAGAAGAACAAGGGCTCCGCTTTGGATGAGACTCCCGAGGAACCTGCTGCCGAGGAGTCTACTCAGCCTCCCATCGAGAACGCCACCGATGACGCCGACCTCAAGCCAGTCGAGGAGGGCACAGAGCCAAAAGCGGAAGAGGAACCAGCTGAAGAAGTCTTTGAAGATTCCCGGGAACACTTTTCTCCTACGACTCGGGAATCAGAAGGGGTTATTCCAGCAGTTGCTGAAAACGTTTGGCACGATGCTTCCACGTTACCTGCCGAGCCACCTGTAAAAGCAGCAGAGACCAAAGAGGAAGATAAGGGTCTGTCGGAAGCCCCAGAGAAGCTGCAGGAGTTGACAGCCGAGCCTATCGACACCCATGAGGAATCTCCAGAATCTACCAAACCTACTGGAGAGGCCCACGTTGCAGGCGACTCTACTGGCGAGCAGACTAGAGAGTTATCTGTTCTGGATGAGACAAACGAGGCAGTTCCCACACCCGATGCTCAAGAGGGTGTCTCAGTGCAGCCAGTTTCTCCTGCAGAAGAGCCAACGGACGAGGGACAAGCAGAAAGATTCGAGAACAAAGAAACGGCAACTCCTACGGACCAGCCAGAGCCAGTAACGGGCGAAGGGCAGACCCAGGACATCAAGTCGAGCGCAGCAGTGGATGACGATCTCGCGCACAAGGGTCAAGAAGAGAACACCGACAAGAGCGTTGCGGAGCCATCCGAAGAGGTTGAATCGGCACCTGTGTCATCGGAGCCTGTGCCCGAGGTAGTTCCTGAGCCTACGGTTACTGAGTCTGGCGAAAACGACGTGAAAGAACCAGAAGAGACTCATGCGCAAGATGAGGGAATCCCAGAGAATCTAACTAAGTCCGAAGAGCCAGCCTCCGAAGCCCCCGTCTCCACAGTGGCCTCTCAAGCAGTTGACCCTCAAGAACATGCCGTGAAAGAGATCTCAGAGGGGGTAGCTGAAGAACAACCCAAGAAGAAGGGCAAGAAGAGCAAGAAGAAGCGCAAGTCGACCGTTTCTTCGCCCGAACCTTCAGCTGAGCCGGAGAAGGATACCGAGGCCGAGACAGCCAATCCCGAAGACCCTGTCCTGGTAAAGGAACCCGCCGACATCTCGCCCGCAGACCAAGTTGGTGAAGACCAGGTCCCCGCAGTTGTTGCTGAAAGCCAAGATGTCAGCGAGGAGCAGCCCTCTGGAACCAAAGAAGAGGAAAAGTCTACACCCGTCTCCGCGGAAATCGAGATAAATACCCCGGTGGTGGAGTCACTGAGTCCTGAAACCAACGATGCCGAACAGCCTGTGCCCGAGTCGAAAGCGGTTGAACCTGAACCCGAACCTATTCTTGAGCCTGAGTCCCAACCGCAGCCTCAGCCTGAAGCCGTAGAGGAGAAGGAGCCGATGAGCAAGAAGGACAAGAAAAGGAAGAAGAAGGCAAAGAAACAGAGTGCCGCCGCGGTCCCGGATGAGAATGACAATTTGGATCCTGCTCAAGCTAAACCTGAGCCCGAGACTGAGACTGCAGTCGAGCCCTCCCTGGACACCGCTGCCGCCGATACATCTAGAGACTTGGATGCAAATGCTTCTCCTGAAGCCAATGTTCCCGAAGAGAACCAGGCGCTTGTTCAAGAGAAAGGAGTCGAAGGCGAGCGTGCTTTGGAAACGGCCGATGCATTTAAAGACGTGGATGTGGATGCCTCTCCGGAAGTCAATGCCCCCGAAGAAAACCAAGAGCCTCAAGACAAGTCAGCGGAAGACAAGCCAACGGCTGAGACGGCTGTAGAGGACATGGAGAACATCAAGGTTCAGCCTCAAGAAGAGCCCAAGTTGGAGCCTCTAGAACTGCCTGAAGAAGAGCCTCAAGAACAGCCTCAAGAACAGCCCGCAGAGGAGTTCCCGGAGAAACCTAAAGAAGAGGCTAAAGAGGAGCCCAAGCTGGAGCTTCAGGAACAGCTGCAAGAGCAACCAGGGGAGCAGCCCCTAGAACAGCCTACGGAAGAGTTGAAGGAAGAGGATCCGGAGGAGCCTAAGTCGGAACCTTTGGAGCAACCACAAGAAGAACATGTGGAGCAACCTGCGGAAGAGTCCAAGGACGAGCCCAAAGAAGACCAAACGCCGACCGAAGCCGAGGTTCTAATGACCGCTGCCCAAAGAAAGAAGGCGAAAAAGCAAAAGAAGAAGAAGGATCGCCAATCCGCTTCCTTAGAGGAGACGGCCCCAGAGACGCCTCCTGCCGAGGTACCTGCAGAGGCCGATCCTGGTTCTACTGCTGAGCAGGCTGCTGCGACTACCGATATTCAAGAGGTTGAAGCTAAACAGGGCGCTTCCGATGAGTTGCCAAAATCAGACGACATGGCAGAGCAGCCGAAAGAGGAGACATCTGCAACCGTTGAATCCGGCATTCCGACTGAGGAGCCTGTCCCGTCTGGTGATTCTCAGACTAAGCCTGAGCCTGAGCAGGACGAAAACACGGATGCTATCAAGGACGCTACGGCCACGACCACGGACGAGCAAGAAAACGTTGAGTCTGCACAGGAACAACCTACAGAAGAGGCATCTACTGTCCAGATCCAAGAGCCCCTCTCAGCACCCGAGGACTCCACGAATACTGAGCCCCAAACTGCCGATGGAGATCTCAAAGAGGAGACTGCTGAGGCTAGTGCTGAAGAAAAACAGCTCGCAAAGGTGGATCCCGAAGAGCCTGGAGTAGAGGTGCCTAAGGATGTTGTGTCGCCAGTGCAGGAACCTGCCAAGGAACAGACCCAAAAGGAACCTGTACAAGAGCCAGCTCAAGCCGAAGAGGTCAAGGAAGAGCCACTCAAGGAACTAGACCAGGAAGAACCCGTGCATGATCCGGCTCTGGCAGAAGAAGTAAAGAATGAGCCAACTCACGAACCGGCACAAGAGGAACCCGTACAGCCAACGCAAGCAGAAGAACTGAAAGAGGAGGCCGCCCAAGAGCAGGCTCCAGTTGATCCGATCGGCACGGAGACCCCTGAGCAGGTAGATGGGGAAGACAAGACCGCCACTGAGAACGATGCAACGGAAACTACACCCGAGGAGTCTCAGCCTGAACCTTCTACCAAGTCCAAGAAGGCAAAGAAAAAGAAGAAGAAGACTCAATCGGGCCAGGCTACTCCAGAAGGAGTCAAGGAGGCAGTGCAGGATGAGCCAGTGGTAGAGAAACCAGTGCAGGAACCAATGACAGAGGAACCATCGCATGAGACCTTAGCTCAGGAATCCGACCAGAAGCCGCAAATGCCGGACATACCTGAAGAGGAGCAAGAGAAGAGCCAGCAGATGCCGGAGCCAGCTCTTGAACAGACTCCCAATGACCCGATCAGCACCGAAGATTCCGCCAAGGTCCAAGCCGAAGAGGATTCTGGCTCCTTTGAGAAGGAGAAGAGCACCTTGGAAGCTACGCCCAAACCAACCCAGCCCGACCTTCCTGAAACGTCCAAGAAGTCGAAGAAAAAGAAGAAGAAGTCCCAGTCAGGACAGGCTACTCCGATTGAAACAGAAGAGGTAGCTCGAGAGGAGCCAATGAAAGAGGAGCCGGTGCAAGAGCCGGTGCAGGAAGAAGCTCAAGCACAGGCCCCAAGTGACACTATCACGAGCTCTGAACAGGCCCCAGGTGAAAACGATACTGCAGCCGCTGAGAAGGATGTCACGGAAACGGCACCTGAAGAGGCTCAGCCTGACACCCCTGCACTGTCAAAGAAGGAGAAGAAAAAGAGGAAAAAGTCCCAGTTAGGACAGGCTACTCCCATTGAAGCAGAAGAGGTAGCTCGAGAGGAGCCAGTGCAAGAACCGGTGCAGGAGCCAGTGCAGGAGCCAGTGCAGGAGCCAGTGCAGGAGCCAGTGCAGGAGCCAGTGCAGGACGAAGCCCAGGCACAGGACCCAAGTGACGCGATCACTAGCTCTGAGCAGGCACAAGGCGAAAACGATACTCCAGCCGCTGTGAAGGATATCACGGAATCTGCACCTGAGGAGGCCCAGCCTGAAACCCCTGCACTGTCTAAAAAGGAGAAGAAAAAGAAAAAGAAGAAGTCTCAGTCTGGACAGACTACCCCGATAACCGAGGAGGCTTCTGAAGTGGTTCTTGAGGCATCACCCGATGCAAAGCAAGAATTTTTCGATGCTTCTGAAGACAAGCGAGATTCTCCTGTTTCTGAGACGCAGACTCCCGCACCTGAAGAGCCAGCTATTCCTGAAGAATCGGCTCAAGAGTCCAAGGTCGAAGAGCCTCGAGTTGAAGAAGCTCAGACTGAGAATGATTCTAAGGCCGAGGATCCCAGAACTGAGGAGCCCAAGGTCGAAGAACATCAGGCTGAAGAAGCTCAGACGGAGATGGAGCCTAAGACTGAGGAGTCCTATGTCGAGGGGTCTAAGACTGGAGAGGAAATGCCAAATGAGTCCTCTGGGCAGACTGAATCGACAGACCCAACCGACTCACAGAACCCCCCTGAGCCAACTGAGTCTGCCCCTGTTCCCGAGTCTATTGAAGAGCCCCAGCCCTCTACTTCCAAGAAAAAGAAGAAGGACAAGAAGAAAAAACGTCAGTCCATTTCTACAGATGAGGGCCAGCCTTCTCCTACGACCGAAGAAGCAAGCGAAATTCCTCTTGAGAAGTCGCTGGAACCTGAAGTATCTCCTGAGCCCGCACAAGAGGTATCTCCCGCCGATGCCGACAGGTCTGAAGAAAAGGCGGCATCCGAGGATCTTGCTCAAGAGATCAAGGGAAATGACACCAAACCTGCAGAGTCCGCGGAAGTCGAAGAGACCGCCAAAACCCCAGAGCCCGCCGAGACCCAAGAGACTGTAGAGATTCCTGAGGCTGAGCCGGAGCCTCAAACCGTGTCCGCCAAGAAAAAGAAGAAAGACAAGAAGAAACGCAAGTCCGTTAGCTTTGCCACGGATGAGTCTCTAGCACAAGAATCGGAACAGTCGACATTCGAACGTACAGAGCCAGCGACAGAAAATATTGAGTCTTCGAGCAAGCCTGATGAGCAAGGCCCCGAGGATGCTCCCAGTCAAGTGATTCAAGAAGGTCAGGATGTTGCGATGATGGATGAGCCTCAACATACGGACTCCCCATCTGCCGAGCCCGCCCAAGAAACTGCCGCTGCCACTGATTTGGAGGATAAGAAGCCCAGCGAGGAGGCTGTTCCACAAGAAGAGCCTCAGTTGCAAGCTGAGCCTGAAACTGAAGCACAAATGGGCGCCACGAAGTCTTCTGAAGATCTTGCACCTGTAGAGGAAAAGGCAGTTGATGAAGAATCCTCATATCCAACGCTAAAAGATGACTCCCTCGGCGATACTCCGGAGCTCTCTCAACCCAAGCAAGAGGAGCCAAAGAAAGACATAAACACTCCGGATGAGACTGAGCAATCGCCCGAAGTTGAAACCCCTGTCACGCCTACTGCTCCCGAAACAGAGTCTCAAGCTGCTGAAAATGGTGTCGAGGAAATGGCTGAACCTTCTAAATCCAAAAAGTCAAAGAAAAAGAAGAAGAAGGCTTCGGCAGTAAACGAAGACCTGCCTGCAGAGACTCCAGAGCCTATTAGCGACAAGACTCCTGCAGAAACGGAGAAGGATACTGAAATCCCGGCTCCTGAGGAGGCCGCCGCAGAACCCGCTGCAGAACCTGCCGCAGGCTCGGAGAAGCAAGAGGACGATGAATTCGCAAACATGTCCGCCAAGGAAAAGAGGAAGGCCAAAAAGAAGAAGAACCGGCTGTCCAAAATGAGCGAAGTCGAGACTCCCGCCGAAGCCGAACCCTCAGACCCTCCCCTTGAGACGGCAACTGCACCTGCTGAAGATGACGGTAAAGACAATCAGTCCCACGACACCGGCGTACATGGCAAGAACGATAAAGATCTGACTTGGACTGATAAAGTATCTTCGCAGGTAGAGCAACGGTCACCGACTCCACTCGCTGACACTCCCCAACCCGTGCCTGAACGAACCGATCCCGATTTGTCATTTGCATTGCACGGTGATGAAGAGAAGAGTGTTGCTGATAATAATGATGGGGGAGGCCAACAGGGCCAGTCATCCGTTGAAGCTGAAAAGAGAGAGGAGAAAATTGTCGAGGCAGAGCAGGAAACCGAGCCCACAACGTCTGCGGCGGATTCCGAGAAAGCAGGCGCCGATGCGACCGAGGTTCTAGTACCTAAGCATGAGGAGGGAGAAGGACCCGTGGCCGAACCTGCAGTTATCGAGGGATCTGAAGATAAACCGAAATTGGAAACTTCAGAACAAACCCCGGCAGCGGAAGAGCCTGTTCAGGCAGAAAGCCAGGATACAATTGAGACACCACCCATCTCTGGCGAAAAGGAAGAGGACTCAACGACTAGTCCAGTCACAACAGTCGAAGATATTGTTCCCCAGCCTACCGGCGATAAATCTGTGGGTGAAACAGCAGAGACAAGTCAGACTGTCCCACCAGAGACCGATTCTCTTGAGCCCGCTGCGCCGTCACGAAAACTGAGTAAGAAGGAGCGCAAGAAGAAGCAGCGCGAGGCGCAGAAGGCAGCACTGCCGAGGGAATCGGATACGCACGACCCTTCCGAGGACACAGTTCTCCCTCCTTCTGATGACCGTGAGCAGCCAATTGATTCGGGGGTTTCAGAGGCCAAGAAAGACACAGAGACTTTGCCTGAAGCATCCGTCCAAGAGCTTGAGGCGTCAAAGTCACAGGAACATGTCGAGGAGCAGCCTACTTCTGTCGAGGGCACATCACCTCCTTCCCGTGATGACCAACCAATTGATTCAGCTATTTCCGATGACAACAAAGACGCGGAGATATTACCTGAAGCACCTGTACAAGAAGCCTACGAGAAGCACGAAGAAGAACAACCTGCCTCTGCAGAGGGCAAAGAAGAGCCTGAAGAGGTCAAGGCGGCTCCGGAGACGGATGCGAACGAAGTATCTTTAGACTCGAACACTCCTATCGCTGCCGAGGAACCCCATGGAGTTGATACGACAAAGACTCCTACTCCAGAAACTACAGAAGGGGAGATCCTTCCTGAGAAAGAAACCAAGGGCCCTGAGACCGTGACTTCAGGAGAGAACAAGAGCGAAGACAACGAAGCTGCTCAAGAAACAAAAGAACTACCTCAGACCGAAGATGTGTCGGTACCGGTCGAAGCTACAGTCGATGAGGAAAAGCCAATTGAGACAGAGCCTGTCGAGCATGTGCAATTACCTGAGGCGGACCATGCGCTACTTTCCAAAGAGAAACAACCTACCCAGGAGGAGACCATTCCTGTCCCTGAAGAGGCTTCTAATGAGCAGGCACAAGCGGCGGATGCCAAAGCTCCCGAAGAAAGTGTCCCTGCGGAGCCATTAAGTCGGAAGGAGTCCAAGAAAAAGAAAAAGAAGGCAAAGAAGGACAGTAAGAAACAGTCGGACGAGGCTTCTTCTAGTCCTACACCTCTCGAGACCAAGGAAGAAGGCGCTGCCGATACTCCCACTGGAGAGGCAGACACTGCATCCGCCCTGCCAGTTGAAGAACCAAAGACTGAACTGAAGGAGCCTGAAATGTCATTGGAGGGTACGTCAGCGGAAACTCAAGAATCTGAGCGAAGTGTCGAACCAACCCCTCTTCCGGAGGCGCCTCTTCCAACAGACGAATTAGCCCGAGAGGTGCCCGCAGACACTCAAGGCCAAGTCATCCAGGAGCCCATTGAAGAACAGCACGAGGCGTCGCGAGGAGATGAGGGCGTCACGGGTGATGAAAAATCAGCTCCGGTGAAGAGTGAAACTGCTGGGAAGGACAATGCCAACACCGCTGAACTTCCAGTTGCCGAAGAGTCTGCAAATGTTGAATCTGCAGAGCCTGTCTCTAGAAAGCAGTCGAAGAAGGACAAGAAGAAGGCGAAGAAGAAGGCTAAACAGGAGGTTGAGGAGATATTGCCGCAGTCGGAGCCAGCTCCAGAGGCTACCGAAGAGTCTATCGAAGAGCCCTCTGCGGTTGAGAAAAAGGAGGTGGAGAATCTGGAATCGGATGCTGTGCAGCAATCAGAGCCCAAGCATGAGACAGCACCAGAGGCTTCTCAAAGTGTCATCGAAGAGCAGCCTGCTCCCACGGAAATACCAGTAGAGGAAGTCAAACCACAGGCATCGGAACTGCCTGAACCTCTGCCAGAGGTTTCCAATGAGCCTACTGAACAGCGACCCAGCGCCATTGAGACAGCGAAAGAGGACCTGGAGCAGCAGCCAGCTGAACAGCCTATGCTTCAGCCTGAACCAGTGCTCGAAGCTCCTAGAGACATCATCAAAGAGCAACCTGCCATTCCGGAATCAGCAGTAGAGAAGGTAAAGCCTCAGGAGACAGAACAACCCGAGCCTGAGTCAGTTCTGGACAATGTCCGGGGGATTGTTCAAGACGAAACGCCGAAGGAAATCGGGGAGATGAGAGATGAGCAACCAGAGCCTGAACCAGCTCCCGATGCTACGAAGGAGCTTGAAGAGCAGCCACCCGTTCCGGAAGCAGCAGCAGAGGAGGTAAAACCACAGGAGGCCGAACAGCCCGAGCCTGAGTCGGTCTCAGAACTTCCTAAGGAAATTGTCGAAGAGCAACCTGCCACCACTGAAACGCCAACTCAGGATCCGGAACCACAAGTCACCGAGGAGTCCAAACCGGATGAGAATCCTCCTTCGCGGACATTGTCTAAGAAGGAGAAGAAGAAGAGACGCAAGGCCAGCCAGAGCCAGGAGGCCAAATCATCGGAAGCCGGGGTCCCTAATGAACCGACAACCGGACTCGTCTCTAAGCCAGCCCGTGCACCGGAGTCGGAGGCGTCAGACCCAAAATACTATTCCCTTGATGGTGACTTCTTGCCGTCCATTGATTGGGAGAAAGGTAAGACCGATTCCAACGAACCATCTCCTCAGTCGTCGCCTGAGACTGGCCCTGTTCCATTTGAGCCAGGCATTGCTGAATTCGACGAATCTGCTATTCCAGAAGGTCTAACCATACGAGTAGAGAAGTCGGCCGCCACCAGAGGAATAGAGGGAGCATCAAAGGGACTGGGGCATCAAGTAATGAGCTCTATTCCTGAAAAGCGAAGCAAGGAAGAGCTTGATGTTTTACCACACAAACAAACCAAGGTCTCCAGCGTGTTCCCCGACCTTGAACGAGACTCATTCCAACTTCCCGCTCCCATTCAATTGTCCCAGCCAGTAAAAGATGATGCCGAGGATGAGACTGTCGCCCACAAGCAGGTCTCGGAGGCGTCTATTCCCACTGCTGATGACCAGGTTAGCGGGTACGCCCAGGAAGATACTACTTCCCAGGGGCTACAGACGGAGCCTAAGGATCGTGAACTCTTGAAGGATTCTACTCACGATGGCCGTCAATCTACTTCCATCGAAGAGCCATCCGTGGATTTCGAGGCTGAACAATCAGGCCAGAAGCCGGGAGAAAGCTCTCGTTCAATCGCAACGCAACTCCCAATCGAGCAGAATACCGGTGTTGCAGAAACCAACCAGACAAGAGGCATCTCCGATCCATTCGCGGGCAGCGAGGTTCCTTTATTCGCACCGAAGCCCGTCCACGAACTCCCCTCCTCTATCTTCGGTCCCTACGATGAAGAACGACGACAGCCTAGTCCTGAATCCTGCGAACTTCGGCGCAGTCCATCCATTCACGGACGATCCAACCATCCTCCCCGATCATGGAATCTAGAAAACGCCGCTCAGATCGCAGATCCCAGAACACCGTCGCCTTCCGGGCTCGGTGGTCCCCTAGGAACCGCCAAGGAGATGGGTTCGCCTCCACGGACACCGCTACAGACCATTACCGAACAAGAGCCAGGGGATGGCAGCCGGGGAACCACGGGCCGTGAGCGCGGTACGCCCCGTCTGGAGATGAAGCCCGAGCATATACTTCCTCGACCTGAAACGCCCGTACGCAAGTTTACCGACAACGCGTTGGCTCGCCAAACGTGGCCTACACCGGAGAAAGACACGCCCACCAGCGAGGATGGGGGAGAAATGGCCGTGAAAAAGCAGCGACAGGCCGGCAAGAAGATATCGGCGGACGTATTACAGACGCCGGAGCAAGGCATGCCGATCCTGAGGCCGACCGACAGCGTGAACAGCCTTCGGAGCGCGCAGAGCCAGCGATCGCTGCGACGAATGAACCGAAGCACTAGCGGCGATTTGCGGGCGGCGGCCAACCAACCGCCTGCGCCCCAGCCTCCTCCTGCGTCCCCTCCTCAGCCGTCCGACGTGAACTTCGAGCGCATCGCTTCCTCTTCCTCCTACGACCCCGTCACAGACAAGGGCAAACGCCCCCTGCGCACCATGACGGATGTCTTTGTAAGTTCTTTATTTCCTGGATTGAATTTGCTACAATCCATTTTTGATGATCAACAATGCTGACGAATTGTTTGTTTAGGAGGGTTGGGGAGAGACGCCGAGCTCGCCCCGGTCGCCTAGCCGACCGCCCAGCGTCCGGCACCGTCGCAGCATGCAACACCTCCAAGAACTCGAATCTCGTCTCGACCAACTCGTGTCCGAAAACCGCCTGCTTCTCGCCGAGCGTGAATCCGCAGAGGAAAAATTAAAGAAAACCAGTGTCGCTCGTCGCCGGAGTGACCATGCCCTCAACACACGCGATGCCGACCTGCGGGACAGGGAAGCCGAGGTGGAACAGCTGAAGAGTTCCGTGGACTGGCTTCAGAAGGAAGTCTCCCGATTGAACGACGAAAATGAAGGGCTGACCGCATCCAATTCTCGCCTTACTGCCCTTCATGCGACCGAGATTCAGACGGCGCGAGAATCATCCCTTCGCGAACTGGACGACTTGCGCCTCCAAAACCGGCAGCTGTCGAAGAACATGCAAGACAAGATCCGACAAGAGATCGACACTGCCTTGGCTCAGAAAAACATGGAACTGCGCCGACTACGCGAGGAACTCGAGAATGCCCGCGACAAAGTGAAGGAGCTACAGCAGCAGATCGCCGCGTCGATGAACGAGAACGTCCTGGTATTCCGCGACGAGGACTACTTCGACGCTGCTTGTCAGAAGCTGTGCGGCCACGTGCAACAATGGGTACTACGATTCTCCAAGCACTCCGACCATCGTCGCTGCCGCAAGCTGGGTGACCTTCAAGACGAGAAGATTGCCGACCGATTTGACAACGCCATCCTGGACGGCTCGGACGCCGATGCATACCTTTCCGACCGAGTGCGACGACGCGACGTGTTTATGTCGGTTGTGATGACAATGGTGTGGGAGTTCGTTTTCACGCGATACCTGTTCGGCATGGATCGGGAGCAGCGACAAAAGCTCAAGTCTCTCGAGAAACAATTGACCGAGGTTGGCCAGCGCGGCGCCATCCACCGATGGCGTGCCACCACCCTCACTCTCCTATCGAAACGTCCCACCTTTTCGCGTCAGCGCGACAACGACACCGAAGCTGTCGCATTGGAGATCTTCGATACCTTGTCGCGCCTGCTCCCCCCGCCTACCCACGTGGAGTCTCAACTCCTTGACTCGCTACGCAAGGTGCTCCGGGTTGCAGTCAACCTGTCAATTGAGATGCGCACGCAGCTCGCCGAATACATCATGCTGCCGCCGCTGCAACCCGAGTACGACACGAATGGCGACCTGGCCCGACAGGTTCTCTTCAATGCATCTCTCATGAATGAGCGCAGCGGCGAGACCACTTCGAACGAGGAGTTGGAATCCCAGCAGGCCGTCGTCCGAGTTGTTCTATTTCCCCTTGTGGTGAAGAAGGGCAACGATACCGGCGAGGGTGAAGACGAAGTGGTGGTCTGCCCGGCGCAGGTGCTTATTGCCCGTTCCTTCAAAGATAAAAGGGTATCGAAAATGATGAGTGGGGACCGCATGTCCCTGGATGCCAACAAATCCGTTCACAGTGTGGCCCCGTCATCTAATATGGACATGAGCAATGTGATCTGAGGCGTCACACTCGGATCATGAACATGACGTGTCCACGGGATCTGCACTGACAGTTGTTGGTGTCCAATTTTTCTATTTTTCTTCCTTTTCTTTTCCATTCAATCTGGAATGGTGATGGACCATGTCCAATTTTACGGATCACAAAAATTAGTACTGGGTAATGAATAATTCTGCGAGGAACCGGCCCACGGGTCTGGTCAATTTGGTTGTTTTTCTTTTGGTTTTCTTTCTGTTCCATTAACGATGCTTATGATGATGCCAACATCTAGAATTGATGATGTCACGGCCCTGTCCTTTTTTATTTTTATTTATTTTTCGATTCTTTTGATTGGGATCTGCATGTACACGAGATATGATTTTTTCTTTTTCTTTTTTTCCCCCGATTTTTCTCTTATTTTTTGATTGCTTTCCCTCGCCCCAAGGATGGAGAGAGGTTCATAATCGTTGTTGCCTGTATGTAGTATGTACCTATACCAAATGTTGTTAGTTCCAATGGCTGTTTCTGCGCGTACCAGGTACGGACCCTCTCGAGTCTCGATAGGGCGCGACCTTCCCGGGGCGGCGGTGACCTCATGTGTAGCCTGAGGCCGCCACCCCACGCGGGTCGTTGAATCATTCGTCGGCCTCCGCTGAATCCTGACCGATCTTCTCCAACAATCCAATAACCGCCGTTCTAGCTCTTGCAGCTCCCGCCTTACCTCACTTCCTCCTGTCTGACCTACTCCTTTTCAACTAGCTCGGGATTTTGACCATCGCTCACCGTGAATTCCTTGTTTCTCATTAGTGTCTCCGATGTCCAGACTCTACTCTAGGTCGCCACGCACATTCGGCCGGCTAGTTGCGACAATTCGCCCTGCACCTCGATGAATTGTCCGTAACCATGCTGAAATCTGCTACGTTCGACCTGCTGTAGCTACATGGACGTTAGGATTACACCTTGCCCCTTTTTTGCCCCGTTTATTTGTATTTCTCTCTCTTTTTCTACTGGCTATCATTTAATGCGTCCCTTTTTGGGCTGCCACCGGCAAGCTGCGTGTACTGGGGCTGTGTGAGATAAGCGATTTGGACCTCCATCCATACGCCAATTATCGTGCGGACTATTGGTTTTAATTTTCCGGTTTTTGTTTTATTCATTTTTTGTTATTTTATTTTTCCAACATGTTTCCATCGCCGTCTGCATCGAATCCATCGCCTTCCACTCCTAAAAACCCCTCCTTCAATGGCCGGCCGAGCGGTCCTCGACCATCCACCACGCGCGATTCGGCCAACTCCGGAGCTGGGAACTCGGAAAGGAGGCAGGATACACCTACCGAATCTACCGTGACCACCGGTAAATCGTCCAAACGAAAGAAGAATCGTCATCGAAAGCGTCGGAATCGTCGACAGTCATTCCTCGGTCCCGAGGAATCGCCTTCTGTCGTGGCTCCCGCGTCCGTCCCCGAGACGGAGGGTTTAGCTCCGATGGCCACCGATCAGACCAAGTCGCGAGCAGCTCTTCCGTTCTATAAGCTGGGAAGAGATTTAAGCAGTACAAGTTTGGAGAGTGAGGCCTTGTTGGATCATCGGTATGCTTGGTTTCTGGGGATTCGATGTTCGGTTTATATAGAAGGTCTTGTGACTAATTTCCGTCCATGTGACTATTGTACAGGAACCAGCCTTTGATGCGACCCCGTCGAGATAGTCGTCTGGCGCAATCGTTTCGTCCGGGAACCTCGTTGACTGGGTATCACCCTGGCGATTCCAACCCTCGATTCCCACTGTCGAGTGCTTTGCGTGGTGGCGATGATAGCGATGGCGCCGAGGCGGTGGACGACCGGACGCCATTGATCAGACCTGCCTCGGAGCACAAGCCGATTCTGCCGCGATACGGGACCGATTCAAAGTCGAGTCCGTTTTCCTTTCGCCAGAGACGGAAGTCTACTGATACAGCATCATCCCGGTGTTCACCGCGTGCCATTACGAGTCCAGCGTTCCCGGAGGCGGATCGTGAATATGACATCAATAATCCGCCGTCGATACCGACAACCCCGAAACTGGGCCCGGAGCTTGGTTACGACGATGCCGTGGTGACCGGGACGGAATTCGGTTTCTCACTCGCCCAGTCCATTGATAACCGCAGGGACTCGATGCACCGGCCTCATGACATGGTCATTGATATGGACGATGGCAGACAGGGTTCACCGCCATCGCCTCATTCTACGCAAGATGCCCTCCGTCGACGAAGAACACTCGCGCCTGAAGAGGATGTTTGCTTCCCGGTCGAGGAAGCCTCCGAGCTTGCCGACGAAGATGGACCAAGAATCCCTCGCGATGAACGTCGGAGACGACGGCGGCGAGAATGGCCCGACCTATCCGTTTTGGAGGAATGGAGTCGTGGGGAGAAAGAGGAACGGACGGGTGACTTTCGGACGAAGAAGATCAGCGAACCTATGCTTATCGAGGGCCGTTTGCGTCCTCAATATCGACTATGGCGCCGTGATGAGGACGATGTCCCGTACCGATTTACATATTTCAATGAGGAGTTCCATAGCACGATCCATGCACAGACGATCTCGGAATTGGTGCAGCCTGGAGGTAGCTTCCGAGAGCTCTTCATCCCCAACCCACCCGAGCTGGAAGATTCGTCCGATGACGAAGAGGAAGAGGAGCCCGAAAATCACCCCGTTGGGGAGAATGCGGCGGCAACCAACATCCATAATCTTCATGCCGCTAACGAAGGGGAACACATGGCCCCTACCAACGGCAACAATCATGAGAATGCGAATGATCGCAAACAAGTTCCTCGGGCCTCTATTATCAGTGAAGCTGTCTCCGACGCACGTACTTCGGCGGATGTATCGCCTGCGCGCCGGCCCCCGCTGATGCCTCCCCCCAAACCGAAGCGCTACGGACCTCGACCAACCTTCTGGCTCGACGTTCTTTCCCCGACGGACGCTGAGATGCGCGTGATCGCGAAGGCTTTTGGTATCCACGCGCTCACCGCCGAGGATATCATGATGCAGGAGGCTCGCGAAAAGGTTGAACTGTTCCGCAACTACTACTTCGTTAATTACCGTACTTTTGAGCAGGATGTCAATAGCGAAAACTATCTGCAGCCAGTCAATATGTACGTGGTTGTGTTTCGAGATGGCATCATCTCGTTCCATTTCTCGCAGACGCCTCACCCGGCCAATGTACGGCGGCGCATCCGACAGTTGATGGACTACTTGATTCTCAGCTCCGATTGGATTTCATATGCGCTGATCGACGACATCACGGATGTTTTCGGGCCCTTGATCCAGTCCATCGAGGACGAAGTCGACGAGATTGACGAGATGATCATGAAGATGCATTCGACGGTTCCCGGGGCAGGGTCCAACGACAAAGATGAATCCAGCGGCGACGAGTCCAACACGGTAGCGCCGGGTGAGATGCTGCGACGAGTCGGGGTGTGCCGCAAGAAAGTGATGGGAATGTACCGCCTGCTGAGCAACAAAGCCGACGTCGTCAAGGGGTTCGCCAAGCGGTGCAACGAGCAGTGGGAGGTCGCTCCCAAATCCGAGATTGGTCTGTACCTGGGTGATATTCAGGATCACATCATGACCATGACCAGTAGTTTGACCTACTACGAAACGTGCGATCCCGTTTTCTTGTTTTTGTCTTGATTTGAGGTGGTACAAGTTTACTAATTTCTTTTTCCAGGCTTTTGTCCCGCGCTCACTCCAACTACTTGGCACAGATCAACATTCTGATGAACGAGCGCCAGGAGCAGACTGCCGACGTGTTGGGCAAGCTGACCGTTCTGGGAACGATTGTGTTGCCGCTGAATATCATCTGCGGTATGTGGGGGATGAACGTCAAAGTGCCGGGACAGGACGTGGACAGTTTGTCGTGGTTTTGGTCTAGTAAGCGAACCCGTTGTCTCGAGTGTGCCATGACAGCATATGCTAACGAAGGACGGTGTCTAGTTACGGCGGGACTTATACTGTTTGCCTTTGCTTCCTTCCTTATTGCAAAACGAGTCTACAAAATTGTGTAGATTGCCGCGTGGTGGTTCGTGTCGAGGATTATTATATACCCTATACCCCCGAACTTTGCTTCTACTTTTGTATTTCTTTTGCTTGGTGGTTCTGGACGGGGAATCTCTGGTTATGTATATGTGCTGCCGATTAGATTGGCTGGGAAATTCAGTCCGGTGTACAGAAGGGATGACGGCTGTAGTTCTACGCAGAGGGAGAAATGAGAATCGATCCTTCCCCTTGGATGAGGTCATCATGATGCCGCGGACGGCTCGTACCGGGCGGCGTAACGGCGTGACCAGGCCCGACCCTCGCCGCCACCACTTGGACGCGTAATCTTACGGCAACGGCGTCACAGACGGTACCCGCGGCATTTCCAGGCATTTCCAGGCAGCCCTGCCTTCCGACTCTTTTCTTCCTTTGTCCCTCGTCTTTCCTGTCATCTCCTCTCCTCTTCCTTTCTCCCTCGTCTGCATCTGCATGCGGTTGTTGCATTGACCGTCCATTTTGGAATTTCTTTTTAATCCACTTCCACCGTCCGAGTCCCCAGCGTTCGTTGCCTGAAGACAGGGAATTCGTCCGCCTGTGCGCAACCCCCAAGACAGATCGTGCCGGGTCTTCTTGACGTGGGCCGCTGTCATTGGGCCTTATCCTTCCCTCCCCTGAAGTACCCTCCCACTAAAGTCTTCCACTGGGATCGTCCGTTACCGACTCTTCCTCGACGTTCCTATCCGTCGTCGCTGTCTTGATATTCCTTGCATCTTGCTGCTTTCGCCTACTGGTCCGTTTCCTCGCCTACCGCCAACTTTTCCTCCCACCCCCCACGAGCGCCAGGAATTCAACCCGCCTTGCTCGGTCGTTCCACTCCTCCCCAAAAGCGTCCCGTCGCACAGCTTCGATCGACAGCGCTCTGGTCCCCGTTGGATAATCGGCGCCGGGCGTGGATGTTCTAGACGTTCCATCTTCCCGTCGTCTGATCAAGTTATGCGCCCTATTGCGTCCGCCTCTTCGGCTTCGGTCTCTCTGCATTTGGATTCCTGCCTGGTTGCTGCTGCTGCTTCCTGTACACGGTCACCCTTCTCGTCTTTCGTCTCCCTCGCGCGGTCGGATATTCCTGTCGTCCTCCCTTGATATCTGCCCTGCAGCATGTGGCCGTCGTCTATTCGTCCCTCGACTTTGTCATTCGTGTAACGTGTTTCTGTGTAACGGATGATCGTTTGGGTTTCAAACGCGTCGACCGCTTACCTGTCTCTGTTTCTCGCTGTCGTTTTCGAATCCGGGATCTCCTGACGCCGCTTTTTCGCCTTTTTTTATTATTTATTTTTTATTTCTTGCCTTTTTTTTTTTTTTTTTTTTTTTTTTCCCACCAGGCAGATCCTTTCCCCTCGGTCACTTGCGCCCCCTTTGGGCCTTGATTGTATTGAATTTGTCCGAGACTGTCTTTTTGACGCTTACCTAGAACGGGGGGAAATCTACTAGCAGGTCGGAGGAGAGAAATCTTCCTCTTCTCACTTCCGCTATCCCGGTTCCCTCTCGGATCTCCTGACTTTCTCTCAGTCCTGTCAGCCAAAACACTGGCCTGACCGAGACCATGGCAGCGGAGTCCGAGAGGTCGCCTTACCCAAATGGTCGCTCTGGTGGATCCAGAGTGGCCCAAAACGATGAGGCTGCATCAACTGCATCCCGGCGGTCTGCCAGTGGGAGTGACATGAAAGAACTGCCACGTTCAACCTTTAACCCTCAGACTTCAGCCACCATCTCATCTCAGTTGCCTAAATTATCACCTGGCTTCTCCGCTCCCCCTTCGGCCACGAATTCGAATTTCTCCTCCCGCGAATCCTCTCCCGTTCGGTCCGTACATCGCCCCAGCAACTCGACCTCAAAATCCCGCGTCTCCTCTCGGTCACGCAAAGGCAGTCAAGATCGCAGCCCCGTACGGTCCAATCCGACCAGTCAGCCTACCGGGTCGGGTGCCCTTCCATCCACGACTGCTGTACAAAAGGTGCTGCCCAAGCCTATTGTGTTCAATCCTCCCCCCAATGTCGAACCGTCGGCCGATGCACTCAGCCCGGAAAAGCCTACCATGCCTCTATGGGCCGCCTCTCGACGACCTGAGCAAGAGACCCATCTTGCCAATACCTCCAGCAAGCGATCGATCCTCCTTCCTGCCGATGACCCTGCGGCGAAACCCGATCGAAGCGCCCCCCGCGCTGTGAACAGAAATAATGGACCCGTTTCTGCCCTTGAGACCGTCCAGGAGATGGCTAGTGACCAGTCGACTCCGTCCACGGAAACCATTTTGAATCAACCACCCCCGGAAGAGCCTCAGCTGCAGATAATCGACGAAGACCCGACCACCCCGAAAGGTCCCAAACCGAACATTGAAAGTGGCAGCGAGAGCGGAGGGAATAAAAGCTCGGAACACGTTGGGGAGAGCCGCCGACGTGCTTCTACGGGACCCCGAGGTTCCGAGACCATCATGCCGAAACGGTCAACCACCTCGCTCAGCGGTGCGCGCAACAAACCGGCGGATGGATCTGTTCGCAACATGATTGTCGAGACCGAGACGGTCAGCTCCATTCCTCAGGTTTCTCTTGGCGTCGTGACGGGCGATCGTGGGAGTTCCGGCCGTGTCGACACTGGGACTCTGCGCATGAAACCCAGCACCGAAACGATCCGCCCGAAAAAGGAAAAGAAAAGGGCCCGCAAGCCTGCCGCCCTCTCGAGCGGTGCTGCGTCTTCCAAGGCCGACATCTTTGAAGCCAAGGTCGCCAGCGCCGTCGACGAGGCCGACGTATCAGACTCGGATGAAACCTTTGTCTACGAGTCCAACCCTCCGGATCCGTATCCTGTTCGACAAACTCGATATCACTCGCGTACCCCCAGTGCGACTTCTATGGCCAGCCAGGTCGATCAGTTAGCCGGCCGCAGCCGTGCTGCAGGCCTGCGCGACGGCAACCATAGCGTGACGGGGAAGCGAAGCATGAAATTTACCAACAATGCCTACGCTGGCAGCGCAGATGGGGATGCTGGTGAGGAAAGTGGTCGCAGCCACTCCAGGGTCGATGCCAGCGGATCACACACCCCTCGCCATCATCATATCGGACGCTATGGACGCAACAATATCTATCCATCTCTCTTTGATCATGAGTCATCGCCGTTTATCCAACCTCACGGACATGTTAAGTCACCTCGCCACTTTATGGGGAGTGGGATGCGGCAGACGCGCCACCCCAGCTCCCGCGGAGCTCCCAACTACCGCACTATCTCCAACTCCAAGAAGGCGGGCGAAATCTACGCCTACGATTTTGACGCGGAAGGCGCCGACGATGAACGGACTCCCCTGGTCGGGTCACCCCGTTTGGCGCGGAGCCGCCATGGTAATCGACGGCCTAACAGCGCGAGTCTGCGCCAGATGGAGTACTTGCAGCAACGCCAGCGCAACTGCTTCTCGCGGTACGGTGCCTGCGTTGTCATCGGTCTTTTGCTGTTGGCTATCATCGGAGGTGCCACCTCGTTTATCGTGGCTATCACCAAACCGCTTTTGGACGTTCAGGTCCTTGCCATTCAAAACGTGCTCGCATCGGAGCAGGAGATCATGCTAGACCTTAATGTGCAAGCCGTGAACCCCAATCTGTTTCCCGTGGCAATCGACGACGTGGACATCAATATCTTCGCCAAAAGCCGCTTTGTGGGTACTGACAAATTCTGGCGTGATCACGGCTCCGACACCAGTCACTTTCCGCGGGTCGGCGACAGCAAAAAACGATCCGAACTGGCTCGCCTGGTACGTTGCTCAGGCGGCGGTGCAGCAGATTGTGTAGTGAATGAGACTCAATCGAATCATCCATTCATGCAATCTCGCGACGGTGTTGATAAGGGAACGGATCCTATCCCAACTGATCCCGCAGGTGATCCCCAAACGATGCTTCTCGGTCGTGTATTCCGCTTTGATTCTCCGTTGACGTTTGAATCGTCGCCGTGGAATCATTCGCCGTCGATCTCCCAAGGGCAAATCCGTCTCGCTCGACCCGGAAACAAAACAGAAGAAGGCGGTACGGAACGATGGGAGCGTGTTCTGCAGCATCAGTTTGACCTGATCGTTCGCGGCGTTGTCAAATATCAACTTCCCTTGAGCTCCCGACTCCACTCGGCTTCAGTCAGTTCCAGCGTTAACGTGACACCGGATAGCAACGGCAAGGAACCGGACGATGGCGATAATCCCAACCCTTCTCCTGGCGGGAATGAGACAGTCAGTATCTCTACAACGAGGCTGTATCGTCGAGATCTTCCGAAGCCTCGTCGACTCGACATCCGACAATCGGCGATAGAGTCTGTACGGGCGCGACTTGGAATGACCGGACGAGCTTTTAGGGCTTGATCCCACGTCCTACTCCCTATCCCTTTTAATTGCATCTACTTCTCTTTCTCCCTCCTTTGGGTAATACTCCTTTTTTGATCTTGGGTATTGAAGCATCTTTGATCTACCCTTGTTATTTTCGATCTCTACCTTCACCCTCCCCTCTTACACATTCTTCCCGCTATTGATCCGTTCTGGCGATTGGATCATGCGGTTGTACATTGATTGGCTTCTGTTACACTGGTTTCTCATCTGGATCTGCTGGAATGATTAGAATCGGCCAGTCAGTCGATTTCTGCGATCTCCCTGATCGGTCCTCCTTTTGAGATACTTTCTTTTTTTATCCTTCTATCCTTCTTTTCACTTTGCTTTATTTGCTTTCTTTTCCCTCCTTGAACACCACTGCCCGAATGACGTGACGATGATCTGACATTCTACTTTACGAAACGGCTGCACCAAAAAGCGCACAACGGAGAAACGGCACATTTCACTTTTTTCTGAAAGAGACACTTTGATTCAGGGTATGCATTAGCAACGGCGCTTTTTATACACTTTTTTATTTATTTTTATCAATTTTTGGGTGACATTTGACCGTTTTTTGCGTCGTTCTGGAAACTTTCTGTTCAATTAGAGGATGCATACATACCTGGGACGGGATAATTAGCACTAGGTGCTGCTTTATGGGGTTCGGAAGATTTGCGATTGGTTGAATAGCGAGACCTACATCTCCCGATCGATTCATGACCAGGAAGATTTTTTGATGTCTTTTTCTTTCTACGCCTGGTTGGTGATGTTACGGATTGAATGCGCTGATGCGCTGGATTGATTCATTTTTTTTTCTTTTCATTTTTTTTCTCTCTTTATATCGCAGTTGATCTCCTTCTAGGGCAAGGCTTCAGTCAACCTGGTCTGTCTTTGTATGTATTTATTATTATGTCTTGTACATAATCTTGCTTTATCAATTATGTCATATCATGTTATATGGCTTTCTGATGTCTTTTTGGGTTTTCCGTCTGTTTTCGTTTATTGGTTCAGAACAGATGGCAGGTAGAGTAAATGATCTTATAGGCGTATATACTAGATAGGTAGTTGTATAAGCATCTTGGATATACTTGGCTTATATCTTTTCTATCCCATCCGATTTATTTCCTTGTGTCTGGGCTCTATTGATCAGATATCCAGGGATCCATAGGACAAAATAATAGTATCATATCATATTCAATCATAATATAGCACATCAAATCATAACGTCAGAAATCATCATTAGGGCAATCAATCAATCTAGTCCAGATCCAGATCCAAACACCCAAGTCAACATAAAAAAGAAGGGATAAAAACAAAAGCGAGCAGAAGAATAGCGCAAAGTCATCAGAAGATCAGGCAAGATAATGAAACGAAACTCCCAAAAGATCTTCCAAAGCAGGTCGCGAATACGAGGGAGAGAAACCGAAAGATAGGAATTAAAAGATCAAGCGTAAATCTTATCGCCGAATCGTTTCAGAAAATCCTCGAATCGATCCGCTAACAGGTCGTCTCCGCGCTGAGGCAGAAGACGACCGTGAGAGTCGAACCGATCGGGTAGGTCGACGGTCGAGTCGGAATCGTTTTCGGGGTCTTTGTTGTTATGGGGTTTTTTCTCGTCTTCTGAGCGACCATGATGGTTTTTGTGCCTATGTTCAGGTCCATGTCCAGAGTCATGGTCCTCGCTAAGTCTAGGTCGTGAAGAATGAGGTGTAGATGAGGAGTGGCGGCGTTGAGGACGACGATAAGCATGGCTTCTTCCGCCGAGTGAATCTATGGTCGAGTCGCTATCGTCGGATTCATAGCCCGCGTCCACGGGTCGGCCGGTCTCGGGATTCAGATTGAACGCAACGGACTTGGGCTGAGGGGGCTGGCTGCGAGTGCGCGACCGCCGTCTCCTGCTGGCGCGCGGGGTCATTGGGGAATGCGAGTTTAGACCTGGGTGAACTGCGTCAGCTGATTTTGGATCTACACGAAACACGATTGCTCGGTTTAGTCCCTGAACCCACCATCGTATGCGTGTGATCGGGCTGTAGGAGGGGAAGAATTCCGTGCGGCACTCACATTCTCATCTGCTCTTCGGGGGCGAGGGGCGTAGGGCTCGGGTGCCGGAGGAGTTCCATAACCATATGGCTGCACAGGCGGGACCGCTCCAGGGGGTGGTGGATAATCGGCCGGGTTGTATGGCGCCACGTTCTCAGCGGGGCGAGGAGCAGAGCCTGGTGGTGGGGGGAAGTAGTTGCTGTTAGGATAATATTGGTTGTCCATCGGCGGGGGTGCCGTTGAAGGGGAAGGTGAGTAGGGCTCATGACGATAAGGGTCATCATATGAGTCTCTTTCATCAAATCCTAGATCACAGGGGGTTAGTTACCAGGAAGCTATGAGGGAAGATAAATAGAACTTACTCAGCCTTTCCCTACTTCTCTCCTTTTCCTTCTTGCGATCCTTGCGGTGCGAAGAATACTTGTGAGCGGCATATCCGACTCCGGTGGCAGCGAGTGCAGCCTCAGCTAGGTCACGAGAGCGACTGCGGAGCCCGCCGCGCTCTTTCTTTCTTCTCCTGCTCTTATCGGAATCGGAGCTGCTGCTGAATCGTCCACGACTGCGACTCCGGCTGCGGCTGCGGCCTCGTCCCCGGTGTCTAGAGCCGTAACCCGCGGCTCCGCTGGCCACCGGGTCAGATGCGTCGGAATAGTATCCCTGGGAGCTCATGGGACGGCCATAGTAGTGGGCTGCGGGAATGCTTCCATGCACGGGGTCTTCGCCGTACTCAATGAGGCCAGCTGAGTCCTTGGCAGGATCAGGGTAGAAGTCCGACGGTGCCCTGCTGCGGGATCTGGATCTCGAGCGTCGGCGTTCTCGATGTCTAGATTCGCCTCTACCTTCCTCTTCCTTTTTCTTGTCCTTTTGTTTTTCGTACAGCCCCGTGGCGGCGGCGGTTCCCAAACCGGCTGCTACGACGGGAAACGCTTTCCTCAGTCGGCTATGAGACTGAGATCGTGCGTGCCGGCCAGAGCGCGAACGACTGCGTGCCCTCTCCACCAGTCCGGCCACTGCTGCACCGGCCAATCCGGCGCCGGCCATGTGTTTTCTCCGCTGCGACTCGCTGCGGTTCTCAGCATCCGGAAGTCCCTTGGACCGCACAGAACCTGAGCGGCGATGCCGCGATCGACTGCGTCTCCCGTCCTTTTCTTTCCCCTTGTTTGAATGCTGTCTAGCCAGGGCTACTGCACCAGCAATGGCCGCCGCACCAAGGCCAAGCTCTGCGAAAGTTCGGGCGCGAGAACGCGAATGGGAACGGCTGCGGCTGCGGCGGGAGTGGCTGTAACTATGGTGATGATGGCGATGGTGGGAGCGAGAACTGCGGTCATCGTCGAACGAGTGGGAACGGTGTCGGCTCTTGCTGCGATAATAATCCCTGGCACGCGAGGCAGCATTCACGGCAACGGCACCCAGTGCACCGGCGCCAACGTCGCGGCCGATACGACCCATGCCATCGGACACATCTTCTCCTCCCTTCCTGCGGCGGCTACGGAGCAATTCGGCGGCGCCGACGCCGACCAGAGCACCCTCTGCCATATGGCGTCGATGGTGGGGGTGATCGTCGACCTCACGGGTCTCTTTGCGAACGTAGACCATGCTATCGTCACTGCTGTAGTCCTGGTCATCGCGTCGACGGGTAGCTTGAGAGACCGAGTCACTGGGACTGAGCTCCCGACGGAAGCGACGATCATCATCATACTCACGAACACGGCGATGATAATAATAGCCGGGATCACGCTCTACTTCGGGTCGGTGGACAATTTCATAGTCGGACTCACGGGGCGGGGCATAAACAGGACGAGCTGCATGGTACTTAATAAGCTATCCATTTGGGAGACGGGGGACATGTAAAAGTAAGTACATACGCTCGTAGTAGTCTCTCTCGGAGCGATAGTCATAACCACCGCGTGAGTCGTAGTCGGCATCACGCTCGTAGCGTTGCACCATGACGGGGTCTTCTCGGTCAGTGGGCCGGCGAATCACTAGTTCTCGGTCACCCGAAATGGGGTCTTCGCGGCGATACAGCAAGTCTCTGTCGCGCCGATCGTCCTCGGGGGGTATGACGTAACGCTTGATGGTAACGGGCGAAGAACGAGGTTCGTCCCAATCGCGGTCTCTTTCGCGCTCTCTGTAGATGTATGACATGAGGATGAGGAATCACAGGCGGGGAGAAGGAAGGGGAGGTGGAATTCGAGAAAGGGAAGATGGAACAAAGAAAGGTGGAGGAGGAGATCAAGCTGAAACTTGGGGAAAAAGAAACTTGAGGGAAGAAAGAGGGAGGTGGGGTAGAAGAGCGAGCGAGGCTGAGGCTGTGACGAAGGCAACGAGGCAATTGATCGACTAGTGGTGGGATGGGTGGGGAGGCGAGAGAAGGAAGATTCGAGGCGCTCGAGGCAGAGGAATAGGAAGTCGATGGCAAATTGATGGGAAAAAAAAGAAAAGGAGGGGTAGTGGATGAGGCAACAGAAGTACAGGGCTTGTCCGACCGGATGGAACGGATGGGGGAATCCGCGTGGCTGGCAGTCACAATAACGGTTGATGATGAAGAGAAGCGAAGGAAAGAGAAAACTCACTCGGGCAAAGAAGACACCACGTGAACCTCGTGACGAAGAAAAACCCGCTTCGGGCAACGGCAGATGGAGGGTCCAACCCTTTCGATTCACGATCCTGCGATGGAAGTCGAGTCCGCGACAGGAAGATCAACAATGCAAGTCATCCCAGGAAGATCACTTCTTTCCAATAGGACGAGGCCAGAGCTATTTATCTGCTACCTAATGATGACCTCATGGGGTCACGGATACAAAGGACCTGAGGCCGGGCGAGATGCGCCCCGTTTTGCCCGTCTTTGTCGCAGTCGAACTCTGTTTCCCGTTGGGCACTGATGTTGATTCTTCCCGGATACTTCAGGTACGCAGTATTATGATTCTGTCGCAAGTCTGGAACGGGTGGAGACCGTTTCCATGGAATCCGGTCTCTATTCCCGTCCGTCGACCATGGATGGATGCCATCGAACCTGCTATCTGAACGACTACCGTGCTTCCTTCGGTGTGGTGTTGTACTCCGTAAAAATATCCAACGTTGCAGCTAATGTCGATCTAGAGACTCCTAGTGCCTTATGGGTGTTTGACCCCGCCATCCTGGAATGAACCTGGTAGACGTCGGACCTGAACCTTACCATTGCAAGCTTTCCCTGGCTTTCTCGTGCCTTGTTTCTTTTACGACCAACAAGAGAATAAGAGAAGAGAAAACAAGCCACCCCCCTCCGAGCAAAGAGCAAGCTCTGTCCCATCAGCCCTTGTCCTACCTGCCAGTTCATGCCAAACCCCACTATTGTCGGACAACTTTCGCCACTCTGCAGCAGTATGCAAGGCGGGAAAGTGTTCAGGGATCTAAGCCACTGTCGGGGTCACTATCTGTTTCTAGAATCATTCGCTCGGGGCTTGGAAACCTGTCTGCGGCCTTGCTTTGCCGCCGTAGCCATGCTTTCCGTGTTGAAGCTGCTTGTGGAGCAGGATTCCACTGGATTGATGCCTTGTCTTTCAGGCTTTATATTATTGCCTCAGGCAGAGACCGGGTCCAGTCATCTTGATTCCGCCATATCCCCTTCCAACTCATCAATCAATAAATATAATAATTATCCTCACCCGCACTCTCGTCACAAGCTACACACACGAACTCCTCAGAATTCCTCTCATCCCTCCACCTCCCTCGCTCGCGGCTTCGCATCTCCATCATCCCCATCGTCATCCTCCTCGTCCCCATAACCTTCCACCCCCCGATCCTCCGGCGCAATAACCTTGTCGCCAAACGAAGCCGCAATTTCCTCGAGTGTTTTGCGCTTTGTCTCCCTAAAGATGCCACATTGTTTCAGTAAGCTAATCATATCAAAGATCTCCAATCAAAGAACGACGGTGCAACATACGGGAAGTAGATGTATGCCACGACCAGAAAGAATAGCGAGCAGGCCACAAACACGTAGTAGTAGTTCTCGTGGATGTTGGCAAATGCACTGGGCCCGGCTTCGGTGACTATAGTTCATATCGAATTTCAATTAGGCTTTCTTTTCAACGAATTATGCGGGAAGAGAGAGAACGCACTGGCGACATTCACGATAAAATGCGACGCCGCTGCCAGACCCATCACTTTGCTGCGCAGTGCGATGGGCAGGACCTCGGCCCCGTAGAGCCAGGTGGTGCTGTTCAGCATGCCGTCTATATGTCACGATCACATATCATGTTAGTAGCTCGAGATACGAGACTCGGTTGATAGCACATACAGTAGGCCACGACGAAGAGGTATATTCCTAGAATCGCAAATCCCTTCCCCACTCGATTATCGGTGTTTTGGAACACGTGCTGCATGACGGCGGCGTAGATTTCGACGACCACGATGCCGGCGAGTCCGGAGATGAGCATCCTGTTTTGAATTGCTGTTAGTCTATACAGGACAAAGAACAGAGATAAAGATGAGGGAATGCTGACTTTCGGCGTCCCCATTGATCAGTCAGGTACTTTGTCGTGAGACTGTTGACAAGGAAGGCCACGGTGCCGTAAACTGCTGCTAGGGCCAGGATTGTATGCGAGTCTATGCCAAGGGATTTGTATAGAATTGCTGTAACTTGTTAGTCATTGGGCATGTCGAGGGTTGCTGGACAAGAGGTATACTTTGATAATACTGGATAACCCCCTCCCATCAGTATAAAGTCCCATTAGTCCCATACTGGGAAATACCTACCTGGATCACATTCACACCAGTAAGGCTCGTCATCGTCTGAACAGCAACAGACCTAGAAAGACTCGATATCAGCCTTCCTCCATTTCAAATCTACCGACAGGCAAACCCACACCAACACCCGATGCCGAAACAACTTGAAAATCTCCCGATACGACGTAATCTCCCTCTCCTTCTCATACTCGATCTGCGCCAGCATAACCGCAAATTCCCGATGCATCTCATCCGAGCCCAGATCCCTGCGGATCCGCTTGAACTCGCTGCGCGCCTGCTCGACCTTCCCGCTCCGGATCAGATGGCGCGGCGAGTTGGGCATGAAGCTAATCAGCCCAAAGAACATGATGATACCCCATGGGATCTGGATGCCCAGGGGCAGTCTCCACTGCACGGGACCGTAGGGGGCATAGCTGCAGGCGTACCCGACCCAGTTAGACGCCATAGTGCCGAAGGAAATGCCGCAGCCTGAGATGCCGCCGATGAGGCCGCGGATTCGTGGGTCTGAGATCTCACTGAGGTAGATCGGTACGGTGGATACCATTCCCCTGTTCCCATGATTAACTATGAATCTGTCCTCCTTCGCCTTGTACCTTCGTGTCAGTTGCACAGGACTCACCCCACAGCATAACCAGCCAGTACACGACCGGCAAGAAACATCCCGATATTGACCGAGGCGGTCTGAATAACAGTTCCAATAGTCACGATCACACACATCAACTCCATGAACCGCAAGCGACCCAGTTTGTCGCCAATCGCCGTCTGTGTCAGCGCCCCGACAGCTTCGCCGGCAATGTAAACGGCAACCACCTGTACCAAACAAGCGTTTAGCATTGACTCGATTTCCACAAGCCACTCTGCCAATTCAGACCGAACTTACAGCACCGGTCAAACCCTCGGAAGGTTCATCCATATAATCGATCCAGCTCTGATGGGCGATCGCTGCCAGTAATCGGTTAGACGAAACAGGCCCGAGTCCGCATATTCAAGAGACACAAGAATCCATCGCATCGCATCTTGCCCACTTACTTGTCGTCGCGATGCCGGTATCGAATCCCTGTCCTCGTTAGGATGACTCCATAGACCCTACAGCCAGGTTTCATGAGATCTAATAGAAGGCAATTATCTTACAAAAAGAAACGTGCCGATGGCGGCAAATAGCGCAACACCGTAGGAATACCAGCCAGCCATGATTGCGAACGGCGATCACAGTTGGAGCCAAGGAGCTGGGACAATGATCAAAAAAGGGCCGGCACCTAATATTACCATATAGGGTAGGGTGGCGGTATATATATGAATGCGTGCATATCATATCATCTAGGGCAGACCGACAAGACAAGCCGAGGGTGACGAGACGCCAGCAAGCCACTCGGAGGAGGGCCGACGTTCAACATGGGATGGAAGACGACGATCTGGGGGGAAGCGATGTCCGTAGCTGGCAATCCCGGGGGAATCTCCACCGAGGCTGCAGGAAAGGAATGTCGTATGGACGTTACCCCGCAGCAGCTGGGATGCCGTCCCGTATCTCTCACAAAGGCGACCCGTGGAACACCGGAGCAATGGGTTAGATCTCAAATGTGCAAACCAATTTGGTCTATGAATAGTGGACTAGGACGGAAGCCCATGGTCTGTGAGTTCAAGAAAGATCAGCCAGAATTGTATTTGGCACATCTGTCAAAATCACCGACAATATGGTACAGCTCGTGTGCAGAGAAGTTCAACAATATCCATAGGGTTTGTGGACGGGCCAATATAATATCCCCGAAGTCTTGGACGTAGGCCAAGGGAAGATCGATACTACTAGCACCCGACGGGAATAGTGTGGGGGGATAATAAGACAATTCTGGACATCACCGACCGAACGCTCGTAGGCAACTCAACCCGATAGCATCTTAAGCTACAGGCCAGAAGGCCGGTATGACACATGCATAAAGCTTACTCGTTCAATCCGGGAATTCAATTCGTGAAGAGACTCATAAACTAGGAGCCATATGCTTTCTTTGGTATTTTTTTTTCTTGAGTATGAAATCCTATTTCATTTATCCATTGCCAAAGTCGTATGCCCTCCGCCGGAGCAGCTGCCTGTGCAACAGGAAACCCAGAGCCGAACAAGAAAAACACAAATCTAGAAAACAAGAGCAGCACCCTTGGTCTTCTTGTCACCACTGTAGAATCACAATCGTTAGCATCGGCCACATTCCAAGTTCGAGAATGTCTATCTTCGGGGTCAACGTACCCAAGCTCGAAGTGCTTGCAACGCTTCAGAGCGAGCTGCTTCTTGGCCTTGCAGGCAGTGCACTCCAGACGCAAGACGATCTTCTTGGTGGTCTTGGCCTTCTTGTGGAAGACGGGCTTGGTCTGACCACCGTAACCGCTCTGCTTCCGGTCGTAACGACGCTTACCCTGGGCGGACAGCGAGGCCTGTAGAGATTCACACGCATGAGTTATGTGTCGCGGAGCCAGTGTTCGAGGTCGGGCGCATTTACCTTGCCAGCCTTGTACTGGGTAACCTTGTGCTGCTGGTGCTTGTGGCAGTCCTTGGACTTGCAGTACGTCCGGCGGGTTTTCGGAACGTTGACCTGGTTGCGAGAAATCACTTATCAGCGCCTGCTTTTAGAAGCATCGTCCATGTGCTTGCAGCTTTTTTCTTGTCTCGAAAGTCCCGTCCGTCGGAGAAAGATGTCGAATTGTATCATGTTCAATTGTCGAGTTAATTTGTTGCAAAAGAAAGTCGTTGGGGAAGGGTCAAGTGATCGATGACGGTGGCGTTCTGGGTGATTGGAAAAAAAAATCTTTATATCCGATCGCACTTTCCTCAGGTGTTCATCGGGATGTCGTATCAAAATCTCGCTCTTTAAAAGAGCGCAAAAGCCCAACGTCATCGGTTCTTCGCTTTCGATTCTTTCAAATGGAAAGCGATTTCGGGGCAAGTCGTTCGATCACATTCGCATTTTTCAATATCGCTCTCACCACGCTTGTCGTTGACCCGGACAGGCATTTCTCGGCTCCCCATCGCATCCCCGGTTGTTCGACCACAAATTCTCCAAAGTCCGGGATTCCGAGATTGAAGCAAAATAACAAGCTGCAAGCATGGATGGCAACGAGGATCATTATCTTACCATTTTGACTGACTTGGCCGGATCGCGGAAGGTGCTGGTCGATGGATGTCTCTTGTCGGGGAAGAGCGAGTCGGCTGGCCGTGGGTTGTGGGATTTCGTTCGCTTAGACCCTATTTCGGTGGGCGCTAACCCGATCTGGTGTGCCGCGCCAAGACTGCCGGTGGCTGCCCCAGGCATCACAGGGCTCGCTATCCATCGAATACGTCAGTCGCATTTGGTCTCTCTATCCGTCAAATCTACATGTTCATGTTCAGTTGCTGCTGTCGTCATGTCTCTTCAGATCAAAACCCCTTCCCCTGGATCACCGTCTCGCCTCCCCCATACCATGACATCCCCTTCTTAAACGTCAGTCCTCCCTCCTGTCCAACGATCCAGTCTCCCTCCGCCGGAGCATTTCCATCCCTCTCGCGCGGCCAGTACTTCTCCCGCAATTTCACGTTGATCTGCTCGATCCTCTCCACCAACTCCGCCACTCGCTCCCGGTCAACCACTCGTGCCGCATCCGTCCCCGAACCATCTACCAGGAACCCATCCTGGGTGATAAATCTCGCAATGGTGATATGCGCAGAGGGAACCATATACCTAGAGACTGGGGAGACACCCGTCGCCGCCATGCCGTTGTAGATATCTCGTCGCAGGTGGTGATAGGTGTACCCGTCGTCCGCGGCCGTGACGAAACTCAAGGCCATTGCAGACGCATCGTAGCTGACAATCGGCTTGATCAACCGCGTCCGATGGTCGAATGTGTAGTCCGCTAGCTCGGAAACCCCTCCGCTCCCTTGGATTTGAGCCAAGAGACTCTTGATCTCCTCTTCGGTTCGCCCGGGAGCGACTTCCAGCGTGGTCATGTGCAGATAATGTGCCGGGGCAAACCACATCGCTGGTTACGTATCAACATCTAGCTCATTAGCATATCTAGAATCTAGAGCCCGTAGATCTCATCACCAGTTCCGATGGAATAGTAGCTCGCGCAAACCCCTCCGAGAAAAGACACAAGGAAAAAGGGAGCAAGGAAAAACTAACTCGGCGCAACATCCCGAATATCCCGTTGGATCTCGGCCACCAGATCACGAATATGCCGCGGCGGCAACGCCAAACAGTTGAGATTATGCCGGGGATCGACGAAGCCTTCGCTGTCAGAGTCGCTTCTCTGGGTCTCCTGCGCGAGCAGCTTCCGTAGAATCTCGTCGGTCTGCCATCCCTTGAAATCCTGGCTCAGGAGTGTGGTCTTGAACCGTGCATTTCTGTCGCGGCGGTGGGTTTCATATCGGGTTTGAATTTCAGTCTGTAGAAGTTTTCGGACTTAGTTGGATTCGGAGTCTGTGGCATTCAGGAGAGGCTGGAGATAGGTACCGGGTCGTTTTGACATTCGAGAATGAGTTGGTCAAGTGGATTGGCTGTTGGGGCTGTCATATTTGAATGGTAATGGTGATCGCTAATTTCAGAGGATATATTTCTATGGTTCTATGGTGTGTGTATTAGGAACAATTGAAGGATGAATATGTGGTTAAGACAAACGGGGCCATTGCCGGTGATATATAAATAGAAGATGAGACGGAGACGGCCCTGCAGGTGAAAGCGCAGCAACAAAACAGAGCAACAAATTCAAAAGACTATTCTCATACTACCTTTGGTGACCCTGCATCATTAATCATCTCACAAAGAAATAAACACCCAGAAGAATACGTGCTCTCATCAAGCCCATCGTGGACCACCGACCAACGCGCAAAGTCCAAGAGCAAACCGGCCCCACCAAGACAACCCCGCCACGGCGAAGCTTTCCGTCACTGACCATCCCATTCCCAGCTTACAGCCTGCCCTACTCTCTTTACTATCTCCATACAACCTCAATATCATTCCATCTCTCATCGTCTCAGTAACTCCCGCTCAAGATGTTGATCAAGTAAGTTTCCAACCCTTCTACACCCTCTCCCCCCCGTGTCCCCCGCTCCAGAAGCAACAGCGACTGACTCGTATCTTCCAATGACGCAGAGTTCGCACCCTCACCGGCAAGGAGATCGAGTTGGACATCGAGCCTGACTACAAGGTACATACCTACCTACCTACCTCTTTCATTTTCACCTATACCCCGGCTCGATGGGGTCACACTGCGCGCCAGAACCGTTGAATGAGCCAGGAGATCCGAACGTGACGCAAGGCCGAGCGACACGATCGCCGCGGTCGACATGACCTGAGACCAACGTGCTAAGGGCGTCAACAACTCTAGGTGTCCCGCATAAAGGAGCGTGTCGAAGAGAAGGAGGGTATCCCTCCCGTCCAGCAGCGACTGATCTTCGGCGGAAAGCAAATGTACGTGACATGATCGTTTTACCCCGTTCCCCGGGAACCTCCAACCTCCTGCTTCGCTATATGAGACTCCGACTCGCTTGAACTTCTCTAACCCCTTATCGATACAGGGCCGATGACAAGACCGCCTCAGAATACAACCTGGAAGGTGGCGCCACGCTACATCTCGTCCTTGCTCTTCGTGGTGGCTCCGCCTTGTAATTTACCTACCGACCCTATCTACCCACCTGCCTACTACCCTCGACTCGATTTCCCAACGACCGTATCGCACTAGAACGAAATGGAGGTTGTCGATGACCGGGAATGGGGTTTGGAAGCAGAGAACTCGTCTCTTGAGAAGTGGTAGCGGTGGATGCAGCGATAGAGCTTTTGTTTCGCGCAGTATACCCGATGAGCTGCGTGCGTGCAGGAACTTGGCTTACCATTGACTTTCGACTTTCGGGCCGGTTTCCTGATTACTTGATTTCTCCTTTCTACCCGTTAAGCATGCCTTATGTCGCATATGTCTCTTTCTACCGATTGGCACCACTAGGTATCTGTGCTATACCAATGCAGTAACGACAAATTCAGACCCAAGAAACTCCCACATGCCATCCAAAAATGCAAAATGATCAACCATGAGAACTTCTATTTTGAAAGATGCATATCCTCAAACTTGCGCCTGCCAGACCCCTTGCAAATGCATAATATGAGAGTAGAGAACCCGTCGCTCATGATGCGTCAGAATAATTGGAAAATACAGGGAGAAAATAAATATACTCATTGGATAAGTTCCCCAGCCATAGAACATCAGAAAAAGCCGGTTTTAATTCACACCGATAAGAAGGTTAATTATGTTGAACGCCGATCCTGTGAACATAAGGATATCTAAGTCTTGCAAAAAAAAAAAAAAAAAAAAAAAAAGAACAAAGAAAGAAATAGTAATGACACATAGAATGAAACACTGTAAGAAGTCGCGATATTCGAGAACGCCGTCATAACTTTCTTCGTTTCGGTTGATGAAAGACACTAGGAGGCGGTCTTTTCCGAACCATCGCAGGGCGTGGGGTTTGTTCTGGGGAAGCCTTCGACTGGCTAGGAACAGCGCCAGCCCCATTAGGGGGACTGGACACTCCTGTCCTGGCCGGAGAATGCGTATTCCCAGGCACAGGCCTGGTGCCTCTCGAGGGCGGAGGTCTTGGCGTATTTTGTTGGGAAGAGCGTGATCCTGTAGAAGACACTTCAGTTTCTGCCCGAGACGAAGCAGGTGTTGAGGCATGCAAAGTTGATCGCTGCCCCGAGGCTATTGCACGTAACCTTGCCTCCTTTTCTTGCAAGGAGGGAGGAACGGCAAGGGTGGCAGAGGATGTGCCATGAGGCCTTGGCCGACCCGGTGCTCTCAAGGCTGGAGTCGCAGGGGGCTTTCGACGAGGAGCGGCCGGGGGCTCTGCTGGACGCCTATGTTCTTCGATCAAAGAGCGTGGCGCCTGACTGATTTGCGATGCCCGATTGTTGAGGTGTTGAGTTGGGACGGCGAGAACATTATTTCGCTTTGTAGCGGTAAATATATTATTTTTCTTCTTTCCCTCGGGCAGCCGCGGAGGCCGCCCAAAGGGGCTGACAGAGGTCCCTGTGAAGACAGGTCCGATACCGCCCATTTTCCGATCATATTGAGCGTACCGTTGTCTGGCCGTTGGTTTCTCGCGAATTTGCCGATCTACCAATTTGGTATTGTGCTTCGCTCGCTCGGAACTGATCCCATCGAGGGCCATCTTCAACCTTCTCGCATCTTCGTCAAGGGCTCTTTGTATCTGCTCTCTGAGGTCGCAGTATAGATCGTATGAACACTCGGACGGCTCAGGGAGTTCGTATTGATCCCATTTCGGTATATCTCGTTTGATGAAGTCGAACCAGAGTTCTCCGTCTTTGTCGGCAATATGGGGGGATTGCGATTCTATAGATCTCTGTCACAAATGAGGGTGGTTAGACAGTGGCGCTCAGCAGGGCAAGGTGCGAATGGGTGAACGAACCAATCTTTCGGGACTTTCGATCCTAACAAGAAAAGGGCGAGCAAGCGCATAAGGGATGTTGCCAATATCGCTTAAATCTGCAGATATACTCAAGTCAGGAAGAGGTATCAAGAGCAGGCGCTGGGTGTGGACTGACACTTCACGTTTCTGATAGCAGTCGCCGTACAGAGCTGTCGTAGGGACGGCGCCGGCATTGTTGAAAATCAAAAGACAAGCCCAACAATAACGGTGGTATAAGTGATTCAAGGCAGCATATTGGGGCTGTAGTCGCAGATGAATTCCAAGTCAATAACGACATGTAATAGGACACCCGCATTGAGATGGATTCATTGGGCTTTAAATAGGAGAGGATAATGTGGTCGTTGATGAATGGAGAATGATAGACGGAGCGGATGACGCCAATCACCTGATTTCATTGGCAGGCGTTGGTCAGGATCCGCCCGCTTGACGCTGGTAATCTTCCCTCTTGAACAGTGCAAGTCCCGGGATTCATTCCGGTCGCTGTTGCCTTACCCTGAAGACCCGTGCTGCTGATTATAATTTGCATTCATTTTCTTGCTTCTAATTTCGATATGAGATCCCCATCAATAATACGCCATTAACAGCCACATCAGAGAGCGAAAGTACCCAAGACTCGAAGAAAAAAAGGACAAAATTAGAGAGCGAAAATTATTTTTTTTAAAAAAAGAACAAAATTAAGAAGAAACAGCCCAAACGTGTATCAAAATCTGCCATCTATCGTGTTAAGTCATCAGTTTGCTGGACTCGAACCAACCGAGTGCCCCTTGATTGCTTTGGCGTTGTGAGACCCGTCGACATGACTCCCAGGCGGCATTTGGGCTAACCATGACGGAGGGCTAATGCCGGTTTGGTCATGGATCGTGCTGAGAAGAGGCGGAAGGCTCTGCATGATGTTCTGAATGGATCCCAATCCATCGCCGGACTCGTCTGCCTTGCCTAAAATGAGGATTAGAGAGGTCCGAAGATAATATGCACGGATTAGAATACTAACCACCAGTCGACCACGTGGTGATCTTTGGTTGAAGGCCGTTGATAGCGGCTCCATTTGCCTTAGCCAACTTCTCATAGGTGCCGGTCTCCAGCATGCGGAATTGCAAGAAGGCCTGAGGGCCCCCGAGGACATTGACAAGGGCGCCGTAAGCCTTGGACATCTCGAGCATTCCTTCAGCCTCGCGTGTCTGTTGGTAGAAGGCTGCGTCGGCATCTTGCCTTTGGCGATAAACTAGAATTTGGGTCAGCCAAGCCGGTGGTATCTGGAGAATGCAACATACAGGCCGCATCTGCCTCCACCTTTTGTCGGTATAAGCGCGCATCGGCTGCTTTCTGCTCCGTGTAAAATGCAGCATCGGCCTTTTCCTGAGCGGATTCACGTTCGACTTTACTTTTCGTCACTTGTTCGGCTCTCAGACGCTCCAGCTCTGTTTCGGCACGCTTGTTTTCAACCTTTTTCTTCAGCTCTGCATCTCTCACCTCCGTCTCGCGCTTTGCTACGATCTGAGCAAGCTGGACACCTGAATCGAGCTCCGTCTGACGATTCTTGAGCTCGGAATCTGCCTTGGCCTTTTCGGCTTTCCGTTTCGTTTCCAGAACGGCGGTGTCTGCGTCGATTTTGGAGATCTCCTGCTTCGTGCGTCCTTTCTTTTCGGCTTCTCCTATCTCACCTCTCATCCGTGCCTCAGCCACGTCGATCTTTGCTTGGTTCAGGGCTCCTTCGTGCGCTTTTCGGCTCAGAAACGCAAAGTATTCGCTGCCAGGCGTATCTTGGAGCTCCTTGACGTTGGCATTGTAACTAAAGCTTTGTGAGATGGGGTCACCGTCGGTCGGACCGTGGCACAACTTACATCTTCAAACCGAACTGTTTCAGTTCGTTCTGGACATTATCGATGACTGTCCAGCGAAAAGTGAGCAGAATCCAACAAGGAACTTAGATAAGCACGCACCCTTATTCTTGAAAACCTGTCGCTCCTTGAAAATTTCCTCCATGGTCATGCTGGAGACAATGACACGAGTCTCGCCCTCGATAATGCCCTTGACAATGTCTTGAACATGGCCCTTCCTCTCATTATCACTTATATTCTCCTTCTTGGCAAAATTGTTCTCCGCCGTGCTTCCGGACAAAAGCAGCGCGTATTTCCTCAGCGCTTCATATTCGTTCTCAGGCCCGATCGTGAATACCGCCGGCAGGGAAAATTGGAGTTTCTCGATCGTCATCGCCTGAAGGCTAAGCGAGAAGTCAAAGGGCGCTACTGAGAATCTTGCGCACTATATGGGGAGAGAATCGTGAGTTGGATCAGTAAATCTTATCCGAGCAGCGAGGAAGCGTGCAGACATACCCGCTGCCATGGCATCACAATGGCCTTTTTGGATATGCGAATATCTTGGATCCCGGCTCCCGTGAGCACGAGATACTCGCTCGGTCGAGCGATGGCATATCTGATCGGAATATAAATTAGTATGACTATATAGTTGCTAATCTTCGAATGACCCACCGCATCTTGATTGATCGTGATAAATGAGCTCGCTTGTATAGATGATAGACAATCTTTGAGTGGGTTGATCGATCAAAAGAGGTTTATCAACCACGGAGTAATCCCGCCTATTTATACTTCTCTGAACCCATTACAGCCTGGTGATGAGCTGGGAACATTCCATAGTCAGAATGGCGTATGCGTTCCTCGCCGGGCAAACGCTTACCCAAACAAGACGTAACAAACGAAAAAGCAGTCACACCAATATGCCACCGCCAAGTGAAAAAAGAAATATACATTCCAGAGGGACGCCTCCGCAAACGAGGCGATGCGGCTGGTGGAAGGTAGAACGCCCGACGGGAGAGCCTTGGATCGAGCCGGCTGTGTCTAGGCAAAAGCCTCGTTCCCGTACGAATCGGGGGCTATGGCAAGGCTGAAGAAAGTAGAAAGTATAATGGAAAAGTCGGGGCAATGAAGCCGGATTACCCGATCAGCAGATCATGGCGTCGTTCCTGTCATCGACTTGGATATCGGAACGTGAAGGGGATGGCTGGCTCCGGTTGGTTCTTGGAAAGCTTCAAACTTTGAGAAAGGTGCCTAAGTTTCGAATCAGGTGCCTGGAGCTTTGATCTTGAAGGCAGGTTTTACGTGGTATGATTTGATTTGATTTGATTTGTTTCTTTTTCTCGTTCAAGGTCTATATAAGTACCCCGTGGGAACAGCCAGGAGCTAAGCTTGCATGCAAGATCTGTTAGGATACAGTAGAAGTGGGATACAATCGACTTTATTCCTATCGGGTCTTCCAAGGGGATATAGGGCAGTGAGATACCCCAACCATGGTTTCGACAGTAGAATGACGCTCTAAGTGTGCCAAAGTATGCGAAATCGTTTCTCATGCTGTGGCGGAGAGTTGGAATGTAAGCCGCAAGAGTAAATTGCCGAGCGTGTGTCAGACCTAAATAGTAGCTTCACCATGATGGCAGATGAGGTTGGACTCGCCAAGTTTCTCGTATATAAACCCGTAAGTTCGTTGTCACAATAAATTTATCAGTAACTCAAATGATGGACGTACGCCACCAGCCAACCATGAATTCCAAGTCCTGGAGAGCGATCTGTATACCTGGGCCAAGACCGCTGATTGGCCACTTGCGCAGCTGTCACGTGAACCAGCCCCACGTGAGCAAGCAGTGCAAACGATGCAAAACAGGCCTCTTCTGGATAGCAGGCGGGCTAATCGATAGCGGAGGGGCCGCGGGGAGCTTCCACTTCTTTTGATTGCGCTGTCAAGCCTTTCAAGCAATTCCAACTCTCGCACTTGTCTAGCATCTCAAATTGAATCAAACAGCAGACCGAACCGATTCTTTTGTCCGGTATGTATTGAATGCACCGATCCCCTCAAATCCCCACCGCCAAAAGCCATACCTGGAGGGGCTGTAGTTACCGCATCATGCCCCTCCAAGTTCCTGTTTCGATGAATTGAGCCTTTCTACGAAGAATGATGTCAAGGAGCCATTTTCATGTGATCTTTTTCTACTCTGTGTTTTTTATGTCTTCTGTGTGGATGGAAAATAGACCCTATATGAACATGACATCATCCTCCCCTCCCCTCCCCTCTGCTTTTGCCTCAATCGAATCCCCTATACTAATTGCTTTCTCAGCACCAAAGTCACCATGGCTCCCCGTTCTCAGCTGGAGATCACTACCCAATCTGTCCTGCGCCTGGTCAAGGAAGAGGCGTCCTACCACAACGAGCTGAAGGAGCAGACCGACCGGGTTCAGCGACTGGAGTCCCAGGAGAACACCGACGACGAGAACAAGGAATATACCCTGCGACAAGAGGTAATTCAGGCTCTCTGATCGAATCGTATTTGATGGCGGGGCCTTGCTAACAGGGTAATAGCGTCTCGCCCTCGAGGAGACCAAGAAGGTCCTGCCTACGCTGAAGCAGAAGATCGATGATTCGATAGCCAAGCTGGAGTCTCTGCTGGTGAGTCGCACAAGGCAAGAATGGGTGGGGAGGTTTGCCAGTTAGCTAACGCTTTGGATAGACCGAGGAGGGCCAGAAGGGTCCCGAGAGCAACGTTGAGCTGATCAATGCGGCCAAGGAGGCCATCGCCAAGGCCAGGACTGCTGAGCGGGAGATTGCGTGAGAAGGTGTCGAAAGAGCTGATGGCTCAGCAAAAAGAGTGTTTCAATTCATGAAAATGTAATCCGCTGCCATGAGTCCATAATCAAATAGATAATATTCGAATCCCTTCTCCCGGAAAAACAAAAAGAGTCAATTCAAAGATGCCCTCGCTCCGAATGTCAACGCCGCTTAGCCTAACTCCTTGCTCTATGGATTGGTTATAGTGCTCCCGACGGTCACCGTTCACGTCATGTCCATTCGGTCGGCGCCACGGTCATCCGGGACCTCCTCCCCCTCCTCCAACTCATCCGGCCGATCGCCATCTTCATCGGCAGTGACCTCGCCTTCATCCACCATGGTAGCATCTTCTTTCTCAGAAGACTGCTTCTTCTCATCACCGGCAGTCGTGACTTGCCGCAATGGCGACGCCGCTCCGGTTGTCGTGGCGTATCGTTCGGCCTGTAGACCGGCAGGCGAGCGTGCGGTGTCATCCTGGCCCTGTTGCGAGGGCGTGACGCTATCGTTGTCAGGCCGCGGGGTGTTAGCACCGCTGGACTTGCCCTTGGAGGGGACGTCCGCGTCATCCCCCTCCTCGTCCTCCTGCATACCCTCCCTGCGCTCCACTTCCTCCTTCTCGTCGCGAATCAGTCGTCGCAGCTGCATTCCCTCGTCGACGATGCGGCCAAACTGCTCCCTGCGCTCCGCCCACGTCGTAGCGTAGTCCTTGCTCTCCTTTTCCAGATCCGTGATCTCCGCCTGCAGCTTCTGCAGATTAGCCTGCTGGTCCTCCCGCGGCTTCAAGAGCCGGTTGCTCGTGATTCGCTCGGCCAGCTCGTCGTAGCTTTTGCGCAAGGCCAGCAAACGTTGTGCCTCTTCTAGCTGGACGCGCAGGTCTGCCGTGTTCTCGCGCACGGATTGCATGGTGCCGAGGATGCGAAGTTTTTCGGCGGCGTAGCGCTCGCGCTCCTTCTCATTGCTCGTGAGCAGGAACTGGATGCGTGCGATGCTCCCTTCAAAGGCGGCAAAGTCCAGCGCTACGTCCTCGCGGAAATGACGCCATTCGCCCAGCCGTTTCTGCCTCTCCGCCTCGGTTGCCGCGCTGGCATCTTCTTCGGTTCCTTCGGGGGGAGGTGTGGGAGGGAGCGTCGCATTAGAAACCACGAGCGATTCAGGATGTAGGAGGCGTTTCGAGACACGTTTAAAGGGCTTTTCTTCGACGTTCAAAAGGCGCGACTTGTGGAGGGTATCTAGAAAGGGTTAGTGAGGTGAGACGAAGAGTGGACGGGGGGGTGAGGATAGGATGGATGCTATCTGGGGGTAAGAAAATCTAGCCTGACCTTCTTCTGGTTGATCCAGTAAGCCATAAGACGCCATCTTGGTGTGTACCAGGCAGCAAGAATATATTTTTTTAATTGATTCGATCCGCAATCCTAGACGCCGATTGTTCGAGGGAGGGAAATCAGTCGGTGCTTTGCTTCGGTCGCCGAGGAGGAAAAGGTTGGCTTTCGAAAAAGGCCGATGCGAGCGGTCTGGGGAGCAATTGGCGCTAGGCGGAACCTCCGCTGGGCCAACGTGATCCTCTTCTCCGCAGCCTCTCGCAGCCCCGACGCTTTTCTCTTACCAACAAATCCCTTTTTATTTACTTCTTCCTGTGCTAGGGGGCTTGATCTTGCCAATTGTCCGTGGCCGCCTTGCTCTGACCGTCCCAATTAATACGCCCTGTCTATTTGGAGTTTATCTCTCGGAGTGGTCAATCGTCTTCCTCCGTCGCCCTGACTCTTGTTTTTTATTTTTATTTTTTTATTTTTTTGAACCAAGGCGCAACCTGCGATCGGTCGTTGCACCAAACCAGCGATGCCAATTGCTCCTTTCCACCTTGTATGCTTGGGCGGCGTTCGGCTTGAACTCAGCTCTGGGGGTAGGGAGTCATCGTGTGCATGACGAGGCGCCAGTCCTTTTCTACCCACCCACTACGGAATTTGCCCAACCCCTACCACTAGTTTAACTATGACTTACTGATGGCATCTACGCCCACGATCGACTCGCTCGCTTGTCCTGTTTCGTGGCGTCTTTTCCCCCTTCTGTCATGGCGGAAATGTACTCGGGCCTCCATGTGGGCCAACGGTTCGGCTCCTTGGAGGAGTTCAAGGCTTTGGTACGAAGTATATCGGTCCGACAGCATTGGGAGCTCCGAGTGACGCGGAGCAATAAGAAGAGCGTGGTAATAGGGTGTCGCTCGTCAGCCAATTGCTTCTTTCGCGTCGTGTGCCGGGCAAACAAGAACGCGACCTATATTAGCAGTCTCCAGGACACTCATAGCTGTCGGCGCAATGCAAGCTCCACCCCCAAGACCCCAGTGCGCTCGGAGGTCTCGCATGTCCGCTTTCTCCTCACTGAGATCCCCAAGCTATTCGATATGAGAAACAATATCAAGGCCCAGGAGGTCGTCGACGCCGTCAAGCGCTATCATGGATATGAGATTTCCATGAGACAGGCCCAGCGGGCGCTCATTCGACTAGAACAGCAGCAATCGCAGACCCAGGAGGAGAGGGCAAACACCCTCGACTCCAGTGGTGATGATCAACCGGACATACAGGCCCCGTCCGAAGAGCCGGTCGAGGGCTCGACGTACAGCGGCCTTTCGCAGAGATGGCTTCCGGAGAACATCCAAAACAGCCTGATGGAACCGAGTAACGCGGATCTCCAAGCTTCACAGCTCCACGGCGAGACACTGCAACAGCACCATCCACATATCCAACACCAGCATCATCCGGTTCAGCATCCGTCAGGTATGCACTCCCAGGGGCAACCGTCTCCAGGCTTCTCCGTCCACCACCCGGCAGCCACCGCTCATCAGCCTGCCTTTGGAGTGCCCACATCCAATCAACCATCCACACCGCACACCGCACACCCCAAGCCTCAGCGACGATACTCCAGTAGCGGCCATCCGTCTGCGCCTCAACTGGTGCTCACGAATTTCAAGATCGAATTCACCTGCACCACGTGCGGCGCTTTGAACCAGAGCTTCTTCCCCAATCACGGCAATGTCACAGGCGGGAACTATCTGCCTCAGCACGCCGTGCCCAACCCGGCCGGAGCGGCAGACGTCGCCGGGCCATCGACACAAACCGTTCAGGGAACTGCGGGACATGAACGTGTGGACGATACCCATGGGTTCGGAGGAGACACTACGGGCGGCGCCCGAGGAGTGCAATCATCCCCCTGGGCCCCTGGGAGTCTGGAGGTTCCTCTGCCGTCTGCACACAGCTAGTCCTCGTAGATTTTCCATTAGACGTTTTGTGGCTGGCCGGCTAGCTGTCTATCGGAGTTGGTGTGACGAGGCTTTCTCATTTCTTCTCGTTTCTTTTGTTCAGCCGCAGCTGCTACATACATGTTAAGACGAATTCTAGAACCAGATTTTATTTATTCTCCGAAGTGACACTTGTGTCTGACACCTCCTGGAGTAGGTTTTCCTGGCAAATGGCCAGTGGGATTCAAGAGCTGGGTCTATTCGGATTTATCTCCGGCTGATCGCATCGTCCCAACGTACAAGATGCATGAATCCACTCCGTACACGGCAGTTGATCCTCTCCATCGGACCTCCGATGCCGATCGTCAACAAATGGAGCCACAATCTCCGTGGTCTCACGTGACTGACAGCGGAATTGATCCGACGCACGGTCCAGGTCCTGCTTGCCACCAATCACAGCCCCCAAATTGTTAAAAAAATGACACTCTTGCAAACATGACGCTTGTCTGTCGGATCCTCCGAAGCGAACTCCGACATCTTTATGAGTTATCCCGGAAAAAAACTTGCATGTCTCCTTCCTTCGAACAGGATGTGCCTGGCTAGTCTGAGCTTTATAAAGCAAGGGGTCATGCGACAATTGCCGTACCTGGATGGCATTTCGATTATTCTTTCTTGTCCTACCTGACCTAAAACTCCTGGTATACGACCTATATTTAGCCTTCGGATCGTCTTGGACGGGTACTCGCCTTCAGTTCCCTCAAGTCCTCCTATGTTCATACCACCAAGGCAAGCATAGAACCGGTTAGGATGAACCGGCAGCAAGCTGCGGAGAAGGCATTGCATGACCAGACCAACATCCTCCCAATCGGTCAGCTGCTGATTGTCTTCACGGGTCTAGCCTGTTCATTACTCATCACGTTCGTGGATCAAAATGGCATCAGCGTCACGCTGCCCACGATCGCCAAGGATCTCAATGCCCAGAACACAATATCCTGGGCCGGCACCTCCTCGCTCATCGCCAACACCATGTTCACGGTGCTGTACGGCCGTCTGTCGGATATCTTTGGTCGCAAGATCGTGTACCTGTTTGCCTTAGCCCTACTCTGCATTGCTGACTTGCTGTGCGGACTGTCCCAGAACGCGGCCATGTTCTACGTCTTTCGAGGATTGGCCGGTGTGGCCGGAGGCGGCGTGACGTCGCTCACCATGATCATCGTGTCGGACATCGTGTCGCTGCGCGAACGAGGCAAATATCAAGGCATTCTGGGCGCGTCGCTCGGGATCGGCAACGTGATCGGCCCGTTTATAGCGGCCGCGTTCATCATGAAATCGACATGGCGAGGCTTCTTCTGGCTGATCTCGCCGCTGTCGGCGTGCTCGATCGTGGTTGGCTACTTTCTCATCCCGAATAACACCCGGAAAGACGGGTTCCGGGAGAACTTGCGCCGGATTGATTTCTTTGGCATCATTGCGTCCTCCATCGGTATCATCTTCTTGCTGATCCCGATATCAGGCGGCGGCTCCTACTTCGAATGGAACTCTCCCATGGTGATCAGCATGTTGGTGATTGGAGGCTGTTCTCTGATAGCGTTTCTGTTCATCGAGTGGAAAGTGGCTATACTGCCTATGCTTCCTAGTATGTTGACCAGAGGGCTCGGATCGTGACGTTTACTGACATCTAGATAGTGGTGCTTTTCAAGAATAAAGTCGTCTGCGCTCTCTTCCTGCAAAGCTTCCTCCTGGGGGCTGTGTATCAATCCTACCTCTACTACTTGCCGCTTTATTACCAGAACGTCCGCGAATGGTCGCCGATTGTATCCGCCGCATTGACAAGCCCCTTGGTCTTCTGCCAATCCTTAGTATCTGTCCTGTCCGGCCAGTATATATCCCGACTCAAGCGCTACGGAGAAGTTATCTGGTGTGGGTTCGGGTTCTGGACCCTGTAAGTACCACGGCCATCACGTCCAATATCCCAACCTAACCGCAACCAGCGGAGCCGGCTTAATCCTGCTCTTCGACCGCACCACCAACCCCGGCGTCATCGCCGTAGTCGTTGCCATTGTTGGGATCGGCGTCGGCAACGTCTTCCAACCAACCCTGGTAGCCTTCCAAGCCCACTGCACCAAATCGCAGCGCGCCGTCGTCATCTCCAACCGCAACTTCTTCCGCTGTCTAGGCGGCGCATGCGGGCTCGCCGTCTCCGCGGCTCTTCTGCAGGCAACGCTCAAATCGAACCTGCCGGATGGATTCGAGCACCTGGCCCATTCGACGTACTCGTTGCCATCGCGCGCCAGCGTTTCGGATGCCGAGTGGTCGCAGATCCTGACTGCGTATGCGAAAGCCTCGAGGAGCGTGTTCATCCTGCAGGTGCCGCTCATCGGACTGTGCTTCATTGCTTGTATATTCATCCGAGATCGGGGGCTAGAGAGGCCAAAGGAGCCAGGGGAGGAAGAGGAAGAGAGGAAGAAGCAGGACGAGGGGAATGTACAAGAGGCTGGGATTCATGCTGAGAGTCAAGTAGCGAAATCGCCCGATCCTGTAGCAGGCGTTGATCAAGGACCTGCGCGCCCTGAATTGGCAGGGAGGTCGGATCCGGAGAAGAGTGCATGATGATGCAGCCCTCCGCCGGATCAACCCCTCAGCGCCAATCCAGTACGGCTCCTACACGATCCCCCCGAACACGATCTTCGGCATGAGCTCGTACCTACAGCTCCGGGACGCGCGTATATTCCCCGAACCGGATACATTCCGGCCCGATCGGTGATTGGGTGAGCCGGTCGTTCCGAATGGCCGGCCCCTAGGCCAGTATCTGGTGCCGTTCGGGCGAGGCCCGCGCATGTGCCTCGGGATGAATATGGCGCAGGCGGAGATCTACCTCGGGTTGGCGGCAATGTTTCGGAGGCTGGATCTGGAGTTGTGGGAGACGGGCAGGGAGGCGGTGGATATGGCGAGGGAGTTTTTTGTGGCGATGCCGGCAGATGGGACGAAGGGAGTGAGGGTTGTCGTTAAATAGATGTATGTCGCTGGGAAGGGGACTGAGTGGGTGTGGGATATGGGAGATATGGTCTATGGTTGGCGGTTGTTATATACCGAGCAGGGAGTTTGGAGGTGCATCTTGCTCTCTCTTTCATTTTCCTACATCAAGAAATATCAACTTTACCAGGTCCATCTATCGAAACGTCTCCCTCACCAGCTCTTTATTCGCAGTCAAGAACTCCTTAAACGTAGTCAACTTAATCCCAAACTCGGCCTCCAGCTCCCGCGGCACAAACCTATCCTGCCGCTCCCAGAACCACAGCTGCGCGTCGACCTGGGGATTTGAGAGCGCCAGACGCTTCGCCAGATCGCGGGGGATACGGTCGACCCCAATCTCGCGCCCACTTACCTCAGAGATAGCGCTCGCCACCTGCTCCGCCGTCAGGGCTTCACCCCCGATATCGACTGCACGGTGCGAGAACCGATCCGGCTCCACGAGCGCAGCAGCGGCAAAGTGCCCAATATCGTTTGGGTCGATGAGCATCGTCCTTTTGTCGGGTGCCATAGCGGTGCGAAGAGTACGGGATCCCGCCAGTTCAGGGAAGTAGCCTCTCACAGTGGGAGGGAGGTAATTTGTCATGAAAACGGGAGGACGGAGGACCGTCCAGTGCATGAAGCCGGCGGAGCGCACGAGGCCTTTCGATGGCAGCCTTGCTCTCGAAATAGCCCTTCATGAGGCCGGACATAGTGCCGTCGTACCATCCGGGGAACTCCTCGCGCTGGTCGATGGCGCAGACGCTTGTGTAAACGAGCGTGGTGACGGTGCCGGATGCACGAGCGGCGCGCACGACGTTAGCCGCGTGCCGCAGTTCAGCCCCGTCGCCTCGGAACGAGGGCGACACGTTCAGGAACACTGCGGTTGCGTTCTGGCAGGCGGACTGGAGTGTCTCGGGTTGGTCGAAATTGCCCTCGACCAGGACAGCGCCGCGACGGTGCAGGTCGAGCGCGGCGGCGCTGGAGTTCCTCCGAACCAGGGCGTGGACGCGCAGCCCTCGGGCTAGGAGATGACGGGCTGTCGCTCCGCCTTGTTGGCCAGTGGCACCAGTGACGAGGATGGTGGGGGACATGGCATAGGATGATAGAGACTTGGTGAAATGGATCTGGATGAGAGGAGGCAGAGACAGGGATGAAGGTGATGGGAAGAGCGGGGACATGCCTACAGTATATATACGTTACAGGCTTACAGCCCTAGGTACACTCGTTAGTCAGTTCAAAAGAACTTCCCCGACTGTCTTGTTCCGAGCCAAATCAGGAAATGTCACTATTTTCAAATTTCAAATTCTTACCGAAATTATATAACAGTGTATTTATTATAATTATTAGGGAATGGTCTTATCTGCTTGATTTTCCTGGTAGAGTTGTCAGTATCTACATTTTAGGGCAGCGTTTCTGTTCGCTTTTGCTTACGAGACATTGAAAGCTCATAGGAAAACCCGGGAAATCATATATAATACTATAATCCCGTGGAGATCATTTAGCTAGAAATACTAGATCTTGCTGGAAACATAGCTATGGGGAGATATCTTAACCCCCTCCTACGTACAGTACGTGATTCCAAGCAAGTGCGACTGGACATGTATTGTTGGATATACTTGTTCTACTAATGCCATACACTTATCTCTCTCCAACCCCGATCATCACCGTCTCGACCCCATCGGCAATCTCCTCACTATACCCTGCCGGCACATCATGACCCTCCCCATGTTCCACCACCGTTACATGGCCACAAAGCTGCACTAGATCCATGCTGTGGCGGCACCACTGATCCTGCAGCCCGTACACGTGGGCCGTTGGGATGCCAATGCGGTAGGGGTCGACCGTGGCATGGAATATGCCGAAGTACGTGCGGGTGTCGATCCCGTAGTCCAGGCTGTAGGAGAAAGGTAGCGGTGACCCGATGAAGATGGCGGCCTGGAAGGGGGGTGTCTGCCACTTCGGGGGCTGGATCGAACTCATAGTCCGGCGGCAGGAGCTTGCGGAAATGGTTTGTTTGGGCGGCGAATATGCGGGCGTTGGTGCCCATGCCGTGGAGAGAGAGGATGCGGATGGCCATTCCCAGTGGATTGTCCAGAGGTATTGATGACACCCCTCGGTAGGTATGCGCCAGAACAAGTCCGGACTGTCAAGATGATCACTGCATAAGCTCCGGGACCTCCACCACTCAGGACTCGCCCCCAGCCTGTACTGTGAGCTGCCCCCCGGGGAATCCTCCGGCGATCCCGACGCTCGGACAGCCGCCTCCCCAGGATCGGGATCTTCCACAGCGTCGACTCGTGTTGAATCGGTCTACATGGACAGTATTGAAAAATACAAGCGCCGTTCTGGTGGCTTTGGTGGCGGATTCAACCAATCCTAGCGCAAATATTCCCGTTTAGTCCTTTTCCTGCCGCATTTAAGCTCTGGTCCAGCCAGGCAAGGCGTACAAGTACTTCCCGCTCAAGACGACCTTTTCCGCTTCGGTCGTGCTGTTCGAAGCGGGTAGTCTCATCGCCGGTATGATTCTCGTTCATTGGTCAATCCGAACCAACCAAGACTGAGCGAAGACCAGGTGTCGCGCAGAACAACACCACATTCATAGTGGGCCGGGCTATTACCGGGGTCGGGGGCGCAGGCATCACCGGCGGCGTGGATATCATCACTGCGTTGAGTGTGAAGCCCACGCAGGTCCCCGTGTACCTGGGTCTGCTGGGTGCTGTGTTCAGCTGTGCCAGTGTCTGTGGTCCATTGCTGGGGGGAGTGTTTACGGACAAGGCCTCATGGCGTTGGTGGTACGTTATCGACACTGTCCCTGTTATGTATAGATGTTGAGTTAAATGTTGGTGCATCAAGCTTTTACATAAATCTGCCTGTCGGCGGGTTTGTACTGCTCATCCTAATCTTCTTCTTCCATACTACTGGTCGCCACAAGCCCACACCGGCATCATGGGCGGACATCCTATTGCAGATGGACCCGCTTGGGATCTTCACTATCCTGTGCGCCATGGTGTGCTATTGTCTGGCCCTGCAATGGGGCGGCGTCCATGATCCATGGAATTCATCGCGGGTGATCGGGACGTTGATTGCATGGGTCCTGCTTACTGTGGTTTTTGGCATTAACCAGTAAATATAGGGCGAGAAGGCGCTACTGGTGCCGCGAGATCGCCGTGTATTACGTGTTTATCTTCTCATATAATTAATACTGCATTTCCTGACGAAAAACTGCTTAAAATAACAGCGCCTAGCCTTAATTCGTCCAATTTCCTGCTTATTTACAACCTTACCATCTACTTCCAGGCCATCGACAACATATCGCCCATAGGAAGTAGCATTCGTAACCTCCCACTAATGCTCGCGAGCTGTAATCCCATCCGCCTACTTCCCTAGAACTATGAACCCACTGACCATAACATCCAGCCATCTGTACCCTCCTCAGCGGAACCCTTATCAAATACGCAAAGGGCCGATTTCAGCTCTTCCTAGTGGTAGGATCCGCCGTTCAGATTATCGGCGCAGGCATGCTGTACACCCTGGGCCTCCACCCCTCCACCGGCCAGTACATCGGGTACCAGATCCTGGTGGGCGTGGGCGTGGGACTGAGTATCCAGATTCCCGTGATGACATGCCAGGCGCTAGTGGATCCGGTGGATATTCCCGTCGTAACGGCCATGGTACTGTGTATGCTATCCCCATGCCCTTCACTTCATACCCTCCCTTGGTTCACAATGTGTATAACTTATAATGTGAACAGTTTTCTAACTTATTAGTGGTGCTCTCTCTGTCTCCGCTGCCCAGAGTGTTTTTGATAACTAGCTTGTCGCCGGCCTGGCCATTTACGCCCCCTCTGTCTCGTCCGCGTCTGTCTTCGCCGCTGGAGCAACCGAGTTCTGAGATATGCTCCCAAATTCTCAGCTACAAGGCATTTTGCTCGCGTATTTGAAGGGCATTAAGGCGTCGTGGGCATTGGGAATCCGTGGTCGCTGCGGTGGGGTGATTGATGAAGTTCCTGAGATGGTGTTCGGAAGGTGTTCATCGAATATTGGCTACATATAGGTAGTGTGTGGAGGGAAGTGTTGATGACGTGTGTAGTGATCATATTGTGTGTACGGAGCAACTATCTGAATTCTGAAGGCTATTACTAGACCTCGCCAAACCCGGGTTTGGGTTCGGTTTTTGAATTAATTCAATTGATCGCGTGGTGGGGAGGTTAAAGTGGGCGGCTCGCCCGGGAATTACGTTACTAATTAAATGCTCACTATATTGAAGCTATAGAAGTAGACTCTTATCGATAAGCCGGCCCGATGCGTCTTGGCACGTCCGCCATTTCTCTCCATCCGTTCATCTCCAATTCTCCATCCATCATCCATCTTCACCTTCGCTTCCACTTTAGTCCACTGTCCATCCCATTCATCGAAATGATGGACGCTAGCCCCTTCCAACGCAATGGACATCCCTGAATCAACCTCCCGAACAAGCACCTCTTCGCCCTCACGAGACCATAATCCCCGGAAGCGCGGCCGAACCGCCTGCACGCGCTGCAAAACAAGAAAGCAGAAAGTAAGTAAACCTCGCGGTCCTGCCCGATGACTAAAGCTGATAGCGCCAGTGCGACAATGACTATCCGGTCTGCTCGAACTGCCACAAGGCAGGCGCCGTGTGCGACAAAGCCTCGGTGAGACAGGACACTGCGCAGCAGAACGAGTGGGGTTCTCTAGTCCGGTATATTGATTGGATGGAGTGCTGATCAGAGATCTAGATATACGCATGCGCTGGAAGAGCGGATCAAGGACCTCGAGTCCCAACTGACCTCGAGGCAACTGGGTGCTAGCGGCAATGGCAATGACACTGCCGCGCACCCGGCGACACCGGCGCTTTTCCCGCCCCCGAGTCATGACGCCGTGCAGCCTAGTCCTAGTCCCGCGACGGGCATCGACCACAACGCTGTTGGCGAACTGGTCGGGTTTCTGGCCTTGAACTCATACGAGGCCCCTGCGTATGTGGGTTCGAGCTCGGGGTTGTCGTTGGCCGCTAACCTGGGGGAGATGGTCCAGGCGACGGTGTGGAATCAGGTACTGGCTCCGTCACGGGGGCAGCAGCACCCGTTGAATTTGTTCGGGGGTGCACCGGGAGGAGGGGCGCCGACGACTAATGGACCACGGGGGAATGGTGGACCGTCGCGCTCGCTGAGGATGGAGGATTTGATTGCGAAAAGCACCGAGCCGCCGAACGATGAGATGGGAGCTCGGATCCTGCAGGCCTACCTGACGAGATTGCATGTGCGGTATACGTTTCTGGATCGGCACGAGCTGTGGAGGCTGCATGAGTCCCGGTTTCGGCTGGCCAAGGCGAAACGCGAGGAACTGTCCCAGGCAGAGAGGTTTGGCATTTTTAAGCTGTATCTGGTGTATGCGATTGGAGCGACGACGTTGGAGCTGAGTGAGAAGTATACCTACGTTCCTGCTGAGGTATGTTTTCTTATGTGGATGGACAAAAGGTCGTGCTAAACCCTCGCAGCGCTTCTATATGACTGCCCTTCAGCAAGTCCCCGCCATGTGCGAAGCCCGATCCATTGAGAACATCGAAGCCATGACACTCCTGGTAGTATATCATCTGCGCTCCGCCTCCAGCCAGGGTGTCTGGTACATGGTTGGACTGGCCATGCGCACGGCGATTGATCTCGGACTGCACCGAAAGGCCAACGAGACCAGCCTCGACCCGATCACGGCGCAAATGCGACGGCGGCTCTTTTGGACCGTCTACTACCTCGAGCGTGTCGTGTCCATGTCCCTCGGCCGCCCTTTCAGCATCGCAGACCGACACATCGATTTGCCCCTGCCGATGGACGTTGACGACGACGTGCGCGACCCAGCTCTTCTGTCAACCAGCACCACCTCTTCGCCAGCACCCCCCAACCGGATCACCACCCTTACCTTCGCCATCTACCTCATCCGCCTCCGCCGCATCGACTCCAAAATCCAACACAAGATCTACCGCGCCGACCGGCCGCTCCACTCCCTCCGCTCCAAAATGGATGCCCTCTTCCTCGAACTCGAAGAGTGGAAAGAATCGGCTCTCCTGCGCTTCCACGGCCCAGACCTCGACTACCCCATACTGCACTACAACCGCGCCCTGCGGCTCCTCATCCAGCCCTTCCTGCCATCCCTCCCCCTCAGCGACCCATACTACCACGTCTGTCTCCGCGCCGCCGGCAACATCTGCCAGACCCACAAACGCCTCCACCAGACGCTCGAATACGGACACTCCTTCCTCGCCGTGCAGACCGTCTTCATGGCCGGGATCACCTTGCTGTACGCACTGTGGACGCACGCGCACGACGTCTGGTCCGTGCAAATGAGCAACGATATCCGCGCCTGCTCGACCGTGCTCTTCGTCATGGGCGAACGCGCCGTCTGGGTCAAGAAATACCGCGACGCCTTCGAGCTGCTGGTCAACGCCGCCATGGAGAAGCTAGAAGTCAACGACCCCAGTCGGAAGATCGGCATGGCCGAACTCATGACCGCTCAGCATTCGGGGAGTCTTGCTAACCCCCCATCTTTCTCTCCTGCCCCTGGACCGGGCATCTTTAAACACCCGTACCCAAATCTAACAGCCAACCCTACCGCCCAACCTCCCACTCCAGCCGTGAATCTAAACCCTCATCCCGGCTCAGGAATCGGCCCCGGCGCAGGCATACGAAACCCTGCAAATTCACAGCCACAAAACCATCAACCCCAACCTTCAGACTCCACCAACCCAACAGACCCACTGCAGAACCACGGCATGCGCATGGCCTTCCAGCTGGCGCCGTGGATCGATCTCGAGGAGGACAGCCCCTTCTGGATGCCGGACTTCGAGACCCTGGAGAGTCTCTCGGGGGATTTGAATTTCTGGAATGTAGGGGCTCCGGGGCCTTTTGAGCCATTGTAACTGAACAGTGGGTAGTTGAGTCTGGCTAGTACCAGGTCTCTGAATGCGTATAGGCTGTGACCGACGCAAGTAGTTTTGTATTCCAACCGACAGAACCTGATTGCTGAATATCATAAACTTGAAGTGGAAAAAAGTAAAAGGGGAGGAGGGCTATATCACCCCTATGTCTTATGGATGACCTGTCATTGAACATCTCCGTGGGTAATTAAAATAAAAAAATAAAACCAACTATTCCACCAAAGCCCCCCTTTCCGGATCCTGCAACCTCGCCATCTCCAACATGAGCCGATAAAGATAGACCGCCCGAACCACGTCCCTCAAGGCCTTTCCAAACCAGACCCTCCCCTGGTCCGCGATATCCTTAGCAATTCCCCGCCCCTTCCCAGTCAACATGAGATAGGACACCATCTCAGGAAGCTCATGCATGGCCTGGCTGACAGGGATGAAGTGGACCCACGGCACCAGACGATCGTCATGCCACTCTCGCAGGAGGGTTTGTTTGAGGGGGGCGGATTTCGACGCAAGGAGCCGGTGGAAGCGGCCGCTGATGCCGTTTCCGTCGGTGTCGAAGACGAGGCGCGCGCGTAGGGCGTGGTGCTTGTCGGTGCGGGGTTTGAGGCGGAAGAATGAGCGTTGCTGGGCGCAGTAGGGTCTTGTGCACTGGAGTAGGGTTGTGAAGGCGACGTCGAAGAGTCGGGTGTTGAGGAAGGAGGATGGGTGAAGGTGGACGGCGCCGGTGGGGGTTTTGTGGAGGTAGTAGTAGGGATACTGGGGATGATGGCGGTGGTGTAGATTCTGCGCCAGCGCGACGAATCGTTGACGGTGGAAGTGTGGCCACTGGTCGTCGTTCGTGACGAAGCCGCCGGTGGTAGACCCGGCCCAGGAGATGGTGTTGCGCTTGTGGGCCCATTCGACGTCGTGGGCTTCGGTGTACTGGAATTCGGGCTCGATGTAGGCGGGGCTGGGGTAGAGTATGTCGCCCATGGTTGACAGCGCGCCGGTGGACAGGACAGGCACGAGGCCTTCGATCAGGCGGAAAGTCGTCGGGCTCATCAGCAGGCCGTGCATGGCGCCGTACTCGGGGTGTCGACAGAGGTCTAGCGCTGGTGGGCGATCGGCGACGAGAGGGAGGGCAGAGGGCTGTTGGCCTAGGTGGCGATTCTCCGGCACTTGGGAGGAGCAGGGTTTCGTGGGCATATTCATGACCGACTGTCTGGAGAAATCGGTTATGTTGAACTGGCCGATGTCAACCGACGACCCGCGAGGATCTGGCGGGATCATCACTCGAGGCTCGTCAAGATGATTGACAAGGAACTTGATGTCCGGTAGTGCACCGCGCAGGTCTCCCAGCGCTGTATTGAATAGGAACTGGATGCTCCTGTCGCGAGCGCGATACGGGTGCCGACAGGAAGTGTGAGCCAGGGACCCCGAGAATTCACAGAGCCACAGCTCGCTGTTCGGGGCATGATACGCGCGGCTCATGACTTGCAAAAACTCCTCGCCAGTCTGCCTCCAAAAAGGCGAAATACCACTGTAGAGCGTGTCGAAGTCGTCAATGATAGGTGAATGATGCCGCTTTGCATACTCAAACCAGGCTTCGAAGCCGGGTGGTGGTGGGACCCCGTATCGACGTACATACTCGTCACAAGCGGCAGAGTAATTTGCAGACTGGCTTTTGATTAGGCCCTCAAATTTCAGTCGAGATTCATGAATCAAAGCTTCGATAGGGTGGTCATGGGAATGAATCAGTGAAGATTGAGCGGCTCGGATGTGAAGCATGTTGTCAAGGAATGGGACCAGAGAAACAAGAGAAAAGGACCACAGCGCCAACTTTAGTCTCGGAGGCGATGGAAGCATGTGAATCATCTGGCCAAGGGCAATATAAGAGGCTGTGAGATGCAAAAAAGCCCGGGTGCCAGAAGAGTGAAGAGTGAACGGAGGGAGGGATAATGGACAGCATGCTAAACGTGCCCGCAGCACTGACGGGGAGCCAGGAAGATTGTCGAGCCTGAGATGGAGACTGTCAGTGTCGATATAGTAAATCAGTCAACTTTTATCGATATGGATCCATGACATACAACTCGAGTCATAAAATACCAGGCCAAAGCTTTCATCACGCCTAGTATCACGGCAGGCCCCATTTCGCTTTTAGGGAAACCGAAAGCAACTGTTTCAATGCCTAAGATGATGACTAGCACAGCTAAAACACGCATTGAAAGAGGGAGAGCCGCTTCTTCAATGTCGAAAGATCGAGCGGCCTTATGCGTGAGAATCACCAGGATGAAGAATTGAGCCACGACGGCCACGGTCGTAAAGACAGATGATAGGAGTATTCGAGGGTCCCAATCTGACAAAGTACCGACGAGGAATAAAGCCACCACGGTTGTGCCCCAAAGAGTATCGATAAATATTGAGAGAACCCCCGAGTTGCCCCCGGACGAACAGTCAAGATACTTGTGGGCTACCAGGAGTAATGGAGTCAATACTTGCTGTTTGCTATTAGTGGTACTCAACCCCTACTCTGACACCAAAGGATGCTTACCAGAAGTTCAATCGGGCTATTCTCGACTTTGAACCAAGAAACAATGCCCACGCTCAGAGCAACAGCCCATAAGGCCGTCTTAGAGACGGGCTGAACTCCGGTGTTGTTAACAAGCCCACCATCTGCCCTCCCAGCCATGTTGAAGAAAGTCGGCAGCAGTATCCAGCCAAGCATCTCGGAGAAGAGCTCGGGTTGTCGGGAAGATAGGAAGTCGGTCACCATCATGCATAGCAGACTTGCCCCCGCCAGCCATATAGCCCGACCAGACCGTTTGGAGTGCATCACTGTCCACTTCGCTGACCCTTTGTCAGTCGTTAATTCCCGCGAGATCTAGGACTTCGTCAGACTCCTAGCTGGTAAAGCTTAAGATCGAGGTCGCGAAGCGCTCCCTTTGTATCATCCCATTTTCCGCTCTCAATCACTCACCAATATATCCCCCGCACCTTATTTCTCCACCAGGCGGATGACTGCATCGTTCCGGTGGCTTCAAAGAATAGCTTCGTTGTTCCAATGTAAGCTCGCAATGTAGATATATTGGTGTTGGCGCGGTAGATGAGGCCCAACCGCAACCGCTATTGAAACTTGGCGGCAATAGATGCCCAGGACGTCGGGATAGTCCAGCAAACCAAGCCGAGGAGGGCTTGAAGCAAGAAGCAACGCCGTCCATAACGAAGGAGTGTTCGAGGAGAAATAGATATCAATGGATGCCTGATGAGTAGTCCAAGATTCCAAAATCCCCAAGCTGGGTTTACCGCGATGAAGGTAGGACTCCCCTGTACGACATGAAGCATCCAAAGAAGTCAAAGTGTAGATATCCGGGGGATAGATGATAGATGCTAAGTCCTAGACTCGCTAGTTGGCTGCCAAGCAGCTAGAGGGGCCAACAAAGGCTCAATCAATAGGTCGAGAGACGCCGGTCGTCCTCTTTGTGACTCTCTTGGCTTCCTATAGCATTGGTGTAATGATTAGATTGTGGCTATTATGCTGTCCATGGCGACTAGACTGCGAGTTGCTTCCTGCTTCTGAAGGATGTGTCACTCAATAAGAGGGCTTAGGATCAGACTATTTCGAATGGACATACAGACATGTAGAATGCGTGATGTAAGGTATATGAACAGGCAATAATTATGTTCCCTTCATCTCTCTAGTTTCTCTATATCTACGCTTAGTGCAGACCACGAGGACCTGACGTGACTTCCCATATCAGTATCAACATCAACAGACAAGAAGAGGTCCTCACATCAGAACATATCACCCAAATCCCGGCACAACCGTCTTCAAACCCTTCGCTATCCTCCCAATCTGACCCGAGTAATACGCCTGTTGAGATTAAATCCGTTAGCCTCTCTTCCTCTCTCCCTCCTTCTTCCTCCCTCTCAACCACCTCAAAACAAGGAAAAAGGGAACTCACACTCTCCACCCCCGCCCCCACGCTCTTAATACCCAACCACTTAATCACCCTCATCACCAACGGCGCCTGCACCTTTCCCAGCACCAGCCCCGCCTCATGGGCATCCAGGCTCTCGTCAAGAATCCGACCCGGGAGGTCAGGCGCCACGGCAGCCGGGCGGCCGATGCCGATCAGATCGCATGCGTTCTGGGCCAGCGCGGCTTCGGCGCCGGCGCGTGTGCGGAACCCACCCGTTAGCATGAGCGTGAGAGATGGGTATCGGGAACGGGTCTGTTGCGCGAAGTCGAGGAAGAAAGCTTCGCGGGAGAGAGTTGATTTGGATTTAGATTCGGATTGGGAGTTGGGGGTGGGGTCGGAGCCCAACATCTATATCATGTTATCATGTTGTGACTAGGTGATGTGCTGTGTACGTTCTTGGGGGTGGTGTGAGTATAGAAGGAAAAGGAAGGGAAACGAACTCACCTGCGGATCCTGATAGCTTCCCCCGCTGACTTCTAAAAAGTCGATCCCCGCGTCCACGAGCAGTCCGATCTGCATCATAGTATCTTCAAAGGAGGCGGAGTCGTGGTCTGCCGAGTTCAGCTTAATGCCGACGCAGAAAGACGGGGGTACAACGGCACGGATCTGCGCGATGATGTCGAGGACAAATTTGGCGCGTTTGGCAGGGGTGCCGCCATATGCGTCTGTTCGGTGGTTGGTCTTTTTTCATATGTTAGTGGAATGATCTGAGAAGGAGGGTTGAAGTGAGACAAACCTTAGGGTTGAGGAATTGATCTGCAGTTCGGGCCAGAGTTAGCCACCAATTCAGATAGGTATTCCAGACACTGAATCAGACAGGGGGGAGAATGATAATACCCAATAAATACCCATGTGCACCATGCAACTCAATCCCCCCAAACCCACTATCCGCCATCAACCTGGCGGCATCGACAAACCGCGCCGTGACGTTATCGATATCCGCCTGGCTCATCTCCCTCGGCACCGGAAACGTCATCCAGCTGACGAACCGCTGGATGCAACTATCCCCCATCTCCAAGGGGATCGCACTCGGCGCGATTGTCGGCGCAAACAGCCCGCGTTTCCCAGCGACCCGGAACGACTGCCGACCGGGATGGCAGAGCTGCACGACGGCGGGGGTGCCGTGCTGCTGAGCGGCGCGGGCAAAGCGGGACCAGGTCTCCACGAGGGCGGCGTCATGCTGGGCGTCGACGTAGGGGTGGCTCAAGGATGTGTCGAAGGGCGTGCCGAGGTGGTTGATGTCGACCTGCATGTTTCCTGCGCAGTGTTAGGTACTGCATTGCCCTTTGGGAGAGGAACAGTCTAGAGCCAGAACGATAAGTTCAAACGAACCGGTCAGAATCGATCCCCAACCACCCTGTCCCCATTGATTGTACGCTTCGATAAGATCCGGCGTGGGGGTGTTGCTCCAACCGGCCAGCATCTCGGCCATGGCGGCCTATACAATCGTCAGCGAGATCGTCTAGGAGCAGCCGAATCTTGGGTACATACCTTGACCAATCTATTCGGGAAGACCAGTCCGCAAGGGAGCTTGACCGGGTCTGTCAATTGCGATGGCATCTTGGTGTATTTCTCTTAGAGTATTTCTGGCGATGAGTGGGTGCCAGTATGGATATGAAGGAATGGACGGTACAGGGGATGGTCAAGACAAAGGATACTCATATATGAAGAGAGCAGCCGAGGCACGAATGGAAACCCTCATTGCGGTGGAGAAGATCGGCGGACTAGTTGATGCCATGGACGGTTGACAAGACGAAAAGGTCAAGCGTTGCGAGCGGCAGCGGAGGTTAATCGCTGGTCGGCCATTTCAGTCTCTCCGGCTCCACCGGGCTGTTTATTAATCACTGCCGGAGTAGTACGGCGCAGTTAGCACTACGTTGAACTACGCAAGGACATAGTTAACTACCTATGCAAGGGCAGTTGTAAGTAAATGTAAGTATGCAAATCCGAGATTCATTGATTCATCTAAATTGCTAATTCACACCCGCCCATCTAAACCATCTAGACCAAAAACCAGGTTCTGCATCGGACGGGAGGAAGCTTTTGGCCAATTAAAGAATATTTGCAGATTCCGAGAAAGAACGGGGTATAACTGAAAAACATCGGGTCTTCCAACAGGGCAAGAGAAACGCTTCAAGAAACAGAACGGGAAGGATATGTCATGAACAGGACAGGACTGCCATGAACATGGGGATCAAAAAATTTATAAAAGAGAACGCATTTACAGCTTGGCGTTCTTGTCCTCCTCGCTCGACAGTCCGTTCAGAGCGAAGGAAGAAGGTCCAAGGCTGGACAGCAGAGCGCCGACCTCACGCTCCAAAGCCAACACTTCGGTGTGGGGGTCGTACATGCGAGCCTTGATCCAGGCGTCCAGAGCCTCGTCCGTCATGTTGCGCAGAGGCGTCTCGCGGTCCACCTTGTCGATCTGGGCCGCGCGGATGACCTTGCGGGCCACCACGACGCTGACGGAGCGGATGCGGGTGAGGTCGGGATAGAGAAGACCCCGGTCGATCTCCTCCGCGGTGAGGGCCTGGGACAGAGCCTCGCCCGAAGCATAGATCATGCTGTCGGTGACCTTGACGGCCTTGGAGAGGATGGTACCCATGCCGATACCCGGGAAGACGTACATGTTGTTGCCCTGTCCGGGGTAGTAGGTGCGGGTCTCGCCGGCCGAGTTGGTGAACGAGAAGGGCTGGAAGGGAGAACCAGAGGCAAAGAGGGCCCGGCCGTCCGTGTTGGTGACAGCGCTCTCGTAGTCACACTCCGACTTGGACGAGGGGTTGGACAGAGGGAAGATGATAGGGTGGGTGTTCCACTCGGCCATCTTGCCCAGGATCTGCGGCGTGAAAACGCCGCCCATGGTGGACAGACCCATCAGGATGGTGGGCTTCACGTGGTCGACGACCTCCTCGAGGTTCTTGAGCTGCTGGCCCTGGTTGTCCGACCGGGCAAAGTACACCTTGTGGTCGGCGAGCTTGTCGCCGCGGTCCAGGGTGACGAGACCCTTGGTGTCGACGAGGTAGAAGCAAGCACGGGCCTCATCCTCGGTCATGCCTTCGCGCACGAAGAAGTCGACGATCTGCTTGGCCACACCCACGCCGGCACTTCCCGCACCGAAGAAGACGGCGCGGTGCTCCTTGCAGGGAAGTCCCGAGCGCTTCACGGCGTTGATGACACCGCCGAGGATGACGGCTCCGGTACCCTGGATGTCATCGTTGAAACAGGTGTAGGTGTCACGGTAACGCTCCAGAGCGGGGAAGGGGTTCTTGAAGTCCTCGAACTGAATCACAATACTAGAAATCCCGTTAGCGTCCGGAGGGTCGGAAGAGATTGGGACGATCGGACGGAAACTTACCCAGGCCAGCGCTCGGTGAGAGCGGTCATCAGCTCATCCATAAACTCCAGCTCCTGCTCGGGGGTGACCTTGTCGTGGCGGCTGCCCATGTAGAGCGGGTCTTCCCGGAGAGTCTTGTTGCTGGTGCCCAGATCTAGGGTCAGGGGCAGAGTGGCCTCGGGACGAATACCGGCACATGCAGTGTACAGGGCCAACTTGCCAATGGGAATGCCCATGCCGTTGATGCCAAGATCGCCCAAGCCAAGAATTCGGGAGCCATCGGTGATGCAGGTGATCTCCACATTGGGCTGGGGCCAGTTGGCAATGACGGCCGCCAGATTGCCGCGATCTTCCCAGCTCAGGTACATGCCTATTTATCCCGAGATTAGCATGCGAATTTATCCCGGCCATGTGGGGAATGGGGCAGAGCTATCGACAAGGGTTGAATGTTGGGGGTTTTTGATTGGCACATATGACCAACAGAAGAAAAAAAAAAAAAAAAACTTACCCTCAGGCTGCTGGTAGATCTCGGACCATCGCTGACAAGCTTCACCAACAACGGGAGTATAGATGAGGGGAGTCAACTCCTGCGCAGGCGTTAGAAAACGTATTCTATCTGCGATAGATTTTTACGGCGTTCACTTACCCGCAGGTGGTCCGACACGAGACGGTAGAAAAGGTGCACATTGTTCTTGCGGATGGTGCTCAGGTAGAGGAATTTGTCAATGGGCGAGCTCTTCAGGGCCAATTGAGCCAGACCTAACGATAGAATTAGTTTTCTGGCTAGAATGGTGGTGGATGGTGGGTATACGAACAGCGCGTCTTCTGAACCTCGTAGGACTCCGCACGCGGGGGAGTCAGACCGTAGGTGCGGAGATACTTGCGAATGTAGGGAGGGTTCGCGGTGTCGTAATTCGACTCCCTACGAAGGACGATTGAGTCAGTGATCATTCATAGTATACAAAGGATAGTGTATGATATTGATTTTTCAGTCCTAGGAAGAATTGGAAGACGTACACTGGAGCGGCGTGGCTCACGTTGGGGGTCGCGTGGACCGGCCGGCCTTGCTGCGCGGGATAACGAGCCATGGTGGCAAGCGGAGTGACGTGCAAACCGGGTTGAGAACGAATTCCGGGAGACGACGACGAAGTGGAAGACAACGAGGCAGTTGAGATAGTAGAGGAAGAGGAGGCAGAGAGAGAGGTAGTCAAGGGGAATGTAGAAAAAAGGGCGGACGAAGAGAAAGATCGAGACGAGGCCACAGGTGGCAGTCTGATTTTATGTAGGCGCACTAGCATTGAACCCCCCTGAGCACGAATCCACCGCATTCCGATGGACAAGAGGCAGCACCGGTTGTGATCTCCAACGAGGTCGTCGCCAGGACTAAAGAGCGCAGCAGTGGATGGGATGGAGGAAGGCGATGGCTCAGCGATCGGGAAGAGTCGGGGGCGAAGGAGCCAGTCAGAGGCCCGGGGATTGGGACGGTGGATATCGGGGGCGGCGGTTGCATGGCAGCGAACCGTTTCGACCGAGTCACGGTGGGAATGGGATACGAAGCTTTCTGGGAAATTGGGGAGGCCAGTGGAAATGGCGAAACGAATTTGGGCGGTCGTGTGGAGAAGCGAGCGAGAAAAAACGGGAGACGCTCCGAAGGCGAATGCGGAGATATTTTTTTGTCTTTTTTTTACTTTTTAGTTGAGAAAAAGGAATTTAAAAAAAAAAAAGGAATAAAAAAGGAATAAAAAAAGAAAAAAGAAATGCCAGGGACCGAATGAGCGCCCCGAAACAATGAGGTGAGGCAATTTCGATGCCTCCAGGACGATAACTACCGTGTAGCACGCAGTACGACAGGAAAAGGCAGGAGTTCAATTTAATTTGGGCGCCGAAGAGTTGGGGACGTGATCTGTCCAGTGGGGGATTTTTTTTTCTCGCGTTTCTTTTTCGAATCTATTTTAATTTTCCATTCTCTTCTCCTCATCTGGACGGTGCCCATTGGCCCCGTTGGTTTTCGTGATTGACATGGCTTTGCTTGCTGACTCCATACGAGTACTCCGGTAGAGGTTACTATTCCGCAGGTAACTATGTTTTTTTTGTTGAGATTTCCTCTGAACCCTTCCGTCCCCTGCTCTTTTTTCTTTTCTTTTCTTTCTTTTTTTGTTGAGCGTCCGGACTAAGCGAGATTTTACCTTTCTACAATTTCCAATTGAAGCAGTGATTTGTATACCTGGTCACTCCGGTCCAAAATCCTCAACATACTCCGGACTCCGCTTCTCGTCGCACTGAGAGTACTGACTACTGAGGAATTCCCACGGCCAGCATCCGACGTGCCTTTGTCTTTTTGTAATCGATTCCCTCTTGCTGGTGGAGCGTGGAGCCGGACCAAACATCCAAACCTCAACTCAAGTCCAATTCCAGAGGCTAAAAGGGTCCGGTGGAGCCGGTCTCATGTGGCAGCAATTAGGCTTAGAGTCGCTAACTTCCTAGTGACTAAATGACTAGTGGCAGGCTAAACTGCGAGAGGAAGGGTTCCAGACTGGCCAGGTGAAGCTGCGAGATTCTTCATCGTCCCCGCAGAGTCAGCGCGGCCCGGAGCCTGCCCGAGTTCGGCTTGCTTGACTCAGCGTCGGTCGGCTTGTTATTCATCTTCTCCGTATTTATCTTGGATTCTTCTTCTATTACTCTTATACGGACTACTCCATGGCGTAATCCCGACACGCGACCACTATCCAATTCGTACCTCTGCCTCGACTACATTTCCTCACCGACGTATTCTCCGGGTCCTTCCTGCTTGCATGCATGCATCCCTTGACGTACGTAATATCCCTACCTGGTAACTACCGTAGGTATTCCGTAGAGGACGGAGTATGTAGGATTCCTGCACAACCCTCCAGTTCCGCCGGATTGCGACATTTTCGCATTTCTCTCCTTCGTACCCAGTTTCCTCGCCGTGTTTCATTTCGTCGGGCCCTCTCCAAAACAACTCCAAATCCCTTGGACCTGCCTGCCCCCTTGTCCAATGACAGCCGAAACCACGATGCCTCCGCGCCGATCGGGCCCGGCCGATGGAGCCTTCGGATGGATCCCAGTCTCCTAGCTGCTCCGTAGCTTCGCTCGACCAACGCCCAGACGATAATGTGCATATTATCAATCCGCCTCCGTTGCAAGACGTCCGGAGTTAGGGCTCTGCTCTGCTTACCCTGGGCGCGCTGACCGACTAGTGAGGAAGCAAGTGAGACTTGAATTCCGAGTGCTGGATTAGTGATGGACGGCAGTTTGGACCGTTCGAGCCCGTCTCTGCAAGTGCCAAAGTACCCATTAGTCAGGGTGGGTTGGGATTTGATTTTTCATGAATAGTCAATCTTGTATTGGAAAAAGAAATATTGGAAAAAAAAAGTAAAATAAAATACTTAAAACCCAAAAATAAAAATAAAAAAAGGCACAAACCAATCAATAAAAGCCGCCGCCTCATTGGCCGCGAATCCTTGAGTCATTTATGCATCGCGTCGAGGGGGATGGAATATACGGAGTAGCCCTCATACTGTGACTTCACGGCCTTCCCCTTGCCTCGCCTCGCCTCGTATCGCGTCGCCTTCGGGTTCCTCCTTCTGGTAGTTCTGAATTCACCTCTACGAAGGCCGTCATGTCATGTCATGTCATCCACAAAGAGTCCGGTCGGATCTACACGCGACCCTATTCTATACTCTATACTGCATAGTTCCCTCTCCCAGTATCCAACTTGCTCGATAGTTAATCCCGATCTGCTCCGCTCCTCGAACTCTCCCCCGGAGTTTCGCCCAATTCATGCACTGCATGGATCACAAGCAAAAGCTTGGTCGGGGCCGCCACGGCTGATCTTTCCCCTTGTCAGTAGTCATACGGAGATTCTGATTCATCGCCCCCTGTACCTCGTAACGTTTCTCCTTCTAGAGTATGTGCATCCCGTGGAGACTCATCGCTGTACCCCAATTCCCTCACGCCCTCCGATATGCACCCCTGCAGGACGAGGTATATTCGGAACGGAGGAGGTCCAAGCCCCGGGAGGTCTTTGTCCTCTGTCGATCTGCCTCTTTCGGCTTATCGTGAACTCAGAGTCCCAGAGTCATCAGAAAACCAGTACTCGACCATCCCCCGACAGAAATCCGTTGGGGAGGAAGCGTGCCACAGGTCCCAACTGTTTCCGCCCAGCTGTCGGGCCTGGGATGTGACGAGTCGGACGCATGCGCACTTAGTCCTGGGAGGCAGGTAGCTCTCCCCGGATTTCCCCTCACCAGGTTTACCTTCAAGGGGAATAGTTCCGTCAACCGGCAAAAAGGGGATGAGTTAAAAAAGAGATGGGGAACATCAGCCACCCCCAGATTTTCCAATGGGATTGGACCGGACAGGGCTGGCAGGGCTGGAGATGGGTCGGTTGCTGGCGAACTGCTGGCTGCTCGGAGTACTGTACGCCGCATGGCAGGTCCGGGTGGGAAGAGTCTCCACATCCAAGTGACGTGCAGCGATCCTGGTTGTTATGGAGTCAGGAACGTCTCTTTTCTGCTTGGTTAAGGCTGGTTTCTGTTGATTGGATGTTTGGGATCGATCAGATCTGGGGTTTTGCAGCTTGGGAGGCTGTCGAAGGCTGTTGCTTACCTTGTTCTGTGTACTGATTCCACCAGCCTTCCAGCACAATTCCACCGCGGCTGGTTTGCGTGTCGTTTATGTGGCCAATGCACCCAGTATAGCAAGCGCAACATTCGACCGACGATACTCGATACTCCCAGACTTTCAAACCCCAGAAAGCCCAGGAAACCGCGTGGAATTCGATATCGACAAACCACGCGACACGCACTAAACCGTTTACGGTAATTTGCTGTCGAGGGCGGATGCCTGAGCTCTCAGGTGTTGACTGGAGCGTTCTTACGTCACACGTCGATCATCATAACTAGCGAGTCAACTACGCTTGAACTAAAGTTGGATTGGCCAGCAGGAATTGGTCTTGCGGGTTCGAGACCGAGTTGGTTTATGCAGCCAGTGCCGTGTTGTCTGGTGATCGGAGTCGTGAGGTTGCGATCAGTCAATTCATTGTTCCTGGGCATGGATAGATGGCTCCTCTAGAGATGGTACCGGGTGATAGCTTATTGCAATATCTTAAGGTCAGACCATCTTGATTTATCTTGTATGCTGCATCCTATCATTATCGACAGGATCTGAAAAACAGATCACCTGATGTAAAAGCGGCGACGGTGACGCAAGAGTGAAATGAAATGCCAACGAAGACCGGCTCAATGCAGTTAGTCCGCCTGCCATGACATGCCATTCCACGCCTCCGCTTTCCCAATCCCTCTCTTCCTCTCCTTGACAATCCATCCGACGACCATCGGGCATCGCACCCCCTACAAACAATTCATCCCGATAGCGACGTCGACGGGTCGGCCCATCGCCCACCATGCCGCACGAGGAGACCGAGCCGCTTCTCCCGCGATACGAGGAGGACACCACCCTCCAGCGCCGCCTGCATCAGAAGCTACACACCTATCAGATGCTTCGCGCCCTCTCGGAGGGTTACATGCCGTCGACCGACCAAGTCATCGCCAATCTCCGCACCCTATTGGCCACCGACATCCTCAATCCTCGGTCTCAGGAGATCGGCTCCGTCGGCCGCCAATTGATTCGGGATTGCCGTCTCTGGGTCCAGGTGTTCATCGAGCTACTGCGGGATAAAAATGGAACCGATCAGCTGCAGGATTTTCTGTGGCATTTGGCCCGATCTCGTGCCTCCTTGGACCCGAATCATCTCTCGCAGCATGCCGCCCAGGTGAAGGCCAGGGCGGATACCAAAACCGGTATGCATCTCTATTGTGTTCTATTCCGAGGCTTCCCGACGGGTGGGATGTCGATTACCAAGGCCTAGCTGACGAGATGCAGCGTATGATAGTCTCCGAACAGTGGGACAGCTCCTTCTGACCAATGCGGACTTTCGGCTCTTCGTCAATGACCTGACCACCGTCGGCCGTCAGATCTTCTCGGACACGGCATTCTCCCTGTCGAATGCCTCGCAGCAGGTGGGCGAGCAGCTGAAACCGTCCGACGAGGATGTACAGGCAGTGCAGAAGGCGGGTGCGGACGAGGGTCGCGCGCCGACCAAGGAGGACTTGCGCAACGAGGCCGAAGAACTGGTCGATGTGGCGGGCAGTGGGGTGGTCCGTACGGGCCGGGATGCCGTGGATAGCGCCAAAGAACATCTCGGCGAGCAAGAGAAGGAGACTCTGTTCTATCGGCTGAAACAGGCCGTTCTGAGACTGCGGCAGCGACCGGATTATACAGATTCCGTCGCGACGCTAGGACAGCTGGTGACTCGTTATGCTGCGATCTATGCCAATGTCGCCTCCGATGTCGTCACGACCGCCGAGGACGAGGTGGACATTAATGCAGACCTCAAAGAGGCGGTGGAAAGGTTCTGGGTGCTACTTCAGTCATTCGGTGACTCGAAGGAGTGGAAAGTTCTAGAGCAGGACTTCTCGCAAGTGCTGCAGCATGCGAACAAGGACCCCGAGTTTGAGACATTCATGTCAGAAATTGGCTTCTCTATTCAGGAGATGCTGACCAACCCTGATTTCTTCGACAATGCCTCGGAAAAGATAGGTGAACTAGAAGGCAAGTCCAAGAAAGTGGGTGCTGGGTCCAATTTGCGCCAGGATGTGGATGCCTTCCTGGTACAGGCAAAACGGGCCCTGCGAACCGTTCCGGAAGACACCGCGGTGTCTAAGCTGGTGGATGTCACCAACAAAATCTACAAGGATGCATGGGCGGGGTATCATGACCAGAAAAGCCGACTGCCGGTCGACATGCTCGAAGTGCTCTTCCCTCTCATCCTCCGCCACATCCAGTACATCCCAATCCCGCGCCTTGAAATCTCCGCGCCAGAACTCGATCTTCTGCTGGAAAACTTGATACTGGAGCCGGGGCACGGTGTCCAATATTCCTCATTCCTTCCATATCGGATGCACCTCACCACGCGTAACGACATCGACATTTTGAAGAGACACTCGAAGCGTACAGAGACCGATTTGAAGACCACTTTCACCGCTACCGTCATGGGCCTCAACCTCAGCGCCTCGGAATTCGGATACTGGCTGCGCACGCACTCCGGCCCATTCTGCCTCTTCAAAGACGAAGGAATCGCCAGCTTCTTCCTGGACAAACGAGGCGTGGACATCTCCCTCGATATCGAAGTCGGCCGCGAACGCCTCGAGCAAATCTTCACCTTGCGCGGTGTGCGCGTGGTTATCCACAAGCTGAACTACAAAGTTCACCGCAGCAGATGGCGATTCCTTCTCTGGCTGACCAAGCCGTTCCTCAAACACATGCTGCGCCGGGTGCTTGAGAAAAAGATCGCCGAGCAGATCGTCCAGGCCGCGTTTGCCCTGAACCGCGAGCTGGTCTTCGCCCGGGAACGGCTGCGTGCCGCGCAAATCGCCAATCCCCGCGACCTGGCTAGTCTTGTCCGCGCCATCCTCGCTCGTCTTCAGCCCGTCTCGGACGTAGAGACCCGCATCGCTCTCGACGCGCCAGGTCGCGGCGTCTTCAAGGGCGTGTATGCTCCCGGGAGTCTGGCCAAGGTCTGGCACGAAGAAGCCCTGCGGGCTCAGGAAGCCATTGAAGAGGGTGAAGAAAGTCAGGGACTAGGACGGACATGGCGAAATGATATTTTTGATGTTCCGAGACGGTGATGTGTGGGTACTTAATGATGCCTGATGCTTAAATACTGATGTCGGGGCTGGGAGTGTCTCGATGCTACTTCTCTACTGACTGATCTGATCTGATTGATATGACGATACGAGCTGTATTTTCTTTTCTTTATGTTTTTATCTCCGGCTTATTGCACCGGACAGCTGTCAAATATCTAATGAATGCTATGCTACGAAATGGTATGAAAAATCAACGCCTCTCCGGCCCGCACATTGATCCATGTCAATTTTCCACTCGGTCAAAAAGGATATCAGTCTTTACCAGGTACCTAGTAGGCTTCGGTTCTCGCGACAGGGATTGTTTCGTCACGTGTCGATGCGCAGGCTGACGTGGTAGCGGCGACTGCGCAAGATCGTCCCTTCACAACCAACCAGCTCACTCTAGAACAAGCTCCGTTAGGTCGACATCTAGACACAGATGAAATCAAAAGCACGGTCACACGATGATTACACTGTCGGATGGATCTGCGCTCTCCCGTTGGAGATGGCTGCGGCCAAGATGATGCTAGATGAGCTCCATCCGCCACTATCGCAGTCTCAACACGACACCAACACGTACGTACTGGGGCAGGTCGCACATCACAATGTCGCAGTCGCATGTCTTCCATCAGGCATATATGGAATTACCTCTGCAGCGATCGTGGCGAAGCAGATGCTGCTAACCTTCCATTCGATACAGTTTGGATTGATGGTTGGTATTGGGGGTGGTGTTCCACTTTCGGCCGACATTCGACTCGGCGATATTGTGGTCAGCCAGCCAAGCGGATGCCTACCGGGCGTTGTGCAATACGACTCGGGCAAAACAGTCGAATCAGGACGGCTGCAACGTACCGGAAGAAGGAACATGCCTCCTCAGGAGCTTTTAACCGTTGTGTCGCATGTGGAGTCGAATCGCATGGCTGGGAAGTCCCAGCTTCAGGACCATATTGCCAGGGTAACAGCGAATGAGGAGCGGTCTGCTTTCCATTCGCCGGGACCAAACCAAGACAAACTCTTCAACGCATCATATTGTCATGACCCATCCTGTCCGGACTGCTCGAAGTGTGACCAAGATCAGATAGTGGACCGCAAGCCCAGATCTTCCAATGTCCCCAGGGTCTATTGCGGGACAATAGCTTCGGGCAATCAGGTTATGAAAGATGGGCAAACGCGTGATCAACTAGCGCGGGAACTGGGCATCCTATGCTTCGAAATGGAGGCAGCTGGGCTGATGGACCATTTCCCGTGTCTGGTGATTCGAGGAATTTGCGACTACGCCGATAGTCACAAGAACAAAGCTTGGCAGGGATATGCAGCTGTTACGGCAGCTGCATATGCAAAGGAGCTTCTATCGGAGGTGCCAGTGAAACAGACACAGCTGAGTCGACAGAATAGCTTTCCCGGTTAGTATACTGCTTTCTGAAGGCAGAGTATTATGATTAACCTACAATAGAGAAGTTTACTGTTCGATCCAGTTCAATCGAGCTGCGACAGGCATCCGACCTCGTCGGACGAGAAAAGGAGCTTGCAGATATCTATCAAAAGCTCCATAATGACAACCTAAAACATACGGTTGTTCTTCATGCGCTTGGTGGAATAGGCAAGACCCAACTCGCGGTGAAATACATATTGGATCACAAAGACGAATACTCGGCTGTGTTCTGGCTGGACGCTACAGACCCTGCGACCTTGAAATCCAGCTTTGAGAACATGGCCTATCGGATTGCTCTTGACCATGCATCAGAAGAGAACTTGAAAAGCATCATCGACTTCCAAAACCCTCCCGCACAGCAGTTGTTGAAACGACTCGAAAGCCTTAAAGGCGATTTTCTCAACTCTCCGCCGTTTTCTTGGATTGATAAGATAAGAGATAATTACACGAGAGAGGAGTTTGCATCAAATCTTAATGAAGAGAGTCTAAAGGCCGACCCAAGCAGTCCTGTTGTGGAAACGATGAAGATGTGGCTGAGCCAACGAGGAAATACCCGGTGGCTGTTAGTATACGATAACTATGATGCCGAGAAATACCATGCATTGCAAGCGAACGACTCTGGAAATATTCGGTCTTTCTTACCCGGTGCATTGCAGGGACATGTTATAATCACAACTACTTCACCAAAGCTGGGATTTGACGACGTGGTCCACGTTCAGAAGATGAGCAGCCAGCAAGGCCTTCGGATTTTATGTTCAACATCAGGTCGATCGAACCTGGAAGAAGGTGCTCAACTCAACCCCAATCTACTACATTTACTAATAGTTAATTCAGATCCCTATGCCCGTGAGCTAGTGAATGAAATGGACGGAGTGCCGCTTTATTTAGCGACTGTAGGGAGATACTTAAAAAAAGTGTCCATCTCCTGTCGCGAGTACCTTGACCTATACAAAGAGGAATACTTCAAGCTTGAGGAACACGCTCCTCAATTGTTTTGTTATGAGAGAAAGATATACAGCAATTGGGTGATTGTTCTTCGGAAGATAAAATCGTCCAAGAATTCGGCGCCACTTGACCTTTTGTTTTTCTGGATGTTTTTTGACAACCGTGATCTCTGGCGCGAATTCCTACTGGGCTTTGAAACCTCGTCTTCATCATCTCTAGCTGATGATCCCATCGCATTTCATGAGGCTATGAGTGTTCTTCTTGAACATGGAATAGTAGAGGTTGCACAAGATCCGGGCAATGCAGCGAGTCAGTCCAGAGGCTATACACTGCTCAAACCCGTGCATTCTTTTCTCCCGCACTACTTTGAGTTGACATCTAACGAAGCTAAAATTCTGTCCAACTCTGCCTTCATACATGTCGGAAAATATGCGAAACAGCTACTTGAAAGCCAAAATTACGATGACTTTCATCGCTGGACTCCTCATGCGAACGGATGTTGGGAGCTTGTCCATCGGGGAATTGCTGCCCAGGATCATGAATTCGCTTCGTTCTTTGCTCAAACCTGTCATGATATTGGCCTTACCATTTGGCGAGGTAGCGGATGGATCAATCCTAGGGCCTCGGTTAAATTTCTCAACGCATTCTACGTTAACCTCTCCAGCCGTGTCGACAAGTATATCATGGCAGAGCGCTGGTTTAAGACTGCCCTAGAGATGGAGAAGAGCTCTACTGAGCCTAGTTTTGCTTGGATGACTTTACGTTTTAATGAGCTGCATCTCATGCACATGACAATGGGCGAACGATTCAAAGCACTCAAGACGGGGCTGTTGAAATTGGCCACCTATCACGAAAACAAACGCACTGACAGGCTCAACTATTACATGTGCTGGCTTGATATCATTAGACCTTTCGGGTCTTCTCTGGTCTACTACCTCACTCCGTTATTCCTTTACTATCTCTCTGTCCCTTGGTATGAAAAGGCATTCATAGTTGCTGAATTTTGCGGCCTCCTGCTATCATATGCTTTCTTCGCTCGCTGGATAACACGGTGGAAAGCTCATTCCCTCTGGATGATTCTTGTGCTAGCGTTGGAGGCCTGCTGCTGGTCATGCGATGTATTTCATGCGTTCGAGCGGGTTTATATTTCCCGATATTTAAACTGGACCTTCCAGTTACTAACAATGTCAAGTGTAGCGGTACATGATGGGCTGGAGTGGCATAAAACAGAGCCATGAATGGGTTGAATGAGTTGAACAGGATAGAGTGGACATAGTAGGTTCTTTGTTGATTTGTTCAGGGCATCTGTTTATTTTTCTTTCTCGGATCAGCAAGGCATGCATACTTTATTGCATTAGCCCACATCCTCCCCTACTCTACCATACTCTAAATCCCCCCCCCCCCCGATCTTCCAAACAGCACCAAGGACTGAACTGAGCACCGAAACCAATATCCACATCCACTCAACCCGCCCCAACCCCTCGATCCTCACAAGCATCACGAAGCAATGAAACCATACGCCCGGAGAGATCAACATCCTCGACTTCAAGCCTACCCCCGCGCGGAAACACAACCTTCCGGAGCGAATTGACCCACGGGGCCAGCGGGGCATAAAATGGCGTGAAAGACCGCCTTGTCAGGACCAGGAAGTCGGGCTCGTGGGCGACGATGCCTTTCTTGATGTCGGCGAGCTCGCGGTCAGAGAGGCTTGTGGAATTCCATCTTTCGAAGCGGGTGGAAACCGCGCCGGTGGGGCCGTGGTGGATGCAGATCCAGAAGAAGGATTCGAGGTCGTGTGTGTATGAGTGGCGCTCGTCGAGGAGGAGGCCGATGGCCATGAAGGCGCGGGTTCCTCTTGGTTTGGCTCTGGGAGGTGGGGTTGAGGGAGGAGCGTGTTGTTGGTGCTGGTCCTGGTCTTGGAGGGCGAGGTCTAGGTCGATGAGAAAAGCGTGGGAGTGGACGGGGTTGCTGGACTCGTTGAGCATCAGGTTGGTAGGTGAGATGTCGCCGTGAAGGAGACCAGTTTTCAGGTGTAGGGAGTGGTAACCTAATGGGTTAGGTTTGAATGGGAAATAAAGAGCGTTACCTTCGATAGAGCGTTACCTTCGATAGAGCGTTACCTTCGATACATTGAGCAATGGCAGAGAGGAGGGAGAGACGGGACCTTGCTTGGTAGATAGGCACTCCGTAGTCTTGGACGATGACGCGCCGATGGACCCTGTTTTCTCCCGGGTCGTGCTGGCAAGTGCGCTTGGGAGGCGACCACCGGGGGCTGAGATGGCTGGATGTCCGCTTGTGCCCGGCGGTGCTGGGAGAATGGGCAGCCTCTGCGGAGTCTGCCATGGCCTCGAAGGTGAGGAGGGTGGAGTGGTCCTGGTGGTATCTCCTGCCTTGCTTCAAGTCCAGGCCTCGGCGTACAACACCCTGGATGTCATCGTCTCTACCATGGATCTGCACGGTGTCATGGTAATAATATCGGGCCACATTGACAACGTGTTTCTCGTAGCAACACTCCTTCATGCTTTCTTCCCGGGTCCTGCCAGGAGTCTTTGATGACAAGAGGTGTTTTGTTGCCCTCGCGGCGGGCCTTCCAGCACGTCGTGGCTCGTCCGGCAATACAGGAAGGTCTCCTGATAAGCCCGTCAAGAATGAGACGCTCTGGTTGCCCATCTCGCACGATGTCAAGACATCGAGTACCGTCCGAAGTGCTAACGATAGTAGAGTCATAGCCCAATTCCTCTGTGTTCATCCGAAGAAACGCTAGAATTGAGAGAACGAACCGGACACCCTCGTCGTTGATATTAAACGGCGTAGATGACACAGCTCCCACGCGATCAAATCCCCATAACCGCATGATCAGTCCACATAGCGTAAACCCGAGGACGAAGCGACGAGAATCCTGGGCAGTGAAAACGTCCCGCGCATCCCGCCCAAGACCAATCCAGGTTCTCGAGGCTGTATCCATCTCAGGGCTCCGTTTGAGTGTTCCCACGATGAGTACATTTGACCAATTTACTTCAGATTGTTTACTGCTCGCATCTCTGGAATCGACGACCCCAACAGCTGACTGTCGAGAGGTCGCAGAGCCTTGGAGTGGCTGGTAAGGCCACCCCAAGATGCTGCGGCAGTCCTTTGCTAGGAAGTTCATCTCCGTTGCGATTCTCTTGATCGTGTCAATTATTTTGATCAGCCAATCCAGAACCTGTTTTTCTTCAGCCAGTTCAGGCCAGCCAATCCAGCCAGTCTCGTCATAATATAAGAAATCATCACCATCTTTGAGCTTACTGAAAACGACAGCAGCCACTTCCTGGAGACCATCCACAGTACCAAAGTACGCCTCGTCGAACCCAGGCACGTCAGTATATATCGAGCCTAGCTCATCCTCGAGCATAGCATCTTCATCGCCCCAGGATTGGCCAGAGTCAGAAAAAGCACCACTAGAGCAAATGGACGGCGTTTGCTCAACACGCGGTGGTGGTGGTGGTGCCGCCGCAGCGTAGACTATCCCAAACAACAGCATCCGGTTCTCGATCGAGGACCGCAACCAACAGCGGAACGATGCGGTCGAATTCAAACTCATCGGAATTAATACTTTCACTCCACCTTGCCAAGTCCCCGAAGAGGTTCTTACACCCCCCGATGGACGGCAATAACCGAGACGCAGGAAGCGCCTGCAAAGCCAGTACCAGATCCAGTGAAATATCCTGACGATCTAGCTAAGTACTGATTGATTAGAAGCGCCCGCTCTTGCTCGAGGGAAGGTAAAAGCTCTCACCCTCGGGGCTGAGATTCAGTATGGCTTCGACCGAAAAGGGGAGTCCCCTGCTTTCGCAGACTGAGGTCAGGTTGGCGCGAAAGGCATCTAGCCCTGCGCCAATGGGCTTGTGGTCGATGATCTGGTCCATTCTGGGATCTTGGAGGTAGTAGGTAGTCGCATTTGCGAGTGACTTAGGATTGATATCGAAAGAAATGGAGAAGCAAGGATAGCCTCCTTGTTTATCAACAGGCATCCGCTGAGTCATGTATGTGTGCATAAGTAGGAATAAGATCGATCCATGTCCTCATGACGGTCCTCAAGGTACGCATCTTAAGGACTATAACTCTACAGGCACAGAAGTGACAAAGTCAATTTCTAACTTATCTATATTCAAAAATTAAAATCATAACTCGTCCTTCACGTCTTCTGCAGAAGGCTTGGGCCGGTTCCCATCGGCCGCGAGATCAACCCCGATCTTCTTCCTCCATTTCTCCCACAGCGAAAAGAATTCCTTCTCCATGCCGCTTTCCATCTGGTCCGGCAGGATGACGGAGTACTCGACGTACAGGTTTCCGGGGACGTCGTCGTCCTCGTCGGACTGGTCGTGGAGATGGCCCTCCGAGTACGCCGGCATGCCTTCGCCCACGACGGTTTCCACGGAAAGTGGCTGCACGACCTGGCCGCGCGAGCGGGAGAGGTGAACGATGTGTCCGTCCAGATGCGTGAGGTTGCGCGACCACTCGCCCATCCAGGCCTCGCGCAGCGAGAGCGCCTCTTTCCAGAACAGATCGCGGCCCTTGCGTCGGAAGAAGGTCCCGTCGGTGCGCTGGTCCTCGGACTTGCCGAGCTCGGGCTCCCGCTCCTCCAGCACCAGCACCAGGTCGCCGGCGATCCAGTCGGGGCTCTCGTCCGCCTCGTTCTCGAACACGATCTTCTGCCCCTTGTCCATGCCCGGCTCGACGGTGAACGAGGTGTCGACGTCGCGCCGCACGACGCGGTGCCCACCGCACACGCCGCACGGCTTCTTCACCATCTTCCCTTGCCCGCCGCACTTGTCGCACTGCATCTGCACCTGCTGGAACATGCCCGGTGCCAGCATGTGTTTCTGGATGAACGCCCCGCGCCCGGAACACTTGTCGCACGTGATGACCTCCTTGTCGGCGGACCCGGTGCCCTCGCAGGCGTCGCAGATCTGCTGCTTCTCCAGGGTAATCTCAACCTCGCGTCCGTTGTAGAAATCGCGCAGCGGCAGGCCCACGCGGAACTCCATGTCCGGACCGCGACGGTGGCCCGGCGCGTGGCCGAAGTGTCCGCCGCCGCCGAAGAAGCGCGAGAAGATATCGAACGGGTCGTGGGATTGTCGGCCGGCGGTGCCGCCGGAGCGGTGCTGCTCGACGCCTTCGTGGCCGTATTGGTCGTAGATCTTGCGCGTCGTGGAGGTGGAGAGCACATCGTAGGCTTCGGCGATTTCGACGAACTTTTCGCGCGCGGTTTCATCGCCTCTGTCAAAGTCAGCGGGTCTTATCTGGCCCATTTAGGTGTATTGAGATTGGGAGAACGAACGGGTTCTTATCCGGATGGAACTTCTTGCTCAGCGTCCGGTACGCCCGCTTGATATCCCGCTCGGAGGCGGATTTGTCTAGCCCCAGGATCTTGTAGTAATCCTCGGCGGCGAGAACGACCTGCAGCAGACATACTGCGAGGACGAGAAAAAGGCAGAAGAGACGCATTGTGAATGAGCTGCGAGCGATGCAGCTCCTGCGTCGCGGATTCTAATGTCGGATCGGTTCAGGTATTCGATTGAAGATAACAATCTGAGGTAATTCGGTAGATAGGTGTTGAGATAGCGAGTCGCAAACCACAGTAGAATGCGGTGGATCGAGTTTCTTTATAATGACAGCTGTAGATGTCAATAATGAAATATCCAGGAGCTCGAGATCAGCCAAGATCTCAAGGTGGTGGAAGAAGCTGCCGGCGAGAATGGATGTTTGCCGGTTGGAGCTGGAAGTACAATATAGTTCTCGCACGGGGAGGGAAAGTAAAGGTGGCCTACGGAGGAGGGTTTCTCCGATCACGTGTATAGATCGGGCAACAGATTAGCTCGAGATAAGCTGCTGTCTATCTGAATACATTTATTGCTGGATACTAGGTATCTTGCCTGACAATTTCATAATACAAAAATTAAGGAAAAAAAACACCAACGTCCTCCAGATTTCCCATACACCGACAAGCAATCGTAGCACCAATACTCGACTCCTGGACCGCCCTGCGCCAAGCCAATAAACCCGGCAGAATAAGCAACACCGCACACCGCCCATCGCAATTTTATCTTCATTTTCCAGTCCGACCCTCCACCGATCTACCTACTATCCCAACCAAACTAAATCCCCCGCAACACCGCCAAAATGGTCCGACAACTCAAGCATCACGAGAAAAAGTACCCCTCCCTTCCACCCCCACCCCAGACCCAGACCCAACTAACAACTCCCTCCCAGACTCCTCCGCAAGCACAACTTCGAAACCTACAAATCCGACAACGACCACCGCGAATCGACCGTCCGAGCCCGCTACTACCTGCAGCACCCGCTCGACTACAAGAAGTACAACTCGCTCTGCGGATCGCTGCGACAGCTCGCGCACCGGCTGTCGCAGCTGGACCCCAGCACCGACCCCCTCCGCAAGAAGATCGAAGCCGACATGCTGGACAAGTTGTGGCGCATGGGGATCCTGAAGCAGAGTCGCGAGCAGGGGGCCGGGCTGTCGCGCGTCGAGCGCGAGGTGACTGTTTCGGCGTTCTGTCGGAGACGGTTGGGCGTGGTGATGGCGAGGAATGGGATGGTGGAGAATATTAAGACGGTGAGTTTTCTCTCCCCTTCTTCTTTGGGGATTAGGATGAGGGAGAGGGAGAGGGACATGCGGGTGCTAATGATATCAGGCCGTCACGTTCATCGAGCAGGGCCATGTCCGCGTCGGAACCGAGGTCGTCACCGACTCGGCGTTCTTGGTCACCCGCAACATGGAGGACTATGTCACCTGGGTGGATAGCAGCAAGATCAAGCGGAATATCATGCAGTACCGCGACAAGCTGGACGATTTCGACATGCTGTGAGGTTGCTTGTTGGGTTGGCTTGATGATATGGTAGCATGGGACTCGTGTCGGTGTCGGTGTCGATATCTATGCTTGAGAGTGGTGGATGCTGTGGAAGTTTCGCTCGATTTTACACACTTCGGTTGATATACCCTATATTTCAGTTCATATTTATGTCTGTATCTGACGATGTTGAGAGAGTTTGATTGGATTTGAGGCCACGGCGTTTTTTGGGTTTGATTATGGGATGAAAAGTTGTGGATTGCTTTATTATTATTAGCACGTTGCATTGGTAGAATTAGAATCAAGATCCATCTATATGCACATATATGCACATGGAAAGATAAAATAAAGATTGAACTCGGTTCAGTCTACTGCAATTCTCAATGGGTATCATAACTTCAAATCTCAACCAGCCAGCCAGTCAGTCAGACAGCATCAGCAAGCATCCACTCCACTTCTGTCTCCCGTCCATAGGTACGTGTGTGTATGTACCTAGGTGGTGTGCTCAACACATCCTTCATCCATAACCACCTTCTAAAGCAATATCAAAAAGCCCAGCCTAACCTATTCTTGAAAGCCCCAGGCTTCTCTTCTTCCCTTGCGATGTTGCGTCCTTCAAGAGCTATCCTCGCCGGCGCCGGATAGCCTTGCTCTATGGGGTATTTCCACGGCGTACCACCAGGGTCTCTCTCTAATCAAATCAAGCCCTCAAGCAGTATCACTTCTCGTCCTCCCCACAAGTTTTCTCTTCAAGTTCAGCCCGCGCATGGTCCCCGCTCTCTCGGGCACAGCGGGCGTTTCGTCGGGCAAATCCATACGGAAGCGACGCACGCTACCCTCGTAATTGCCCTTGCCGTCTTTGTCCTGCTCGAAGAACGGGGTGCGGTCGCCGCCGAAGCGCGCCCAGCGCGGCGCCACGCGGCGCCAGAACCCGCGCACGCCGCTGCTGGCGCGGTCGATCTTCTTGTACTCGCGGCGGCGGGTCGACGGCGAGGTCCAGTCGATGACGGTGGTGGAGGGGTGGATGGGGGAGATGGGCTCCGAGTCTCGCGCAGTGAAGGCGGAGCAGGTGCGGCGGGGAGGGGGGAAGTGCGGTCTTTGGGCGGTCCTGCTGGACATGGAGTGCAGGGTGGGAGATAGAGGTGGCGTGCTGAGGTCTGAGTAGGTGCGCACGGTGCGTGGAGGGGTGCTATGCAGGGCTCCGGTGGAGGAAGGCGAGGGTGTGTTGGGCTCGGTTTCCTTGACGAGTCCGTTGTTCTGGAAGAGGCGACAAGATTCGCGATGCAAGGCGAGGAGGTGCTGGCGCCTGGTTTCAGGGTCGCTAGGACTGGGCTGAGAGGACGGAGTGAGAGAAGAGGTGGTCACCGCGCGGCGGTGCGAATGCAGCGAGCTATGACGGCTTCCGGGCGGCGCAGAGCGTCGAGTGCTGCGTGATGTTGAACGGAGATGCTGGGAGGGAGTGGTCGAGGCAGGCGAAGGAGGTGAGGCGGTTCGCTTTCGCTTGGGCGTCCGACGTTTGGCAGACGCCGGCGAGGAAGTGGCTGCGGGCACGTCCAATCCGGTGGACGTCGACTCTTGGATACTCTCCATCTTCGGAGACGAGGGCTGCTCGACGACAGCGAGGCCTGGGCTCTCGAGAGGAAGCTCGGTAACGTGCAGCATGGTTTCCTTGACTTCCATGATATTCAGAGAGGAGATGGATTGCGAGGCAAGATCGACTTCGACAGCAGAAAGGGTTGAGACATCTCCGGGGTTTGTAGTGGGTGGAGACGACGCAAGGGCAGGCTGAGGAACTATATGCAGCGGGCGGTTATGGCTGCTATTAATATGTGCCCCATGAGGTGGACCATTGTCACAGTAGGCGCCGTGAACCGGATGGCGGACGGAGCATGTGGAGGCAGCAGCCATCAGGACTAAAGAAAGGAGGGATTCACTTGCACCCAAGCATTCACATGCCCGAATGCCTGAAGACAGCGAGGCAGGTCAGGAGCGTGAATTATTGGTGGAGATCAGCCGACCATGAGAACGGGAAGACGCTCAGTATGAATAACGATAACGATAGCGACGATCTTTTGGAGTCGAAGGAGGGGGCGGTTGAGAGGAAGACGATCGATAAGATTAGGGTTCCGAGGAGGGGAAGTCGAGTCGCAGTTTACTTTTAGTGAAAGGCCAGGAAGATAGGAAACGAAGAAAGTGATTGATGCTTTGTCGATGGTGGGGTGGACCGTCAAAGACGAGGGATTTTCCAGAGGACCACAGATCAAAAGAAAAGAACGAACAAATGCAAAAGAAAGAAAGTCAAAGAACGAGAGACGCAAGGAACGAAAGACCCAAATTGGCCGTGACCGGTCAGGCGGACGAGTCTGGAGGCATCCGCATGCCTTTTAAGCCGTCAAGGAATGGCGATGGTGTGATAATCGATCCTGCGTCTCACCGACTGGGGCGCTTTTACCTGCAGAGCCGGTCTTGACTCTGAGCGGACTTTAGTTAAGTTTTCTTGCCTACTTTAGCGGTGGTTTAGTGCTGCTTCACCGACAGTGGGTGTCCAGTTCGCGCCGGTTCAGATCGCAAGCCCCTCCGGTCTGGCCGCACCGATTCAGCAACGATTGTCCAACATGTCAAATCCCCTCCCCGCATTCGCCCGAGACACTCGAGGCCAGGAGGCGACGGTGCCGGTCGGTGCCAGGGAACGAGCCCGTCAAACCGGAATTGAGCGCCCATGGCTGCGATGTCTTTCCCCTGCATGAAGCCCGAGTCTAGATCGACCGTGCCTGCAGCCCTGGCAGGCACCGGTCGCTGCCTGAGGCCGTCCGCGCCCGGACTCTCGAGCGTCGAGTGTCGGCATCGACTCCGCCGAACCTGCGATCGACTCTTTCCTTCGAGAAAGTCCACGGAAAGGAAAAGAAAGGAAAAAAGCAGAAGAAAACAGAGGCTGCCAAAGACTAAAAGCCCCCACCGCAGCGAATCTCCGCTTCCGCGCCCCGCCTGCTCCGCCATGCCCCTCCGACGGGCCCCCTGATTGGCCCGCTCGGTTGACCGCCAGTTTCTGGCGGGAAATCGAGAGGTATTTAGTAGTGGAAGTAAGAAGTACCTATTGCAGACAAGAACTGACCAGGGCAATGAACTCCTATTTCGACCTGCGCATAGGGTAGCACGGCGTGGCTGACATCACCCGCCGGTATGTGCTCCACGACAGCAAACTGGGCTGGACGTGTCACGACTCACCTTGTCGATTCCAGCCTGGTGACCGGTCATAGTGTAGTAGGTAGGTAGGTATGACAGATCAGAATGAGCAGCGGTGCCATTCCTACGAATTGAAGGACTTGCATGAAGGATTAAGGGGAATAATCGCAATGATAATCATAATAAGAACAAACCAAAAGACATCCACCGAGCATACGTGTAGGTGGTTTCGCCGAGAATCCCCCTGGTTGACCCCTTTTGGCGCACGGCAAGAACTCGATAGTCATCACTAGTAGTACCTTAACCACCAGCCCCATCTCTCCTACTCCGTACAATCCTAAATCGACCTCCTGAATCCGAAGACCGCAGCATTCTCATCCAGAAAAGGTGATTATGTTCAGCCCCATCTTTCATAACCTGTGGTTCGGACTCCGCCTTGAGAGGAATTCGGGTGCGGCGCTGTCAGCCACGCGAGGATGACGTAGCCAAAGTGCCCCGACGGATTCCTCAGGCGCATTTCGGCGTTCGGCACGTGGGGATCGGACTGTACATCCTGCAGCTATCCTTGTCGGCCACCGAGATGATCGCGCAGGGATCAACCGAGAAGGGATACTGATGCTGCGTTGGCCGAGTCGTTTACGTTAGAACGTTAGTGCGTTAGTACTGTTAACTGTTGGTGGCATACGGTATACCAGAGAACGGATGTAGGGCTAGCCGATTATACTTTATTCAAACCTTACGGACTGACCGAATATCTAGACAGATAATCCCTTGCAGACTCTGAAGCTGTGATGGTAGAATGGCGAATCTTTTGCCATTGGCAGGGTAGCATCTTGCAGTAGGAAGGGGATCGTGGAGTTTGATGCGTTGCTGCCTGCTGCTAGCATGACGGCACGCTTGCCGCAGAAGATGCTATTTTACCAAGATTGCCATCCGCCCCTCAGAAAGAGTAAGATACTATGCAACTGTGACTTAACCTGGACGAGGTTTCTGCTCAATGCAACGATGAGGAATCATGACATGAGTTGCCGGTCGGAATGACTCCTGTCTGCAGATTCGTCTGCATGTCCCCTGCATACAAGAGCTTCCATCTCGATATCAAAATGCTGCGGAGTGGATGCTGTAGAGTAGATCATTAGCTCAGTCTCTTTTACCGTTTCTCCAGGGCTTTTCCCGTCTTCTACAGCCGCAGTACAAACCTCCCTCCCTCTAGACGCGTCCCCGAGCTAGAATCCTCGAGTATCCTCCCGGAAAACTAACTTCCTGACGCATCACGAACGAATAACTGCATCATTCAGCTTCTGCCTTCTGTTGCAACAGTAACATCGATCCCAGCAAACTTTCCCAGTGAATGACCCTCCAATCCGGCCGCTCCATCACTCCCAGAGCTTCACCCCAACCACGGAAGCTTCCACTTCACCACCATCATTCACTACGACATCCTGACCCCCCTCCAGCTAGAGCATCACTTTTTCCTATACAAATCTCATGCTCTTTTGCCACCGATTATTGCGTCGCTTACTGCTAGCGCCGTTTCCCTGCGTATAAATTCCCCCTTCCTCTCCCTCTTCCTCTTCTTCTTCCTTTCCTTCTCCAACTCCCCTCCTCGTAGCCCACCCTCTTGCAGGGCGAGTTAGACAGGAGCTGCATACTGGGGCTACCGGATGCATGACTCCTGTCACCTAGTCGACTTTTCCTTTCTTCTTCTGCTTCCTTCTACTCGCCTTATTTCTTTCCTTGTCTCTCTGCAAGCACCTCTCTCTGCTTCTTCTTTTCTTGCCTTATTTCTTTCCTTGTCTTATCTACTACTACCTTACCAGCCTTTACTTGTCTTATTTCTTTCCTTGTGTCTTTGCAAGCACTTCTCCCTACTTTTTTTCCTACATTACTTTGCCTTTGCCTTGTCTTCTCTGCTATCATCTTACCTATCTTACCTTGACTGTCTTCCCTTTCTATCTTCCCCAACCAATCGATCGAGGAAAAAAAGAGAAAAGAGAAAAAAGAAAAAAAGAAAAACAGAAAAAACAATCGGGCGGGTTACGGACGGGCAAACAAAAGAAAAAAAAAAAGAAACAGAAAGAAAAGAAAATCAGAAAAATCATAGGGCGGGTTACGGATGGCACCAAAGAAAAAAAAGAACAGGACAGAAAGAACAATCGGGCGGGTTACGGATGGCACACTAATACAATCTTCCTCTTCTCCTCCTTCTTCTTCTACAGGGACATTCGACTGCTCTTGTCTTTCTCGAAAGACACTTCCAGGTCCCTTGGTTGGGCGGTTGGGACGGGCCTGGGTTATCAGAGGGGTAAGGGAGGGTGTGGTTTGTTCTGAACAGGCTGCGCTTTCTTGGACTCTCTGGTAACGAACTTCAGTCTTTGGCTGGAGTGAAACCTGTGAGTTCTTCCTTCTTTCTTGGCTTTTTCTTTTGGTGCTTTCTGATGACGATGACTTGGATTTGGCTGACTTCTTGGCTTGGGGAGGTGGGAGGGTGGATAGGGTTGGGTTGGCAGGGTAGGAGGAATATGGAAAGACTAGGGAAGGACATGTACACAGATAGGTAGCTTCCATTCCAGCCTAGCTGGGTTTGAGGTCGCAACAGTAGAGTGCTGAGAAGTAGAGTAGAGTAGAAGAGCAACAAGGTCTTGCAGTGTAGCTGTAGCTGTAGCTGTAGCTGTACGGCCTTCCTTTGTTCCTTCCTCGCTGTATCTCTCCTCCTTCCTCTCTCTCGTCCTTCTTCGTATCTCTCTAGATAGATGGATGGTTAAATAGATGGGTATACCCTCTACTTCCAACCCTCTCGCATCCTCTCCACTATCAATCCATCCATCTACCCATCGACAAACCCATCGCTAACACCCAGCAGAAGACACCAGATGGCTATGAGTCACACCTACAGCGGTACGGCATCCTCGCGTCAGTGATCCTAATACAGTAGTTGGTTCACGATGACATCCATCTACGTCTACTCTCTATCGGGAAAATAGACCCGCATACAAGGAAGGAGAGTCAGAAGCAGGTGGTAGGAGCGAAAGAAAGAGGAAGACAAGTGTATGAGGTGGTATTCGGATTCGTTTCATTCATGTCATTTATATCGTTCATCGTCCGTCGTCCATCTCATGAGAACAGTACTGTGGTGTAGAGACGATTTCTCCACGGTGAAATAGGATAGGACAGGTGGAATCGGACGGATAAAACATACGAAACCCAGCGTATAGACAGGGAGAGATTCTCACAACGAATACACAAACTCGCTATTCTCGCGATCCGTCAGGTCCAACCATCTAGAATCATAGTTAGTATCAGTCCTAGTATCAATCAGGGGCAGTGATGGGCCAGAATATAAGGAGGTGGTGGGCAACGTACTCCTGGTTCTCCAACCTCACGTATTCCGGACTCGCTCGGACGCGGGCCTTCCGCTCATTCTCCTTCTTGTACCACCACCAGATAAAGCCCAGCAGGATGAGACAGACGCCCCAGCAGACGATGATGGTGATTTCGGCGGGGACGTAGCGCGGGGCGTCTTGTGGGCGGAAGACTTGAGGGCCTGTGCAATTCCCAGGATGTTAGACAGCCGAAACAGTTGGAAAGGGGGGTTAAGACTGGAGAGCGCACCGATGATATTCCCAGCACAGTATCCGATGAGGTAGAATGCAGCGACCGTCGTTTTCTTGGTATATCCGGCGACATTGGAAGAGATCATCGACAGTAGCGCGACGAACGGCGTCGGGCTGGCTTGCGTCATGTAGTACCCGATCAATCGACCGACATTGTTGTCCAGCGGGAGAGCGACGATGAGGATCATCCCGACGATGGAAGTGATCAGGCCGCCGAAGCTGCAGAGGATGCGTTGGTTGGTGATTTGGCCGATGTAGCCGTTCAGCAGGAGGGCGACGATCTCGACGGCGCCGCCGGGGGTGCCGTAGAGGAGGCTTTGTTTTTCGGTATAGCCGAAGCTAGTGATCTGCTGGCTGTTAGGTGGACTCAGGCGAGTTGGGCAGGGGTCTAACCAGCTGGTTGAAGAAATTGGTGATGCCGCCGTTGGGGATGTTGGCGATGAGGGCAAAGAAGAAGAAGGCCCAGGTCATGGGGTCCAACACGGATTCCTTCACCTGGTAGATTTTGAAGTACTTGTTTCCGATGCCCTGCTGGTTGATGCGCACGCGGGCAATGGCGAGAACGCGGTCCTCCTGCTTGAGCCAGCGGCAGTTCAGCTGGCTGTCTGGGACGATCCAGAGAAAGATGACTCCAAGGGCCACCGTGAGTAGACCGGTTACGAGGAACACGATCTTCCAGGGCTCGATGGCTGATCCATGTCTCTCGGTGCCGACTGCAATGCCATATGCCACGAAACCACCAAGGATTTGTCCCCAGCCATTGAAACTGAACCAGATGTTGACTCGACTGCCTTGTTCTTGTTTGGTATACCACTGACAGACTGATGTCAGAAAATACGAGACATGGAGGAAAGAACAAGAGACATACCTGAGAGGTCAACAAAGCAAACCCCGGAGTGACAGATGCCTCAAAAACACCCAGAAAGAAGCTAGAGGAGATTAGCAAGATCCCAAAACCACAGCGAGCAACTCACCGAATAGCAACCGCCCCCGGAAAGTTATGAACCGCCGCAAAGCAGCAAAGGATTGCACCCCATATAATGATACACGCGGCCGAGTACTTCCCTAGAGGAAGAAGCTGGAGCAGCCGATTTGTCGGGTATTCCCATGCCAGGTATCCTTGGTTTCGGTCAGTCTGACCGATCATCTGCATTGGCGCCTCCCAAGCACAAAAAAACTAACCGAAATAGAATAAACTGCCCAGCCACTGGTATTGATCCCCTTCCAAGCCTAGATCCGGCTTCAGGCCCATGACGCTGGCATACGAGAGCGTAGTCTCTGTCAAAAGTCGGTCAGCGTCAGTCATAACAACAACACCGCACGAGAGACACCTACTGTCCAGATAATTCATTCCGTACACAAAACACATGATCGGCATCATATGCCAGTCAATAATCCGCAGCAGCCGCTTGTTCGTCGCCTCGTCCAACGTGATCGATTCGCCCTGCAGCTCTTGGAAAGCCTTCATCGCCTCGTCGGCATCGTGGGCATGTTTCTCCAAGGTCGGGTCGACATTCTTCTTCACGTCTTGCTCCACGTCTACCGTGGGCGGGGTATTCTTTTCGTCGGCCATGGTCTTTGACAGCGAGAAAGTGGCAGTTTTATTAAAGACACACACACAGAGTGAGAGAGGGAAATATAGCACGACCCGCGCTCATAAAAATAAAAAGACAAACACGTCAGAGGAAATGGGCCGGGCTTAAAGATCCCCTCCTCGCAGCCCCCATGGCATCATTGCATCGCGGATGCACCTATCGGAGCTGCGTGATTCGACCTCGTCTGCATGCAAAGTCACCTCGTCCTGCCGATAAGCAGCTGATATCCGGGGTAGACCAAACTAACGGCCCTAGTGCAGGCAAGCTTATCGACGGCGACCAATCTGCGCTCGCGACGACCGGGACGGAGAACAGTGAGGGGAAGCGATGAGGAGAAACGACGCCATGGCGGCTTATCCATTGGAGGCCTTTGCCGATGGAACGAATCGACGGCTGCTCTCTATCTCCTCGGTTGGCGGTGCCAAGGGAGCTTGCGATCCTGGAGTGTCGATCAGGCCGGTTGGCTTTGCGGATAGGGAAGGTCAAGCATTCAGACACAACTTAAGTCGACTGACACGGCTCTAGATCTGTGTCCGATGCAGACTGCATACATCGAAATGGCAGCGACGATGAGGATGTCGTTATCTCTGTTATCATCTTATCAGTGACTAACCACTTGGTTATCGTCTCCTGCAGAGCTGCTTCTGCATCACGGCCGTTATCTGTCTCCAACCGAGATAGCTGCATCAAGGCCCGTCAGTCCATCCTCCATTCCCCCGAGACTAGCCCTGCTTCTTAGCTCTTGTGAAACAATCCCAAGTGATACGGAGGACAGTTGAATCAGTCATACTTCATAACTACCAATCCGGAAACTATTTATAAATCATGCACAAATTAACACCACCTATTGCCCGCCAACCCGCGCCAAGTACGCCTTCCAGCCCTCCTCCTGATAACGCTTCGCAGCCTCGACCGGGTCCTCCGCCGCGTAGATGCCACGACCCGCGATGATGAAATCCGCGCCGCGACCCACCGCCGACTCGGGAGTCTGATACTGCTGCCCCAGCTTATCCCCCTTCGAGGACAGATTCACCCCCGTCGTGAAGACCACGAAGTCCTCGTCCCCGCTCGCCTGGCTATTCTCCGACACCACCTCCCCCAGGGACCGGGTGGACACGAACCCCATCACGAAGCCCTTGTATTTGCGCGCGTAGTCGACGGACGCGGTCGTGTAGGCGCCCGTGGCCAGGGACCCCTTGGAGGTCATCTCGGCGAGGATGAGCAGGCCGCGCTCGGAGCCGTAGGGGAAGTCCGGGGACTCGGCGGTCTGGGCCAGGGCCTCGACGATGCCCTCGCCGGGCAGGATGCTGCAGTTGATGATGTGGGCCCACTCGGAGATGCGCAGGGTGCCGCGGTGGTACTGCTTCTGGACGGTGTTGCCGATGTCGATGAACTTGCGGTCTTCGAAGATGAGGAAGTTGTGTTTCTGCGAGAGGGCCTTGAGGCCCGTGATGGTTTCTTCGCTGAAGTCGGACAGGATGTCGATGTGCGTTTTGATGACCGCGATGTAGGGGCCGAGGCCTAGTTAGATACATAGATTGTTAATTAATTGATTGAGGGTTGCGTCTCGTGGCTGCGGGAGGCAGGGCATACGGTCAGCCAGATCCAACAGCTCCTTGGTGGTCGTCACGTCGGCGGACACCGTGACGTTGGACTTCTTGGCCTCGGCGACCTCGAAGAGCTTCTTTGCCAGCGCATTGGGGTGCGTGCTGGCCCGGGCGCTGTATGTCAATTGCGACTTGGAAGACATGGCGGATGGAGGGGTAATGCGGGGTGGTGGAGATGAGGATGATATGAGAGCTGGTGTGTTGATTGGGTTTGATGTTATGCCCTCGTGTGTCCTGAGATTTCAGCGAGAGATAGAAACAAGCAGATATAGTACGACCGAGTCGAGTCGAGATGCTATTTCGTCGGCAAAAAATATCATCGTCAAATGGAGGGGAACCACCAGCCACGGCGGTCAGCCACGGGATCGGCGGTGTGTTTGTGGCGCAGCTCTGGGGTAGACGGAGTACGATGGAGTCTTATACTAACAATCACTGGGAATCTCACAGAATATAGACTGGCTCTCTATATATGAACAGCTCAAGTATCAAAAATCAACCAACCCCAATTTGAACGATCATTTTAAACCAAACTGACACAACTTGCAGCCACCCGCCGTACCCTTGGCATAATATACAATCAAAAACTGAATCAAACCTAGGTAGTATCTACCAAGAAATCAAATCCTTCGCCACTCCAAAAACAGTCAATCCCCAAAGAATACCTTGCACAGGCCAGAACCACGACCCGATGTAGCGTCCCTTGCCCTGCGGCTTGCCCGAGTACACATAGCCGTAGAGGAAGAGCGCGCGGAAGAAGGTCCAGGCGGCGCCGAGGCCCGTCGCCAGCTGCGGGTATTTCAGGCCGGCGGCGAGCGTGAAGAACATGGCTTGGGTGGCGTTCTCCAGGAAATTAGAGTGGGCGCGTTGAGCGCAGTTGAACTGTTCGGCTTTGGGCTGTTGGGGCGAGGTTAGCTGGACTATCTATCTGGCTGGCAGGCTGGCAGTTGGCTCGTTCATCTGGGGTGGAGAGTCCTGCCCGGGTGGGGAGCATGGCCATTTGGCAAATTGATCCATGCGGAGTGGGTAAACCACTACTTATCGACGTACATTCTCCTTGCATTGCTCCACGGTCGCGTAGTTGTGCGGATACGGCACCTTGGCGTGTTTCCGGAGACTGGTGACCACGTTGCCATGAACAAAGCCCATGACGGGAATGGCACCCAGAGCCACGGCAATGACGGCGCTGCAGTCTATCAGAATAGGAATCAAATATGGAGGGGAGGGGACTCACCCGTAGTTGTCGGGGACGGTCAGAGTAGTAACCATTGTGGATGTTGTGGTGGAATAGACAGTTAACCGGTGGGTGGAGTCTGTTGTGTACTGCAATTGCAATTGGATTGAGAGAGGTGATTGAGTGATTGCGGTGAGAAGTACAGAGGAAGACCTTGCAATTTATGCAATCGGCAATGGAGACCTCCTGCAGGAAAACATGGAGAAAAGACAGGCAGCGGGGATTACGTCGGGTGCTCGGAATCCGGGGCAGAAGCTTCCACTCGGAATCGAGGCTTCCCGCGGTCCGGATGGCCCCTTCAATCTGTGGTGGTATTGACTCACTCACAAACTCCGTCGGATTTGGTTTCGAACTCCTACGTGCACGCTGTTGCCTGACCAGTCGGATTTGGTTTGGCCACATATGAAAGCAAAGAACACGTTGCAATTGAATCCGCCAATCTATGCGTGTATATATTTACGGAAGCAGGAATGAACCACCATGCAACAACTTCCTCCGATTACCAGATTAAACATCCCCATAGTAATATTTCTTCTGACCTGTCGAATCTATGCCCAAGTCACCTCACTACATTCGGCTCACACTGCCATATTTCGCTTGCCAGGCAAAAAAGTACAGCAGCGCTCCCAGAGGCTGCCCTACAAGGCAGAAGCTCACCCAGAAGATGGAGTTCCCGATAACCTTACCCAGTGGGTCCTTCATCTTCTCCATTGGAGCCGTGATGGCGATCAGCGGAAGCTGAAACAACATCCCGGCAAGCGCAACGCCTAGACATCGTTAGTTACATGTGACGCCCCTTTTATTTCTGACGCACTCGGGGATAGGGTCTTTACCGATGACATTGTGAGTGGGGATCCCCACGAGCAATTCATGCAAGAGAGCGGAGAGGGTGAACACCACCACACTGGCCGCAAATGGACTGTACCCTCTTCCGACCATGGGGGAGAACACATGTCGCTTCATGAAGAGATACACCGGTCGGTTCCATGACCGCCAGTAGGCCCCAAGACTCGAGCTGTTCCACCAATCTGTGTAGAATTCGCGGTCGCCAAATCGCATGATCTCGGCCAGAGCATTCAAGAACGACTGGAAAAGGGCAAAGAACCCGGCAAGCCAGATGACGAGAGAAATCGTGGACAACTTCATCACCCGTTCCAAGATCGACGCAATATCCATCACGGCGATTTTTTCAATCGAGTTGCGCAGCACCGGGGCGGCATACTGGGCCGAGAGAAGCCAGATAAACACGGACAAACCGAGAAATTCGAACAGACGTTTCGCGACAAACGACCAGCGGATGCGCGGCGACCGGGGATAAACAGGCTGGTAAACCAAGGTCGGTGCGAGCCAAAAGTACGTCAAGTTCCCCAGACTGATGTTTCGAGGATACGGAAGGGACGAGTATAGTTCGGGAATGGCCGACTCCGCGGACGGATTGAGCATCGCCTCACGAAGGTCGCGGTTGGTAAAGGCATAGGACCAGTTCTTGAGCGCAACGATGAGCGCGTGGACTTCGCAGACAGTACCGATTCCGGGGTGATGGATGTAGTAGTAGACGACAAAGCTGGTGACGGCGAGGTTGAGAAGGGTGTTCACGATATGGAAGAACAAGGTGAACCGCCAGATCGTGCGAAACGCCCGCTGGTCTCGCTCGTCTCCCTCGGCTGATCCGTCCTTCTTCTTCCGCCCGACGGTCTGCTTGGCTCGTCCTGCGGCAAACAGCTCAAGAACGTAGGCGATGAACAATTGGCATGGGACCAGGGAGAAAAGCATCGTGCCCAGCACGACATCCTGTTTGCGATAGTCGTGGCATTTGATACAAATGAGAACCCCGTACTATTTCGAGGTCGGGGTTAGCTTGAAACACTACAGCCCGAACTTCAGAAGACTCACTTTCATGAAGTTTTCAATGATTAATCGAAGGTTCATCGCAACTAGTCCCCGGAGAAGAAGTATTAGTTCTGGGAGCGAAAAGACGACCCAGGAGTAGAACATCCTACCTAGAACGATGACCATGAGGTTCCGAAACCCTAGGAAGCTGGTCGAGGCATCGGAATCCCGACTCAAGCTGGAGTGTCGCACCTCCGAGTGGTATGCTGCGACATGCCGGTATTTACTTCTTCTCTTGCCCTTGCTGCCTTTGGTGCTCTCGGGAGTCACGGAAGAAGCGTCGGTACGGACAGAAGTACCATTCATAGGCTTTGAGTATGAAACCCCGCTGCTCGAGGCATTGTCGGCGTTCCGGGACGCGGACGTCTTGGATTCAGTCATGGTTGTACGTTGTTGGAGAATTACTGGCTTATAGAGCCCAATCGTAGTCGACCCTGTAGCGCGAAAGAAACACCCACGCCGATAGCTGGGCGAACGCTCACGATCTCGCTGATTCTCGACTCAATTGCGGAGATAGCTCGGAACATAGGACAGAAATCCCTCGGGCCAGGCCTCGGACTGGTCACTCATGACAAAGGACACGAAAAGATTACGAGAAAGGGGGGAAGAGGGGGAGGCGAGCAGGTAATTATAGCATGGAAAGCCAACCAAACGACGGCGGGGTTGGCACGTAGCGCATTGTAACGGCGAAGGAGCAAAGGCCTCGACTTGACCGGGGGTGGTCGAAGTGTTTGGGAGTCGCAGCGGACCGTCATTGGGCAACGCATGACCGCCCGGCAAGTCGCTCTCGGTCTTCCGTCCTCAAAGAAAGTCCAGTCCCGGTCCTTTTGTTCGTCCTGCATGCACGCCATGTCGACTCCGTTTTAGCGACTGATTCCTTCTTACGCGTGTCTTGCTCTTGCCACTATCTCCGACTCTCGACCCCTGTCATGATCGCAAGCTGCTCCGATTTCCCCGTCAGCTATCTTCCCTCCCTTGTGATTTAGATACGACAGCCCCGGCTCTGTTGCGATGGCCTATTACGATGAATCGGGCGGTGATGCCCCGCCATATTCGAGAGGGCAAAAGACCTTCGAAGGTGGAATGGCTGGCCCGCGACGACCAAGTAAGATTTTATTTTTATTTTGATCTCTATTGTGGTGCATCTGCGGTTGTGAAATCACCACCGTCCTATCATTTCTTCCGCAGAAGCTAAGAGCTCTTTTCTAGGACTGGTCACGGATTATAGCTCCTCGCTCGTACAATGGATGCGCACACGACGACCGCAATACAGGGGAGGTCATCGGATGGAGGTAGAACGGCCAAGTGCAAGCTATGTGGTGGATGTAAGTTGATTCCGCGTTCTGTTGACACGGACTGTCGGACTGAAAACTAATCGATTGGATTCCTTCTCTCAGATGCTCCCTCCGTTGGCGCGCGTTCATTCTCCGGCAGACACCATTCCCGTGCGCCATCTACATCAGTCGATCGGAAAGTCGAAAAAGCCGATTACCGTGGTGCGATGGACCCCCGAAGGCAGGCGTCTCTTGACGGGTGGACATACTGGAGAGTTTATGTTGTGGAATGGGACGGCGTTCAACTTCGAAACGGTGATGGATGTACGTTTTCTACGGGACTATAGGCGACTAGGACCGCTGTCATGCTGATTGGGAAACAGGCTCATTATGATCAACTGCAAGCGGGAGTGACTTCTTTGTCCTGGTCGCACAGCCATGATTGGCTGATTTCCGGAGGACAGAAGGGTGATGTGAAATATTGGCGACCGAACTTCAACAACGTGGAAACGATTGACGATGCGCACCATGATGCGGTGCGAGACCTGGCATGGTCCCCCAGCGACAGCAAATTTCTCACGGCCTCCGACGACACGACCTTGAAGATCTTCGACTTCACCTCTCGAACTGCCGACACCGTTCTTACCGGCCATAACTGGGACGTCAAGTCCTGCGATTGGCATCCTACCAAGGGGTTGTTGGTTTCGGGATCTAAGGACCACCAGGTTAAATTCTGGGACCCACGCACGACACGATGCTTGACAACACTGCACAGCCATAAGAACACCGTGACTGCCACGAGGTTCTCGCCGGTAAACAGCAATCTTCTGGCAACGTCGTCGCGGGACCAGACCGCAAGGATCTTTGATCTACGTATGATGCGGGACATCTGCATTCTTCGGGGCCACGAGAAGCCGGTCTCGTCTCTCACGTGGCATCCAATTCACACTACACTGGTGTCGACAGGCAGCGAGGATGGATCGCTGTACCACTGGCTGCTTGACGAACCTAACATGCCGTCGGGTCAAGCGCCCACGGTCGCACCGTACGACAGCACCGATCCCGCCAATACGCCGGCGCAAGTGATTCACCCGGCCCACAAGGTCCAATATGCGCATGGCGCAACGATCTGGTCTCTGGACTGGCACCCGCTTGGACACATACTTGCTTCCGGTTCGAAAGATAATTTCACGCGGTTCTGGTCTCGGGCTAGACCCGGCGAGACTAGCTACATGAAGGATAGGTTCCACATCGGAGAAGACGCCGCGGAGGCTCAAGGCACGTGGAACCGAGGCTTTGGAAAGCGACAGATGCGGGAGGAAGAAGAACAGGAGCTGCAGGACGAGGCCGAAAGCTTGGTCGATCAGAGAAAACCTGCAGGCTCGTTTCTTCCCGGGATACAGAGCGCACCTCCGGGAAGCGGTCCCCAGAACGGGCCGGCGCCATTGTTACCTGGCATTGGCGCTCCCCAACCGCCGCCGCCGCAGGGTGGGATGCCAGCCGGAATGCCTCAAATGGACCCTGGCCGTTTGGCCGCGCTGCTGTCTACCCAACAGGCGCCTCAAGGAGGCAATTTCCCTCCAGGTGCTGGAATACCTGGATTCAGCATGCCTCCTGCTATGCCGGGAACACCGCCTGTGAACGTCGACCTTGCAGAGCTACAAAAGCAGCTGCTTTCTCAAGGCGTCTCTTTGCCCCAGAATTTCCCCCCTGCGAACTTTGGTCCTATTCCTCCGTCCATGGGCTCAGGGGGTCTTCCTGGGTTGCAAGGTGGTGGCTTTCCGGATAATGGATATGGAAGGTGATGCCTCTCGGGTTTCTGTTCGATTTTACTGACAATTTGTCCGGAGATATTGGCGTAGACGTAGGTAGCTTTTGTGCAGGATTTTCATTTCTTGCCTTTTCCCTTTTGCATGGCTTTCAAGAGCACCGGATTCTTCACTGGATGTATTATAACTCGGATATTATAAGGTTATTAGGTCTATACAATAGTACAGACACCAGCTGTGCTTGGTTTATTCCATGAAGAACGGACGGGTTGCGATAAGGTTGTGATCGTCTGCCGATTGTTGCACAGTGTTCATAGACCCCCTTGCATAGGGAAGCTAGACAGGATTAAGACTAAAACATTAATTCCACCCCAGATGATGGGTATCCAGGTCGACATTCGAAAGTTGCCAGCTTCGTAGACACTTCCTATACTAAACACCGGGTTAGCCACCATCCTCCAGATGTCATAGATCAGATGAACCAAGACTCACACAAGGCCGATTATGCTCCCGGCCATCAGCGCCTCTAAGCCTGCGATGGCAACATAGATGATCGGAACAGCCAGGCAGATCCGCCAATTCCGGCCTTGCGTCAATAGCGCACAGGCGGCGACCAATAGGTGGCTGGCTGCGTAGAAAATCAAGGTCCAGTAGAGTGTGAAGCGCCAGATGTCGCGCGTGTAGTAGAGATAATAAGCGACGCCATTGCGCCGGGGGAAGGGATCGTAGAGCGATGGGAACGGAGGCGTTTGGTAATTGATGGGGACGCGGTTGTTGGCCATGAGCTTTTGACAGAGGCGGTATCTTGCCTTGTCAACTTGGGTGGTGCTGGTATGGGATCGAATAGGGAATCATGATATCCTAGGAGTTGGATGGTGATAATACATACAGTGATTTCCCGTTGTTGAATGTCCAGGCCAGACTTCAGCATTGACGCTGGCTGTTTGCAGTGTTTGCACCTAATATCATTTGCGGATTAACCTCGGCAGCTGATCTGGGGTTCTCCGCGGTAAGGCCGTCCGTCCTTCTGTTAGACTCCCGTCGGTCCTACGGTCTCTCGGTTGCCTTCCATGCGCCATTGTTTGGTTGCCTGCCTGGACGTTGTATTCTGAAGATGGCGACCGAGCGTTCTCTAGGTGCCCTGTTACGGTCGCTCCAGTCGCCATCCGATCTTCAAGATGCCTTTACGTGAGAGAACCAGCCACTCCGAACCGCAGCTCAACCCTCCCGACTGACCTTCCCCCATCAGATTGCTTCCGACGGCGACCGGCCTCCTGTACACTCTTGCGAACCCCTTGAACTTGAGTCTCCTGTCGTCACAATTGCTTGCGGCACCCGCGATATGGGACCACGCGGTCGATCTCCACGCCTGCCGGAAGATCCTCAGCGTATTCAACACGGCTGCCATCGCATTCGTGCAGAATGAGACCTCCGACGACCCGAGGATCCCTTATGTCAAGCCCCAGAAGATTGAGCGGGAAGCGTGGGTGAAAGCCGTTGTCAGCGGAGCGGATGACAAGTCGCCGCGATGGCGACACGTGCTCCTCATCGGGGGTCTCTTGCTGGGCTTCGAAGGCCAGAATAGACAGGGGCTATCGTGGAATGTTCGCAAGAAGCTAGAAATGGCACTTGTGACGGCTGCGCAGCTGGCGCTGGAAGAACTGGACGCCGACAATGAGATCGAGGGCCTGTGCGTCACTATGGTGCTGAATTATTCCTTCGAATTGCTCTCGGATTACGAACGGACGATGATCAACTATGACCGTTTGCTCCCTGTGCTAATGCACGGTGTTTATTCGACCTCGGAGGGGCTTGAGGGGGGATACTTCCTGGGAACGGTGGATAAAGACATCGTCGAGGCGCCTGGGAAACGATTCCAGTGGCCGGAGCATTCTATTACTTTCGCGCGTATCACGGCAATCTCGTCCAGCCCGCTTATATCTGCGCTTGGTCCGCTTTCTCGGCTCATTTCACATGCCATTGAGAATGTTCGGGATCCAGGCTTGGTGGCCCGGTCTGTGGATCATCTTGCCGATTTCGTCCGGACCTTGATGGTGCAGTGGCGCCAGAACAAGTTATCGGAGGTTGATCGAGCAGAAGAGGCCGAGTTCCTGGATGCGGATTCTTTGAAGAACACGATCCCGAGCCTGTGGAAGCTGCTTCGGAATTGCTTGTATTCCGTTGTGATTGTACTGCGAGCTGTCCTGGGACGGGTTCTCAATGATCATGTGTTGGCAGCTAATAGAAGTAAGTGCCTCGTCTATCTTATGCTTGGTGTCAGCCGAGTTCAGTCACTGATTGCTTAGGTGCACCATATCTATCTATGCAATCCCTGCACATTCTCCGCAATCTTTACTTCGTTTCGTCTCGCATTGGCCCGAATGCGTCTTCTCAGCACATGTTCGTGACTTTGACCGCGGTGGATATCCTCGCGCAATACCCAGATCTTACCGAGAACTTTTTGAAAAGCATCAAGCCCAACGAACTGGGCCAGATCCCTGCCCATCCGCTTGAACGGTGTCTCGATCTGTATTTCCTGAACACAGCGGAGCTTTTCACCCCTGTCCTGTCGTCGAAATTCAGCGAGGACCTCCTCATTTGCGCCGCAGTCCCGTATCTCCCGGCCGGCGGAAACAACCATCTTCTCGAGATCTTTGAAGCCGCACACAGCGTGGTTCTCGCCGTGTTCGCGATCCCGAACAATGCAAGCGTGGCGGCCACTCATCTTCCATTCTACATCCAAAACCTCTTTGCCGTAAGCCGACACAGCCCCCCACCTCAAGTAATCACCAACTAACCACCCTCCAGGTCTTCCCCGACAACCTCTCCATCCGCCAATTCCGACTTGCATTCAAAACCGTCCTCCAAGTCACCGCACCCCCCTCCCCCATCGCAAACCAACAACCCCTCCTCCCCTCCATCCTGCTCGAAGTCCTCTACGACCGCGCCCACCACGCATCCGACAAAGTCCTCCCCCAGCCTTCCTCCACTCCCTCTCTCGACATGGAGCGCCCGCCCCCTCCCCTCTCCGAGCAAGCAGCCCTCACCCTCTCTTTGGTCGACGGCCTCTGCTTCCTTCGCGTCGAGGACCTCGAAGAATGGCTCCCCCTCACCGCCTCCCTCATCAACGTCATCCCCGACCCGGAAATGCGCGCCGCCTGCGTCGAACGCTTCTGGGAGGCGCTAAGCAGCGGCGAGATGGATGTCGACAGAGCCCACTACTGCGTTACCTGGTGGAGTACCAAGGGGGGTCGCGAGCTGGTTCTGTTCGGTCCCGAGGCGGCTGCATCCGAGCAGGCGGATTCTCAGGGCGCGTATATGAGTGGTGCGGTTGGGGGAGTTGCGCCGGAGAGTAAGCTTTAGATGTCGATGTCTTGTGGTAGGATGGTGGTTGAAGCGAGGTTTTGTTTTGTTTTGTTTCTTACAGCGAGCTTTTGTTTTTTTTTGGATGCTGATACCAGGTGATTTGTTAGATTGCTTGTACATAAATAGATAAGGTACCTAGCTATGCACTATGCTATGAGTTTATGTTACAAGTTGAGCACCTAAAGTTGATGAGTCTGGTTCCCGCGTATTTGCTTTTGATTAAATCTACGTCCGAGGCTAGGCCCCTTCCCAGTATTATCTAACGGACCCATGCCCGTCTGCTCAATTTACATACAAGGATACTTTTATGTGCGTGGGTCACTGTACTGTACGATGCACGAATCACCAGATGCCCGGGATCCCGACAATCGACCTCTTCTTGTACTGGACGTATTCGTCGCCGAAGAAGGCGATCAGGAAGCGTTCCTCTCCTGAGTACGTGAGCGATATGTTAGCAAGTGTGTATCGCCGAGGCAAGCAAGCCAACGGAGTGGAAGAACCGGACGAAAGGAGAAATACATACGCTGGATGCGACTGTTAAAGAATTTCCACAGCACGACCAAATACCCCACGAAGCAGACCACATTGCCCAGCACCAGCTGCGTGCCCAGGCCCCACCAGAAGAACCCGAAGTAGCTGGGATGGCGCAGCAGGGCGTACACGCCGTGGGTGACGAGCGTGTGGCCGTCCTTGCGCTCGACCTGGACCGTGTGGTTGAAGTTACTGCCGGCCTGGGCCATGGCGAGGGTGCGGGTGGTCTGGCCGACGGCCATGAGCAGCAGGCCCAGGACGAGCTGGATCTTGAGGCCGGCGAAGACGGGCCCGGACCAGGCGAAGTAGCTCTCTCGGGGCCAGAAGAGGACGTGGGCGAGGAGGCACTCGAGGGCGGCGGAGGTGTGGGCGAGGTTATAGGCCCAGCCGTTGGAGGAGAGGAGGAAGGCGGAGACGGAGGCGTGGCGGGTGTTGTGGGCGGCGGTGACGTAGTATTCGAGGAAGTGGAAGAGGCAGAGCGAGGCGAGGAAGAAGGGGATGCGCCAGAGGGGGGTGGTGGAGAAGAGGCGCAGCGTGAGGGCGAGCGAGGCGGAGAGGCCGAGGGTGGTGCCGATGAGGAACGCGCGCAGGGAGATTCCCGCGAGGGACTTTTTGCCGCCGGGGTAGATGGATGTGTCGAGGGGTGGGGAGGTGGAGGGCATGGTTGCGGCTGTGGGTGGTGTTATCGGTGTCGTTGTCGTTGTTGTTGTTGGTCGTTGAGGCCGCCAGGTCGGTGGTTCGTCGGTGGTGACCTGCGAGGTTGAGGTGGAAGAAGAGGTGAAGTCGGGAGGCGAGGACATTTTTTAGGTCGTTGGGGAGGGTAGTGTTATGTTCGTTGAGGATTGAGAGCTCTTTGGTGTTATACGGTGTTCCTGAGGGGATTTTTTCTCCGTGGTTCAGGATAAGGAGAGAGAATTGGAGGACGGGAGAGAGGGAAGAACTGAAGCCTAGGAGCGTGCCATTGTCAAGATAAAAAGCGTGTAAATGATGGATCCGTAGGGACAGAGTAGACCACAAGTTTAGGGAAGTAAAAGGAAGTAAAAGCAGGAACAATAGGGACGCGGGGAGAAGAATCAGCTCCGACGATTGTATTGTTTGGCCTGATCATCACGGGATTCCTCCGCGCACTCCACCGCTGACTCATCCGCTCTTTGTTGCTTCCCCGCATTCAATCCAATCCAGACTGAAGGACTAAGTAAGCATCTCCGAAGTAGATGCGCGGAATCGGCATGGCGTCCACTCAGTCTCCTGTTTTGTCCGAGAGAGACAAGATGCTCCGGGGCGAGCTCTATTACGCCTTCACCCCGGATCTGATCGCCGCGCGGGCTCGCTGTAGCCGTGCGACTCGCCAGTTCAATAACGCGGGGGACGTCTCTCGTCGGCGACTAGTCGAGCTTTGGCAAGAGTGAGTACGAGGCTAATGGCATGCCGTGGGATTCATCTCTTGGCCCGGTTTATATCGCTCTCACCTCGTCCGAATTCCCTACGGGTGTCGAGGTACTCTACTCACACGACGTCGGCAGGGTCACTGAGGATAAAACCCCTCTGCCTCCCCCGAAGGAGGACCCCGCGGAAGACGACGCTCTCTTCGAACAAGAGCCGTGGATCGAGCCCCCCGTCCGCATTGACTACGGGTTCAACGTGAGAGTAGGAGAAGGTGTCTACATCAATTCTAACTGCGTGATCCTGGATACTTGTCCGGTGACTATCGGAGCCCGAACCTTGTTCGGTCCCAACGTACACTTGTATAGCGGCACGCATCCGTTGGACCCGGAGTTGCGCAACGGGACCAAGGGCCCCGAGATGGGAGCAGACGTTGTGATCGGCGAGGATTGTTGGCTAGGGGGCAACGTGACGGTCCTTCCGGGGGTGACGATCGGTAAAGGTGCGGTGGTCGGGGCCGGAAGCGTGGTCACTAAGGTAGTAGAGTATTGGAGCCTTGGTTGATTCCGATATACAGAGTACTGATCAGATGTCTAGGACGTTCCTGCTTTTCATGTGGTTGCGGGTAACCCGGCAAGGGTCCTTCGCAAGATTGAGACGGCGATGAAGGAATGAGGGAGTGACAGGATCTCTCCCTGTCTCTCTTTCTGTCTCCATTCTTTTTTTCTTTTTCTTTTTCTTCAATGATTTTGGTAACTGGAGCAGCTCCAGTTACCAAGTCTCGTGATCAACCCGTAAATGAACATATACAGATTATATCTATTGATCCTGGATGTGGGGATCCCTGTTGCTCTCATTTGCGTTGTTCGTCCCTTGAAAGACGATGGGGTCAGTCCATGGTCCGGTCCAAACGCTCCTTGATTGCCATGAAGATGAGCCGAAGACAAAGGGAGACTCCAAACACCCGACAGGTGATGTCGGGAAGATGCCTTAGTCGGCTGCAGGATGAAAAGATGGACACATAGGAAATGCAGCGATCCTGCATTCAAGGGTCTGGCACGAACACGCTAGAAGGCCTGGAAGGTTGATGAAGTGGAGATGGGCGGAGTTTTAAGTTGAGGGGAAAATCATCCAACTAGCCGCATTATGTCATGGATGCGACGTATGCCAGGGCCCGGACTCCGGCGTATAGAGCGTTTTCTTTGTCGGGCTGGTCAATCTGTCTGACGATCCTGGTATTCCATTGACGGGCATCGGATGTACTAAAGCGTAGACGGTGGCCGATTCAAAAGACCGGCTTCCTTCGCTTGGGCCAGTATCAAAGAAAACCGTATTGGTTTCGGGAGTGGCTTGATTGATGGTCCCGTTGGATCCGTTTTTTAGTTGATTTCCCGTGAATTTCCCGCGTGGGACTGTTCAGATCATGGCGACATCATGCATTGCCGGTGGACAGAAGGCCAGTTACTCCAGAACCCTGTTTTTGGTAGTATAGTAGATAGATTGAATCTCATGAATTAGACTGATATGGCATTAATTTCGGGAACTGTTATGGACTCCAGATCTTATCCTATTCAAGGTTGGTCTCCGTGCTGACCATAACAGAAGCCGGACGCGAACACCTCCGGGCAGGGAAACAAACCCCCGAGAAGCGTCCCTCGCAGGAGAACCTGCCCGACCGCACCGCCCTGATAAGAACAGCTGACCAGATACTACTTTGTTACCTTATGATTGAGAAACTGTAGAATTCATACCTCCGTAAATCCAAGCAAAGCAGCACGACCAACCAGCGGCCCGGCGGGACTCCACCGCAACGTCAGAGCTTCTTCATTTGCGTTCTGGCTAAACCCGAAGAAGTCGGGCTGCTTCTTGTCTCCCCCTCACATCCTCCAGGCGGAAGCGGTTTGGGCTATCAAACAGGTACCTTGCCTTGCTTTCGTCGTCTGCCAGAGTCCAGACTCACCGACTGCTGCAGCTATCGCCAACTTCCGGTAACTGGTCGCAGCTGCCTGCACACCTCCGCCTAGCCTGTCCCCACAAACTTCGTTCGCTCTCTCCTCTCTCTTTCTTTCCTTCTCCCTTCGCTTGCTCTCTCCACCTTTTTTTTTCTTCTTTCCTTCTCTCTTGGACAGCTTGACAACCTACTTGACCTCCCTTTCGCCTGCCCCCCTTCCGCATCGCTCGTGCTCCTCCTTCCTTCCTCTTGACCCTTTCGTCATCCACACCTCTCTTTCCCTTTCAATCTCTTCCAATCCCGGCTTCCTTCCCACGTCTTTTCCCCGTTGCCTGTACACCTTCCCGGTTCGACAGTCCACGCGCTCTGAATCTTCCTTTGCAATTTTAATTAATTCAAGAGGTTGGTGGTCCGCTCCGAGGAAAGGGCCAGGGAAAAATGTCATGGCCGCTGCCCCGCTAGAGAGCTCTAGCACCACCCCGCCTGACGTTAAATCGACCGACTCGACGCGTCCCCCCGGCGATCCCATGGAAGATACCGACCCTCAGTCTACCCGGAAACGTCCCCGTCTTGATAGTGGAAGTGGCATTCGGGAGAACTGGTCTGACAAGACCGACGCTGCCCCAATGTCTGACCAGGCGCCGGGCGCTCCTGCTCCCGGCGATCACGAAGCTCTTGCCTCGACCCGCCCGCCCAGCAGAGTCACGATCAACGTGAAATCCCCTACCACTACAGCCGCCCCGACCGACAGTATGGCCTCCGTTTCCGCCGCCCCCGAAGATCCCCCCGTCGCACAACCCGACCCGAGCGCCCCCTCGCACAGCGCCGAAGATGCGGGGGCCAACGCCTCTAAGGCCATATCGTTATCGTCGTCACCCGCCCAGAGTCCGGAGATCGAGGTGGCGGAGTTGGAGGACATGGACCAGGACCCCAACACGTCGAACTGGAAGCCGCTGGGAGACGCGCTGGGAGAGCCCGACGTTGTGCAGCTTCAGGAACAACCTCCGTTGACGGAGACCTTCCCCAAACTCCGTCCTCTTCAAGATGCACGGGATAACTTGGAGGAAATTTGCGCGGTCATTGAGAAGGGTAAGGCAGACGATAACCTGGGCCGAGCGGTGTTGGACCCTACTAAACAATATTGCAGGACCTCCCCACGCGACTGTTTTTCTGGCGGCAAAGAATTGGCTCGACGACGTCGCGAACAATCTGGACCAGCTTACTTATGAGGTGGTGATGGCTGATCGGGACTTTTGGGAAGAGCTTCCTGGCATGGTTGAAAGCTTGTTACGCAGAGGGTGAGTACCTAGTTGGATTGCTTTGTTCTTTCTATTTCTCCGGCTGACGTTTCCTTCGCTTATTTAGACAAGATCTTCAACCCGACGAAGGCAGCGGGCCTTGGGTCTGTTTCGAAGAGTTCTTCCTCGGTTTTGCTCGCCTCGCGCTTCATTTCATTGCAATGGATACATTGGTGTTGAACCAATTCATCGAGGACACGGAGCTCCGCGTGGCGACAGATTTGATATCCAAGACCTATTTGTCGGCATTGTGTTGGATGGTCCAGATCAACCCCATTCCCTTTTACCGTGCCATGGTAAAAATCTATAGCTCAGAGGTTCCAAACCTTGTGGCGCGCATCAACGACCAGATTGCGTCCCCTCCTCTCAAATATGTGCAGCGCATGTCCGAATTTGCCTCGCGAATCCTGACTCTGATCCCGCGATGGCCCCAGCTCGCATCTCCCTTGTCGACAGTCGTCACCCTCGTTCATAATCTCGTGGAATCGGGGAATGAGCGCAGAAAGTTTCAAGCAGACGATGCTTTAATCCACTCTACCGCCTATTTGCGTATTATCAGGGACGCCTACAGCATGATCCAGCCCATAGACGAAAAGTACCAGGATGGAATAACCAAGAAATCTCCTTGGGTGACTAGTGATATTAGTGACTCGTTGCTTCGCAACATCGCGGGGGTGTATCTCACGGCATCTCTTCGCGTTCCTGACATCGCGGAGCAGATGGTCAAAAATCTCGAACTTGATCTTCCTGAAACCGCAACGGCTGAGGATCGCGCTTTCCTCATATACTATTCTTGGAAATTTGCGGCCCTGAAAAAACACATCATGGATGGTCGTATGGAACTCAGGGTTCAGGGGGTCGAGACCATGCAAACAGAGCTTGTCTCGGTGTGGAGGCTGTACATCCAACGTGATTCGGCGGGGATAGAGAATCCTGTTGTCCAGTACCTCGTGGGATTTTTGAGAGAAAATCAGATGGTCGAGTATGTCGTGGGCATCGACTCTCATCCTCAATTGATCAGCAGGAGCGGAAATATAGTCGGCTTCTTGGTTGTTACAGGCACGTACGCCGCTTCAGACACGGATACGATCTGGACGGCCGTGAGGGAAAGCCCAGACCCGAGAACCGTATCGGAGATCTTGGGCATGCTTACCCGAACGTTTCACATGCATCTGTCGCCTTCTCCAGCACTTATCTACTTGTGCTCGAAACTGCTCGACTTCCCGCTGGCTCGCTTTGATGCGCGGATGGTGGAGTTTTGCGAACAGCTGCTCCACCATATACGCGAAAAACATACGGAGAAGCACCAATTGTTGGACAAGCCGCATGTCGACGCCATCCCACTGCGCGTGTGTGTACGCCTGATCCGCGAGAGCGCTGCGGCTGAAGATTTCTCCGTGGAACATAAGGCTTTGTTGCAGAAATTCGCCAGCTCGCAGCTGCGCTCGTTCATGAACGTCGGAGTCAGCGACGTGGACAAAATGGAAACGTATGAACGGTGCGTCCAGGATATTGCCGAGATGAATGAGTTTGCGGTGGGAAGTATCCAGGCGTTGAGCGCACTTCTCCCGAACTACGACTCCCGCGAGATCCATCAGCTGGCCACCGAGTTCGATCTGATCCGACTGGTATTTAACGATATCGTCCACACGGTGGACCAGAATGGCACGGACTTTCAAGACTCGTTTTCAAAGACCGCCTTTGTTTCACGCATCCACCTACTGACCCGCATAATCGACCAGGTCGCAGAGCTCATAACGCCCGACCTTGCAGACTTGCTGTGGCAACAGGTGTTCATGTCCAACAAGCTCTCACACCAGGGTAGACGCGCTCTATGGGACTTGCTGTGTGGCTTGACAAAACAAAGCACCAAGCCAAATCCGTTCGTCGAGCGCTGCATTCATGAGTATCTTCCAGCGCTGTCGCCTAGTGATTACTTCCCGGAGGTCCTTCTCTTTGCCAAGCAGACCATCAGTTACGAAGTTCGCTTCAACCCTCCATCCATTGCTGGCGAGGGTGAGGTCGTCTCGATTCCGGGCATAGACCGGATATGGCGCTTTATTCTGACGGCTCCCCCCGGCTCGATCGAGACCGACGCGACCAACTTTGCGATTGAGGTCTACCTGGATCATAACATCATCCATCGGTCACCCCGGTCGGCAGTAGAGGCTACTCACATTGCCTTGGTGGATCGCTGTGTAGAACAGCTGAAGTCCGCGGCGTCCAGCTTAAAAAAGGCTACACCGTGCAATGACTCCGCCAATGAAGTGGGGGAGGTTCGAGCCGAAGAGCAAGGAGACAAAGTTCCTCAAGCGGACCTTCAAGCCGAAGAGCTGAGATTCAGTCGTTCGCTCCTCTTTCTCCGCCAATTCCTGCAGGGGCTGCGGAGCCGACCCCAGTACAGCCCCCCGCAAAATTCGCCTCCAGGGCTACCTGAAAGGCCGGTGAAGGGTGAGCCGATCAGCCTCCGCTATCAAGCGTTTGACGGTAGTGCACAGTCCAAAGTTCGTTCCTTGCAGATTGGGGACCTTTCGACTGCATCTGAGCTTTACGATCACTTCGTGCAGCTGACCGGCTTCTCTAAGATGAATATCATCTTCAGCGGGCGTAGAGTCGATCTTCTTGTGAAGCCTGAATTGAGCATCCGTGAATTGAAGCTCAATGCAGGGCTGGTGCTAATTCGGCGACATCCGGATAGTCGGGAGGCTGCATTGAGAGGTCAGCGCCAGTCCCTGACGTCCGTTGATTCCGAAGTGCTCAAGCACTTTGACGATCTTTATGACCTTCTCAGCCTTCAGGCCCACCTGGCTCGGGAGATTTACGACTTCCTTATGGTATTCCCTCCACAAGAAAGGGTTCTGCAGTTGGTCAAGTCTACCACCAACTCTGAACAAGAGATGTTCCCTATGGACAAACCATATAGTTTTCTCTACTCAATTAATACTCTCATGATTTGTCTGAGGGAAGAAAATCTTGAGGTTAGTTTCCTTACTCCCCTCTGCGCATGTCAAGGCTTTATTTGCTAACATAACGAACAACAGTCATCTCCAAACCAGGCCCTCGTGTCTCATAGCATTCGTGTCTTGGTCGCCGCCTTAACACGCTCCGAGATGTTTGGGTCTCTTGAGAACCATCCCACAAGACTCATGTTTGCGACGAATCTCGTCGAATGCCTTGTTCAGGCTTTGCTTGGTAACCCCTTCCTTTTCCTTTCAATAGACACATGGGGTCAATCTAACAGCTTCTTTTTCCCTTTTTAGTGAGGCTGCCAGAAGCGGATGAAGCGTCGCCCATCCCAAGTGCGGTGGCTCTAGTCCAACAATTGCAAAATCTGATAGGTCTTGGGCGAAACTTGAACCCGTCCCAATGCTCGGCAGAAGCAACGCAAAAATTAATCTGCCACTCATTCACTTGTCTGATCGAGGGCTCTGCACGCGACCACGCGTTTTGGCATGTGGTTAAGCAGCAGGTCCAGTTATCTGAGCTGCTGTTTTCGCTTCTCCTCGATGAGAGTCGCCAGTCGATCCGGACAAGTGTGAGAGGGACGATTAATGCCGCCTGTAATTCCTCGAGGCTTTCGAAGAAGCAGGTTAAATCCTCGGATACCAGCGCCCCAGAACCACGCAGTGATTCTCCCATGGAAAGCCCTGTCAGATTCGATATTTTGGCGACTATCTGGGACGCTTTTCTGCAAAACCTTCCACATACCGTGGAGTATGTGCAGCAGTCCCCGGAGTTCTTTGAAGTGGCCCTTGAAGTATTTCGCTCGGTTGCGGAGAAATCCCCTGGTGACCTCATCTTTAGCGAGTATCTCAAGCAGTGGAGCGATATCATGTTCAAACAGCCTGTCAAGGAGCTCGTTGGCCGTGAACAGGTAGACCATGTGATCTATGGCTTCAGTCGGCTCATCAGAATGTGCCTTGAAGCGGCCAACACACACAGCGTGAGAGTGGACACACTTAATCTGGCCGAGGACTTGTTCGACAAATATCTATTCCCTGATCTTTCATCGACCCCATCTTCGTACCAGGCCATTGTTCCTCGGACACCTGTCTTGCACCTGTTCACACGCCAGGAACTATACAATGTCCTCGTCTTGCTTTGCGAATACGAGGAAAATTACATCAAGATCGTGGACCGCCTAGACGATATTATCCCTCAGGGGTACACGTTCTCGCCTAATTGGGGTTACGACCGCCAAAAGATGATCCGGTCACCAGAGGGCTATGCTGGATTAAAGAACTTGTCTAACACCTGCTATATGAATTCTCTCTTGAGCCAACTCTTTATGAATGTGGGCTTCCGCGACTTTATGATGCAGCTCGGCCTCGGGAATTCGGAGTCGCCACAGAAGCTTTTGGATGAAACGAAGAAAGTCTTTGGCTATATGCAAGAAACATGGCTTAAGAGTGTCGATCCGCAAGGCCTTGTGGACTCCATCTGTACGTATGACAACGAACCAGTCGACGTCACGGTGCAGATGGACGTCGACGAGTTTTACAACCTGTTGTTCGACCGGTGGGAGGCCCAGATCTCGGACCCGCACGACAAGAAAACGTTCCGATCATTTTACGGCGGCCAACTCGTGCAGCAAATCAAATCCAAGGAGTGCCCTCATATCTCGGAACGTCTGGAACCATTCTCTGCCATTCAGTGCGACATCAAGGGCAAGGCAAATCTCGAGGAAAGTCTCCAAGCGTATGTGGAAGGAGAGATCATGCAAGGAGATAACAAGTACTCATGCACCTCCTGTGGGCGACATGTCGATGCCGTCAAGCGGGCCTGCTTGAAGGAAGTGCCCGACAACCTCATCTTCCACCTCAAACGGTTCGATTTCGATATGGTCTCGATGCTCCGGAGTAAGATCAACGACGAATTCCAGTTTCCTGAACGAGTGGATATGAGCCCCTTCAAAGTTGAATACCTCTCTGAGCAAGATCCTGAAGTGAAAGAGGATATCTTTGAGCTGGTCGGTGTTCTAGTCCACAGTGGCACGGCCGAATCCGGCCACTACTACTCTTATATCCGTGAAAGACCGGCTGCTGGCGCTGGGGGGTCGTGGGTGGAGTTCAATGACTCGGAAGTTAGTCGATTTGACCCTTCCCGGATTCCGGACCAATGCTTTGGAGGCTATAACGACAACGTCAATCCCACCGCCATGGGCCAAGTGCGCTACAACAAAGCCTGGAATGCGTACATGCTCTTTTATCAGCGCGTGTCAGACATTGATTCGGCCAGATCGAGATACCAGCCCACAAAGGAGCACTCTCCCGTGCGCGTGCAGCTACCGGTGCCGCTTGCGAATCACATCACGATGGAAAATGAGATTTTCATCCGGACATATTGTCTTTCAGAGCCGTTTCATGCTTGCCTTGCCCGGTACTTGCTCACTCGTCTCCACCAGGTCCAGCCTAATGACGGAGAAACTTCTACCTTAGACCGGAAGGTCGTTTTCATTTTAATGGATACACTGGAGCAGCTGATATCGAGAGCGAAAGAGCCACTGGGATTGGACTATACCCTGAACGAGGTCGGTCGAGCGATTGAGGAGATCCCCCGAACGGCCCATCGAATCCTCCAGTGGGTGGTGCATAGACCGAACGGCATTCGGAATCTCTTGAAAAGCCCCCATGCTGCCGTCCGCAGTTGCTCGGTCAGGATCTTCATCTGTGCTCTCTCCAAACTGCAGAGGCTTGGCGACAGTGATGACGGAGAACCCGAGAGCCTCGAAACCCAGAAGTGGCACATGCGATATTTGGATGGCTTTGAAAACGTGTTGGCTACGCTCGAAGGAATTTGGCCGATGCTTCATACTATGTTTCGAGCTTGGGATGACTACTTCGAATTCTTGGTGCTCCTTGCTAGTTTTGGGCCCGTGGAGACGGGGATGGTCCTCAACTACGGTTTCTTGCTGAAGTGTTTGGAAATCATGTGGATTGATCGAGAGGACACCAAAAAGCTCAAGCGCCATTACCTCGGCTTTTTCAAACTCCTTGAGAAGGGCCGACGATTCTCCTACAGAAAACTGATGGATCTTCTGGCCGTGTTGCTGGCGCGCATCGATTTCGCTGCTCCGCCTACCCCGGATGATGAGCGACGGGTTCTTCCGGACGACGTCTATCATCTTACCACTTCGGAAAATATCCTCATCCGATCTCTTGGAAAGCACGACGAGTTATCCATCCTGAAAAGGGTCTTCCAGAATTACAGCAGTCCACCAGCCTGCAGAAGCATCCTTAGCTTACTGTTGAATGCGGAACCCCAGGCAGACCTGATGGATCCTATTTGCAATGTCATAGAAGATGGCCTTCGGGTCGCCCCGGCCGACCTTTGCGCGCCATACCTGGACGCGACCCTGACTTTCTGTCGGTATTGTCCTGATGAAGACCGTATTACCGCCATGATCGAGTTCGTTGGAAAGGGGGTCGACTCCATCAATGATCACGGCGGCAAAGAACACCTGGCATTCTTCACGAGTCTCATGACCTGCCGCAACGACCGACTTGGCCTCGACGAGATGTGGTTCCTCTCTCGCCTCATCGAGAAAATTCCAGACTGGGTTCCGACGTTGCTTGTGTTCCCGGACAGGGCCGTCAGAACCATGACGATGGAGATACTGCGTCGCATCCTGTTCACCGGGGAGAACGTAGGCGAGGAATGGCAGTCATGCCATACCCAGGTTGCTAGAGACCTAGTCTCGTCTTGCGCCGAAAAGTTAAGAAAGATATACATGGGTGCTCCGGAAACGGGTCTTGAGGCGAAGCTCGTGGAGACGATGAAAGCCGTCATTGAACACTGCTTGGCCACCTATTTCGACGAAAGTGAGGAGGATCGGGATACTGCCAATCAGGCTCGCAGTATGTTCCACCCTTCCCGGTTGATACATGGATGCTCTCCTGCCTCTTCTTTCCCCGAACATCCGCTAACATGGGTCCAGTGTTGATAGCGGCCGTCGAAGAATTAGCAGTTGAAGTTCCCGAGGAGCTAGGATCAGGTGAGTGTTCTTTTATATTTCATTTACCTCCACATCGCCATCTAACCCCCCCTTGGATCACCCAGAGTCTGATGTACCTTCTCCAGAGGAATGGGAAGATAATTCTGTCGTGAGCGATTCGGAAATGGGGATGGCGGGCTCTCCCTAGATGAAAACAAACCTGCCGGGCATTCTACAAACCGAAAAGCAGAGAAACCAGACGCCGTGATTGTATCACATATGAGAAACGACTTGATGATGAATATTCCCTCTTATCTGTTATTTGTTGGCTGTGCCCAGTTCTGCATCGGTCGGCGTTTCCGTTGCCTCTCCCATTCTGTTAGACATGGGGTTGGTTCTGTTCGGGTGAATCTTGTGTATTCAAGAGTTTGATTACTTGCAATGTTTTCCTTTCTTTTATTCGCAGTCCTAGTGCTGTCACATGGCACTTGTGTCATGGATATTACTCGCGCTGCCCTGCTCCCTTGTGCATTGACAGCCTTATCGACGTTCTGCACGTTTTCACACTGAGGTCCAAATGGCAGTCAACACTTCTGATGGAACACAACACCAATAGAAGGCTACCCGCTGTGGCGAAGCAGGACTTTACTCAATAGATTGATTGATTGATTTGAAGCGTTATTTTCATAGTTATAATACAGGATGAATGCAAAATCGGAGTTGATAGGCCGAGCGAGCTTGACTCATTAGAGGCCAGATGAAAGCAAAGAATAACCAGAAGTCTATTCATGATTCAATGCCAGATCCAGTTGGGCTGTTCCTTCTCTTTCTTTTTTCCTTCTCTTTCTTTTTTCCTTCTCTTTCTTTTCCCCTTCTTTCTAATTGCAAGATTCAGTCCTTGGCGCCAGCGCCATATTGCGGATTTGAGATATTCACCCGGGAGGCTTGAATTACAACTTGGTGGGTTGCCATCAGACATCCTCGAATTCTTCCTCGTCATCTTCATCCGACTCCTCTTTCTTGATCTCAGGTTCCACCTTGATCTTTTTCGCGGCCGGGCCATCATCAACGGCACCAGTGGACGGGGTGGCAGACGAGGTTTGCACGCCACTCGTACCCGATTCCGCATCAAGCTCACGCTTGATCCCCGTGGCCGACGACGTCGGCGGAGCACTGGTCGGCGCACCGTTCCCGACGGCCGGAGATGCGGCATCGCTGGCCGAAACACCGCCCACGTCCTCGAACTCGTCGAACTCATCGGAGTCCTCGTCCGCGCTGCTGGCATCCTCCTGCGCCTGCAGGGCCCGCTCGCGCTCCATCTCGGCGTAGTACGCGGCCAGCTTATCGTCCAGGGCGTCGACGGCGGGCTTCTCGTCCTCCTCGTCCTTGATCTCGGGCTTGATATCCACGCCGCCCTCGCTCTTCACGCCGGTGTTCCCGGCGCCCGTGGACACGGTCGAATGCGTGTGCCACACCGGCAGGGCGTTCTGCTTCTCGACGGCGGCCTTCCGCGCCACCTCCTCGGCCTGCTCGGCGGCGCTCTTCTCCTCCGTCGACGTCAACGAGATCTCCAGCGCGCCGGCATCCGTCTTGGTGTTCCCGCGCACCATCTCCTGCTTCGACGGCACGGCCACCGCCGTCCGCGTCGGGTTGATCGCCTGGTTGCGCACCACCTCGACCTTATGGTCCCAGGCGGCGTCGAAGTCGTTCGGCGGGATCTCGACGGAGTCGATCTGCTTGAGTAGCTTTAGCATGGCGTCGAGCTGGGCCATGAGCTTGCTGTTCTTCTCGTGGCCGGTGCGGTCAATCCCCTCGGTGCCTTTGACGTCCTCTGTGCGCTCCAGGATCGCCCCGCAGTTCTGGCACTCGAATCCTTCCTCCGAGTACAGGCTCAGCACGTCCAGCTCCGTCCATTCCGCCCCGCACCGCAGACACACATACTCCTTGCGCTCTTCGCTGGGCGTGTACTGCGCCTTGATTGTGGATGTTAGGCGCGACACTTTGAACTTGATCGCGTCGATCACCGGGTGCAGCGGGATGTAGTAGTATTCGCGATTAACGGGCCGGGTCGACCCGTCGCGGATCTCGGCGCGTGTGCTTCTGTAGGTTGAGTTAGTTGGGCCGTTCTGTTTTCTTGGAAAGGAGATGGGCTGGGTTGGCTGGTTGAAGCGTACACGGAAATTAAGCGGTCCTCGCGCAACTTGGCGCATAGCTTGCGGAGATCTTTCTGTTGCATTCCTAGGAGAAAGGCGAGGTCTTCGGCGTGGAGACTGTTCGAAAGAGACCGTTATGGCTTTGTTAGAACTGCGATCTTCAATAGATGGGTGCATGGCCATGACTTGCGTCGCGAATACTATCCAGCGAGCAGACAAAGCCCAAAGCAAGGGATCAAAGCACCTACACAGAGTGGATGAACAGCGCATCCACGACCAAGATATGGCGCGTTTCGTAGAACGCGCGCGCCACGGTGCGGATGAGGGTATTTGCAAGGTCCATGGTTGGTGTGATTTTCTCCGGGGTTGGGACAGGCGCAGGTCGTGAAGTTTTAGGTCAAGAAGGGGAGGGCGCTTGCGGTGCGCAGGTCGGTCATAGGTTTGGCGTCTCTGCGCTATATAAAGGTAGGTGGTGAGGTAGGTTCGGATGTGATGTGATGTGATGCGCTGCGCTGCGATGCTTGAACTGAGCTTCCCTTCGCTCAAAACAGCCACATCCTTTCTTTCGTTGGGGCTGGGGGTTGGTTCGTTGGGATGGAGACGGGGAGGTGAAGGTTGTCGAGGTGGAGGTGCTGGTTGATCGAGTACCCGAGGGGATGGAGGACGCTGGGTCGGCGAGAGGTGTGAAAGAAACTCGGAGGAATCGATTCAAGGTGAAGCACAAAGGAATGAATGAAAGAAGAGCGGAGCGGCGGGTTTGTTGCCTGAGGCTGGCATCTGGGAGCCTTGTAGCCTGAGGGATCAACACTAGCCTGGTTGGGAATAACGTGGGGACGTCAGGGCTAGGCCTGATTGGGTTTAGACTGCGGCGCCAACGGGTGGGGTTATTTCGATGTCAGCCCTAATTGTTGCTTCTTTCGTATGCAGAACAACGGTTGACGTGCTCGATCTGGTGCTTTATCTACTCTGTTGCGGTGTTCTTGATACTGTGCTGGTGATATCTTTGCATCTTCGGTGTTGTACGTGGGTCTCCGATCTGGTGGAACTGGAACTGGAAACACAAGGCCACCGCCTACTTATAACAATCTTGTTGATTCATCACTTCGGACCTGAACGGCAAGACAGGCTTGACGGTTAAGACGATCAAGCTTACAGTCTAAATCACCCGGCACTTTGACAGTGAAACCACAGCCTATCATTGGTCACTCTGCTGAACCTTCCCTGGGTTACTCCAATCCATCCGATTGAAGCAACATCCATCTCTACAATCCACCCCAACCTCATCTTCACCATCTACCCATTTCCCCGTCAAGCGTCACCACAACCCAATTCCTCCCTACAAAATGCCCCCCCGAGAAGCCCTCACCTTCCCCGAATCCGACCAAGCATTCCTAACCCCCCACCTTCCCCCTCAACCCCCTCCCCTCAACCCACCAGCCCCCTCCCCTTCACGACCCTCACCTTCGCAACCTCCCTGGACTCCTCTCTCGCGCTGGCCCCAGGCGCCCGCACTGCCCTCTCCGGCCCGCAATCCAAATCCATGACCCACTACCTGCGGTCCCGCCACGACGCCATCCTCATCGGCGTCGGCACCGCCATCGCCGACAACCCGGGCCTGAACTGCCGCATCGCCGGCGTGGGCGGCTACGGCGGCGAGGGCCTCACGCGACAACCTCGTCCGATCGTGATCGACCCGACCGCCCGCTGGGATCTCACCGCGGACTCGAAGATCCTGGCCCTCGTGCGGTCCAACCAAGGTCTGGCGCCGTTCATCATCACAAGCACGCGGTGCACACCTCCCACAGCCGAGAAACAAGCCCTCCTAGAGAGCCATGGCGGGAAGTACATCGCGCTGGACCCAGTGTCACAGCCCCACGATGACGAGGAGAGGGAGGAGGGGAGGGAGGGAGCGAGCCACCGGATGGACTGGACGGCGGTGCTATCCTGTCTGCGATCGCAGGGGCTCCGCAGCGTGATGATCGAGGGGGGCGGATCGATTATTAACTCGTTGCTGGGGCCGCGGGCGCAGGGACTGATTGACTCGGTGGTGGTGACGATTGCGCCGACGTGGCTGGGGCGCGGCGGGGTGGTGGTTTCGCCGGATCGCAGGGTCGATGGGCACGGGGTTGCGATTCCCGCGTCCAGGTTGACGGATGTGAAGTGGTATCCGCTGGGCGAGGATGTGGTGCTTTGTGGGAGGATTAAGGATCTTTAGGTTTTGTTCAGTATGGTGGGTATGGCTTTTGCGGTGCTACTGTAATAATGAGAGCTATTAAATTGATAGTGGTAAATGGTGTATAGGGTGGTAACTGGCAATGTGGAAATCATGTGCAGTACAATACCAGGTAGTGTGGAAGTTCGTTTTAGATAGGAGCATTTTTACGGCTGGTCTGAAGTATAGCATGGCAAGATGCTATTCAGTATGACCATAAATCGAGTGTCAGGCATATCAGATCCTCATGTCATACTTTTTTGTCAATTCAGACCCACTTGATATGCCTATCTGTTCTCCACTTGCGAAATCCGTTGAAACATCCGATCGCGGGGTCTTGAAAGTGCAATTTGCGACGCAATGAAGGCGATGGCTAGGTCTTTTTGCAGGACACAGAGTTGCGATGGCATTGCAAGACAGTAGAGAGAAATAAGCCCTAAAGATCAGGATCTTATCAGATTTTGGCCAGGGAAGGATCATGCATGAGTGAGTACCTTCGGCGCTCGCTTAGGGCCCGCACGTGAGTGACTAATGCGAGGCCTTGGACTGGACGAAACGACGACCCCGCATGGCCGGTCTATAAATTATCGAAATCAGGATTTCCCATCTTTTGACAATGATCAGAATCACCGATTATCGCCTTCGCTGAGGTCATGGCTGGCAGAGCGCAAAAATGCACCACGCTGGTCCAGTCCCTTCCCGCTGCCTCGACGGAAGAGGCTGAATTGTCTTTCCAGTTCAGCAAGGAGGAACACTCGCAGGGCTTCTGGGTGGCTCTGCGACGCCACTGGCCGGCAGTCGCTTGGGGACTGTTCATGAATCTGGTATGTCGTGGCCTTGGACCGCATGCGGATCTCGGACTGACATCGTCGAGTAGGCGACCATCCTGAAAGGCATTGATGGCGGCGTCGTTAAAGGTCTGGTCGGTCTCGACACCTTCAAAGAAACCTATGGATATCAGTATAAAGGCACTTACATGATCGCTGCGCAATGGCTGTCGGCCTTTCAATACGCCAACCTCCTGGGCGCAATCGTGGGCGCCCTCTGCTCTGGGTTCGCCTACGATCGCTTTGGTCCGCGCCTGATGATTGCAGCCTGCTCGGTGCTATCCATCGGCTTTATTTTCATCCAGTTCTTCAGCCACACCCCGGCTCAGCTGTTCGTCGGCCAACTCGTCAACGGCGCCATCATCGCCTTTTACCCGATCTGTGCGTCGGCATACGTCGGCGAAGTCACGCCTCTCGTGCTCCGGGGCTTTGCAGCCACCATGACCAACTTGGCGTTCTCGATCGGCTCGCTGATCGCATCCGGTATCCTCAAGGGCACCGAGTCCATGCACAGCACTCTGGCCTATAAGATCCCTATTGCGACGCAGTGGGCCTTGCCCTGTATCATGCTTTTCCTGGTGGGATTCTGTCCCGACCCGCCGTACTGGCTTTGCCGCAAGGGCCGAGATGATGCGGCCGCAGCATCGCTGCGGCGTCTCACTACACACGGAGTGGACATCTCGCGCAAGCTGGCGCATATTCGAGAGACGCTGCGACTTGAGGAGAGCTTCCAGGGAGGCCGGCCGCACTACCTAGAGTGTTTCCGGGGGCCGAATGCGCGGCGACTCATGATCTGTGTGATGGCGTACAGCATGCAGGCGTTCACGGGGAATGTCTTTTTCATCAGTTACGCCGTGCACTTCATGGAAGTCGCGGGCCTCGATTCGTCCAACGCCTTCTCCATGAACTTGGGGCTCACGGCCATCGGGTTCGTGGGAACGTGCATCTCATGGCCGTTGCTGTCGTACGTGGGCCGCCGCACCATGTACATCTTCGGATGCTCCACGCTGGCTATCCTGCTGTTCATCATCGGGGCGGTAGATCTGGCCCCGCGAGACACGCAGACGGTCTGGGCGCAGTGTGGTGTCATGTTGGTTTGTACGCTGGTATACGACGTCAGTCTTGGTCCATTCTGCTACGTGCTGCTGGCTGAAGTGTCGTCGGCGCGTCTGCGCGGCTTCACGATTGCATTGGCTACTGTTAGCTGTTTCGTGTGGTCGGTCGTGTTCGCCGTGGTGATCCCGTACGCCATGAACGAAGACCAGGGCGACTGGAGAGGTAAGGTGGGCTTTCTGTTCGCCGGTCTGAGTGTTCTATGCACCGTGTACTGTTTCTTTTACATGCCTGAAACGAGAGGCCGAACGTTTGAAGAACTGGATATCTTGTTTGAGCGCAAGGTGCCCAGCCGGCGGTTCGAGTCGTACAAGATTGACTTGGATGTTGACGGGAGAAGGCTGGAGGAGTAGTGAACCTTCGGGTCGATGTACATACCTAGCATATACATATGATGAAACATGTATAGACGAACTTATCCATCAGGATATACTCCCGTGCTGAGGCAGGGATGATATAGTGACGTATTGGAAAGACGGTACCGTACGCCGTCTGCCCGCCAAAAAGCCAAGATCCCCGGTACGGTATGGTCAGCGACATGCCGACGGACTCGGCCCGGTATCGGCGGTTGCGGCAGCCAATCAGGGCGAGCCTAAAAAAAATGGCGACTGAAAAAGAGTCATCGCCAGCAGACAAACTCGCCCGATTTCTCTCCCTCTCTCCTTGCACTCACACGGCAGAGAAAACCATGGTGAGGCAACTTGTTTGGCAGCGGGCGACCGCCTCTCAGAGGGTAAGTTGGCGTGGCCTGGATCACTTCCTTCCCAATTCTTCCTTCCCCCCTGGCTGACCTTTGTTCTCCCGCAATTTAAAGCTGGCCCCGAAATGTCTCTCCCCACAGCGACTGTTCGGCCGCCGTGGTCTGGCCACGGAGGCCTCCTCCGCCGCCGCGGCCTCCCGGATGCCCCCGTACCCCAAGATTGTGCGCAACCTGGAAGAAGTGCGACGGGTTCTGGGTGCTGCGCGCTCTCTCACCCTTGCTGAGAAGATTTTGTACGCCCATCTCGCCAACCCCGAAGAGTCCTTGTTGACCGGCACGGAGAATGGACGCGACATTCGCGGCAAGGCCAATTTGAAACTGAAGCCGGATCGCGTCGCCATGCAGGATGCGTCCGCCCAGATGGCCCTGCTGCAGTTCATGTCGTGCGGTCTGCCTTCCACGGCCGTCCCTGCCAGTATCCACTGCGACCATATGATTGTGGGAGAGCGTGGTGCCGACACCGACCTGCCCGCCTCGATCAAGGGCAACAGCGAGGTCTTCGATTTCCTGGAGAGTGCCGCTAAGCGCTACGGCATTGAGTTCTGGCCGCCCGGTGCCGGTATTATCCACCAGAGTGTGCTCGAGAACTATGCCGCTCCGGGATTGATGATGCTGGGAACCGACAGCCACACCCCCAACGCGGGCGGTCTGGGGGCGATCGCCATCGGTGTCGGCGGTGCGGATGCGGTCGATGCGCTGGTGGACGCGCCCTGGGAGCTGAAGGCGCCGCGCGTCTTGGGAGTGCGACTGGAGGGCAAGCTGAACGGCTGGGCCGCGCCCAAGGATATTATCTTGCACCTCGCCGGCAAGCTGACCGTGCGTGGTGGCACGGGATTCGTGATCGAGTACCATGGACCCGGCGTGGAGACGCTGAGCTGCACGGGTCAGGCGACCATTTGCAACATGGGTGCCGAAGTGGGCGCGACGACATCGGTGTTCCCCTTCTCCCCCAGCATGGTCCCTTACCTGCAGGCGACGCACCGCGGCGACGTGGCCCAGGCGGCCTCGGCCATCGCTGCCTCAGGCCCGCAGAACCTGCTTCGGGCAGACACCGGCGCCGAGTACGATCAGCTGATCACCATCGACCTCTCGACTCTCGAGCCTCACATCAACGGTCCCTTCACTCCGGACCTGTCCGTGCCGCTGTCCGCCTTCGCCGACACCGTCCGCGAGAAGCAGTGGCCCGAGACTTTTGGTGCCGGTCTCATCGGCAGCTGCACGAACAGCTCCTATGAGGACATGACCCGTGCCGAGGACCTGGTCAAGCAGGCCTCCGCCGCCGGACTCCAACCCGCATCCGACTTCTTCATCACCCCCGGTAGTGAGCAGATCCGCGCCACCTTGGACCGGGACCAGACGCTGTCGACCTTTACCGAGGCCGGTGGCACCGTGCTGGCCAACGCCTGCGGACCTTGCATTGGACAGTGGAAGCGCACCGACGGTGTGTCCAAGGGCGAGGACAACGCCATCTTCACCTCGTACAACCGCAACTTCCCCGGCCGCAACGACGGCAACCGCCGTACCATGAACTTCCTGGCCTCGCCGGAACTGGTCACCGCGCTGGCTTACTCCGGCAAGACGACCTTCAACCCCATGACCGACAGCCTGAAGACGCCCTCCGGCGAGGAATTCCGCTTCCAGCCCCCGTCCGGCCACTCCCTGCCTGGCGAAGGGTTCGCCGACGGCAACCCGTCCTTCCAGCCGACCGCCGCCGTGCCCGACGCCAGCTGCGAGGTCGTCGTCTCGCCCACGTCGGACCGCCTGGCGCTGCTCGAGCCTTTTGCTCCCTTCCCCGAGGGTGAGCTCTCCGGTCTCAAGGTCCTTTACAAGGTGCGCGGCCAATGCACCACGGACACGATCTCCGCGGCGGGTCCCTGGCTCAAGTACAAGGGCCACCTGCCCAACATCTCCGCCAACACCCTCATCGGCGCCGTCAACGCCGCCACCGGCGAGACGAACGTTGCCTATGACGACGCTGGCAAGCAGTTCGGTATCCCCGAATTGGCCGAACAGTGGAAGTCGGAAGGCCTTGAATGGCTCGTCGTCGCGGAGGAGAACTACGGCGAGGGTAGCGCTCGTGAACACGCCGCCCTGCAGCCCCGCTACCTCGGTGGCCGCATCATTGTCGCCAAGAGCTTCGCCCGTATCCACGAGACCAACCTCAAGAAGCAGGGTGTCGTGCCCCTCACCTTCGCCAACCCCGCCGACTACGAGCTCATCAACGCCTGCGATGTCGTCGACACCGTCGGCTTGTACGACGTCCTGAAGGCCGGCGGCAAGGGCGAGATCCAGCTGCGCGTGCAGAAGAAGAGCACCGGCGAGACGGTGCAGATCCCTGTGCGTCACACGCTGAGTCCGGATCAGTGTGCGTTCGTCCTGGCGGGTAGTGCATTGAACTTGTTGGCGCAGAAGGCGAACAAAAACTAGACGGGGCGGGATTTAGCATGGACTTTTCGTTTCTGGGACTTGTAAATAGACCTTTTGATTTGACATCCTGTAATTGTAGCAAAAAGATTCTTTTCGTTTTGTGGATTCCTTCACCGCTTTGTCTTTCTCAATGTGCTAATTGCTTTCATCTGTTGGGGGTAATCACAAACAGGGTGGGTTTCACACAAAGAGGTTGTAAGAAGAAGGTTGGTTGGAGACAAAGACAACCACCACTGCATTGTACGCATCACGTGGTGGGCGACAACTCCCTCTTCAACCGACGACGGAGACACATGAAGCACCCCCTCTATTGCGCCAAGAACAACTGTCTTTACTCGATGGCATATCACCATATGTCGCTATATTCAAGTAAACTCCTCGTCACATGCTATGAAGGAGAGACTTGATAAAAACAGAAACGACCTAGGGCTTGGGAATAGTAAGTGCACTTCTTGCCCCTTGAGACCGAGCAACTGACGACATGTTCGTGGGATGTTTCTTCTGTCTGCACATGAGATGAAGCGCCTGGTTTGGTTTGCTTGGACAAAATTTTCAGTGAGAATCTCTGCCAACTCGAGTGAGATGCGACGAATTCCTCGATCATTGAGGAACATCCCGGTCCTCGGCTGGTAGACCCCGATCCACGTTGGCTCGCATGGATCCAGAACAGAAATGGCCTGGGAATTGATGCAATGATCGCTCTTGGAGCTCGAGAACAATAAAGCCGACGGGAATTTGCCTGCATGGTGACGGCTGGCATTGTTGGGATTACAATACTATACCTGCCGATGACACTATATAAGGAGGCTTATACTCGTGCAGTATATGACTCGGTTATCTTCAACTAAAGCTGGTCTTGACAAGTTAACAGAACGAACCCACTGCAAGGGAAGAGAATTTAAGGGTACTACAAACCAGATTCAAAATGTCGTCCACCGGGTTCAACAAACTCCCCGTGGAGCTCGCCCTGGAAATTTCACAGTACCTTGACCATGTCAGCATTGCCAGACTTTCAGGGGTCTGCAAGAACCTGTCCCACATTCTGAAAGACTCAAGTCAGGAGGCAGCACGGGAGTACGCCTTTCTTCCTACATTGCGCGCCCCGCGATGCGATGAGATAGGCGATGAGATAAGAGAATGGGACCGGCGCAGCACCCGACCAAGGCCGTCTGCATCGCATATCGAGATGGCAATTATAGAGAACCGAATTGAATCTCTTCGAGCATTTCTCGATGCAGGAGTGGACCCAAACAGTTTCGGCACTGACGGCCTTCGCTTGCTTGGCACGGCCCTCCGAAATCTCCGACTTGACGCCGTAAAAAAGCTGCTGGAGTATAAAGTCGACGTAAACTTGCGCGTGCGGTCGGGGCGTTCACCGTGGAGGTATTTTGATCGTGAGTTCGAAAATTCCCCCCTGGCATATGCCTGCCGAGCCTTAGAAGCCTTAGAAGGGCACCCTGCTGTTCCGGCATCGTATTGCCCGCGGACTAATTACGATGTTGATGTTGTCCTGCCAATCATCAATGCGGGGTATGAATCCTTTTCGTCCTTTGACATAAGTCTGCTCTCTACAAGACGCGATTTCCCCCACATCATGATATCATTATTGGACAAGGGACTCGACCTCAAGGATTTGTCCAACCCACACGGGACTGGTGCTCTCATAGGGGCTGCCTGCGATATTTTGCACTGGCCCTATACCATGAGACTGCAATATACGGATATGCTAGAATCGGCTACAAATGAGAAATGGCCAACCGGGCAGGCGCCGTATGGTGAAGACCTTCCTATGGCCGAGTACATGGATCTTGTGGCTTTTGTTTACACCAAGTACCCTGAGTTGCATGAGTGACTCTATGGTTTCATCGCGACCGCCCTACACGAAGCCATATTTGAGTCGTTCTGGCCACTAGTTGTAACCCTACTGGATTTCGGCGTCGAAGTCGGAATACCTATAAACAAAGTTGATTGCGCAGTTGATAACGAATTGGAATCGGTGGATATATTTCCAGATCGCTGTCCTGAGTTGCGTGAAGAGCTGAGGGTTTTACCTCTCCTCGAAATGAGGCTTCAGTTGGTCTGGTTCAATATCTAGGGAGAGAAAAGGTGCAATGCTGGCCATTTATCTTTTCTCGAGAGCTCTCATCCCAAATGCTCTAGGAGGCTAGAATACCATACCCCAGGTCTTATGATTAGAGAAATGAAGATGCGTATTAACCTTGAACCTTCAAAAAGGGTTGAGTAGAGCTACTGGACCCACGATCAGTGTCGAAAACTAGGAGCTATGTCTCTCCATTGATTATGGTTGGAAGATTCTCCATATTCACACTTATAATATGCATTACTATATCACAAGTTACCAGACTACATACTAATCTGCCCATAAATAAAATAGCTTGATGGAGACAGAATAGATCCCCTGTTCTATCTATCTTAAGGATAGGATAGCAGTCAAAACTAATTATTGAATTCAGTATCTAATTTTTACGCCGTCAGCTAGCCAACTAGGTAAATCGGATTATCGGTCCCTAGTGCTGCTCGGATTCTTCTTTAATTCACCGTGTCTAATATACACATCTGTGAAATGTACAACATGGAAGGACTACCAAGAAGAAGTCAATCAATCAATCAAAACTCTATTAACCCGGTAAAGCCTATCTATTGAAGCAACAGGCTATGCGGGCGCTTCTCCAGCGAAGCAGAATTCCGCGAACCATACGCCTTTTATATAAAACCCACAAACACAGTAGACGATCAAAAAGCAAAACACAACTAAAAGCAGCTGCCACACGCCTGCTGCGGGCCTACTGCGTCTCCGTGGCGCCTCTCGCTCCCTCTGCGTTCCCCTATTTGGTCATTCCATCTCTGGGTGCGTCCCCGGGGGTGGTGAGAGACATCCGCCCCTCCCCCTAAAATTCCATGTAACCATCGTCTTCGTCGTCTAGTCCGAGGCCTTCTAGTAGGCTGCTTGGTTCTGGGGCCTCCTCCTCCTCTTCGTCCCCGAATTGGGCGAATCGGAATTGCGGAGAAGGTCCAAGAAGAAGGTCCCCTCCGTTTTTCAGATCCTCTGGTAGCTACATATTCTTATGAGCAGCGATCCACAGTGGGGATTTCCCATTCTCCAGTATGCCATACCCCGTAGCCTCAAGGCTTTCTAGCCCCCCCGCCCGAGCGCGTGTCAAGAATCCGGCCCTGAGTCTGATGTGAACGTCTCCGGCGGTGGCGTGACGTTATTCGGCTTGATGACTATCGGGCTTGCGAGTCTCTCTCCAGTATGTCCGTCCCCCGGTGAGCGAGAGGCACCTGGAGTTTCTCGGGATACGGCTATCTCCGGATGATTCTTTCCTGAAGTCGGCTGGAAGAAGCTGTCTTCACTGCTCAGGGCTTTTTGATTGTGATGTCAAACGAGTTCCTGGCATACGGGAAACGACAGGTTTCCCTAGCTGAGATAATCTCTCTCAGCTCCTTACTTAATATATACAGTTCTTGTCGGCCCGGTGGCAGTATTACCTGCACACACGCTTTGTGCGGGGGCATATTATATACATGCGGTCGGTCACATATATATGTTGACCCATTCCCTCGCATGGCGCGATCAACCTCGTCCCGAAGCGCAAGATAAATCCGATGGTGGTCTCTTGGCGATTTGAGGTGTGAGGTATCTTTGTCAATAAAGATATAGAAAGTAGATCTGGAGGATTCGCTACAGAAAAAAGTTAGATAAAGCTGTCTTCTATAGTTCAGGTGTAGGAGGGCTTGCTGACTCTCGATGGGAGTAATTGTGCCCAGGGCCACCAAGATCATTTGACAGATTGAAAGGCATGTTATGGCGGTCACTTTGTGTTTAAGACTTGCAAGAGTAATCAGGTCAAGCTATCGAATGAATGCGAAGCCGGTTGGTAGGCGGGCAGTAGATCATTCAAAGGTAGGTTGTAATCAAAGAGGGAAGGGGAGCAGAGCAGAGGAATATGAAGACATTTTATGCCCCAGCTGCCTTCCATTGAAGCTATCCATATCGTTGCGCGACAAACCTTTTACGTTCGTCAGTAGAAAGAAGACAATCAACTAGCTGTAGAAGAAAAAGGAGCTGGTAAACAGATCGTTCGTTCAGGCGACGACTCACAAACATGTTAAATGAGCAAAATTCATTCAATATCTGGGGATGTTAGTTTGTAAGGAGGATTTATTCCCACTGGGACTGGTGGGAGGATATCAGGACTCTCACTCTATATGAAGACAAAAGAGACTGTTTGCTATTTGTGGCCGTATTGCTCCTTCAGCGACTACATTTGGATATTCTGTTAGAATGCTCATTTTCTATACTTTATCTACATTGCCTCAATCAGACTATATATCCAATTTATCGAAAGATTATAGGACATATTGTACACATAGACATGCAACTATGCTTCATACGAGCCCTACGGGGCTATTAGGCTTAGCCTGGCTGGAATTTCAATATTCTAATCCATTATTATTGATCTCTGCACATGACTTCAGATAGGTTCGCTCGCAGGGCCACAGAGGTTATCCCGAAGCAAAGGACCTGAAATTGCATATTAATCTCCTTCACAATACTGGCCCCAGAATAAGATCAACTGTTAAACAAGCATGATGTATGGCTTTGAGTTTGTGTTATGTGGCACGTCAACGCTAATCTGCTCTGGGGAAAGCCGCGGAACTTACTAAGAAGCTTAAGTGCACTACTGCCGCCGTTCGTCAAGCTTGTACCGGATAGTTAGCAAGCACAACCGATTTTTTGTCAAACGTTGGGGTTTGGATCTGACAACATCCTGTAATGAACAGGGAGGCTTGATGCGTTAGGTACATGTGTTTTCTTTTTTCTTTTTCTTCTCTTTCATTTGATTTTCAACCTTTCTTAGAGCTTTCCTACAAACTGAATCCTGTAAATAGATGTAAATCTTGCTCGCAATGTGACCTCCTTCAAATGATGGAGAGCAGATCTAGACGCTCAAGCCTTGCAGAAAAGACAGTCCTCTCAATAAGCAATGAGTAAAGATATATAAATTCGTACAAGACTACAGGGACAGATGATGAACGCGATTTTTTGAATTCTCCCGCAGTAGTGCCAAAATAGCTAATGCTCTTCATTCAGGAGAAGGAACTAGTATCAAAGACCCGCAAACATCCACTGGTTGGATCCAAGAACAAAGAATAGGCGTTGGAACCTCAGGTATTGCTCGCTGTAATAGATGGCTTCCCACTAGCCCACATATGGACTAGTGCCTCACGTGCACAACAGCATCGCTGCCTTAGCAGTCAGGCTAATTTCCTTACTTTGGAAGTGGAGACGGCAGATGCGCTCGGGATATGACATTTGCCGCTCGGATTATGGCAGTCGACATGATCGCAAGGACACGAGTCAGTGAGCGAATATTCCAAGCTGCGGATTGCAGTACTAAGATGAGCTCGAGTCTATCAAGATAATTTAAATCCCAATCTTTTGATCTAGAGGGAAACCAGCCACAGACTGAGTACTGGGTCTACTAGTCAGAGATCCCGGATTGTCCCGCCCGGATAAAAGCACACGAGAGCAACCAACCACGAAATGTTGTGGTGGACGGCACGTCGGGTCTGGAAAGCGGAGGTTCTGCACATATATAGTGGTGTCCCAAAAACCTCATTTGATGCCCACGCCTTGTTCGCTACGCGATTCTCGACCCAAAGTGCCGGACGGAAAATGCGTCTCCCTTACGCTCCAACTGAGCCGGCCTCGCCGGACGCCGACACGGCGGACATTTACGCGCGCATTGCCGCCCGCCGCCATCCGCGCCCGCTCATTCCTCTCGATCTGTCGCTCCTTCACTCACCCCCTGTCGCGGACGGCTGGAACAGTTTTCTCGGCGCCATCCGCACGCGCACGATCATTGATCAGGGGCTGCTGGAATTGGCCGTGTGTCGCGTGGCGGTTCTCACCAATGCCGTATACGAATGGAACGCCCATGCCCCGCTAGCTCTACGCGGAGGGGTCCGTCCCGAGGAGCTGCAGGCCGTGCGTACGCTGCCGTCGGTGGCTGTTGGCACCTCAGAGGAGCTGGCCGCTGCTGTTGAGGCCCTGGAGCAGAGTTCGTTGACTGCGCGGCAACGTGCTGCGGTTCAGTACGCGGATGAGATGACGCAGACGGTGCGAGTGCAGGACACGACATTCGCCCGTTTGCAGGAACAAGGGTTCTCAGATCGAGAGATTGTCGAGTTGACGACAGGCATCGCGGGCTATAACTGCGTGAGCCGCGTGTTGGTGGCCCTGGATGTCGGAGAGAATAATGGACGCGAGATGAAGAGTGTGGACGAGTTGGTGGCCCAACAAGGCCGTTGATTGGGAGTCAGCCTCTGGAAGTTGAGATAGTGGCAGACAAGGCTGCAATCTCAGATCCTCGACGCTGCCCGGCGTTCCTCAGATGCACACCTCATTGTCAATATACCTCAAGTTTACGAAAGCAACAATAATGCAAAGAACCAAAAGGTCAGAGCTGGCAGCAGCCTGGTTGAGAATAAATTGTGATACAAATCCAAAACTACTTGTTTAATTCAAGAAAGATCCACCGGTCACAAGTGCAATGTGATACTTTTAGCACGAGGTGCACCGCCGCACTCATACGTAGCCAACAAGGTATGGTGATCCAAAGCTAGAATCCCGGGCCAGTGACTGGCATGCGGGCAGATGACAGTCGGACGAGTCCAGGTGATCTGGCCGTTCTGCGGAGGTCCAGCGAAGACTACCTTAATGGCTGCGTTCTTGGTCCACTGGACTTGGTCTGAGTCTTCGTCGGTCATGAAGATCACCGCCATGGAGCCATCGGCAAAAGAGGCAATTTGGGGAGATCCCGCATTGTGACCGCGAGGAGGCACATACACGCGATGCCGGTGGCCCCAGGTATACCCATCATCGTAGGAAATGAGCGCTTCCAGATCAAAGGTGCCAAACGTGGTCGTCTCAAACACCATAACCAAGGCCTCTCGTCCGTTGTCATAGGTTGGGGCAATTCCATTCATGCCATCCCGGAACAGATCCTTTTCGCCCTCGAGACATTGAGGCGGTGACCATGTCGAGCCCTGGTCGAATGACCGCACCAGCATGGTGCACTGATTATTATGCGCAAATTCTTGCGAGTAGGTCAGCTGCACCTCGCCCTGTCGGCCCAGGCGCATGAAAGGCTCCCAGATTCCCAGCGGGGCACGCTTTTCTGCGGCCTGCGACGCAAAGCCCCAATGCCGACCACCGTCTGTGGAACGACAAACCGTAATCCGGAAGTGAGTCGGACCGTTGGGTCCCCGGTCATGGTTCCGAAACGCTGCTAGGACGACTGAAGGGGCCACTTCCAGTAGGAACATGTTATCGACGTCTCCATCACCCCGCGTGACTTCTCCGATATCCTCAAAGGACCGACCTCCATCGACACTCTTGGAAACGCAGAGAACCCGCGTCTTGCCCTCAAATCGAGTGAAAGATCCCAAAATCGTGCCATCGCTCAGACGAGCGAGACGGGGATACGTCCCGCGCGGATGAGGTGATAGAATGCGTTCATCGTTGTTGATGACCCGATTGCCAGACAACCGATACTCCTGGTGCGGTGGATGCTGCTGCTGTTGCTGGTGGTGGTGGTGTTGGTGTTCGTCCAAGCCAAATGTCTTGAGAATTTTCTGACCAAGATGCCCAGGCATGATGAAATTGATGAATGAGAGATGTTTAGTGTTGACTGTTGAAGAGTGGAAGAACAATACAAGCAGAGAATCTTCCGACGCCGTAAACAATGTTGGTGCGGGGTGACGTCAGCCTGCGAAATACGGCTGCCTGAGGAGTCCCAAGGTGTGCCAAGCTCCACCACGGCATCATTACGCCCATTGAGAGGCCTCGCTCACACACATCCTGTCGATCTTACTAGCCATTACGACGCATGCCTCAATTCCATGGCAGATAGCGGAGCCAAGTTCTAATGGATTGGATCCACAAGTAGACTACCAGACTGTGTTTCGCAAATGTGATTTTCTATGTACAGTACAAACACAGGACAAAGCTCACCCTCCCTCCTCACCACCGTCCGGAAGGTTGGGCTCATTATCAGATTCTGATTCGACTAAAGCCAAAGCTTCCCGTTGAGATTTGCGACCAGTTTTATCTTCCTCTTTGCTAACCTCAACAGAGGTCTGCGGTCTGGGCTTGGCCGCCGAGATACCACCAGATGTGATATACAGGAATTCTTCCTGGGGGAAATGATCGACGTGGTTAAAGAAAGACGAAAAGCTATCAGAATCGGTTAGCCAAGTCTAGACGGGGACAGAGTTGGGTAGTGTCAACTTACGCATTGGTCTCCTCCTCTTCACGGAAGATTCGGTCATAGATCTCTCGCTGCTTGAACTCGGAAATTTCCTTGGCATATCTATCAAAATTGATATGCTGTTTGCCGTTGTCACTGGCCTTTTTGTTATAACCCTCAAAGACCGGACGTTCCAGTAGAAGACCAAGGCCGGGGGCTTTGGGGATCGCGATCTTCGTGGGGCCATAACTATCGAAGATGCGTTGAGGATCACAACCACATCGTACAATCAAGGCGACCATGGCCACCATTTTGCGAATTTGATGCATCATGAAGCTTTGACCGTGTACCTTTAAGCTGAGCCACTCGGTGCCATTGATTATGACAGGACTGGAGTCGACCTTGAACGATTTGATGTGGCGTTTGGCAGAGGGGTCACTGTGAGCCTTTTGGATGGTGTAGTTGTAAAAGTTCTTTGTGCCGACATACTTGTCCAGAGTTTCTTGGATGCGAGCCAGACGAGCGGCAGGAATGCGATAAGCTCGCTTGGCTGTGTTGTATGCCGCCTTGATAGCCTTGACGGTCTCATAAATTTGTTTTCTGTGAGCCTCCTGGGCCGCGTCGAGTTCCAGGTTCTGATCCAAGGTTTCCTCTGCTGCTGACCCCGGGTTGGCTCCATTTTCGGGAGATGTCTCGGTTTGCTGCGTTACATCCTTGTTCTCCGATTCGGCCTCCGCATATTTTTCTTCGTCAAAATAGAGCGCCTTTTGCACGAGCTTTCGGATATCCTCGGGGACATTTTCGAGAATGGGTCGGATATGCTTCTCATCAGTCTCAGCCCAGTAATCTGCCACTTCGGTCTGGCGGGCGGCCAATCCCTCCAAATCTCCCTGTTTCTCGGCGATTTCCGATATCTTCTTTCCGAGGTAGGTACTAGGATGCGGTGGCAGGAAGCAGTAGGACGGAATGAGATACTCGTAGATCCGAGAATCGCACATTTGATAGCTGCTGAACGATTTGCTCGTGACTAGGATGTCCCAGATGCGGATCTGCGGGCTGAGTTGTTCGTTGATTTTCTGGACTGTGTTCGGATCCTCCACGATCATTTTCAACGAGACGATATTACCGGCAGCATGGACGCCCTTGTCTGTGCGCGCGCACCGAACCAGCGACGATTTCTTCGGATCCGCCGCATTCGCTTTGGAGATGGCCCCGGCAGCCACAAACGCGGAAAAAAGCTCTCCTTCGATGGTTTTCTCGGTGTCGCTCCTAGAATGAGACGGGGGGAAAGTGAGCCACAATTCATAAATCTAAGCATTGATGTCGTACAATTGCATGCCCTTGTAGCCTGTTCCAGAGTACCCCAGCAGCACGGCGACCTTCTTCTTCGGGCGGCGTTCTTCGCTGTCGATATCCGCCTGAGAGAAATGGGTCGCATAGACCGGGGCTCTAACTTCCTCTCCACTCTCAATTTTTCGTCGTTTAGCTTCGACCTGTTGTTCGTTTCGTGCTCTCTTGTCTATTGTTTGTCGGCTTGCTTGGTTAGCTCAAGACAGTCGCATTTCATCTCGATGACACCAACATACCTCCACTCTGCCCTTCCCATATTCCTCTTCTTAGGCTTTCGATCAGCTTCCCCGGATCCTCCAGCTCTTCCTTCGTTATTGTCCATGGTAACCGTCGTTGCCAATAATGACGTCGGGAGGGAGTATGTCTTTGGAAATACGCCGAGAAGAAGGGAGAAAGACGATGACTTTGACCTGCGAAGATTCTATACTTGCCAGAGGCGTGAATTCCGGCGCAATGTTGACGCAAGAAGACGGAGGGGGACATGAAGCAAGCAAAACGAAAACGACGAATGGAAACCTTTTGGTAGTCCTTCTCCGCTTTTAGTTTTTCTTTTTATTAATTTTTTTCCCGCCCAGCCATTGACCTAACCCGATATAGAAGCGGTGTGCCCTTCTGCCATTTCATCCCATTTAGTTGCCTTAGGCATGATTTTACGCTCCTACGCATCGCCAGACTTCGGCTTGGTTACACAGAGTTTGAGTCCAACTCTGGCATCACTACTACAGAACTGAAACCTCCTCGGCAGCAACGCTGGATCTGTCTGGCCTTCCATTCGGGTGGCAATATCGGTGGACAACACCCGTCCGGTAAGCTTTATGGCCATGGCCATCGAAAGGAGACCTGACCTGGCTCTGGATAGAGAGCTCAAAAAGGCATGAGAGCTTTTCATACATTGAGTTGAGGAGTAGTGGCGAAGTACTGCTTCTTTGATAACTTCAGACAAAGGAGAAGATTCGACACTTCGGAAACCCTCACTTATAGAGTCGTTTCAAGTGCGAAGTCTCTGGCTCACGGCGTGACCACAAGTGAAGTAATCTGGAAGAATCTCGACAGAGTAAATAGAGATAAGATCGCAAGAGACATGGTGGTTGTGACGACGCTTGAATTGGCATGACTGATGTGCTCCCTGCCTTATCTGTCGATGGCTTCTGAGCCGTCTTCTACCATGCAGCATTCAACTGGCTCACTTGCTCCCCATACTGTGTGATCAGCCCTTCCAGCCATTCTCGAACATTGTGTGACAATGTATCCGGGATTTCGGTTTCGCCATGTCCAAAGGGCTCCCTTGACGCAGACACCTCAAGGAACTCGTGGTTTCGACAAGCCTTAAAGCCCGTTTCCTGTGAATAGATATCCATGCAAATAGAGCATAAGTCAACGTCTGGGCAAGACCTGCAGACGAACCGAGACCCATGAATCCTGTCGAGGTGCCCAAGGCTACAAGATGCGTTATGATATGCAGTTCCTGCCGATATTTGTTGCTGGAAGCTCAAAAGAGCCCCGTTCGGATCCTGTAAAAAAAGCAGACAATGGCCCAATTGGTGGAATTCGTATAGCATTGTCCGCTCCGATCTTAGAATCCTTTTCGACAAGTCACATACAGACTGTTTTAATGTAATCGCTTGGACATCGTGTGAAGTGGGGATATGCGAAGAACAAACATCGTGGAAGGTGTCTGGTATAACCTGATAAGCGCTGAGCCAGTCTAGGCTACTTCTTCCATAACCGTCATGAATGTAAGAGTCTGCGCCGTGTTTGAGGAGAGATGCAGCAAGGTCAACGTGTTCATGATAAACGGCCAAATGTAGAGGAGTCCTCCCAAAGCAATCTTTTGCGTTGATATCAACTTCGAGGTCCATTAAACAGTCGACCAGACCAATTCTCCCTCCGTCTGCAATGAGATGTAGCGCATTTTGGCCATACGTGTTGCATCTGGAAGGGTCGGCACCGTGATTGAGCAGAAGAAATGCAACATCATCGCGTGAATTAGTTATAGCCGCATGGAGGGGAGTGTCACACTCTAATGTGACGTTGGCTTCCAGTCCAGCTCTCAACAGGGTTTTCACCACTTGCAATTCTCCCCGTCGCGCAGCTTCGTACAAGGCGATCTCCTTGAACTTGGTTTGGGCTTTCGCCTCTTCTAATGAGTCAACGAGCAGTTGGACAACCCGATGATGTCCATTCCTTGCTGCCTCTGGAAGTGCGTTTAGAGAATCAGGGGGTTCATTCGGATCGACCTTCTGAAGCAATAGCCATTTGATAAATGACACTTGGCCATACCGTGCAGCGTACAGCATAGGGGTCTCGCCATATTTATTTTTCGCCCTGAGGTCTGCTCCTGCTATGCAAAGCACCTGAGCAATTTCCTCATGCCCTCGTCTAGCTGCATGATGCAACGCAGAATCTCCCCTATCGTCCCTCGTGTTGACGTGGTCGCTCTTGGAAAGAAGAGCATCGACCATCTTAACCAGATTCGTGGCGGAGGCTTCGTGTAAAAGGGTGGTTCCTGCGTCGGTGTAGCTCCAGGCGTCTCCGTATATCTTCCGCAAGACAACCAGCCGTTGGCTCATGACATTTTCCAGTAGTTTTGTTTCCCTCTCCAGGTCCGGGGATTGGTCAGCTGAGCCCTTTTCGGCGTGCAAAAAAACATTGATGGTGCTGTAAGCTATGAAGGGGAACTCATGAAGGAGCCTTGTGCTCTCGTATCTTTGCAAGTTCAATCGCCCGACCTCTGTCACCAGATAATTTAAGCACGACCGATAAAGTATCAGCTGACATTCAGCTATAAGATGGCAGTTCGACTCGGTGGAAAATCTGGTGCCTGCTCGAACCCCATCAACAAACTCAGCCCCCCCTGTGTAACCAAGAATTCCCTGACAGTCTGGTGAATAGGCTGGACTATTTTTTGGTATTCTTGTGTTATACCCACGAGGCCACCAGACCAGGAATTGATCTTTGAAGCCATAAGCCTGTCATCTTTCACAAGTGTACCAGGCCCATTGAGCGGAGTGTCCTGAGGGCGACAAACAGCGCGACTTGCAGCCATTGCATACCGCAGTTCGGTCACAGACAAAGGGTTCTCACTCAGGCACACCCATTGAAACAGTCTGATCGAGTCATCAAGGTAGGTCGGATCAATTACAGACTGCAGTATATGGGTATACAAAAGTTCCATCGTATTGGGAACGTCATTAAGCCAAGAACTAATCTCCTTCATATCTTGGCCGTCATTAATCCGTTTCCTAACCAGTGGGATAACTAAGGTAGGGACACCCAGAGAAACACACCTTGAGCCCTTTCGGCCAAGGTCAAAGCCACGGGCCGCCACTCGCGTAGGCCTTCGGGATGATGACGGACCGCCGATTCTAGATGGTCGTTTATGAAAACCGCAATGTCGTGGCTGTTATGGGCCTCCATGCAAATCTCAAGCTCGGGCGACACGACTAAAACCGGGTAATGCCGGCACGACACCCAGAATTTGGCCTGCGCGCCTGGCTCGGCTGCGAGCATTTCCCCCAGATGCCCGATGTAATGTGAAACCTCGGACGCGCATTGCTCTCCTGCCTCGTTCAGTGCGTCAACGAAGATAGACACGGGGCTGCGTTTGGCGGAAGCAATAAGTGCATCCTGAAAGTGCCGTTCTAGTTCTGGCTGCTGCCATTCCCAGTTGCGCTCTCGGAGTTCGACTTCGTTACACTTCTGTGTATAGACGTCTTGCATCATGCGACAGGTGCAAGGATCCTTGCGACACAGTTGGGCCAGTAAGGCTCGGAGCATACCCAGTGGCGTCTGCTGCAGTTTTTGTCCCCGAGCATTGAAGAAAAAGTCCAGGTTGATTTCGTCCGTGGAGCGTCTCTCTTGGAGCCTGTCGCACAGGAAAGCAGCTAACGTGGACTTGCCAGACCCCGGCTTGCCCTTGATCCACAGGACGCCCTGGGTCTGCTTTGTCCATCTCTGGAAAGCCTCTTGTTCCAGGATCCATTGACATGTATTTTTGTGGGGGCGTCTGATGTTGCTGCGGGTTTCGCACATCTTCGCAAATGTGAGGGACTCTAGAAGATCTGTAGTGGATGGTCAATTAGACTTTGAGTTTGCGGTACAAAAAGGACATGTTGGACCAACTTTGTCTACCGTTACGTGTAGGTTTGGATGCACTTGGCGATGGTGTCGAGATATTAAAGCTGACTGGTCCATGAAAAGTCTGAAACCCTCCTTGATTCACCACGATCGCATTGTCGTTGTTGAAGGTCACATCGGCTGATCCTTGTCCCTCCATGATACACTAGGTAAAAGATTCCTTGGTTGTGTCACAATCGCAGTTGTTGTCTGGCTGAATGGAGGCTTGATCCGAGCTATGCGAGACTCAAGTGGCGCCGTTGACTCCCATAGGAAAATATCAGCATTCTTCGCAGTCGCTTCCTTCGAGAGAGGCTTCAGGTGACTATTTAAATCCACTACTTCAGTATCACTCTGTTTTATCAGCAGTTTAAAGATGTTTGTCTTAGCGGATAGCTACATCCCTAGGGCATAGGAAAGTCCTGCTGTCAAACAGAAAAGAGCACACCAATGGCCCCTCCCCCACACACACTTGAGCTACCATGGGGTCATCGTGCTACAAACGCGGGGAACTTGGTCGTACTAAAATCCCGGCTGCTTCTTGGATACTTCATAGCCATTGGCTTAGAGGTCCGGATCTGTATGTCTGCTGCCGCTCCGGAGCGGCCGGATCAAACCCGGGCGTCATTTTCTCGTTGTCCCACCGTTTGACAGGGTGAGATGGTCGCTGGTTAGAGACACAAGTTGCGTTCTAGACTGCGGTCCAGGCAGATCTTTGCTTGTGTTAACGAGGATGGACGCGTCTTTCTACTACCACACCATGCATCATGAAAATGCCAGCATAACCATGCGCCGGGCGGGTTCCCAATATTGTTTGAATCGTGACTGTAATTACATCTCATACATTGCCTTTCTATGCAAACCGGATGGGATATACAGGAGATTACTGAGTTACCATGCACTCCAATACCGGGACAGGCGGGATGAGCAACTTCCATGTCGGACGCAACGAAGATGCCAGAATGGCTCAGAGACTGGAAACATCGGTGCGCCCCAGGCCTCAAGGAAACAAATATTTATAGCGAGCTCCGATCCCATGAAAAAGCTCCAGTATACTCCTCAAACCACATTTGCCTGGCACCTACCGGAAAGCAAACACCGCAAGTTCGCAAAAGAAAACCCGAGAAGAGAAATTCCAAGTTATCCTAAACAACATGGCGCCAGTAGATCGCAATGGTTTCCAAGTGGCGGTAATCTGTGCTGTCAACGTCGAATCCAAGGCCATAAAAGCCATCCTTAATCCGAATTTCGGCGACGAGAACCCGTACGGGAAGGCCGATAATGATCCCAACTCCTACCAGACAGGAATGATTGGTCGACATCCAGTCGTTCTGGTCTTTTGTTCTGGAATGGGCAAAGTGGGGGCAGCGATTGCAGCCAGCAACCTCCGCATAAGTTTCCCGCGGCTTAAGTTGTGTCTACTTGCGGGCATATGCGGTGGAGTTCCCTCCGATAAAATCTTTTTGGGGGACGTCATTGTTAGTAAGGGGATTGTGCAATTCGACTTTGGAAGGCAGCATGACGATAGATTTGTCCGAAAGTCCTCCTTCTATGACATCCCTGGGCGCCCAAGTGCATCGATTCGTTCGTTTCTCCATTTGCTTGAAACATCAAAAGAGGACACTGGGTTCCAGGAGTCCATTTTGCAATGCCTCAATGCCATCTCTGCCCAAGATCCCAGCATCGCGATTCATCCACCAGCAGATGAACCGGACCAGGTGTACCCCAATCACTACGTACACAAGCATTACAATCCAGTCCCCTGTCCCACGGGTGAATGTTCTAGATGGAAAAACGTGGGCGATCCTGTCTGCAGGAATTCACGCGATGCATCATGTGGCGATGTGGGTTGTCAAGCGGCGAAAGCCACACAGCGATCACCACCCCCTGACCGATCAGGACTCACATCAAAAATCCATCTAGGACTTTTCGGCACAAGTGACCAGGTCATGAAGTCAGCACAGCACCGTGATGCATGTGTCGAAGAGGAGGGCGTCCTGGGGTTCGAGATGGAGGGTGCCGGAGTCTGGGTTTCTGATCTCCCAACAATCATCGTCAAAGGAGTTTGTGATTATGCCGACGGGCACAAGAACAAAAAGTGGCAAAGCTATGCCGCGGGAAGGGCTGCAGCTTGTGTCAAGGCGATGCTGGATCAATGGACTGAGACTGAGGCGACCCAGACACGGACTGGAGAAGTAAGTAGATTCGAATTATTTCTCCCTACCCCCTCACCACAAAGCACCTTTAGAATTCATGAGTTATCTCTAAGGCTGGATGATTCACCGGATCACTACTGACAGAGACAAAGCAGAGTCAAGGCACCTCATACCACAATACTCAGTCTAAGATTATGACTCAAGGAGGCTCTCATTCCTTTGGCGGTCGTAATACGTTCAGTATTTCTTAGTCCTCGACATCATTGAGCTGCTTGTTCTCTTCTGACTTTTAGTTACCATGCACTCCTTTCCCTCCGCTCAGTCATTACCGTTTTCTAACCCAGATTGCTATTTCTATTGTCCAGTTCAGTAGTTTAGTTCGTATTCTAGCCAAGTCATTTGATCATTTCAATTTTTCATTCCCGTAAAAAATTGTTTAGCGAAGAAAAGAAAGAAATGACAAGTAATGTCATGATATGTAGGATACTTTGCTAAGTGACCTCATTAACAAAGGCTATCACTCAATGGATTTCATGTCCCCACCTTGAAGAAATCCGACTTAGAATGCTAAGCATGAAACATTATTTTTAAAAACTTGCTATTAATGTCTTTTTGAGGACCGATTAGCAAGCTGTGGAACTATGATAGCTTGCTTTCATTAAAACCTGTGATGCTTGCTCGGACTGAATACGTACTGGAATAAAAGGCTGACCTTTCTTTCGTTCACTAGTATAACATTTAACTTGACTAAATTCAAAAACTCCCTAAACTGCGAGACTGCTCGTCTGTTCTTTTCTATCAACTTCAATTAGAACAATGATCTTCAATATCCAAAACCACATCGCTCAAAAAGAGGTTGTGATGCATGGTCACTGCAAGCCTTAGTTGTCGTTTGAAGCTTGCTCCTGATGCCAACGCTTAGACGCCATTCCCAAAAGTTCAAGGTGACCTGGAGTTGTGGGCTTATTTGCAATCCATTCTTTCATGAAATCAATGTCCTCTGACTCAAGACGCAAAGCGGCATGCCTAAGGAACATCTCCGCAACTCCAAACTCATAACGTTTCCAGGCGATTATAAGAGGTTTTTCATCAACCCATACCTCCCAAACCGTTCCATTATCAAGTTCAGGTACACAACCCTTCCCCCTGCTATGAAGGTCTATTTGTGGATGGGCCAAAAGTCGCCTTATGACAGTGAGCGCATTGTAATCCACTTGGCCTCGACTAATCGCAACGTGGATTTCCCCTCCGGCTAGATCAATGCCCCGATCGAGTAAGTAATTAGCCATTTCATAGTTCTTGACGTATAGAGCCCCGTAAAGGGCTGTTTTATTATGGCGGTAGAAGTCGCGATGATTGATGAGATCCGGCCAGGTCTCCAACAAATAATCAATTACGCTTGAGTCCATCGGAGGAAAACTCGCAAGGAAATGCAGAATTGGATCACCAAGGTAATCGCATGCGATTTTGGATAGATCGGAACCGTTCTTGGCCGCAATTCTAAGATATTTCAACATGTTCGCCCTATCATTACGCCAAAGGTTCTCGAAAATAGTCAGATCGCTAATCTTGGCTCCAGCTCTAAGAAGTGTTTCAATCATGCAGTTTCGAGGCCCTTTTGCCTGAACTGCACGATGAAGGGGGGTCGACCAGTTGTACTCACCTCGTAACCGATTGCGGGCAAATAGGTCTGCCTTGTACTCAAGCAACAGCTTGGCAGCATCTACCTGATCTTGCGTGAGTGCCTCTTGGAGTAATGGCTCCATGTTTTCAATGACCAAGTTGGGGCTCAGTCCGGCATCAAGAAACCCTCTAAGAGCATCAATGCGACCCTCGCAAACCGCTCTGGCCATCGGTGAGCTCCATGGCAAAACATCATCATCGTAGGGGGCTGCAAGATATACGGACTTGTAGCCTTTTTGGAGCGAAGCAAACTCTTTCGCTTTCTCCTTTAGCTTGGTTTTCAAAGCCAGGGTCAAGCCTTTGCAAGTACGAGAAAGTCGGCTGGCAGATACGGGGTCCATATAATCGACGCACGTCAAGACGAGCTCGACTGGCAATTTGCCGATCCCTTTTGCTTCTGCCTCTTCCGAAGACTCATTATGAGACATGGTTTCCTGCGAGTGAGTTCTCACAGATCCTTCAATGTTACGCAATTGTAAGGAACGCTGCTGAGTGTGTACTGGGAGAATAGCCCGACGATCAAAGGACTTTTGGTCTTCTTACTCTCTTTATATATACTACTCTCTTCTCGGTCAACTTATGGGGACCTCCTCTAGATTGACATTCAAGCTACTGATAGATTCCTGTTGTAGCCGGGATGCTCCCTAAAACCATAGAGGATGTACAGCATCAAGCGTTGCTGGCATTCTGATTTGTAGCGGTGATGTGAATCGTCCGAAGAAGCCTCCGGGTGAGTAGAGCAGATAGGCCATACTCCTAGTCTCCTACCGAGTGTTTCGGCAATTTCCAGCCAATGGGATGTACTATGCGTTGTAGGTGAAAGGCGTTGGTACGTTCCTGGTAGATAGATCCCCATACCTAGAGTAGTGCACAGAGGAGTAGGTGGTTTAGACCGTTGGTGATGAGTTGGTTGGTGTTGAGCAGGGAATGACTAAGCAGGCGTTGATGTCCGTCATCGATGCCTGAGGCTCGGAACCCCGCTTCTTGCTTCGTCTTCGTCCTCATCGCTGTTCTCCCGTACATCGGAGACCTTTGCGTCCAGCTTGTTTCTCATACTTGTGGACATCGGTCATGCAGTGATGCCTCCGGTGTACCCCAGACGAGCAATTCCCGATTTTGATGGCGATGACTTCACCCGCCCACGCGTCGGCTATGCCGTCGGCAGTTCGTCGGCCTTGAACTGATCCGGGGATGAACAACCACTGGTTGGTCTCTCGTGATCATGGTTGATTAATCGACCAATTTTTCTACTTTCGTCCCAGGTCACTTTTATGATCTCTTGCTCCTGACTGACAAAACTTGCACTGTACCTATACGACAACCCATCCATCATGGCGACCCCCGGCCTTCTCTACGTGACGATGCACCCCCGCGATTCGCTTCCCGCGGCCCAGTTCCACGACTGGTACAACACCGAACACGGTCCCTTGCGTTTGCGCCTGCCATTTATCACCAATGGTTTCCGCTATCGGGCAACCGACGGCCAGGAGCCCGAATGGGTAGCCCTTTACGACATCACAGACATGGACGAGCTGACCCGGGAGACCTACCTGGCTCTCCGCGGGGACGGCATCAAGACCCCGCGCGAAAAAGCCACGATGGCCCAGATCGCCGTCGGTCGTCACCTGTACGACCTTCTCGATGATCAGAAAGCCTCCGACTACCAGCCCCTCGAAAACCAACCCGACTCCGCATCCGCCGGCTCCGTCCTCGTCGCCGTCTCGCTCACCGTGCCTGCCGACGCTGCTAAAGAGGACGACCTGAACCGCTGGTACCGTGAAGAACACATCGCCATGCTGGCCCGCGTACCCGGCTGGCGACGTAGTCGTCGCTTCGTCACCGCCGCAATCGACCCGAACGCCCCCCGTGAGTTCCTAGCACTACACGAGTATAGCGCCTCCAATGGACTGGGAGGCCCTGAACATAAGGCCAGCATGGATACCCCTTGGCACCACCGCATCATGAGCGACGTGGTGACCGAGAAGAAACGCCGCGAGTATCAATGGGCTTACACCTTTGGCCCGGCACCTCGCGAGCTTTCGTCTCTCGCCTCCCCCGACGTGGCCGGGCCTTGGGCCTCCAACGACCAGCGCACGCGCACCTTCCCGTCAACCTCGCGCCCCGCCGTCGAATCCTTCGTCACCACTCCGGACGGTGTCGACCTTCCGTACCGTCTCGAAGGGAGCACAGACCCGCAGAGCCCGGTGATCGTGCTCAGCAACTCGATCCTGGTCGACTACACCATCTGGGACGGCTTCGTCGACGCCTTCTTCGCCAACCCCAAGAACCACTCCTTCCGCATCCTCCGCTATCTCACGCGCGGCCGCCTCCAGGAATGCGGCACCGCCCCCGTAAACATCGACCTGCTCGCGTCGGACATTATCGCGCTCCTCGACGCCCTGCGCATTCCCACCGCCACCCTCATCGGCGTGAGCCTCGGCGGCGTGACGGTGCTCAACACCGCCCTCCTGCACCCCTCCCGCATCACGCGATTCATCGCCTGCGACACCAACAGCGCGGCGCCCGAGTCTAACCGCAAGGCCTGGAACGACCGCGCCGCGCTCGCCGAGAGCGACCACGCCGTGTCATCGACCACCGGCACGCCGATCATCGGCGAGCAGCTAGCCGAGGCCACCACGCGGCGCTGGTTCGTCCCGGAGTCATACACCACGCAGCCCGAGGTGGCCGCGCGCGTCAAGGAAATCGTGCGCACCAACAGCCTGCACGGCTTCCGCACCGCCATGCAGGCGCTGTGCGCGTACGACGTGCGCGCCCGCATGGCCGAGGCGCAGGTCCCGGGGCTCTTCGTGGCCGGAGAAGGCGACGGGGTCCTGCCGCAGACGATGCAGCAGATGGCGAAGGACTTGAAGGGCGACGCGGAATTGAAGGTGATTCCGAAGGCGGGGCATTTGCCGATGGTCGAGCAGCCGGCTGCTTTTGCGGAGGTGGTTGATGGGTTTTTGCATGCGTAGATATGATTGATTGATTGTACGAATCTTGATTGAGTGTTTCTTTTTATTGCTTCTCTGAGATTCTTCTTTCCTCTCGTAGATCGTTCATTAAACGAACGTTCCCTATCCATCGATTTATCTCGCTAGCCCCTCAATCAAGAAAAAGCCCTTAGAATAACCCTAGCCCAACCAGGAATCCATTTACACATCAAGACCGGTAGAGAGAATAGACACAAGGAAAGATAAACCAGCAACCGGAAACAAAGATCAAAATGCATTTATTAAATAGCAGGAGGGTCCTCATTCCCACTGGATGATTCTCGTCCATAACTAAGAGGATATAAATCCATGCACCGGTCTGTACGCGCCAAATGAGTGAAGGATACTGTGTCAAGCGGGTTTGAGCATACCAAGAACTAGCCACGAAGCAAGAATCCATACTAGATTAGTATTTCTCACCGCTACAAGAAAGCCTAAACGTCCGAAAGACAAAGAGAGAACAAAAAACCATTGAATTATGGACGAAGGAAAGAAACGGCGCTATGTATCATTAATGTACGACAGAAAGAAAAGGGCAATCGCAGGGCTAGTGACAAGGACCAAAGAAAGAAACAAAGAAAACAGGCTGTGGATCCGCGAACAAATCAAGCAAGGCCTCAAGAAAAGCAAAGAAGACAGAGAAATGAAAAACTGGCCAGTTGTACATCAACAATCGGAAGGTAGGGTCGAATGGAAAGAGAGGAAAACTAGAACATCAACGAGCGGGCCTTGTTGCGCCGAGCATCCGCACTGCGAACTTCGGGCTGCGACTGCGTGTGGCGGTGACGAGGCCGCGACGACGCGGGAGGCGCCGGTACGCGCGAGGCCGACGGAGGCGCCGCCGGCACGGGATCCTTGCGCGGCGGCGGCGGAGCGGCCAGAGACGAGCGCGGAGCGTCGCCGGTGTCCCGCCGGGCCTTGACGCTGCGTTCATGCTTCAGCACGAAGTCGGTCCACGGCTTCACCTGGCTGCTGCCACCGGATCCTTTGCCGACTGCATCCGCCAGCACCTTCATCCATCCGTCTTTTTCGGCAGCGCTGTCGGCGTAGAAGTCGATCACTTCGCCGTTGCCGAAGCGGATGCGGAATCCTTCCTCCACAAACATGTATCCCTCCTCCTCTTCGGCGAAGGCGGATTTGCGGCGTCCCCCACCGCGGGTGCTGGTCTCCTTCTGGGTCAACGAAGACCGGTCGTCGATAAGCTTGGAAGCCTTGGACAGGTTAATGGTTGCACGAGGCTGCCGCGTGGTCTCGTGGAACGCTGTGAGTTTAGACCCCTGAAGCTTAAAGAAACGACGTCGCCAGAACTGTGTCACACAAAACCGTTAGCCACTACTCGTAAAAACCGCTACTTGGGGTCAATTGGGACTGTGTAACTTACCGGACAGTCTCCTCCCTGCTGGGAAAGGAATCCTTCATAGCTGCGAGCCGACACGCTCTCGGCATCCCGCATCTCCCGGATGCAAGCATTCATGCTCTTGGGCATGTCGTCGTCCTTGGTACCCTTGGGTCGAGGAACAAACAACAGCTGCAGCTCCAATTTGCCGATCTTGTAAGGGGGTCGACGCTGAGACGCCGAGCTTGCGGTGCTCTTCTTGCTCTTGACGCTGCTCGGCTGCTCCTCAACCGCCCATTCGTTGAAACAAGCGATGTCCACGGTGTACGGTCGCCCAAAGGCATGTTTTTCATGGTCACTGAGTGCCACGTACGCACGAGCAAAGCTACCGTCACGGGCAATCAGACTTCGCAGCCGATCCCACACGCCGGCGTTAACATCTTTACCCTTCTGCTGCTGCGAGGCAAGCTGCTGCTTCATGTCCAGCTCCTTGCGCTTCCGGGGAGAAGCAAACACTCGGCTGAAAGTCGACGCTTTTTGCTTGGTGGGCGACGCCGCGGGAGCCGGCTCTGGCGTGCGGAACCGCTCATCGTCAACCTTCATCTGCAGAGTGAGTTGGAATTCGAGGTCGTTCTGGACGATCAGCTCGAATTCTTGTCCGATAGGGGCGGACTTGCCCAGTTCGAGCCAGGCTGTGGTCACACAGTGCAGCCCGTTGTCCAATGTAAGGGAGAAGTACGATCTCTCGCCTGCACGGCACGAGTTTGAGTCAGCTTGTTCATTTACTGAATAGTTGATACGCAGTTTTCCACTTGGAAAATAGAGAAGATTGATTTCAGGTCACTTACCCCGCGGAACTGGCAGGTCCAGGTACTTCAGGCCAACAACCTTGACAAAGAGACGACCACGTTCTTCGCCTTCTTCAAGGGCCCCATTCAGCGCCGGCTCACTCTCCTCGATCGTGGCGGGCGTCTCTTGCACGTTGCTCTGCTGTCCGGGAAGAGGAGGCGCGGGACCCGATACGGGCTTCTTTCGGATGGCGCTCGAGGAGGTTCGAATGCTGGAACGCCGGGGCTGACCATTCCATGGGACTGTCGTCCACGTCTGCTGGCTGGCTTTGCGGGGCGAGGGCGCGGGGGATCGTGCGGCACGGGGATCGCTGGGACCTTCGGCGGGGGTAGGGGCAGGCTCTTCCTCGGGGCGACTGCTGGCGATGATCATCTTGGTGTTCTGTCGCATGAGGTAGCCTCTCTGTTTAGGGGGATGCGGGTCAGCAAATGGAATATGGGATTCCTGGGCCTGAGCAGGTCTCGTTGAACGGGAATACAGTTGGGAAAGGGACAGCTCAAACGCAACCTTTTGGGTTTCGATCACTCGGTCAAACTCCTTGTCTAGACCAAATCCAAGGCTTTCCTCCTGGATACTGAATGGGATATCGAGCTGCATCAGACTGCTCTGTCGCTGGGTGGCTTCTTTGGGCGGTTGGGGAGCGGCAAGGAATCCGTCAGAGGGGGCAGGCTTCTCGGTCGAATCCGTTTCATCCTGTTGATTGTTCATCTGAAGATTCGGCGGGGGATGTTGGCCGCTAACTTGGCGTCGGGTTGCGGCCATCGATTCAATATCCGCAGGAGTTAATGACGGCCGCGTCTTGAGACCGGCTCCGTGGGCCTTAACAGTTGCGACAGGATCGGGGATAGCTTCGTCCGCCGGTGACACGTCGCGATCGCTCTCGTCGCCACTCATGGGGTGTCTGATAACAGAGTCAGGGGTAGAGGGTTCCGATAGATCATCGTGATGATCTTCGGGGGTTCTGGGTCGTTGCAAAGACTCCCGAAGAGCCGCCATCTTGGGCGCGGAGTCAGTGTCATCAGGAATAATATCCTGGTGCTCTGCGGTCGTTGTCTTGTGCTCGTTGTCCTCCTTTCGTTCCACTGGGACGGGGGTCGACTGTCCCTCGTCGGATTGCGATCCGCGTGATTGGCCAAAATAGTCTTCAGTCTCGCTCGAGTATTTGCTCTCGTCATCGAGGCCTTGCTTGTCCTGTAAACTCTTGAAGGAGGAGTCCTTGGAGGGGACGGTCTCATAATAATCGGGTATGTCATAAAGGTCATTTTCGGGCTCTTCTTGTTTGACAATAACGCTGTTAGTGTCGTCATCGTCATCATCATCAAATTCGTTATCGTGTTCAAGCGACGGAATCGGAACGTCGGGATCGTAATGCATGTATTGTTCGTTGTCGGACTCGATCTGTGAAGAGGTCTCGAAGGAGTCGTCCATAAAGCTCTCGCTCTTCCGCAGATCTCTCAGGATCGAATCGCGGGAGATGTGAGGCGGCGAGTATCTCCCCGACTCATCCTCCACAGTCTCATCCTTGGGCTGGTTCTCGGCTGGCTTGCTTTCGTTGTCCTTGTTCTCGACGTGATCTGCCTGGGGCTCCACCTCGTTTGAGTGTCGCTCATCAAGGCCCTCGTGCTGAGGCGGCTCTTCCCGGCTGTGGCCTTCACGTTCCTTCTCCTGGATCATCATCAATCGCAGTCGGTCCTCCAGCGACATGGAAGTGTGGCTCAAATCGGTGATGTCTGCCTTGCTGTACGTAGCTGGGCCAGGGGGTGAGGGGAGGACTCGTTGACTACCGCCGCCACTTCCACGCTCAAACGCAGCTGCGAGTTTACCGGGTGACGAAGGCCGCGGGGAGAATGATGCCCCACCTGCAGCGGGCAAGGGCGGCAAAGGCCGACGCTCTTCGTTGGAGTCCATAGACTCGACACGAGAATGCGTTGCCGGCATCTCCTGGCGGGATGATGGCTGCACATCGCCACTCTCACTCTCATCGTCCTCGGTAAATGGGTCTTCGTCCTCTTTCACCAAGCCCTCGTTCGCATTGGATGGGCTCATGTAACGCCAATCCTCGGGCAGCACGACCGGCGTCTTTTCGAGGTCCTCCAAGGAGGCATCGAAACTATCATCACGATCGATGGATGATTCGCGGTCGAAACTGATGTCCGCTTCGTCCTCTTCGGAGTCGTAGCTACCGTCACGAGACCCCGATGCGATCGACGAGGGGTCCGGCGTGGTCATTTCATATTCGTTTACCTGAGGTGGCGCCGCATCGAAGGTGACGCTCTTCGTGTAGCGGCTGTCGAAGTCCGACCAGATTTCATTCTGGGGGTCGAATCCCATATCCTTGACACCGAAGCGGCTCGCTCGGGACAAGGAGGATTTCGCCGGGGGCACTTGGTCCTTGCTTGGGGATGGCGGTCGGGGACCAATTTGCTGGGCACCATCTCGATCGCTGGGTCTTGGTGATGGCTGAGCGTCCTGCAATTGCTTCTGTGGTGACTTGGTCGTCGACAGCGGTCTCTGGGGCACGTAAACCTGGGCTGGGTCGTACTCCTGATTGTGGTCGCGGAACATGTGGCTGTTCTTGACGCGCGACTGGCGCTTCAGATTCTCGAGCGAGGGCCGCTTTGATGGAGTAAAAGAAGACTCAGGGTCATAAGGAGCCTGGTTCTCCGAGTTCCTGTGGAAGGGAGAGCCAGATTCGCGACCTTGCCAGAAGAGACGCGGTGAAGCGGGTGCGTCGTAAGGCGACGACTCAATGTTTTTCGTTGCCTGCGCCGACCGTTAGTGAACCTGAAAAAAGCCGTTGCTTGTCTCCACCGAACGGTAGAAAGAGAGCCAATATCGCCGTCCACTCACTTTCATGTTTTGATTCCAGATCGGTGAATTTCTTCTCTGAGCCATGGGACTCACTTCTGATAATGGCCGCTGGCCTTGTCCAGAACTCATGGTGGAATTCAGGACTGAAAGAAATTTACAAACGCAATGACAAAGAAATCACACCGCTTCAGACGGAAAATAATTAGCACAGCTCGTTTCATCATCGGACAAGGATCGAGTGAGTGGGCTCCCTCTCTCTCCACCTCCTTGCTGGAATGTTGCACATTACCTGTTTTGGATAAACAACAACAACCGAAGCCGAATGAAAATCCGATGCGAAGAATGCCCGGAGAATTGAAATCCCCAAAGTCAATCGGGGGATTAGAAGCGTGGAGGAAAAAAGAAAGCTCGTTCAGATCATCAGAGGAAAGAAAATTGCAAGATACGTCACAAACGGCAGATCATCTATGATGGTAGCCGATTCGTCAAGAATGTCTCTCTTTGTTGGTTCCTGGTTTCACAGGAGAAAAGTGCGGTAAAAGCGAAAGAATGTAAAAGACAAAAGAGAAAAGGGAAAACGGATGGTTGGGAAAAGAGCAAATGAGAATACAACGAAGGCGAAGAGGGTCAACAACACGCCGTCCACCACCAGAGCGGAAACCAAGACAAAGGGGAGAAACAAACGAGGAACGGACGTAAGGGGAGAAGAGGGGAGGAGAAGGGGAAGGATGTTAAGTAAGTAGCAGGGCCTGTGTCAGTTGAAACCCGTGGGCGCGTAGAAACCGGATGCCAGGCGACTGGAGCTGGCGATGGAGACAAGCGACGATGTTGACATTCGCCGGCGGGAGTCTCCATAGCAACCGCCCCCGTGAAGGGCCTCGATGCCTGGGTGCCTGCCCGCTCAGGCCCCATCGCGGCTGCGGCTCCGATCGCCCTAGGCCCGGGTAGGCCTAGCGCCATGATCGGCCGCCAGCGTCACTTTTTCCGCTTTTTCTTCTCGCCTGCCAACTTTTCCTTCCGTCAAGGTCCATCCAGCCGCCTCCCCTTGCCCCCCCTGGCCGTCATGAATCGACTAGGCAGACTGTCTTTGCAGCTGCCGCCCTCGGTATGTCTATTCTGCCAGAGTCGCTCCGCTTTGGCTCCGTCCCTGTTCGGCTCTCAGTCCGTTCGTACCATTGCCGGCGGCCGTCGCCGCAGAGAGGTTGCTCGCAAAGCGCTCTCCGCCGATGTGAGCAAGTCGTCCTTGCAGCAGGATCGGTCAAAAAATGAGAAACGCGGCCCGTTTGCGGGAATGAATCAGACCGAGGCGCGCTTTCGCGATGCTCCTCGACCACGATCCGCCGCCGCTCTAAAACGATCGGGAGAGCCTGAAAGCAAGACTCAAAAAAGCGACAGTCCGCTATACAAAGCCTTGAAGATGCAAACGACATTAGCCCCGATTACCTATGGCCGTCGGACGGCGATCAAAGCGAAGCTCGCAGAAATAACCAGTTTCGACCACTTCCCTCTTCTGCCCGTTGTTCGACACTCGATTTTCTCCCAGGCCCTACCGGGTCAGATTGACGTCACTCCGACTCCGATCCAACGGTTGGCGATACCCGAGCTCCTCAGGGACGTGGAAGAGGATGTCAAATCACAACGCAAGAATGATACCGAGCCGCAGTATGCCCAATATCTTCTGGCCGCCGAGACCGGGTCCGGAAAAACACTGGCCTACCTCGTCCCCTTGGTCGATGCCGTCAAGCGCCTGGAGGCGCAAGATAAAGAACTTGAAGCGCTTGAGCAGGAGAAACAGAAGAAAGAAAGGGAGGAACGGCTGAAGAACCAGGCCTTCGATGTTGAACCCGAGCTTCCCCCGCTCTCGAACGCTGGGAGACCTCGAGTCATCATCCTGGTGCCCACGGCCGAGTTGGTGGCCCAAGTGGGTGCCAAGGTGAAAGCATTCTCGCACACGGTCAAGTATCGTTCGGGAATGATATCATCTAATCTGTCGCCTCGCCGTATCAAGAACATTCTCTTCAACCCGGATGGAATCGATATTCTCGTCACCACTCCCCACCTCCTCGGATCAATCGCCAAGACTGAGCCGTACGTGCTCAGCCGCGTCAGCCACTTGGTCCTCGACGAGGCCGACTCACTCTTGGACCGGTCCTTCCTGCCAACTACCACAGATGTCATCAGCAAGACCGCACCGTCCCTACGCAAGCTCATTCTGTGTTCGGCCACCATTCCTCGCAGTCTCGACAACCTTCTGCGGAAGCGCTACCCGGACATCAAGCGGCTCACCACGCCCCAATTGCATGCCATTCCGCGTCGCGTGCAGCTGGGAGTGGTGGATATCCAGAAGGACCCCTACCGCGGCAACCGCAACCTGGCCTGCGCGGACGTGATCTGGTCCATCGGCAAGGCCGGCGACAGCGAGCCTGCAGGACCGTTCGCATCGTACACCGGGCCGAACGTCAAGAAGATTCTAGTGTTCGTTAACGAGCGCGAAGAGGCCGACGAGGTGGCCAATTTCCTCCGATCTAAGGGCATCGACGCCCAGTCGCTCTCGCGAGACTCAAGCGCCCGCCAGCAGGAGGAGATCCTCGCCGAATTCACCGAAACCCGCCCTCCCCCGAGCCCCGAGGAGATCATGCTCGCTCAGAAGCGCCGCCGCGAGGAGGAGGCCATCCCATTTGAGATGCCGCGGGCCCCCACTTCGGACAGAAGCCGTCAGCTGCCCAACACCAAGGTGCTCGTCACCACGGACATCGCGTCTCGCGGCATCGACACCCTCGCTGTCAAGACCGTCATTCTCTACCATGTTCCCCACACGACCATCGACTTCATCCACCGTCTAGGCCGTCTGGGCCGCATGAACAAGCGAGGTCGCGGAATCGTCCTCGTGGGGAAGAAGGACCGCAAGGATGTGGTGAAGGAGGTGCGCGAGGGTATGTTCCGGGGACAGGCTCTCATTTAGAGCTCTGCCCAGTGGGCATTATCCTGATGAATCTATCAAACAATATCACATATCAGGCGCCGGGAACGACTGCCTCGGGCGTATGTATTTTCATGTACAACAGATCTCACGATGTATATTATCTATCATATCCACCATATTGTACCATAAACCCGCAGATACTGCAGTATAGACATTTCATTCACTCCACCATCAATATATACAAACCCTCCCACCACAACACAACAAGCTAAACCCCAATAACAAACGATAAATCAAACAGGAACCCTGTCCCCGACCGTCCTCCAAAACCCACACCTCTCTCTCAACCCCTTCAGCGCCACATTCTCGAACCCGCTCTCTTTGACCACGAACTCCGCCTCCGCCTTTGCCCCTGGCCCTCTGCCACCTAGTCTCGGCACCCCGGGCACCTCCGGCCCCGTCAGCTTATGTGCGTTCGGATCTCCCGTCTGGATGAAACTTGCAAACGAACCGGCATACCCGGTGTACACTAGCGGGTTGGATTGTTGGACGGGGTTGATGCGGTTCCACTATTTAGGCGGGGTTAGTTCTGATCTATCTACCTCGGGTTCTGTGCAACGAGGTCCTAGTAGGTAGTGGGGAGGATATCACATACGAAAATCGTATCACTGGCATGTTTCGCCGGCGCGATGGTATACTCCGCCAAGTAGCCGTTGTTTCCCGCGGCACGGGCGAGCCAGTACGCGGGACAAGCGAGGACGATGTCTCGATAGACCAGGCCTGCGCGGACGAGGGTGGAGTTGTAGGGGTTGAGGGTTTCGGTGGATCCTGTGGGAGGGTAGTATTTTGATTCGAGGGCGTGGAGGTCGCGGGGGGAGAGGGAGGGAAGGAAGGCAGTGAGCCAGGCGGAGAAGGAGGAGGAGTTAGCAGGGGGGTTCGTCTGGGTGAGGGATGGGGGGAGGAAGTTCTCGCCCTCGTGGGTGTTGTAGGTGCTGAAGATGGAGGAGGTGGGGAGGGAGTGGGCTGTGGCGTGGGAGAGGGTGTCGACGAGGAAGGAGTCATCGATGACGGGGGCCCAGGTGTAGGAAGAGGTGGACCATTGGTTGGATGCGCTGATGGCGAGGCTTGCGTCGCGGATGGACTGGACGTCGACGGACTTGAGGCAGGAGAGAGAGTCACGGGCTGAGGCGCAGCCGGTGAGGTTGACGAGTTGGGAGTAGATGGTCTCGGCCTGGGGGTCGTCGTAGCGGTAGGTTTTGGGCCAGAAGGGCGAGCTGGCGAGGGCTTTGGAGAAGAGCTTGGGGTTGCCGTGGCGGCCGTTGGCGAGGACTTGCGCGACGACGGACCCCCCGCCGGCGGACTGGCCCCAGATGGTGACGTTGCGAGGGTCGCCGCCGACGTGGTGGATGTGCGACTGGACCCATTTGAGGACGAATTGCTGGTCGAGGAGGCCGGGGTTGAGGTCGGCGGTGGCAGAGTCCTTGATGGCTTTTCCGGGGAGGAAGCCGAACGCGTTGACGCGATAGTTGGGGTAGATGACGACGTAGTCGTTCAGGTTGCTGACGTTGAGGACGGGGTACGATGAGGGAGGGATGGTGAAGGAGGCGCTGCCTTGGATGAATGCGCCGCCGTAGAAGACGACGAGGACGGGTCTGCGCGCGGCGGATGTGATATCCCAGGGACGGGAGAAGAGACCGAGGTAGAGACAGTCTTCGGAGCCGTTGACGGTGCGCTGAGGGCACATGTCGAAGTCCTGGTCGGTGTTGTAGATGCCATTGGAGACACGCTGAGGCGGCTGAGGCGCTCGAAAGCGGTTCGTGCCTGTCGGAGGGCTTGCATATGGGATCTTGCGGAAGTAAGAGAGGTTGTAGGTGGCATCGTATTTGCCTTGGAAGGCTCCGTAGTCGAGACGGACTAAGGGGTCATCGTATGCGCTGGTGGAAGAGACCAGCAAGAGCAAGCTGAAGGCCTGCAGAAAGCACGAGAAGAGCCGCATGATTGCCACTGACGATCTTCCCCCATGGGGATCACCAGCATGGCCAATGCCATGGTTTTATACAACAGGGGAAGTGTGGAGGTCGGTATGATAGAGACCGAGATATAAATTGGCATTCCACTGGCCCGGGGTGAGCGAGGGCTGCGATTGGTGCAGTTATATATTTCCCCAGGCGAATTCCTGAATTCCTGTGGAGATGCAGAAAGCGGGGGAATCGCTGAAGACTGGCATTTCTTCAATCATCGTGCGAGGCATTTGACCATTGCACATACAAATACACTCCAACGGCCCTGATTGGCATGAGCTGCTGCTCTAGATGCAGGATACCCAGGAAAGAACCAAGAAAACACCGAAAAATGTAGTAGAGAAACAGTCCCCAAGAATGGGAGTTTATTAATCCCTTCGCAATCAAGCCAATGACACCCAATCCTCAACCCAAGCACAGAAAACGCCCCCCAAAGTGTACAAGAAAAAGGTTTAAAAGGGGTAGAAATCCCAACGAATGCGCCCTTCTTCCAAACTCCTAGCTCGACATCCGGCATTACGTACGCAACAAAACAAAAGAAAACCCAACCGATGATACATGATGAAAAGTCGTTACATGGTCATGCGAAGAGAACGTGTCCGTCGTCGAGTCGACCGAGTGTTGCGTCGCTGCTCCTCGCACGCCTCGCTGTCCTCGGTTTCCGTGCGAGGCTCGGACAGCTCCGGCGTGGGGGTGACGCCAAAACTCACTCCGCGGTCCTTGCGGGAGATGCGCGCTTCTTCGTCGGGGTAGAGGAATCGATGCACCGTGCGATGATCCATGACACGCTCCTCGTCGTCGGACGAGCCCTCACGGTCCGTCTTGGGCCAACGAAACCCGTATAGCATCGAATGGCGCTCGCAGCGGGGACACTCGCGACGTGTGAGATACGAGTTGTGTTGTACAAACCAAGCGTTGCATGTATGGCAATCCACCCACCGATCGTAGGCCTGCGCAAGGAGCTTGGGAGTTTTGGTGTAGTCGCCAGGAACGCGTGTTCGGCGTGAACCGGCCTCCACGGACGGAACGACGGCGTGTCTGGTACGAGAGCCTCTCGAACCTTTCGTCCGCTCGACCACGGTCCCAAGCTTCTCGTCGAGCTCCAGCGATTCGGAGAGGTCGGACAATGCATCGTTGTCGCTGCCCCTGCGTAGCCGCTCCTTTTCGGGAAGCTCCGGACCAGGCTCGATCATCGCCGTCGGAGTCGGTGTCGGGTCGTTCGGTTCGCGAGGCGAAACTTCGATGGTTTCCTCGACTTTGATCTTGACCTCGCACACCGAAGTCGCGGCGGTGGACGTTGAGGAGTGCTGCGAGTCGTTGGCCTCCAGCGAGGACGAAGGGGATTCACATCCGGTGACAGCAGGAGGCGGAGGCAACCCGGTGGTTTCTACGTTGATTTGATGTTCCGTAACAATTTTCATGACAGTCGTAGACCCTGCCGCGACCTCAACGGGTGGCAGTGGCGCTGGTGGTTCTTCTGTGGAATCAGGCAGCACGACATCCTGAGGAGGCTGATCCGAAGTGGATTCCACTGACGTGGTGATTTCGGTCAGCGACACCTCGGATCTCAGCTTGGAGCTCTGCGGCATGAATTTGGTGCGCTTGCGAGGGGTGGAAGAGGGCGAGGAGTCGGAGTCGGGATCGGCTCCCTGCTTGCGTTTCCGGGGCGAAAGGTGGCTGTCCAACGATAGCGCGTCGTCGGGCAAGGCTGGCGTCGACGCGGGGCTCGAGTCGCCCGAATCCACACGAGGCGCCCACCCATTGCGAACTGCTCGCTCGCACGTCAGACAGAGACACTCGCAGTTGTCGATCCCAAAGTAGTCGTCTCCGTAGGACACGGTGATTTCCTCGCCGGTGTAGATGTCGCGGGTGGCCATCACCAGCATGCCCTCGGAGCCACGGGTGACCAGTCGCCCGTTCGCATTGCAGTCGTGGTTAGCAAACCGGGCCGGTCCCAGAAAGAACGAGGGGGTTTTCCGTCGGCTGGACATGACGATGCTGAAATCCTTTCGCTTCAGATCCAAATCCTGCTCCTCCTCGCGGGTCACAGGGACCAGCGTCCCGCCGAGGTATTTGATCTCTTCGCCCTGTTTGATGAACTTGCGGGCGCAGATGGCTGCTTCGTGCTCGGTGATCGTGTAGCGGTTGGTCGTCATGACTTCGAATGGCGAGTCCGGGAGGTACATTTGGATGTACTTGCGTAGGTGTCGCCGGAACCATTCCTTCTCGCGGTCGTTCGAGAGCTTTGCCAGGTACTTCTTGAGACCGGAAGTAGCCAGCAGTTTCTGTTCCGCTTTCACGGAGTCCTTGGCGACAATGACATCGTGAAGGATGATGCGGGCGATGTCGTCCTCGACGATGCCGCGGATGGGGTTGTATTTGGTGCGATTCTTGCGAGTCTTCGTCCAAAAGTAGGCCTGTCCTCGTGCTCTGTCAGAGTCTGGCGGTTGATCAACACTTCGAGACTTCAGTAGAACATACTCGATCAACCAGCGCGTCTGTCGCAACGTCGTCGTAGCTGGCCAACTTCGCAAGCGTAAGACGGTCGCGCCGCTCCACGGACGGACTATCTCTTGCTTTTGAAGACGGCATGGCACTCGTGGATATCAGGGAGACCTCATTCAACGGGGCTTCGGGTTCAGTCCAGTCCGACCGTGTGAATTGGCCGGACTCAAGATGACGGGGCTATGCGTCAAGGGGAGAAAAGAGGCGGAAGAGCGGAAAAGAGCAGAGCTGCAGAACCGGAAAATAGATAAAGGAACCAAGAAAAAGGAATGTGGAGGACCAGCTAGACAAGAACTGGAGGCAGACGAGTCAGACCACGTAACATCCTGGAGCAAAAACAAGAGAGAGTGAGAGAGAGAGCGAAAGAAAGAAAGAAAGCCCCCTGAGGGAAATTAGCGCGCACGACGAAGGGAACAGAGCGATATCCATGGAAGGCGCAGACGATTGACTGCGCCGTCTGGGGTCGGCGCTCGGCGAAACCCTTCCGGCCTGCTGGTTTTCTTTCCGACTCGCCCAGCCCTCACTTCACTTTCCACCCCGGCGAGCGATCAAGATGATTCAACTCAAGGTATGGCCAGAATGGGCACTTCTACTGCTTCTATTGTCTGTGAATTCACTAACCCCCGCTTTTTTTCTGACCCAGACGATGCTGAACTGCATCGACAACTCCGGTGCTGCGGTTGTCGAATGCGTGAATGTCTTGAAGAAGCAGCGAGCTGCCACCGTCGGTGCGTCCCTCCGGTCCTATCAATCCTACACTCGCCTGTTCTAATTCATTCACTCGTGTTGCGGCTACAGGGGATAAAATTGTGGTGGTGGTCCAGAAACAACGAAACTTCGGCCCCGACACCGCGCACAGCAGTGGAATCGCCAACAAAGTCCGTCGAGGAGATATTCGGCATGCCGTCATTGTCCGAGCAGCCAAGGAGATGCAAAGACCCGATGGCTCCCTGGTCAAGTTTGATGACAACGCCTGTGTGTTGGTGAACAAATCTGGTGACCCGATTGGAACGCGAATGAACGGTCCGTGATGCGCATCACTCCCTTTTCTCTCTACGGACTCATATCTGACTGACGGCTACAGGAGTTGTGGCGACGGAGCTACGAGGAAAGCAGTGGTCTAAGATTTTGTCGTTGGCGCCGATGCATGTATAAATATCCCCATGAAAGCGAATTGTTTATTACACATATCTAGTCTGTATCAATAGAATATTTTCTTTTCCCCTTGGCCTCTGCAAACAAAAACTCCATGACCATGCAATAAGATCAAATTGGGTATCGGACATATCACCGCGGTGATAACACATCAAGAATCAAACGAAGACATTACCGCAAGAACAGCAGACGTAGTAAAGTTTCTGGATATGCATTAGTCAAAGGGTCATCGAATTGGTGACAGATCACTCACCATTCCGGTTTCCGCAGATCGCTGCTGGGACTGGAAGAAGACAGCTTCGGCTTCACCGCAGCTCGGGCAGAGCTTGTTGGACCGGGGAAGCTAAAGTCAAAGAAAGAAGAGCACGTTAGCCACGGAAATTACAAGGTGTTGTCTCCATGACGCAAAATCAGGCTTGTTCCGCTCCTAAATCGGCGAGATTTCTTCCCGGTCGTCTTCAAACCGCGCATCTTCAGGAGCCTCTCCGCAGACAAAACAAGTGATTTCTTCTCCGCAATGAGTGCAGAAATCAGGGAGACAAACCGTAGGATCAGATCCCACATCCTGAGTCACACCGGCGGTGTCTCCGACTTGGGTGTTCAGCTTGTTCTGGTAGACGCAGTACGAGCTGGCGGGCTCTCCGACGTGGCAGGTTCGGCATGTGAACATCAACTGGTTGTTGACGCGGTCTTCTTTCGGATACAGTAAGTTCGAGCTGTGACGAGTTAGCAGTTGATCAGGCGCACGAGAGTACAAAGCGAGGGGATGAGCGCACCATTCGCGACAGAATCGGAAATGAACCTGCTCAGCGGCCTTGGTATCGCCACCGGCAGAGGGAGATGGGCTGGCAGACATTTCGAGTCGAGGGTGTGATGAGGATGTTCGAGGGAGTCTGGTGGAAATGCCGTTCGAGATGCGGATTACAAGAGAGACAGAGGCTGAACGATGAACTGTCGGACTGATTCAGATTGTAAAGCAAGACAAGAGCCGGACTGCAGACTGACAAGCCGCCGGACCACGTGAGCGAGGGCCGCTCAAAGAAGTCCGCACGCTAGTCCCCATCGGGCACTTCGGCGTCATCGCGGGTGTTTGTGCGGTTGGCCCTGTTTGGCCTGTTTGCAGGACTGTCCCTCCCCCGCAATTCTTCTCCATGTCGTTTGGCTCGTGTTTCTTCCATCTTGGCAGTTCTCGTGCCTCATAGACTCCGACCTCTTGGTGGACCCGTGAATTTGGATTCAGCTTTTTCTGTTCCTTCTTTGGCTTTACGTCCTTTGTACCCACATAATCATCACCATGGTTTGTTCTCCTACGTCTCTGTCAAACAGGACCATGTTCTTGGAGCTTGCTATTAACTTCTTCCCCGCCCTCTATAGGTAGAGACAGGTCTTCCAGCCGGATGGGAGGTCCGCCACTCCAACTCCAAGAACCTCCCTTACTACTTCAACCCTTCGATTAAGGAGTCCCGCTGGGAACCGCCAGCTGGCACGGACACCGAAACCCTCAAGGTCTACATGGCCAACTACCACAGCGGACCGGCAGATCGGCCTAACGGTGTAAGCCAGGGTGAAGGAAAGATTCGCTGCAGCCATCTCCTCGTGAAGCACAGAGACAGCCGGCGCCCTAGCAGCTGGCGGGAGGCGGAGATCACCCGGTCCAAGGAGGAGGCCATCGAGATCCTCCGCGGCCATGAGGAGCGCATCCAGTCGGGTGAAACCACCCTCGGAGATATTGCGATGTCGGAATCGGATTGCAGCAGTGCTCGGAAGAGAGGTGATCTGTATGTTTTAACACTCTGCTTTGTAACCGAGGCTAATCCTGCTGCAGGGGCTTTTTTGGACGCGGCGAAATGCAGAAGGAATTCGAAGACGCGGCTTTCGCGTTACAACCGGGCCAGGTCAGCGGTGTCGTGGAGACGGCTTCTGGCGCGCATCTTATTGAACGGTATGGTGTTCTTGTAAAACTCGAAAGTAAAATGCTAACCGGTTGATGTATAGCGTCCAGTAAATTTACCGGATATTATACATATTAAACATGAGTTAGAAACTTGGAGGAACCTTTGTCGTTACTCTGTCTGGTTATTATTTTGCTAGAAGCAGTCGATGATATCTAAAGGGGTGCCCAGCTCCAACCATTATTACACATCTTCCTCTTACAAGTCACCTAGCATTTCCTAGCCTTATTTCTCGGTAGCTGTCGGACCAATTTTCGAATATGTGCCAATAGTTATACCGGATTATATCTTACGCAGACCCGTTTAATATAGCGACATGTCCCCGTAAAGCTACGAGTAGCGCAGCAGCTGCAGACAAGTTGTTCAGGTGGCATCAAAAGTTAGAGGGACCTTCCAGTACCACCTCCATGGTCATGTTGCCAGTTTCCCACATTTTCCCAGCTTGTTTTCACACCTGATGCCCTGTACTTCCTGATCCCTTAGCATCCACAACTCACATACCATTCCCTCACTCTCTAACAACCATAAACCCCCTCCACATGCTTAACAGCCAATACTTGACGCCATCCCAACGTCCACCAATGCACCATGATCTGCCCAGCCTGCGACTCCAATAGCCCCAGCACAGGCTCGCCAGAGCGCTTCTCAACGCACCAAACCCCCAGCAACGACCCCGCCGCCCCGAAATTCACCAGCCTCGAAACCTTCGACCCCAAGAATCTCAAGCTACCCCTCCACCTGTGCCCAAGTCTCCCACTCGGATGCCGCCAATCCTTCGAGAGATGCCGCCGTGCCGCACTCCTCGCCTACGACGGCTTCAAGAACCTCACAGAAATCCACTCCCTCCGGTACAAAGCCATGTGTCCGCCTCCCAACCCTAACAACCTAGCCCGCCCTTCTGTCTACTCCTTCTCCCGCGCCTACCTGCACTCCCTCTCCGTCGACCATCTGCTCAATTGGCCGGTGCTGCGCGCAAACGTCGTGACTATCGCACACCCGCCTAAGATCCCTGCGGAGATCTTGTCGTTCACGGTGGATCAGAGGGCATACGAAGCTTACTTGGTGGGGTTTGAGCGTGTGCTGACCTGTTACGTCAACGGTGCGTATTGGGAGTATATGCGCGCGAAGGACGCCGTGGAGGACGTGATTGCGAAGGCCAACATGAATGTGGTGGATCGCCGCATGTGGAGGCATTTCTGGACGGCGCGGTTTCTGGTGGAGAATGAGAGTTGGGAGGAGGATTTGAAGAATATGGTTCTGCCTTCGTGGGATGAGATTGTGGAGGAGCTGGATACTGTTATTTGGGAGCGGGTGGAGGGTGCGGTGACTCTGGATAGTTTGGTTCGTGCGGAGAGGGAGGTGGTTGGTGTTGATAAGAACGATGAGGATGAATGTGAGTGTTCTTTGCTGATTGATGGTTCTCTGTTTAATCTGGGTTTAGATGGCGTTGAAGGGTATGAGATCTACGACTTCATGCTGGATGAAGATGTTATGGATGCTGGATGAAGACGCGATGGAGATGTAGGTGTTTTGTACATGAAGGGCCTTCTGGTGAGAATCCTACATCATGTACTTTGATGCTGTGCTAATTATAGGTTGAAGCAAGCCCAATGGGAAGAAAAGAAGGCCGGGATTTATCTAATCTGGATTTCTTCTTTGTACGATATCATGTGAAATTGTTTGAATAGCTTCCACTGTACGGGTTATGATTATTTACTTATTTGCATTTGCATTTACGCTGCGGATAGGAAGAACATAATCAATGTTTTCTTTTAAGAGTCTTAATACTTTAAATTTAAGTTATAATTAATATTTATGAGCTAACAGAGTCTATACGCTCTATACTCTTGATGATATGCAAGGATGTTGCACAACAGCAAATGTCACGTGCGGAATAAGCCCTATCTTCACCGTCCAAAACTGCATTTTCACTTCTCGAACAAAGGCTTATTGACGGCATATCATAGAGGAATCCCACGGTGTTTGCTTACTTCCTGTATATAACTTCTTGCTTCTCTCCGTGCTATGCTATTCAAACAGTCAGAGCTATTCCTTCTATCCGTCTATCTGTTTATTTGTGAGCAAAAACTGCCAACTTCCATTAAAACTAGAATAACTACCTCTTACGTGGTCTCTTTTCCTTCACAAGGCCCAAGCACGTCCTGGTGTTGTTTCTTTGTCTACATAATGTTACAAACTCTAAGGAACCAAGCGTAATCTTCCCTTTACTTTCAACCCATCCATGTTGAAGAATTTCTCTTTCATAACCCATGTACCTTTCCCCATTCCTTCTCTGAGGAACTTCTCAGAATTTAATCGACCAGAACAGCATAAGCCCCATTAGGTTATTATATCCAAGAATACCATAAACAAACACAGCACCAAACATCCTGGATTCCCCCACCAATCCTACCCCTCTACCTGATCGACCCCATTCCCTCTTTGTAATGTAACAAAGAGCCGTACAATGCCATTTTCACTTTCTTTATCTCTTCACTACACCTGGAACATATTAATTCATGATAAACTAGTACTTAAAGACCACACACCTACTTCACCTCGTATAACACACCGCACTATCCTAACAACCTCACACCATTCCTTTGATCACTTATATATACGCCCTACCGACCTATACCCTTCCTACTAACTAACTACCCCATTCTCCCCGAAAACCCCTCTCATCAACACAATCATCTAACCAAAATGTGCACCCCCCAAACAACCAAACACACACTCTGCGGCTGCATCTGCTCTGAAAATCAATCACCCTGCACTCTAGGCGTTTCCTGCCCCTCAAACAACAAAATGAAAATAAAAGCACAGGACAACTTCTGCCAAGACTGCCTTGTGAACGCCGAGGAGCGAGCTCGCTGGCAGTGGCTTGTGAACGAGCTGGATCCTGTGGAAGAAGATGGGCATGGGTCTGGCGAGAAGGCAGAGGGAAAGGGACAGGCCCAGGAGGACGATCGAGAAGGATCGCAGCGGAAGGATGGTGAGGAGAAGCGGGATAAGAAGGCTGCGAAAGCGGACTTGGGACTGGACGTGTCCAGGGTCTGTTGTCCCGTTACTTCGGCGGGTCTGTTGCAGAATAAGAGAGACCGGGTGGATGCGAAGTTGAATTGGCTGATGGCGTTGCATGGGGTTAATTTTGTTAACGGGGAGTTTGAGTCTGAGCCGGACTCTGATTTTTATTAGTTTCAATGTGGTGGGCGTTACTAGTGTTATTATTTAGTTACTTTTTACTTTGTTTTGAAATACTCTGAGGCTATAAATAAAGATAGGTGCAGTTTATGTACCATTCTAAAGACGGATAAACTACATCAACACTGAGCATGTAAATCATAAACTCAAGATCTCTTTCGAGGCCCTTGAATTCTCATAAAGCTTATAAGTACATCCAATTCTAATTTAAGTAGCACTAGACACTGGCGTTCAATCGTTCCAATCGCGATGTGATTGCGTCAATCACAGCAGATCTGTAAGATGTCATTAGCATATGTCGTAGATATTCCATCAGAGCACTTACTCTCGTTCCACCATCTGCATGGCATCGGCCACCTTGGCGCGCTGAAGCCTCTGCGGAACTCTCGGCTGCGAGCCACCCGGAGATGCTGGGCTTCCAGGGTCCGCAGGCACCGGAGCCTTGGCTGCAATGGACTTGGCATCAGCCAGTAGATCGCCTGCAAGATCCTTAACCTATATGATAGTTAGTATGGTTAAATGAATAGGACTATCTCAAACTCACAGCATCGATTCGTTGGGATAGTTGCTGGCCAGTTTCCTGGCTCTCGGGCTGAGTCTTCTCAAAGGATTCGGAAAGCGTCTTGACTTCGGAGACCCACGATTTCTCCTTCTCGCTGAGCGGGCGACCGCCTGACCGGAGAACTCGGGTGCGTAGATCTTCGTATCGCTTAACAAGCTGTGTCTGGCGGTCTTTCGCGGCCTGCATTCGCTTATCGAGGGCTTCATTACGAGACTCTCCGTTACGTTCATCAGCGCCGTCACTTGAGACGCTCTTGATCCGCTCTGCAACGTCGGAAAATTGCTTCAGCTGGTCTTGCATCTCTTCCTGCAGTCGTTCGCAGCGGCGGAACAGATCTGATGCCGCTCTCTCGAGGGCATTCGTATGGGCGGAGAGAATTCGATGGGCAGCAGCCACGATGTCCAGGGTCGCTGGAGATAAGCGAACCTGTTCTTTTAGATGAGCTCGCTCGCGGTGAGGAACATGCTTATCGACGAAGAACTCCAACGGAGGCTCCGAGTAGAAAACAGCGGGCACCTGGTAAGGAGGTCGTCGAGGCGGCAAAACTGGAGACCAAGGGGCCTGGTCTTTCAGATCGAACTGTCGTCGATCCTCCACTGACGGGAAGGAAACCGCTGGAGCATCCATGACAGCAGCATACGGATGGGATGTGTGGTATGTAAGCAGCAAGTATCCAAGATCGTAATCATAATATACGAGCGAAGACGGGAAGTGGTTTGCTTGGTCTTTGGCGCTGCCGTCGACCTCGTCGAGTTCGAGGATCTGCTCCCGTAATGATACCGTGCCTTCACAGAGAACCTCGAGGCGGAATGCTGAGCCCGACGTGTCCTCGGATGCGAGCTCTGCTTCCAACCTCTGCACCCAGGAAGAGAGGGAAAGGAAAACAACATTCTTTTCGTTGGTGACAAAGAAGTTGTACCGCGAATGGACGTCCCTCGTGAACGTGGTCCAGTTATTCAACGATTGCTGTTCTCCCTTGACGGTGTCCAATGATTCCACCAGGAGCAAATCGGATGGTTCGGAGGTTGGGGTGCTGAAAGCGTTTTTCTTGGCTCTTGGGAGCCACTGTCCTTCCACACCGTCGAGTTCAAGACAAATATGGATTCGCCCACTTCCAGTAGATAGACAGATGATGGTGGCAGACAGCTGGTCATCTCCATTGTCATCCGTCGCAAGGTCAATGTCTTCACCCAGCATCAGGGCATCAGTGTCGATTTTCGACGCAGTGACAAGGATATCGCAGAGGTCCAGGTCTTCAACCTCATCGCCGGTGTCTATACGGAACGGTCCTTGCAACCTGGGAATCGCGCTGGGACTGGCGGGGCGAGTGAGGATTTCTGACGAGGACCCAGTCTCGGGATCGGCCAGCACGTACAGCGGGTCCTGGTTATCGATTTCCGCCAGCCAGTCGTACTGTTGCTGACATGCGACAAGGTCGTCCTCGGCCTCAGACGGATCCTCTTGCGATGATGCCAGTTTCGGGATGATAGCTGCGGACAGAGAAGGAACAGTGGTGGCAGGCGCTCTCCACTTAGCCGGAAGCAAAGGGCATAGGGCGTAAAGGTCCCCAGGTTTCATTGCAACCCACAAAGTCATCGGCGCCCAAGCATCTTCCTTCTCGCTGCCGCTACCACCAAAGCAGGCAGATGCCACTTCCATATCAACGTAGTCGGCGGAAAACCCCTTGTTCTTCCCAAACCCCGAGGGTGAGAAATCCTGGTCTGACGAAGTTCCGTCCACCAGCTTTCTCAAGTCGATTGCCAGAGACGGACGGTCGAAAGACCAATGGTCATTTCGATCCAGCTCCCAGACCCGCACCGCTGCATCTACAGTGACAGTCACAATGCAGCCAGTCGAGGTACTGTTTGCGCCGAGCGGATGCCAGAGCGCGGATACGACAGGCGATTCGGGGATCACATGCGTCGTCGGGCCAAGCTGGTAGGATTTCACGCGGATAGGGCTGCTGTCAGTCCCGGAGAGATGCGACGGATCCGGCAGCACGACGATGTAAACAGTGTGGTCCGCTACAACCGCTAGAAAGACGCCGTCTGGGGAGGGAATGAGTTGGCGAATTTTCTCGTAGATAGGTACTGACAGTACCTAGAGTAGCCGTCATCCGTTAGCACGCTCAATTCAGATCAGAAAAACAATGCGAGACCTCATACCCTGTACTGGACATTGCGACTTGAATCTGTCTTTTCCTCAGACCTTGATTTCTGTTGCCATTCGTCTTTCACTCGCGTGAGATTTGACCAACGGATCTGATTTTCGACCACCGTAAACACCTCATTGTCTCTCTGAGCTAAGGTGCGCAAGGGGCCGGTGTAATTAAGCTCCTTGGGAGGCTTCTGCGAGGTCGTTTTCGATGCCGTGTCGGCGAAGAGAGAAGCGCCGGGGGAAGGGCGCGACAGCCAAGGAGGGGTGTAACTGATCACCTTGGGCATTGTCGCGGGATAATGAGGATCGAATCGACTGTCCTGTCTTGAAGTCAGAAATAAAGAGAAGAGGGTAGGTAAACGGGGACGGTGCACGAACACTGGTGTCCGGTTTCTCTGCGACGTGTGATCGGCAACAGTCGCAAGTGAGGCAGGAAGGACAGAAGAGTGTCTGGGACGATCTAGTTGTCCATACAAAGAGGGAGGAGCGAAAGATCGGGTTCAACGGAGATCTAAGGAAAGCAAAGCCCCGATGGTTGGCAAGGCGGGCTGCGATGGCAACAAAGAAGCGCCTCGGGGAAATTTTGGCGGGAACCTGGTCCGAGCGCCCGCCAAGCAAGTTCCTTGCGCGCCGTGAAGGAAGCTCAGCCAAACCCCATTTCACCCTCCCTGAACGATCATTGCATTTCACTTCCCCTCGCCAGGTGAATTCCTCACACAAGATGAGCACGTTACTCTACAACACCGTGGACAGGCTGGATCGGCCCAGTGCCTATTATGTTGGAAAGGTCGGTATTCACCCTAGCTTCACTTTCCAGGCTCTTAGCCGTTTGGCAGCAGCCATTGACTTGCGTCGGGGAGCAGAAAAAGCGCAGATATCAGGATGAAATGGAGGAACAAGAGGATCAGAATGCCAAGCTGAGAGGTGCGACAACTCTCTATGTTGGTAATCTGTAAGTAGTTGCCCGGAATACCCGTCGCGCTTCGCTAACCGCCCCAGCTCGTTCTATACGACTGAAGAACAGATCCATGAACTTTTCTCCAAGTGAGACCCTCGTGACCTTTGCGCCAGTAGTCTGCATACGCTAATGCACCGTCATAGATGTGGAGAGGTCAAACGGTTGGTGATGGGCCTCGACCGCTTCAACAAAACGCCCTGCGGATTCTGCTTTGTGGAGTACTACACCCATCAAGACGCTTTGGATTGTTTGAAGTACATTGGAGGTACCAAGCTTGACGAGAGAATCATTCGCACGGATCTGGACCCTGGGTTTGAGGAAGGACGACAGTATGGGTATGTGGGACTGCATCTGCTTTTTTACAACTGGGTGAACTCTAACATTACTACAGTCGGGGTAAGTCTGGTGGCCAAGTTCGTGATGAATACAGAGAGGAATACGACCCGGGCCGCGGTGGCTATGGTCGGGCATATGCAGATGATCAGCGACAACGAGAAGAAGAGGAATACGGGCAAGGTAAATGAATTGGGAACGCTTTTTATTCCAATGGCGCATGTACGGCGTTTGCATCATATCTATTCTATCAAACAATTGGCGCATCCAACAAAAATGTCTCCCAGAGCGGGACTGTACAACTCTTCAGGCAGGGTATTAGCACTGTTCTAACTTATGCCTTCGCCTGATGGAATCCTCCACCTGGCGCAACCACCATGAATGGATTCTGGCATCGCCAGTCAGCTCGGGATGGAAGCTCGTTCCAAACACGTTGCCCTGCCGGACAGCGATAATGTCCCCGGCCTCTTTCTCTGCATCGATGTTCCTCCCCTCGCTGGCCAGCTTGGCAGCTCTTCCCGGGAGAGTGGCCAATACCTCGACGTCGGTTGCCTCTGCATCTTGGGCCGCGGCATCCTTGGCGTGCTTCGAGGGAGCAACCACCGTTTCGTCTCGGTCTATTTCGTCCACCTGTACGCCTTCCTGGTGCGGTAGAATCTTCTCTACCACCGGCGCACGAATGAAGACCGCCGGGAAGGAAGGTTGGGGACCGGAAGGATCCAAGAACGGCAAATCCAACGGCGCCTGGAAACTCTCCGTCTGCCGGCCGAAGTGGTTCCGATTCACTCGCACATCAAGACCCCCGATCAGTTCTTGGCCACCTTTCTTAGTCCGATTCGCAGACTCGGCGAGCAGAATCAGACCGGCGCAAGTGCCCCAAGTCGGTTTGCGATGAACCCTACCAGCGAGTGTGCTGTCAGCCTACGAAACCATCGGAAATCAGGCGACGGGGCGACATACTTAACAAACTCCCTCAAGGGTTCCAGGAGGTTGGACCGAGCGGCGACCAAGGACATGGTTGTACTCTCGCCACCAGGCAGAACCAGAGCGTCGCATCGTTCCAACTCTGGCGGGGTTCGCACTTCGATAAACTCCCATTGCGACGGAGATGCGTTCGGGCGTGCAGCCAGCCCGGCAGCTGCCTGTTTCAGCAGCTGGACATGCTCGTAAAAAGCGCCTTGTAAGGCGAGAACGCCGACCGTGATGCCCATTTAAACTCGTAGAATGGAATCGCGACTGAGTCACGGTTTAGCCACTGCGACTGGCCGCCCTTAAGTAGGCCGGATTACGTAACAAGATCATCGTTGGGCCGGCTTATCGGCACGTGCTGCCCCGCGTCGATAAGCCTTCCGGATGGGGAAGTCAGCAGATCGAGGTCTTTCTTCTTTGGTCTTTCCTGCAGTCCGCTGGATCTTTTGTTCTCGTTGTTGTCTTGTTGTCTTGTGGGTTATTGTGCCTTTGTTTCCGATCCATTCCCGTTGCTCATCCCGACAATGATCCAATGACCACGCAGGACCAAGGACATTCATCAACCCCGCATTCTGTCCAACACACCGTAAACAATCTCCGTCTCCAATTCCCATCCCATAGACACAATGGCAACAGAACAAAGCGACCAGTACCCCCTCACTAGATGGTACATCGACACGCGTCCTCTCACATCCACCATCTCGACCCTCCCTCTCCTGGAGACCCTACAACCTGCTGACCAGGAAACCGTGCAACGCTTCTACCACCTTCGCGACAGACACATGTCCCTGGCCTCCTACCTGCTCAAGTACCTCTTCATCCACCGAACCTGTCGCATCCCCTGGTCAACCGTGAAGCTCAGTCGCACCCCGGCCCCGCATAACCGGCCCTGTTTTATTCCTTCCGTCTCCGACGCCTCCATCCCTGCCATTGAGTTCAATGTCAGCCATCAGGCTTCACTAGTCGCGCTCGCAGGGACGACCATATCTCCAGCTGCAGTCAATTCTAGCGCTTCCAACCCCATCAGCTCCACCCCCTCCCCATCCACCTACCCCGGAAACACCCCGCAGGTCGGAATCGACATAACATGCGTCAACGAGCGGCGCAACACGCGCTCGCAACCCCCACCATCCAGCATCCCTGAATTCACCTCCTTCGTCGACATCTTCGCCGAAGTCTTCTCCGCACGGGAGCTCGCTACCATTAAGTCCCTGCACGGCATCCCGCCGCACCTCAACACCACCGACGCGAAGAAGGTCGAATATGGGTACCGGCTGTTCTACACGTACTGGGCGCTCAAGGAGGCGTATATCAAGATGACCGGGGAGGCGTTGCTGGCGCCGTGGCTGCGGCAGTTGGAGTTTACCGACGTTAAGGTTTTGGAGCCCGCTGGCGAGAGCGGCGACGAGTGCTGGAATGGCCCGTATACCGGGGTGCAGACGTGGTTGGATGGGAAGAAGGTGGAGGGGGTGCGGGTCGAGGTGCTTGCTTTCCAGGAGGATTATTTGATCGCGGCGGCGGCGAGGGGCGGAGGGATTGGCGATGGGGGGGAGGGGAGATGGTTGGCGATGGAGCAGATTGACATTGAACGGGATGTGAGAGATTGTGCGATGAGCCGGTGTAAATGTTTATAGGATGAATATAGGCAGTTAATGGTCTCGGACACAAGCTGCTAGCAATTTCTTGAATCACACCTAGGAGTATATTAAATGAGTACCGAAGAGTCGGGCAGAATTGTCCAAGGCATCTCATAGCAAAGAGTAGCAAAATTTAGGGAACTCAAACCGGATAGGAACTCTTGGTTGTGTAGTACCCTAGAATAAAGACTTTTTAAAGAGTACAGAATGAGCCAACATCCATGATTAGAAAAAGCGATCTGAACATATACTCTGAATAGGCATATGTACTATACATTATCAACTTTTACCTCTAACAAACACCATTACCTTAGACCCAACCAAGCATACCACCTTCATAAAGCACACCCAAAGTGCCCAGAACGCCACTAAAACCTCGTATAACTCGACCTCTTCGGCGTAACCGCCAACATAATCGCATCGGACCCCTGCGCACCAGGCGGACCACTCTCGCCACCGGCCTCCCCACCGCGGTGATACCTGCCCGACGACCCAAACATCGTCGCCAGATGTCTCTTCGCAAACGGCTTCAACGCGGGGACCGACGCACACAAGATCCCCATATTAACCTCGACATAGGACCAGTAGAACTGCTCGGTGATGTCCCACGTATAGTCGGGGGAGGTCAAGGCGTCGAGCATCTGCAGGGTGCGCTGGATGGCGATGGCGCAGACGAAGATACCGGAGGAGAAGAGGATGATGACGGAGACGCGCTGGGCGAGACGCATGTTGAGACGCATGATGACGGGGACGGGGAGGAGGAGGGTGAGGACGTCCATGACGATGTTGGCGACGCTGAGGACGGTCATGATGGTGCGGGTGTCGATGCAGGAGCCGTGGGTGATAGTGACGTCCCAGTTCAGGGCGAGGGGGTGGCAGCGGAAGACGAAGAGGAAGGTGTAGACGAGGACGTAGGCGGAGGCGATGGCCATGAGGGAGAAGGTGAGGATGCGGAACCAGGGTTGGGGGGACAGGCGGAGGTAGAAGGCGAGGATGGAGAGCTTGGAGAAGATGACGGCCCAGGCGTAGAAGATGGTGGCGATGAGGGTCCACTGGGAAGGGGGGTTGGTTAGTGTGGTTGAGAGTGAGGGTTGAGGATTGGGTGGAAACTCACGATCCCGAGTCCGGGGTTGTATTGCGACATGGTCACGTTCCACATGTGCAGACCGACGCCGGCTTCCATGACTGGAGATGGATGGGTGTCCATGGTTAGGTACTGGATCTTGATATCGTGGGTGGTATCCGGGAAGACATACTCTTGAACGAGACGGGTATTAGCATGATGGAGCATACTGCCGCGCAGCAGACGAAGACTAGAGTCCCAGAAGAAAGAAGATTAGCTGATCTGATCCAGCTCAGGAGAGACCACACTTACCATCATCCATCTGGAACCGGGCCGCTGTGAGGAAGATGCGTGTATACAGACGGAGCCCGACCACAGCCAGGGCAATGAGCGCCGTGACGATGGCGCACGCCGCCATATTAGCCTGGATGCTGTCACCCTCAAATCGCCGTACGCCCTCCGGAGGGTCGGCCATATACATTGAGGACGATGCCATGATTCTGCTTGGGCTCACTCGCCCGTTACGCCCGAGGACCGAATGGAAGATGCAGGACGACAGTCCGGAGTATGGGGGACAGGGGAGGGAAGTCTACGGCGTATGGTGTCTATTCTCTCCTTAAAGCTCTCCATTATGTTATACCTATTCCCGAGATCGACAAGTCGAGACAGACGACCGGTATACGGCACAGAGAATGATTTTGTGATACACCGTCAAGGATCCTGATCCCAGTCAACCTGGTCTATAGAGTAAAGAGCAGCTGTCAAATATTGATCGGCACCGGTTAGTTCGGGCCGTCTGACCCACCGGCGGGCCGGTACTTTGACAGTTGGCCTTTCATAGAGCAAGTAGGCCTGCTAGCCCAGTGTTCTTGCGCCCCTGACCGGGGTGCGAGGCGCTAAAGATGCACCGAAACTGATCCGGGCTTATGGCGGAGTATAAGGATCAGGGGTCTCCGAGCCGGAGGGTATCAGGAAGCGTCTAGCACTGTAGGGACTGGGGATCTGCCACTTGGGGCTTGCTAGCCTGCCAAGTATGTTCTTGGCCTCGGGGGCCAGAAACGCTGGACCTGCGCCGCAAGGCATCACCGCAGGTTAACATGACCAATGGAAACCATGTCTGGGGTGCTGCACTGGACTCATCACTCGGGGCAACTTTCTGATGCTTGCACTGAGACAGTAGCATCAATGAGACAGTTCAATGGCCGAGTGGGGTCATGGGTAGGACGAGGCCTTACAGCTGCAGCTATTCATGACTCTGGTAGCGGCCTCTGGTCTTGATTCATGGAATCCTTTGACCCACGCATCCTCCACCCCATAACTGTTGGACAGTTGGTACTCCACCATCTGAGTAATGCACCACCCGCGGACTGGCACGCCACCAGGATTCTCCAGTTCCCTGTACGTACCGAAGCGAAGCCGAGCAACGTGGGTCTGATAGGAGAACAGGTCAGTTCTGTCGTCCACAAAGGTTGAATTTAACTGCACTCACCTGCCTGACTTCCTCGTATCCCTGGTGTCCCCGTCCACATCCATTCTAGTGACCTTCAGTCAGGCCTCTTGGTACAGCATCCGTAACGTTGACGCTTCGGAGTGAATATGGCACTTGAGATGCTCTTTTCACTGTCCCCCGCAGCCCTGGCAGTGGGCCTCGCAATCCTAGGCTCGGCGTACTGGTTAGCCACCTACGCCTACCTCTACTGGTTTCATCCCCTATCCAAATACCCAGGCCCTCCTCTCGCCGCCGTCTCCGAGCTATGGTATGCATCGGCATGGACCAGCGGCTTCTGGAACCGCAAGATCGAACAGGCGCATCGCCAATATGGCGATATCGTCCGGATTGCGCCCAACGAACTCTCGTTCGCGACAGCCCAAGCCTTCCGCGACATCTACGGCGCTCCCTCGAAGACACGCAAGCTGTTCCTCAAGTCCGACCGCTTCTATGACAACGGACACCCGAACATCGCCTTCGTGCTGGACCCGGAAGAGCATGCCCGCCAGCACCGCATCTTCGCGCCTCAGTTCCGCCCCTCCGCCGTGCGCACCCAGGAGCCCATCATCCACGCCCACGTCGACCGGTGCGTGGACCAGATCGCAGCCCGCAAGGACACCCCCCTCGACGTCTCCAAGTGGTTCGAGTGGCTGACCTTTGATATCATCGGCGAACTCACCTTCGGCGAGTCCTTCAACGCCGTCCGCGATAACAAATCCCACCCCTGGGTCTCGATCCTCCTCGATGCCACCTACAGCGGCTCCATCTTCAATCTGCGCAAGCGCCTAGCCTTCGTGGGCCCCCTGCTGCGCTGGATGCCGTACATCTCGCCCACGGCCCGCGCGGCCGTCGACTCCATCACGCGCCACGGCGACATGACGCTGGCCAAGACACGCAAGCGCATCGAAGTCGGTCCCGCGCGGACCAACAACCCCAACCACACCCCGGTCGATGACTTCCTCGCGCACGCCATCCGCGCCGGCGGGATGTCCGACACCGAGCTCGCCAACCAAGCGATGGTGATGCTGACAGCCGGCGCAGAGACCAGCGCCACGGCACTCACCGCCGCGCTATGGTACCTGTCTCAGGCCGAACAGGCACGGTGCGTATCTCGACTGCGCGACGAGGTCCGCGGGGCGTTCGGCAGTCCCGCCGAAGCCACGGGGGATGCGACGGCGCGGCTACCGTATCTGAACGCCGTGCTGGAGGAGACGATGCGCCTGTTTCCGCCGTCGCCGGTGGGACCGCCGCGCGTGAGTCCCTGCGGCGGCGAATCCGTCGACGGCACCTTCGTTCCGGAGGGTGTCTATGTCTCCGCCGACGTCTGGAGTATCCATCACGATGCGCGCACCGTCGGCGACCGTCCAGATGAATTCCGACCCGAGCGGTGGTGCGATGGCGTCGGAGCGAAGCCGCACACGGTCCCATTTAGTATCGGCCCGCGCATGTGCATCGGGGTGACCCTCGCGTGGGTTGAGATGCGCATTGTCTTGGCAAAGACGGTGCTTGCGTTTGATTGGGAATTGGACGAGGGTGGCGACTGGGTCGAGGAGGCGAGGCTGAAGCAGTTGTGGAAGAAGCCGCCTTTGAAGATACGCTTTCGGCCGGTGGGGGGGTAAGCTTCATGGTGCACACGATTTTTCAACTATAATATCAAAACTGATTCCTTCCTGCTCATCGGGTATTGTCCTTTGCGCCGGTTTTGTAGACTGCTTGTATAAACGAAGCCTTTTCATAGCGGACAGCTCGAGGCCTATTGTCCGCGACCTCCGGGTTCCCTCACGTATAGGGCCATCGATGCACTTCCAGGATACTGAGCATGTCCTCGGCCGGATGACCACTTGCTTCGTTTCTTGAATTATCTCCTTGAAATAAAATATAGAAGGATCTTTGATTCTGGCCCCAAGTTTACGCCGGCGTGCTGTTGAACCATGACTCTATACTGGCAGCATCTTTGGCTTTGCCGGATAGAGAGGCAGGGATCTACGGCCCGGGGCGTAGTATGTGGCAGCATGTTGAAGAATACTACCCGCGGTGTAGAGTAGGTACTGCGTACTACAGAGCGGAGGTGCGCCGTGGGGTAACAGAAATATGACTGGTTCAACTAGTGGATCTAGGGCTAATGCTGTGGAGCCTAGTCTGTCAATATAAAAAGCCATTTCCCGCTACTGGCATTCATCCTTTTCTTCGATTTTTTCTCCCCTTTGGACTCAACCACCCGCCGACCGTGAACCCAACCAACTATCCTGCGGCCGTCTTTGATGATCACAGTGTTAGAAAGAGTTCGAATGATCATTAAATCGGCGGATTTTTCTTTAAAAAACAGTCTGCAAGCCAGTCCAGTTGGGTTCCGTCATAAGCCAGCCAGATTGGTGTAGCTGGTAACATTCCTAATGACGCGCAGGTTCGCCTGTGCCCTTCGGGGGTGGGAGTCCCGGGTTCGAATCCTGGATCTGGTCGATTTTTTTACCTCCCCGGAGAGTGTACATTCATTCTATTTACTTTCACAGAGCAGAGTGTCCAGATACCCGTATAAGCTGTTTCTCCTTTATTATTTCAGCACACCTGGCGTTAAACCATGCGAAACTGAATTTAACCTGGCGTTAAACCATGCGAAACTGAATTTAGAACAGATCTGAATCAACGTGCCCTACATTCGTTTTCAATCATTTTGATGCAGGAGTAGATATACCATACTGGGGCATCACGACTGTTAACATTAAGTTTTGGGGGAAACGGCTGCTTTATCATCGAAGAAGCTCCACCCATTAAACCAGCGGGTCCATGAAGCCACTATACGGAGTATTGTGTAGAACTAGGAATATCAGACCCACACACCGTGTGGCTGGAGATTGGCCTTGACTACATCGGAAACACAAATCCAGCAAAATAAACAATATTATTATGTACACTCTAGACAATTCATCACACCAGCAAGCACCCCGACCGACACACAGGAACGAAGCAAATAACGCGAAAGCAATAAAGAGCCCACGTGCGCACTCCTCCCGTCTATAAATAAGGTAGGTTGGGTATTCGTTACGGGTTATACCGGTTTGGAATCTGTAGCAAGGGTCCACTCCGCAGACAGGAGGACAGTTGAGCAAGAGATCTGGTTTGGTCTGATTGGTCTATTTATGTCCTTTTTCTTTTTCTTTTTCTTGTGTTTTCTGGGGCTGCTTGTCCGTCTGTCTGTCTGGATGAGTTGCTCATCGATCTCATCTCTCAAGACTGTAGTCACGAGATGTAGATGAGGCAGCTTTTCTGAGACTAGGACTGGAACTGCGTCGTAGAGAATGAGAGGAAGAGTATAAGAGAGAAGAAAATGCCAGAATGCAATTCATATCTCGTTTCGCGTGGTCTGCGACCGTTTCACACGTGCAGGTATGGTATTCAGTGCACCGGTGCTAAAGAAAGAGGGAAGGAAGGTAATCGATAGAGCGGAGGGATTGATATAACAATGCGGATATGGATGTGGGTGTGAATGTCGGGAGACACTAGTCAGACCTCAGTCTGGTCATGGTGTCGAGTAAGAATAACAGGTGTCGCGTGTCTATAAAGCTCCAGAGCGGCGGAGACTGTCTAGATCTCAACTGCGGAAGAAGTGGCCTTGGCTTCGGCGTTGATTGCAGCTTGGCTCTTGTCTTTTTGCGACATCTCCAGGAGGGTCTTGAGCATCGATTCTTGGGTCGATTTGGTCAGGTCGTCGACGTCGGCGGGGGTTAAGCCTTCGGTACTAATGGGGGGAAGGACTGATTTGGTCAGCTGAATTTCTGAGGACTTCAGAAAAGAAGATGCAAAAAAAAAAAAAAAAAAAAAAAAAAAAGAAAAAAGACATACCCTTGATATCGATAGTGCCCGCATTGAACCTCATATTCCGAGGCGACAGGATATGCGAGTAGCTCTCCACCACGACGGGCACAATTGGCACGCCAGCCTTCACGGCCAGATGGAACGCACCCTTCTTGAACGGCAGCATCTCGGGCTCATCGGAGTAGCTTCTCGTGCCCTCGGGGAAGATAAAGACGCTCTGACGGTGGTTGCGCATTTCATTCGCGGCGCTGTCGAACGCCTTGACGGCCGTCTCGCGGTTGGCGCGGTCGATAAAAACGGTCCGCGAGAGGGCCATGAACCACCCCAGGAAGGGCACATACTGCAGGGATTTCTTGGCCGTGACGCTGCAGTAGGGCGGGAAGACGGCGCCCAGCATCAGCACGTCCAGCTCCGACTGGTGGTTGGAGATGAAGACGGCGGGCCGGGTGGAGAGGTGTTCGTTGCCGGTGACGATCTTGAATTGCACGCCGGTGGTGCATCGCATGACCCACTTGAAGCTGCGCGCGGTGGCCCATTGAGAGACTCGGCCGTAGCCGACGAGACGGAGGAGGATGGAGGCGACGACTCCGTAGGTCGCGCAGAGGAGAAGCGAGCCGTAGGCCGCCAGGCAGCGAGCGACGAAGGCGGCGCGGGGAACCTTTTGACCGATGGCGAAGAGAGACAGCGTGACGACGACAAACGAGCTGATGCCCGAGGCGATGTAGGAGAAGAGCGACATGACGAGGCGACAAGAGAGGGAGCAGGGGAGGGAAAGATAAATCTGAGGTGGAGTTTCTCCGGCTGGAGTCTGGGGTTAGAGATCTATTATATCGACTCCCGAGGCCGGGGTACGGGCAGGGATTCTTACTGGAGAGGGCCTTGTGCCTCGGAGAACCCGTGAATGATGCGGTCAGGCGAGAGACGCTCGGGGATGATCACACTAAGGGTGCACTAGAAACAATGGGACATGACCAGGAAGAGAGAAGACAATAAAGGATATGAAAGAATAAGGATAGGAAGATCCGCGTCTGCCGAATCGGAAGCAACAGATTAAAAGGATGGGATTCTTTTTTCTTGACGGGAGGTCGTTGGGCGCCTCACCGCCTTGGCCCCCAACGGATGCCTGAGGCAGAGCGCAGTTCATGCTTTACTGCCTCACGGGGACGCCGTCAGGGATAACAATACAAATGAACTATGCGAATTGCCCGGTGACAGACTATATGTTCATGAATCTGTCGCCCGGCCTGGTCGTCTCTCATATGCAGCCAAATGCCCGCCACGACAATGCCAACCCACGCTAATATACAGAATCAAATCCCTCGAGTCCTCGAGAGCCGGATGCACGGCAAAATGCACCCTCTACCCAACCAGCCAGCTAACGCCTGGAGAATGCTGATGCGTGCGCAAATGGAATCCCAGCAAGAGAACCCAACCAAAATCAGAAGAATACGGAGACACCAAAAGAAGGGAAAGAAACAAGTAACGCCGTCCGTCATGAATATAAGTCCCCGCCAGACGGGAGTGCAGGAAATGCCAATCACGCCATATCTTCATCGTCCTCCTCGTCGTCATCCAGGGACTCCATGGCGTCCTTAATATACTGTGCCGCCTGCAAAGGAGAAAGAGATGTCAGCGATGGAACAGGTCTCGGAGTTAACTCGGGTACCCTTACCTTGGGATCCAGGTTCAAAGCCGTCGTAAAGTGCTTGATGGCGTTCCCCTTGTCATGCAGCATCTTGTACAGTTTGCCCAGGAGATAATGTACATTGGGCTCATCCGGGGCCATATCCTTGAGGATCTTCAGTTCCGTCAGGGCGGCTTTCAGCTCGTGAAGCTTCATGCACACGCGAGCCTTGCGGAATCGGGCAAGGACGGAGTGCGGTGCGAGCATGCAGGCACGTCCGTACTGGGCCAGCGCACCGCGGGGGTTGTTCATCTTCTCCAGCACGAGACCGATGCAGCAGATGAGCACGGCGTTGGTGGGATTGATTGAGGCCGCATTGCGGAAGTGTTGTTCGGCGAAATCAAGCTTGCCCATCTTGTCATACACCGTGGCCAGGCCGTACCACGCGTTGTAGTGCCTGCTGTCGGCGCTGATACCGTGGCGATACGCATCAAGTGCCTTGTCATATTCCTCGTTGGCGACATACTCGTGTCCCTGTAGAGTAAACCCATATGCGAAATGAGGATCCAATTGAGTGGCCCGCTTGAAGCATTTCAACGCCTGGTCATGATCCCGTTGGTGGGAGAATGAGTTGCCAATCGCACACCATGCCTGAGGCGACAGACGATCCACGTCCATCAGTTCATGCGCAAGATATGCCAACTCGACGTCGTTTTTCAAATGCCACAGAACAGTAGAGTAGATCTCCATATCCTCCAAGCGGGACGGCACCATGGCGCGCACCCGAACGAAGTATTTCTCGGCTTCGGAGTACATCGCTTGTTCGTAGTACGCCCGGCCGATCTGCGAAAGAACCCATGGCGTCTCTCGTTGCCCTTGCGAAAGCGCGTTGAAAATCTGAATAGACTCGGAACACCTATACCGAGTCAAGGCGAAATGCCCTGAGGCTAACTTGGAGAATAGTTCTAGCAACCACGTGAGTGCCTCTATCGACTTCGACTTCTCCATCGTGGCGGCTCGGGATGATGTATGCTGGGTCCCGCTATGCATAGACGTGGTTCGGTGTTCTCTGCCGTCACTGTCATGGATGTCACTCGCCTGCTTCCTGCTGCCGCTGACCACGCGACCCATGGTCGGTGCCGTTGTCGTGCGTCCCTTGGCTCCGGTAGCCTTAACCTTCTTCAACTCGCGACCGTCTTTCATGCCTAGCGCCGCTCCCGAAAGTTTGCTCGTCGTCGGTTTGATCTGATTGAAAAGTCGTACGCTGCGGCGTTGCGGCGCTCCCGGCTCTGTGGGCTGTGACGTCGACGAGTGAGCTACCTGACCAGAAACCGTTCGTTTGCGGTCTCCGACGCGGGAGCTTGGGACCGATTCCTTTTCTGCCTGGGAGTTTACGTGCTCCTCCGGCTCAACCTTCGTCCTTGTTCTCTGCCGGATGCCCGTGGGCTTCATCTTGGGAGGCGGATCCATTCCATGGTCGGCGCCCACTGATTGGATGGTGCGATTCTTTCGCGTAGGAGCAAGGGGTGGTTCCATCGGTGCATCGGTAGTCCCCGCGCCATGGCCGATGCGGAACTCATCGGATTCACTGCTTTGGCCGCCCGGTGTTTCGGTTCCTTCGTGTACCATCGGTCCCGACGCCCCTGTGGAGGCCACGCTGACCGTACTTCCGTTTAACTTCTCCCATAAAACCGAGCTTCCGTGTGTGAGATTCGATTCGCCTCTAGACGTCGCAGATGAAAACGGGTCCATGGTGGAATTTGTGTTTGCCTGCGATTGCAGGGGGCCGGCTGCAGGGGTGGCCTTATCGGAGGCGGCAAGATCGGCGTCCTCCTGCATCGAGGAAGAGACGACCGCGAGTAGATCGGAATTCATTTTGTAGATGTTAGGGACACGGACGTTGACACCTTCGAATCTCAGTCAGTCATCCGCATTACCATACTCTGGCATCAGAGCTCACCAGTTTCACATAATCCCATAAAGGCATCCCACATGAACGGATTCAACCTCAAGGCCTCGACGTAGCAGTCTACCGCCTTGGTGTTTTCTTTGTGCGCGTACCACAATTTACCCAGCAGACACATCACGGCAGCCGCGTCCGGTAAATGTTGCCTGCGCGTTTCATTGTGCTTGTCTAAAATTTCACGAGCAACCGAATTAGCCTTGAATGAACCAGAAAGCGCATTGTGTCTTGGCCGAGTTGCGTAGCACAATGTCGCAAGAGCGAATCCAAAAGCTTACTCCAATGGTTTTTCGAAGCCCACAGGCTCTTGCTCCGTTCCAAAGCCTTGATGCCGTCCAGATCTTTCCCTAAATCCAAGCAAGCTTGCGCGTATACATATGAACAGCCCAGGTGGGTACCCCGCGATCCGAAGTTTCTGCTGTAATCCAACGCCGATTTCACTTGGCCATTCAAAAGGTGACACAGGGCGAGTAGGTATGAAGCTTCCGACGTTCGAGGCTCGTAAGCGTGCAGGCGACCGGCGAGGAAGAGGGCCGTGCGGATCAAGTTGTTGTCCAGATGGTAGTATATTAGCTGCCGCAGCTGGCTCGAAATATGAGACGTTGACGGCGACATGATCACGGAAAACTGAACCGTTCGGTCTTGAAGAAAAGAATTCGCAGGACCGAGAACAAGGAGCGGTGTCGTTTGCCCGCCTCGGGGAGCGAGGGTGTAAGAAAAAGACCGACGGACAAGAGGATTGCGAAAATGTTGGTCGAAAGGTAGAAAAGAGTTCTCAGCACGGGAGAAGCATCAGGTCAATAGCAGTCGGGTCGTGTGTTCCTTCGTCTGACTTTCTGGCGGCGCCGCGAGACGAGGTGAGGAAACAACGATGGCGGCGAGAAAACCGAGTGAGAAAAAGGACCCCGAAACTGTCAAATCCCAGCTCCAACGCGCTTTTACCGGTTGAGTCTTTCTTCCTATATATTCACTTATCTTACCCTGGACCACGAAGTGAATCCAGCCAGGTCTTGTCTAGGGGAGCGAACAATGAATCCGGATGGGCTCGTGACGCCCCTTTGGGCCAAGCAGGAGCTCAGAGAAAGGCAAATTGCATATCGAGAAGGACGGAGCAGAGTGGGGGCAACAAGCCAGGGCCGGCAACAACAGAGGAAAGAGAAGGGGGAGGGGAGCGGATGCAGATGCGATCGATCAGGCGATGCAGACTGTCGTCACGGTCTTTGTCGATGTTTTGGCGGAGAGTCCAAGTTCGTTTCCCGTGAGTGGCTCGTGCCGCCGGGCGCTTGTCCCGTTGTGGTGGGCAACGCCATTCTCTCGTCCGCCGTGACTTCCCTCTCTCTTACTTGCCTTCCCTTGTCTTCCCTCGTGTCTAAACCCCGTCTTCTTGGTTGTCAGGCATCATGGCTCAGGTCAGTATCCCTGTCATTGTACTTTACTCTCTCCCTCTCTCTTTGGACCGGTGAATCAAAAGTCACAAGGTCCATTGAAGTCCATGACGTTTCTGTCCATGAAGCCAACTAGCTCACTCCCCACCAGAAAGCAGCCAAAACCCTCGCCGCGCGCAATGCCTCCCTCTTGCTGCGCACTCATATTATAACTCTCGGTCTACACGCCGTTTTCCTCATTCTCCACTGGACCTTTAACCGCCCTCGTTCCATGACCCCGTACTTCGTATTTGCCTGTCCAACGCTCGCCATCGAATTCTATCTCGACCGATTGGGTCGTCCGCAATACAACGCCGCCGACGGGTCTTTGCGCGCGCCCGGGGAGGATCTAGGTGCTGCCGGGCTGACGGAGTACATGTGGGATGTCCTGTATTGGACCTGGGGTTGCATTGGTGCGGTCTGCGTGTTCGGCGACCGTGGCTGGTGGCTGTGGACCGTCATTCCGCTGTACTCGGTGTGGCTGGCATACACCACTTTCACCGGCATGAAGAGCGGATTCGCCGGAATTGGAGGAGCCGGGGATGCCGAGCCCACGGCCGGAGAGAGCAAGAGGCAGAAGAAGATGGAGAAGCGCGGAGGACAGCGCATGCAGTATCGGTGAGAAGCGAGGGGGCGGGGATAGTTGAAAATGTTGGATATTCTAGGACATATTGATTACTGAACGCAGATTTTCATACTTGTGGAAGACAAAAGATGAATTAATCACATCTCCGCAGGAATGGATACGGATTATTCCCTGTCTATGTGTTCTTTATAGATAATTCATCTCGCCGTAAGAGACACATAACTCGGTCAACAGGGAAGAACAATACAGGAATGTAAAAACACAGCAGGGGGGAAGCACCAGAGGGGCAAAAAAAGTACAAGAAAGGAGAAAAACAAGAAAGCTCATCAAGGCAACATGATATATCGTGACGTGCTCGTGGTAAAACTATATGGGGAATAAGCATGGTCGTGGGCAATCTCAGAACATTCAAACCAGAAAAGTGCGACTGGGGATATCACGCATGTAGGTAGCTAGATCAGACAATTTAAGGGCATCAAATCCAGAAAGAATAGGAAATTTCGCTTGTCGGGATTGGTGATTACAGATCCTCCTTGCCGGGAGCTTCGCTCGCATCGCTGGACGCATCCTCAGTTTGCGACTCGGTAGAAGAGGAGTCTTCTTCGGAAGCCTCTGGATGCTCAGACTCCTGAATCGGCTCCTCCTCGATGTCGGATTGGGTTGGCTCACTAGCCTCCTCGACTATAGGAGTCTCAGTCACCGATGTGGACGATTCGGTGGGCGTGTTGTCGTTTTCACCGACATCAATAGGAGACGATTTACCATAGATAGCATGCAACTTTTTCATCATGTCTTCAGCAAAAGAGGGGTCTTTGCCATCAAGTAGTTGGGAGACAAGATCTTCGACCGCGGCGTAGTTGGGAGTTGGCTGAGCTGGGTTTTGAGCCGTGTCGGAAGTTTGAGGCTCGTTGGCTTGCTTGATTGGTACTTTGTCATCGGCGGCATTCAAAATGCTGTGTAACATCTCAATGGGTTCGTCAACACTTGGTGCGTCGTCGCTTGTTTCAACGTCAGCCGCAACAACGCCCCAAGAAGACCGCTCAGCATCATGTTCAGCTTCGTGGCTCTGCTCGTTTGCAGACAGAATTTCCTCTTCGTTGTCAGTAGGCGCTGACCAAGAACTCTGTTTCGGCGATTCCTCTGAGTCTTGGTCATCGGAAAGAGGTGCGTCGTCTAGGCCGGGTTCGGTGTGAGAGATCGTATCAGCGTCGCGATCTGCGGCATCCTGGTGGTCCAGAGGAACCTCCTCATCCAAGTCCACGGATTCTTCTCCCGGAACTTGATCGGAGGTCGTGTTTCGTTTGGGAAGGGCAGGTGGGGGGCTCGACCTCGTATCGAAATCCTCGCTCACTTCACGGGCCGCGATTTTCCACTTGCCAACATCCTTAAGTCTGGCAAGCTCCTTCGCGGCGTTTTCAGCGGCGTCCATTCCGCGGCCCAAGATGTCATCTGCGAGCACTCGAGCCTCTTCCACTTTGATATGTTGTAGCCCGACTGCGCGAAATTGGCTCCTCCAGCCGTCAAACTGTGCCTTCAGGGCATAATATTTTTCCCAGTCCTTGTAGGTGACGCCGTCCATCCAGGCCCAGCGTATCCCGATCTCTTGAAGCCCCAAATCGCGGATACTGTCTAGCACGTTTAGAGTAGTGTTCACGGCATCCGAGACGCGACGCTCGATCTCTTCGTCGAACGTTCTGTGCCACTGGCGAAGTGCATGAGCATGATCTCTGATGGTAATTGCAGCTTGTTTGATGTCCGATGAGAGATTCGCCTGTGCCACTTCCTCCTCTTCAGGAGCCTCTTCAACGGGCAAAGGCTCGGTGAGCAAAGTAATACTTTGCTTGATCCCAGCCAGTTCATGTTGCACAACCTCCTCTAATGCTGTGAAGAGGCTCTCCCCGTGACTTTTCGCTCCGGTGTCTATATAACTGTCGACGATCACTTTGATCCGGTCTTCAAGGTCCTCGACCCCTTTGTCGGCGGCAACGGCGAACTTTTGCTGCCATGTGCGAAGATCGGATTCAATCTTCTCACGAGTTTGGGCGGCCAATTCCGTGGGAGACAGGGGCTTTGGTGTTGACGAGGCCTCTGCCGCAGTGGTTGTAACCGGCGACTCGGCCTGCTTTACCGATGAAGTTGTTGGGTCGGGCTGGTCGGAGGAGCTACTAGACCACAAGATTAGTCAACTGCAGGGATTTCTCTCATACGTAAATAGCTCACCTATCAACGTCGTCCACAACCTTGCGCAGCTGTTTTCCCTCGCGGTAGCTAGCCAATCTCTGTCCAATTTTCACCAGCTGAGGCTCAACGTTCTCCGAGTAGAGGCCAGTGATCTTCGGCCACAATGAGCTGTTCGCAAAATAGATGACGGAAGACCAGCTGGTTTGCGCATAAGGCATAACCGTAGTTGTGAGTATATCCTGGCCAGACGTGTACGTCTTTCCGATAAATGGCCTTGACTGGGCGCAGAAGGGCAACACATATCCCCGGAACACCGAACTTAAAGCGTCGTTGGTTTTCTGATAATATGGCGACAACGCGATTTCCACCCGCTCAACGTGAGGCGCTACATCGGACTTGTACAGCCTAAACGCACTATCCTGGGCGGACTGCAAGTGAGGAACTACTTGTCTTTCCCACTGCTGCTGAGTATACTGCTGAACCTGATCGAAGGCCGGAGCACCATACTTGTCGTAACCCCATTTGGCAACATTTGCGGCGGGCGTGTAGACCTTTTCATTGAGTGTGCGCGCATATGGACGGGTGAGTTCGACATAAGGTGCGCCGTAGGCCTCATAGTAGGGAGCAATATGGGGCTCAACGTAGGACCGAGCGACGAGGTATGGTTTGCAAACGCGCGGAGAGGAATCGTTCAGTTCGGAGAGGTGGGACGGGCATCGAAAGATGGGAGTCAGCAATGCATACCAAATACAAAGGCTAGATAGCGAGAGCTTGTTAGGCCGAGATCCCCGAATAAATCATCTAGTGTCAAACATACCGCACGAACACCCCGAGGGTCCACCGAAACGGACTTCTGCGCTTAGATCTCACACGACTCTCATAAGCGCCAGCATTTTTGTCGATACCCTCCGCGACACGAGCATCGTCGATGTTGGTGGTCATAGTGACCTGGACGGTGCTCTGTTAAACAAGGCCCAGCTCGCGTCGATTTTCAAATCTGCTGGCACGGAAATAGGGAATCTTTCGTAATCTGTAGAATCCCTAGATCATGACAGAGAAAGCGCCCACAGATACAAAGGATGTAGTGAGCTTGACTCGCTGACCGAAGGTTGGTCGGTTGTGAGCTGGAGGAGAGTCCGGAATACTCGAAGGGGCACCACACGCGACTATGAGGTCTGGAAGTCTTGGCGCAATTTTTGGTTTTTATTATTATTATTTTTTTTTCTCGGAGGAAAGGCTCCTTTTTCTTTGAGCTGTGTACAGTAAGCGACCCAAGGGGCAGTGGATATCTAAGATAGTGAAAACAATTATAACTACGGGACCAAGCCAGAACAACCCTTTTATCCCCTGCAGGTGTCGGAACTAAAGAGAGAGATGATGCATTGTGTTTTTCCTGCTTGGATCGGTGACCTCATGCCTGCAGTGGCGCAGTCTGACTTAATGCTGCATAATACACGCTCAATACGCATTTTGACCCTTAAATGACCCGTTCCCCCGCCAAATCGGCCGTATTGCTGCTCCCCGCCGGTAATACGACATTATCACGTGTCAGCCTCCGCGAAGGCGAGGTCGTTTGCCGCTGAGTCAGCAGGCTCTTTGACCTGAACCGCATTTCACGGTGGCTTCCATTCCTATCGTCAACCTAGGCAACTTGCCACCAGTTGGTTCCTGTCGACTTGCCGGTAGTCTTTTCTTTGAGTCCCTCTGACAGCGCTGTCATTCTGTTAAGCCGACCTCACCACGGAAACCTCGCTGAGTTTGACTCACGTGTCCCTATCTCGAAAGTCGCGCCCTAGCGGTTCTATGAACATGACATCTGGCTATCACTACTAAAGACGATCGGACCGTCGAATGACGTTGTCGCCAACATGGAGATTCCAGAATACCAAGGCCCAGAATATTCGGGCGCATCATCTTTTCCAGACCTGATGAATGATCCAGCCTATGCTACCAACACCAAAGGGAAGGGGAGGGACCTGGAGGACCCAGATACTTGCCGAATATGTCGCGGGGAGGGAACGGAGGACGAGCAGCTCTTCTATCCGTGCAAATGCAGTGGGAGCATCAAGTTCGTTCACCAAGCTTGCTTGGTTGAGTGGCTGTCGCACTCCCAGAAGAAGCATTGCGAGCTGTGTAAAACGCCATTCCGATTTACCAAACTGTACGATCCGAACATGCCTCGAAACCTCCCCGCGCCGCTGTTCATGAAGCAGCTTTTTATACACAGCTTTCGGACAATGGTTACGTGGCTTCGCTTTGTTCTTGTCGCCTTCGTTTGGCTCGGATGGCTGCCGTGGTCGATGAGGGCAATCTGGAGGGCGCTCTTCTGGCTGGCAGATGGTCGTTGGTCTGGAGGTGATATACCTCGTCAAGGCTCTGTTGCCAGTCATGCTGCCCATTCCGTCGAGAATGCATCGGGTTCGTTGAGCAGTGCACCAGCCGCCATCTCGCCCAGCTCGAGTGATATCCCGTCGTCCGTACCGTCAATGTTCGGCTTCTCATCGGGTGAGCCTTTGATGTTCAGTCTGATAAAGAATGCCTTTTCGAGTCTTTTCTTTCCCGCGATGTCGTCGGGGGCACGCCATACGGATGCGGGATCATCGAATGCTACTCTTGGGCTTTACAAGCCCCGGCGCTCCTCCTGGCTTTCTGATGTCAAATTTTTGAACGCCTTGACTCCATCACCGACATTTAACAACATCGTGATCGACACTTTGGAGGGACAACTCATTACGGTGTTGGTTGTGGTCTCCTGTATACTAATATTTCTGATTCGGGAGTGGGTTGTTCAACAACAGCCAACGGCCAACATCGCAGAGGGGGAGCGAGAGGCGGCTGTTCAGTTAATCGCTAATAATCGTCCAAATCAAAACGAAGACAGACCTGGACCCGACCAACAGCCTGTTCCGCACACAGAGGAACCTGTACACGAGCATCACCGGGTGAATGATGGGTTTGGTCTCGCGGACGGGCCGGAGCCTCCCCGAGAAGAGTCAGGGTCTTTTCACGGACACTCCTTTGTTCAAGGTGATAGCTTCGCCCACCCAGAAGGCGCTGAAGACTTTGGTACATCGTCTATGTCCCGGCACTACGATAGCAACTCGTACGGAGAAAATGTCGACCCTTCAACGGGAGAGCACTATCGCCAAGTGGGTCAAGTCTGGCCTGGTACTGATATTTTCCGGGACCTATGGTCTCGGGCTCAGGGTGATCCCGAACAGGTCCTCAGGATCATCAGAGAAGAAAACCGTCAGGCAGAGTTAAACTGGATCGTCACTGCGATGACCAATCTGCGGCAAAGTCGACCTCCCAACTTCTTCGGCAGCGACACGGCCGCCCAGCCATATGAAGCACTCCCCGACACGGATACATATGATGCACATGTGTATGATTCCCAACCTAAGTTCGCGGAGTCCTCTCAGTCGGCGCATGAATATGGACAGCAGGGCGATGACGATACCCACTGGGAGGCTGGGGATTCGTTCAATCCAGAATTCGAGGGCTATCACAACACAGGTCAATCGCGGAACCCTTTTGCATTCAATTTTCCAGATCCGGGGCCAGATACTATGGATCAGCATCAAGATGATATCCACGCCACCCAACCCTATGATGACGAACCTCATGTTCATGAAGCTCCTGTCACAGCCCCTGTTGCAGCTCCTGCTTCAGCCGAACTTCCTAGGGCTGATGATTCTTCTGATAGGGCTGGGGGCGCCCCGGAAAGCGCCCCGCAATCGGCTCCTAATGGCAATCAGGCTGCTCCTGCTCCTCCCAAAACGTTGACCACTCAGGTCCTCGACTGGTTTTGGGCCGATATCACTCCAGATGAGCCGGCTGAAGAACCTCTGCATCAGGATGGAGAGCACATAGTTGAAGATCCAGCTTTGGAAGAACCTTTCGTGCCCGTGCAAAACAATCAACGCGCGCTCAACAACGCTGCACAGGACAATCAGGGGTTCCTTGCGGATGCTGGACTTGATGCGAACGATCTTGAAGCTATCGAGGATGGCGACGACCTGGAAGGAATACTAGAGCTCATTGGTATGCACGGTCCGATTTTCGGTCTCCTGCAAAACGGTGTCTTTAGTGCTCTCCTCATCTCGTTTACGGTAGCAATTGGAATCTGGCTTCCTTACCTATGGGGAAAGATTGCTCTTGTTCTGCTGGCAAACCCCATTCAGCTTGTCTTTGGTGTACCAATGACTGCAGTATCGGTCTTCGCTGATATCACCCTTGATACACTAATTGGTAGCCTGGGTTATGTCATGTACTGGGTCACTCTTCTCTGCAAGTTGTTCCTTAGTCCTCTCAGTGCTCTGTTGCCCATAGGAAACTGGATTCCTCACACCAAAACACTTACCAGTGCTTCGCTTTCGCTCATCGATGCCAGCAGCCATCGATTGAAAAATGTGGCTAGCACATTTTTCGTTTTCCATGAAGCGGATGTTCCTATGTTCTCCGTTCTCTCTCACCAAGCATTGATAATTCACCAAGCACGAATTGCCACTCTCCTGCGATCCGTTTTCGTTGCGGTGAAATTTGTATTGCACGATTTACCGCTTCGGATTATAACCCATGGAGCCACTGGCGCCCTCGCATTTGATCGCGAAGCCATTGATCTTACCGATCTGTTGTCCCAGGCTCGGTACCAGATCAGCGACTTTGTGGATAACATCATGTATTCCTTGAATGGCACAAAGTGGTTCAGAGCCAACATGATGGGCGTACCGCCAGTATCTAGCATTACCCTGGATTACGATCTCGCTGTGTGGGATACACAAGATCGTGTGATTGCCATCGTCATGGGCTATCTTCTTGTCTCGGCTCTAGGCCTTCTCTACCTACGTGCTACCGCTCTACTTTCTGGCGTGGCTCGAGGGCAAAGGGTTGAAGGCATCATTGCCGAAGTTCTCAACCAAGCTGGAGGTGTCATGAAAGTCATCCTCATCATTGGAATCGAAATGATCGTCTTCCCACTCTACTGCGGCTCCTTGCTTGACGTTGCATTGCTGCCTCTTTTTGAAGGCGCATCCATAACCTCCCGGATCGAATTCACTTCCTCATCACCCCTCACTTCACTATTTGTCCATTGGTTCATCGGCACCTGTTACATGTTTCATTTCGCTCTCTTCGTCGCTATGTGCCGGAAGATCATGAGGAGTGGAGTCTTGTGTAAGTGCTGCCTGCTTTTTTTTTATCTTCCCCCCTCCAAGAGGACATGGCTAACTTGATCCAGATTTCATTCGCGATCCGGATGACCCGACCTTCCATCCCGTGCGTGACGTGCTCGAGCGCAACATCACCACCCAACTGCGCAAAATTGCGTTTAGTGCCTTGGTCTATGGTGCTCTGGTGATCGTGTGTCTTGGGGGTGTCGTGTGGGGGTTGCACTTTTCCTTTGATGGCGTTTTACCAATCCAATGGTCTGCCACTATCCCGGTCCTTGAATTCCCGGTTGATCTACTCTTCTACAACTTTGTCATGCCGCTTGCAATCCGCTCCATCAAACCTTCTGATGGCCTACATGGCCTCTACAGTTGGTGGTTCCACAAATGTGCCCGCTTTTTGCGCCTGACAGAGTTCTTCTTCGGAGACAGACAACCCGACGAGGAAGGACATCATGTGCGACGAACATGGTGGCACTTGTTAACAGGAGCTAAGGGTGACGTGGCGCAGCCTGTTGTTGCCAATAAGAACGAACAAAAAGTGCCAACTGACAGGTCTCTTGACGTCTACTTTGCCCGGGATGGGAGATTCGTTCGTGCCCCCGCTTCTGATCAAGTCCGCATTCCCAAAGGCAGCCATGTATTCTTGGAAGTATCTGAAACCAACGAGCGGGTCGATGGGGCCATGGATACGGATGAAGGCCTCCATGGCCGGAAGAATGACATGTTCACCAAGGTTTATGTTCCTCCGTTCTTCCGAAGCAGGATTGCTGCCTTCATTCTCTTGATTTGGGTGTTTGCGGCCGCCACTGGCGTAGGCACCACCATTATTCCGCTGATCGTTGGGCGCAAGGTGATGTCGTCATACTTCCCCAACCGTCCACTGAATGATATTTACGCCTTTTCCACCGGCATTTGCATAGTCGGTGGGGCTGGGTTCGTTGCCTGGTATTGCAAGAACCGCGCTGCAGTGGTCAAAGACCGCCTGGGACCGTATTTGCAGTCCCCTCGACAGGCCTGTATCGGATCAGCCAGTGCCGTGATGAACGGCCTCCGTCTCATCTACATCTTCACCGCATTCTCTGTTGTGTTGCCTTCGCTATTCGCTCTGGTGGTGGAGCTTTACGTGCTGGTCCCAGTGCACACATACTTGGGCGGCACCCAGGCCCATGTCATCCACTTTGTGCAAGACTGGACACTTGGAGTGCTCTATGTCCAAATGACCGTTAAATTCGTTCTGTGGAATTCTGCTTCTCGCCCGGCGGCAGCCTTGAACGGCATCTTCCGCGATAGCTGGTTAAAACCCAACGTGAGCCTTGCCACGCGGGCACTGCTGCTTCCAATCACGCTCTTGGCGGCTGTTGCGGTGTTCATACCACTCTCTTTTGGGTTCATTGTGAACTCGACCGTGTTCCACTCGGCTCCCGAGGTGCAGTCCAAGGTTTACCGCTATGCCTACCCGGCGACGTTGTTCATGAGCCTGCTGGCCTGGCTGGCCTATCTGGTCCGTCGACAGGTGGAGATCTGGCGAGTCAACATCCGGGATGATGTCTATTTGATTGGAGAGCGTCTCCACAATTTCCGTGAGAAGCGCGCAAGGGATGTGGGTGTGCCTCGACAGGTAATCACGGGATGATTGGAGCGACGTGAAGCAGGAGTGGTAATTCAAAAACATGTAGCAACATTCTGGTTGATTTCTCTTTTCTTGTTCGTACTCGTCGCAAATCCTTGTGATTATTATTTTCATTATATTTTTTATTATGATGAATCATGAATAGAATGTTAAAACTTCTAAGGCAAAACTTCAGTCATCCGAGACCGATGGAATTAGGGCATGATTTCGGAACTGGACCTGCATTCTTAAAAAAAAAAAAAAAAAGAAAAGAAAAGGCTGCTGCCTAATTGCCGTAGGCGAATCGTTTAGATCCGTATGTGTTAAGGTTTTCCCGAACTGCCTGACTCTTGGATTGTTGCTTGTATTGACTTTTAAACCTACTACGCAGTAGTGCTAGTAACTTTAATATGTAGAAATTTAGGACCCGGAGGGCCACCGCAATGATAAGTAATCTCAACCAAATTTACATATGTACCTGGTATCTTGACCTTTTCCGTAAAAACTGTTCGGTTCCGGCATTCTAATTAGTTCTAGTAGCCTTATCGCCGTCGGGTATTCTGCTGCTCTACCATAAACTTTTCTTACTTCTTTCTACTTACCTTTCTACTTAGTACTTATTAAACACGAGTATAGTAGGTAGGTTTGCGAACTACCGTGAGTATGGGCTTACTAGCCACTATTAGTACTACTAAGCCCCTGTATACGTGGGCTTGCTGGCTACCGTGGGTACTACTAAACTTCTTTTATACACTAGGCTTACTAGCTACCGACGGTGCTACTAAGGCCCCGTATATATAGGCTTTCAGATTTAATCAACTGGCTTACTTGAAACGCTCAAAGGCCGCTGAAGGCTAGTATCAGTGTACTATAAGGACCAATTCGTTTCTTCCGCCGCCAGCATCCCTAAATACCACATACCCATCAGCACAGTGAGCTGGCAAGGCCTCCTGCTTTCCAAGGGATCGCCACAGAAACGGCCAGATGACCCCTCGTCTCAAGACGCTTAACAGCCACCAACTCAGTATCTATAGTCACAAAGCCATGGCGCGCGCTATGCTGGCACATATAGAATGCACCTGCGCCAGATAGATATTTTAGGAGAGACTGGTTGTCCATATTGCAGTACACCTTGTGGATGGGATTTAGAAGTAATACTATCGCTGAATTGAATGTGTATCAGGGTAACTAGGCGAAAGAGGACAGAGAAATGCTACTATGAATGACAAGAGTTGGGGAAAGCACAGAAATACATACGGAGTAGAGACAGGCAATAGCAGGCGGTGGATCTGATTCGGGAGATCCGATCGTCTGAACCCCACCCGACCCGTAGCCCGGACTAAATAATCTACCTACAAACAATCCCCAAAACTGCCTCCCGCTCCAGCTTCTAACAGAGCAATGCATACAACCAGCACTCCCTTGGCAGAAGTAGATCCCTCCAAAATTAAGATCATCAGGGGGATCTCATACTCTGATGCATCTTCAATATTTGAGGTAGATCTGGATGGACAAAAGTACGCATTGAAACTTTATCACGACGAGGGCGAGCCGGGATACTCCAAGAAAGGCCGTGACCTAAATCGATTCCGTTGCGAATACGGTGCATATCAGAAGCTCATAGCTTCTGGTGCCTGTGATAGCGGATTTGTTCCAAAATGCTACGGCTACATCGATCGAGTGGATCCGGCTGCCTTCCATCCTGCTTTCGATAACTTCGCCCAAGACAAGATGAAGCCGAGGGCAATATTGCTCGAATACCTCCCAAATGCAGAGAGTTTGAACTGCGTTAAGTACTCGGATACGCTATTTCCCCAGGCAATTGAGGGCATGAAGGAGATACACAGGGCGGGTGTTTACCACTACGATGTCTGGCCCAGAAACCTTCTCCTTGTTCGTGGAACGCCTGATAGGCTGGTCTGGAGTGACTTTGACGTTGCGATGACCTTCACCGACTTTGGGCCTCAGCAACTAGCCCGCTGTGAGCATGAAATTGCGTTGGTACAGGGAATTGGGGATGCACTGGTAAGGTCTCCATTATCATGTGTCAGAGACATTGATCCTGCTAACTGATGAATATAGAGAGAAGACCAGGCGGAGGGACTCCCTCCGAATACGAAATTTTATTGAATGGTCTATAGAATTTTAACGATTTAATGTTTGATGGTGTTTATGCCATGGGTTCGGTGGATTTTCAAGAAATGGGTGTTTTGTTTCGCTTTAAGATCATGGTTCATGGGATCCACATTTCTATCCTCAAGGCTATGCATAATTAGATCCTAATATGGTATATCGTACGCATACCCGGTGACGGAGATAGATTGAAAATGAGAATACAAAAAAAAATCAATACTCGTGACTATGCCTAACAAAGACTAGCATGTGTTCGTCGCTAGGCTTCGAGAAATCACCCCAAAGGTAGGCAAGTATCTTTCTGCCTGCTGTTTCAGTTTAAATCCCGTGCGAGATTTTCACCGGAATGGCGGGAGCCTAGTATTGGAGGTGTCAGTCGAGTAAGGAATTCTAAGGGCCGCTCCATGTTGAAGGGTCGGTCAATCTTGAAAATCCATCCCTTGTATCTGGATTTGCACCCTAAGCCGAGTTAATCTGGACATCATGACATCGTCAAGCACTAAGAAGCCTTGAGACTGGCGAGGCACGGCTGAGTCAGCCTGCAGAGTGGGCTCGTGCACGTGCCCACCCGCGGGCGGCGGCCAATCAGGGCACGTGGCCAGAGGAATCGCGGCTGCCTGCCACGTGACGCGCCAAGGTTGCGCGGACGTGTGGCTTGGCACAGGAGGCTTTGCAGCACTCGCCACTCCCGATTGGTTAGGCAGCAGAATTCCTTGCCCACCGGCCTTTCTATTCTTATTCCTCCCGTCGCCTTTTTGCCCCTCAGTATTAGTCCCAGCCTATTATCCTCGGATGGACTAACGTCGCGCTTCGCTCTCTTCTCTCTCTCCATCCATTCCCCCCTCCTGCCCTAGACCATGTCTTCCCCCTGATATTGGTGTTCAGATCTGTCCCACTCGCTTGACATGCTCCTGAATTCCCGCTAATTCGTCTCGTCTTGATCCGTCCGCAAGAGTGCGCGCCAAGATGTCCGTTCTCCGTCATGGGGGGTCCTACCTCCAGCGACGCCTCACCAAGATGTATACCGACACCAAAACATCTTGTGAGAGCGTCACCACCGCCTCCAAGGCCGTCGACGACCCCGAGCTCGTCACCCTCCACCGCAGCTTCAGAACCCAGAGAGATCGGCTGTTGGCATGGGGCCTCGATTGGAGCGACGCTAGTGCAGCACAGCCCAACGATATCGACGAGTCGCTGACCCAGGCCGGCTTCAGCGACGTCGTTGCCAGCGTCATGTCGTCAATTCAAGAGCTCCTCAACGAAGCTGAACGTTTGCAGCACACAGGAACCTCCGATATCCTGCCGCCCAAAGGCGGCCGCGCCGACCCTCCGTCGAAGGATGCGAAAGACGCCCTGAGCCGCCTCCCGGTCAAGACACACTGGACAAACGAGGATATCAATCGATCGAAGACCCTTCTCTCCGACCTGACCTCCTGCATTGATACGCTCTACGACCTGTCTCGCTCTCGGCGCAACATGGCCGCCAGTGGACAGTCTGGCTGGTCGCGGCAATACTCTGCCTCCCAAACCCCGACCGCGGACTCCAAATCCTACCACGGTCCGTCCTACGATTCGAAGCAGATGTATGCGAGCCCTATTTCGAAGCAGGACCCGTTCGAGTATTCGCCGTACCCCCATCACAATCTCGAGAAGCCAAGGCTTGAGAACCCCTACGCCCCGGCGCCTGTGTCTTCGCAAAATTACCTCATTGATCGCTCGGCGCTGCAGCTCTCCGGGGCATCGCACGACAACAGCCCCCCGCCGTACGAAATGGTCGCCGCTTCCACCAATTCCCGCGCCATCGGTCGCATCAAGACCTCGGCATCTCCATTTTTGCGTGGTTCCAAAGACTCGACGGCGACAATTCTCGTTGAATTCACACCCATGATCCTAGAGTCGTCGGGCGCGGTCGCGGTACCCAGTAACAAGCGTCTCGATCACGTCAACCAGACTCTTGATCAGCTTGTGCAGAATGCGCGAGTTTCTCATCTGGGACTGTTGAAATTTCTTGGTTACTATATTGACATGCCTAATTCCCGTTATGCTATCATCTACCAATTGCCGATGGACTACTTTCCTTTTCTGCGCAATCCCACCGATTTATTGCAAGGCTTGAAGCCGAAGCCCTTGGTGTCTCTGTTCCAGACCAAAGAAGACAACCAAATCCCCAACCTCGAAACGCGATTCCGCTTGGCTTACGATCTTTTGATGGCTGTGCTTCAATTAAGGAGCCAGAACCTTGTGCACGGAAACATCAACAGCAGCAATGTTCTTATCTTCCCTGGACTAACAAACGCGAACAACGACGAAGTCAGCCTTACCGAAAACCTCCAGCGCCCTTACCTGACGTCGTTCGCCCAATTCTCTGGTAATGGGTCTTCGCCCGAGCCTCTGTCGTCAAGTATGTATCGTCATCCCGACGATAAGCGGTCGCTCGAGGACGATGCCGCCTGGGCTTACGATCTCTACTCGCTGGGGTTGGTCTTGATGGAAATTGGATTGTGGGCGCCTGTGAGCCGCCTGTGGAAGATGAAGTACAACAACTCCATGTTCAAGCAGAGGATCGAGAACGTTTACCTGCAAAAGCTGGCCCCCAAGTGTGGTAGTGCCTACCTTCATGTGGTGCAGCTATGTCTAGATGCGCCAAACTTCCACCTCTCCACGCAGCCTTTCGACGACCTAAACCTGCGGGTGCCCCAAACCTTCCATTACCCCGTCCTCGATCTCTCCGAGCCCCACAGCATCTTTTCGTTCTCGATGAATTTCATTTACACCATGTCCAAAATTGCCTGGTCTTGCTGCAGAATCGACCTGTTTTCGGCGCCGAATGCCGACGAGTTGGACGATTGCCTGCCCCTTGCTCTTGTCCCTCGACCCGACGTGCATGATTCGAAAGCGGCGATGACAGAATATGAGCCTGTGCATACGCAATCCGTTCCTGTTGCCGAGCCATTTCCGATACTGCCTCATGCGGACATGAAGGCTCTACGAGGGAAAATGGGTCTCGACGAGCCACAAACCCGCAAGCGAACGTTCAAGAAGCTCACCAACGTCGAAATTCCACAGGAACATTTGAATGTGTGGAATTTCCAGATGCTCCCTCGACTGCGGAAGCTCCTCCAGAAGATCTTGAAAGACTCCTCCGAATCATGCGGTGTCACTCTCATGATGACTGGCGATGCGGCGGAGAATGCTCGAACCACGATCTGCGTGACTTGTGCGAGCGCAAAGAAGGTCCGGGCGGCGCTGAAGAAATACTTCCCGCTTGAGAGCGAGGATTGGGATCTTCTCGTGCTCCGGGGCGACATCCAACGGTCCAAAGTCCCGCGGAAGAAGCGCCGCAGGCCGGCGAAGACGGGACCGGAAAGAGCAGACCCCCATGCCTCCTCCTACCAAGACCCGAATCCTTGTCACCAGCAACGGCCTCTGTGCGGCGCATCCATGGGTGCATTCATGAATGAAGAGCATCTGCCTCCGGTGACTTACGGTGGCGCCATACTAGTCGATGGCATGCCGTATGGGATGACCGTTCACCACATGCTTGAAGCACCTAGTGATCAGGAGGATGAGGAGCAAGATTCTGGGGGCCCTTTACGATCAGCTGGAAACTGGCCGCAACAGTCAGGTCCGCAAGATGCGGAGTTCATGTATAGCTGGTGTGATGATGACGGGTCGTCGGATGTCGATCTTGAGTTTCAAATCTCGGAAGACGAGGATGGAGACGGACATTCCTTGGATGGGAACTACGAAGAGTTCTGCCTGTCTGAAGGCTATTCCTCAGACGAGGACGCATTCAATATTGACGATGACGAATACGAAGATGAGGATGCGGCATCAATCGGTGATACGGCGGGTATCGAGCCTGGAGATGAACCCCCTTTATTTGTCACGCAGCCCGCGATCGACGATGTTCGGGAGGATTTCTTTCCATCCCCCGAAGACCGCGACGATGAACACCTGGCTTCCCACTCTTTTGGGTTCGTCCATGCCTCATCTGGTGTCCGACGCTGGACGCGGAAAGGCATCAAACACGAGATTGATTGGGCATTAATCAAAATCAACGACGATCGGATCGATGTCCGCAATATTGTTTACGATAAAGCATCGTCAACCAGGCCAAACGCATCCAGACGACGATACGGAGACCGCAGTCCACTTCCGCAAGGCGAAGTCATCTATCTCAATGACATTGCACGCCTCGAAGATATCAGCGGTTTGAATGTGCACTGCTGCGGTCGAACGAGTGGCCTGCAAACGGGACAGATCTCAAGAGCAATGACGATCGTCAAGCTACATGGCCGCCAGACCTTCTCGACGAGCTTTTGCGTGGATGGGAATTTTGGGGGTAAGTAAGCACACCACAGTTCACAATATGTGTTGTCGTCTTCATACCGTCGATCACATGCTAACTCAATTTCTTTCTAGTCCCCGGCGATTCAGGCGCTTGGGTCTTCGAGCGGTCGACCGGTCGTGTCTGTGGCCACGTTCTAGCTTGGTCCGACAAAAGCCACACGGCCTACATCGCTCCCATGGAAGTCCTCCTCGAGGACATCGCGCGCACCCTCAACGCATCCTACGTCGCCCTCCCAGGGGGTCCGGATGGGTCGCTTGCATACGCCATGCCTCACTCCAACACCCTCGAGCCCCAGAATCCGCGTTACCGCAATCCCCTTCCACTCCCCGATCAGATCCCTGTTGACATCGGCCGACTCCGCATCGACGATCCCAGCATGGGGCCCGTCAACACCAGTCGTGGCCTACGAGAAGTCTCCACCCCGTACCGGGGCATGCCGCCTATCTTGACACAGCCTCGCAGTTTGGAAAGACAAATTGCTTGAAGACTTTCCTTTTCGACATCACCTACCTCCTCCCCCTCTTTCCTTTGACTGGAAGTGCCTATACCACCCACCGCATTCACCTTCCCTCCCTACCACTATACTACTCCCTTCTCTTTAATTTCCCCCTCAAACCTCCCTGCCTAATTCTGACGTACATTTATACGAATGACCTGTGAACGAGCGGATAGGAACTTCCTTCCTGATTTTCTCTTTTGTTTTTTTTTTTTTTTTTGTTTCCAATTCGAAACCAACAATACCCCCTTTTGCGTTTTTTTTTTTCTATTTACATCATCTTTGTCTCCTAGCTTCCATGACTTCCTTGACTGGACTTGGCAATCAAATAAATACCCTTTGATACTTTTCAATCTTTTGATCTTTTATCTTCCTTGTAGAGGGAGAGACATTACCTTACTCTGGCATGGGTTTTGTATTTCATTTTAGTTCATGTATCACGGGATCAACACAGCATTAAAGTCATGGGTAGAGGGTAGATAGGAATATATCATTAATTGAGCAATAACTGAGTTTTCTTGGTTTTGGGTTTACTGTTCTTCTTTATCTTTACTCTGGTTGCGCTGTTGTCCCTCCAGGTCCAGATCCTAGGTCTTTTATCTCCCTTGGATAATCAAGTAGATAACTAAGGAAAGTAAAAGAAACTCTAAACCAGAGAAATCCCGTTAATAACTATGCGAATCCAGGAAATTTAAATAAATCTTTCAAATAAAATGAATAGATGTATATGTGCTCAATAACAAGACAGAAATCAGAAACCACCGTGTATGAACAAGACAAGAAAAGACATTAACATCACATAACATGCATCAAGAAATCAACAATGAAACGACATAAACAAAACCATAAAGCCGCTCCTCTCCCGATTCATCCGATCCCGGAATAAAAGAAACCAAGGTATAAAAAGATAAGAAAATGAAAAGTTTTGCCCAAAAGAGACCTCTCTATCTCTTTTAAATATCCTTCTCTCTCTCTCTGCTGTTTTTAAATTTGGGTATTTGGATATGTTCAAGAATAAAAGGGGAAGAAATGAGAACGGCTTAAGACGATGCCAAAAGCTTCAGAACAGCTTCCTTCTCTTCGACAGGCAGCATGCTCAGCACCTGCTTGACACCCTTCAGACCACCGTCCTTGTCGCTGATCAGCAGCTGGGCAACATCCGCAGCCACACGCTGGGTCTGGAGCGATTCGACCTTGTCCTGGATGAGAGTCTTGTTCTCCTCGAACCAGGTGGCGACGCGCTGGTCGTCGTTCTCCAGTTCATCATCCAGCAGACCGGTCCAGGAGCGCAGCATCCGGAGGTGCGCGGCGCGGGCCGTCTCGGTGGTGTCGGTCAGGCGGCCAGTAGGAGCGGCGGAGGCGATGGCACCGCTGCCCTCGCGGTAGTCGGGAGAGGGCACGGCGGCGACCATACGCTTGACGATGAGCTCCTCGCTGAGACGGCGGCGCAGACGCCAGTAGAAGAAGCGACGGGCGTTCTTCCAGGTGAGAGAACGGCGGATGGTGTTCTTGGCCTTCATGCGGCCGGCGCGATCGTGGAGATCAGCAAACTGCAGAGCGATCTGAGTGTAGACGGGCAGGAGCTGCTCCTCGCGGGCGGCCATGCGGGTCTTGATCTCAGAGAGCTGTTCCTTGCTGAGGGACTGATCCTCCAGGGAACGACGCAGCTCGCCGTAAGTGGGATCCAGACGAGCCATGGTGTCGAGCTGCTTGTCGCGGCGGTACTTGATGCCGACGATACCCTCGGGCTCGAGGACACCACCACGGGCATCCTCGTCGGCGTACATCTCCATCTGGTCGGGGTTGATGGTGGGATCGACGACGACCCACGAACCACCACGAAGCTCACCGTAGGGCGGGATGTAGACGAAGATGGGTTGCTCGTACTTGACCAGCGCATCGACGATGTACGATCCGTACTTGAGGACCTCGTTGTACATGTCACGCTGTCCACCAGAGAAACCTCTCCAGTTGGCAAGGATCATCACAGGCAGCTGCTCACCGTTGTTGAAGTCACGGAGGGCCTGAGCGGTCTTGTAGGCGGAGTTGGGGTACCACACACCACCGGCCTCGCTGCTGATCATCTCCATGGAGTCGGGGTTGGCGGGGTCGGCAGGGGTGACGTTCTCGACAGAGCGAGTCTCGACGGCAATAACACCCATAGGGATACCACCCAGGCGAGCACGACCGACAACAACGGAGCGAGCCCATCCACCGAGAGCTTCCTCGAAAGAGTTCGCGTCAAACAGACCGGGAAGGAAGCCCTCCTCGTCCTCCTTACCGTTGATGAGCCAGCGGGGGTCATAAGGCTGCTTAGGAGGGGGGAAGTAGGCCACATCCCGATCCCAAGTGTCGGACCAGGGACGGACGGGGCTCGGGCTACCCTTGCTCTCGGGAACGAAGGCCATCCACTCAACGATCTTCTGCACACCTTCGAAGTCGTCGTTGGCAGTCATGTGAGAAACACCGTTCCTGTACATGATCTGAGTGCCACCGAGCTGCAGGTTAGAGGTGTAGACCTCACGGCCCAACAGCTTGTTGATGGCAGGGGCACCGGTCAGGATGATGGGCTGGCCCTCAACCTGGATGGCACGCTGCCCCAGACGGACGAGGTAGGCACCGATACCGACGGAACGGCAAGTGACCAGAGTGATGGTGAAGATGTCCTCGTAGGCCTTGGAGGTGGCACCGGCAATGAGACCGGATCCCTTCAGACACTCGACACCCAGGCCATCCTTGGCACCGATGACGGTGGTGATCTTGTGGCGCTCCTCACCCTCGTCGAAGATCTGCTCGGTAATAACCTCGTTCTTGCGGCTAGCGTCAAACTGCTCCTTGATCTCAGGGGTCAAGTACAGGTACTTGAAGCCGGCCTCGGGCCTCTCAGGGTTGTTCCAGGCAACCGAGAAGTAGGGGATGAGTTCATCGGCCATACCAATACGGGCACCGGAGTTGGCAGAGAGGTAAATGCGAGGAATGCCGAGCTTTCGTGCCAGCTCGGTACACTTGTTGAAGAACCGGTCCTCCAGAGGACCGAACGAACCGATCTGGAAGGTGATGTCGTTGGCCACGATGATGAAGCGACGGCCGCGGGGGTACTCGGGCGTGCGAGCAGTCACCAGCCATCCCACCATGCCGTGAGTGTTGGTACCAGGACCTCTCTGGATCTCCACCAGGTTGTCGGTGTCGTCAAGGACAAGCTCGGTGTAGTCGATGCACTCGCCGACAGGGGGGCGGCGATCCGCCAGCGAGGGAACCTTGGCAATGGCGCTGGTCCAGCTGTTCTGGAAGGCCTGGCGGAAGAGCTCGGGGAAGTCGTACACGTACTGGGTACCCATGAGATGGGCCTTGTAACGCTTGGGCTGGAGCCATTCCTTGGTGGGGTACGGGGTAGCCACGGGACGCAAGTGCATGGAGCCGAGCTTGTTGGTGCCACCAATGCTCTGGAAGATGTACTCGCCCTTCTCGGACTTCTTCTCGATGTACAGCTCGACCTGGATGATGAATCCGTAGGTGTTGGTGATGATCACCCGCAGAGGGTAGGGCAATCCGGTGGCAGGGTCGGTGCAGAGAATGCGGATTTCGGCACCGGTCACACGCAGGCGCCACAGGCGACGACCAAAGCGATCCAAAAATCCAGCCAGAGCCTGCTCAACGTCATTGGGCTGCAGGTTGAACACGGGGGAGAAGTTGATGAAGATGTGGTTCAGATCGGAGTTGTTGTTGCCGATGATCTCCAGGGCATCGAGAATGTCATTCATCAACCTGTCGGCCTCCGAGATCAGGTACTCAGCCGTGGGGATGTCGTCACGCAGGCGACCCGGACGCACCACAGCACGAACGAAGTAACGCTTGTCAACGGCCTTGTCGTTCTCGGGTCCCTTGCCGATAGCCTCGTAGACGTGGATGTTCCTGTTTTCCGTGAAGACAGGCTTGATTCGGAATTTCGACAGGCGGCTAAGTTCCAGCTGGAAGGCCAAAGCGGGCTCGCTGTGACGAATGCTCTCATCTTCCTGGTAGAGGGGTCCGCGGAAGGTGTAGTAGCCGGGGTAGATACCGTTCTTACCGCAGATGAACGTCACGCGACGAACGCGGCGGGCGAGCAGTTCCTCCTTGACATCGGCGAGAAGTCCGTTGATCTGAGCAACAATCTGGTTGTCATCCATATCCTCAACGTCACGGATGGCGATATTGAGGACACCCGTCAGCTCGCTGTCATGCTCGGGGCGGGCAGCGGGGCGGCGCTTGCCCTCCAGGTCTGCAATGAGGCCGTCGGCAGGCTTCTTGGCCTTTCCAGTGCGGGGGAACATCTCGAGAGCCCGGGGAAGGTACTCCTCGGCATCCTCCAGGTACTGAATGGGCAACATAACACCCTTGCGGAGATCGCCGCTACCGGGGCTGACCAGATAGGACATGTCACTGATGGAGTTGATTCTCGTCAGTGGGTTGTGGGCCTCGGTCGTCGGGGTGCTGGGGGCCGAAGGCTGCGTCGACGAAACGGGACCGAATTCGGGCTGGCCGAGCTTGTCGAGAGTGAAATCCCACGAGAGCAAAGGCTGCTCTCCGGCGGGGCTGTAGTGCATGCTCTTCAGGGTGTAGGCGCGATACGCACGGCGAACGTAGACCTCAAGCGCAGCCAGAGTCACCCAAGCGTCCTGGTGAACGAAGAAGCGCGGCAGCACGTCGAACACGGTGTACTTGGAGTCAACAACCTCCTTCAGAACAGCGAAGTCGGGTTCCCGGTGATCCCAGCCAGTCTCGCCATATTGGGACTCCACGACGGAAGAGCGCAAGATGAGTTCCATTTGGGACAGACGCTCCTCCAGAGAGGGAAGAGCGCACTGGATGAGCACCTCACGGGCCTTCAGGGTGACCTTGGCAGCGGAGCGCGACTCGAGCTCCGTCAGCTTCTTGAGGATAGGCTTGAAGTGCTTGCCGACGTTGCCGACGCCGGGCTGGTTCGGGCGGTACATGGCCAAGATAGCGAGGACGAGGTTGTTCTTCGAGCCGATACGGCTGTGAGAGAGCACCTTCTGGACGACGCTGGTGATATCGTCCTTGTTCTCGTCACGCAACTTGAGGATAGCATCTTCGTCACGGGCGTTACGGGCACCGAACAGCTTCTCCACCTCGTAGTACTGCTCCAATAGGCCGATGAAGACTTCGAATTCGTGAGTCTTCAGGCCATCCATGTACTTGTTGATGACCTGCAGCAGAGGCAGCAGGGTGGTCTTCAAGATCTCAGCATCGGCGGGGTTGACGTTCTCCTCGATGAATCGGGTGATGGTCTTCTGCAGCTGCTTGGCGGGGAACTCGGCCTTGCGAGACTTGGCACGGTCGACAACGTTCTGAAGCTGAGCGTCGAGTCTCTGGGGCATACGGGAATGCAGGGCAGACGATTGGGCATTCCATTCGCCGTAGGGCAGCTCGGGGTTACGGAGCACCTCCACCAGCTCCTTGAGGGTGGAGCCCATGATGACCTGGTTGTCAAATCCTCGCAGGATGTTCTCCAG